TTGCCTATACAACGACCGCGGAAGCGTTTGTGGAATGAATAGATTGCAGGTGGGTGTCTAGGCTAGCGTTCAGTGCATCATATTTCGTATCAATACGTGATGATAAATACGAGATATCACCAAGCAAACAACATAATCGATAGTGAAAAGTGAAATATGGAAAAGTCGAATATCTTTATAAAGTGACTTACTGAGCAAGGAAAAGCCATGATGTATAAGTGGCGCAGTATATTTAAACGAGAAAAGGATCCCCTGAACACGATCGGAGGTCGAGCAGAAGCATTGAGTTGAAAAAATTGACATCGACGCTGAACAAACAAAAAAAAAAATACAGAAATGGTTGGAGTATCCATTTCTAAACCATACAACCATATTTAAAATCCTGCATGATCATCTTGACTTGAAATTAAGGTCGGGGCAAAATAGGTGCCGTGAATACTGCTTCAAAAACAACAGCGTGTAGAGTGTTCATGTGCATTCTTGGCTCTCTGTAATAAATATAATGAACATATATATATTTATGAACCTGAATCGAAACAAAGACACAGCACCTCCAAAGAAGTTTAAGGGGTCTCAGTCAGTCTGGAAAACTCATGGCAAAGTTTTTCTTCTTTTATTTTGAAACACCGAAAGAATATTATTGATCTTGATCGATTACAATGACAAAGGTGTTTATATGTATGTATAACTGCAGAACACTACACTTCAATAATAGACCGGCTAAAAGGACGTGTGAAAGAGAAAAGACGGGGGAAATTTACGAACGGTGTGCTGTTTTTGCGCGACAACGCGGAGCGGCGAGCACAAGAGCCGCGTTTTTTTGAGTGCGTTGCATAAGTTGGGCTTTGATATTTTAAACCATCTACCTCACACCCCAAACCTCACCCCGAGTGATTATGACCTGATTCAAAAAATGAAAAAAAGCTGAGGGTAAAAATGTATCTCCTACGATAAAGTCGAAGAGGCAGTATCAGGGTATTGTAAAGAGAAAAAAATTTTAAGTAAATCAAATGGAAGATCTAAAAAATGTAAGCGTCTTTCAGGAGAATATATTAAAAAAGAGAAATAATTTGTCTGGTAGTGAACGGGGACAAAACTCGGATCCCACGTCGCTGTTGACTGTCATAACTTTGAAGTTGTAGCCTGGAAATTCGACGCAGAATATCTCTTGCCAACAGGTGCTACTTTGGACTGAGTAGTCAATTGAAAAATAAAGTTCTCTCTCGACAATAAAAAAGGCCAAACTTTACAAGTCGCTTGTCATTCATGTGCTGCTGTATGGCGCAAGAACGTGGAGTATTACAACGTTTTACGAGTTTTCAGAGAAAGAGAAATACCTAAGCTGCGTTGGATAAATCAAAAGAGGAGAAGGCTTGGCTAAACTTGAAATTTACAATTGGCGACGAACAGCGAAACGTTGGAAGGAATGCCGCAAGGTGGTTAACTCGGCTATAATCGCGTAAGCGTTGTCTACACCAGTGGAGAAGAAGAAGAAGAAGAAAAATTACTAATGATCTCCGAATAAGTTCTAACAAAAATATTTCATACTTTTCATATTTGGCCGCCCACAAACCTTGCATATGTGTAGGTAGTGGTAGTTACTAAAAATCTCAGACCAAAGCTCACTAGTCTAATGTAACCTACGTGACTATTCCTGTTATTATGTGCATATGTAAATTTAGTTAAATGTACATATATTTTTTATTTGCTCGGCACCTCTTAGAAGCGAACTTGTTTTTCTTTTGTACCACCATCCTTTTTTTCTTATTCCTCCAATGCATTTGAGTTTCCCACTTTTTTAGTATCGCTTGTATTTCTGGAACTACATCGGCTATTTTCTTCAACTTTCGATATGTACGTACACACACATACATATACCTTTGCACTCGCATATCTGTACGTATGCTGAGCACGTCTGAAGGTATTTCATTATTATTGCATCTACCAATTCTTTTTGTTGGGTCTCTGCCATCAGCTCGTTGATAATTTGTTAAATGGGAATTCGTTGCCAATTCTATAAGTATTGTTCACACGAGCACTTTTTTTTTTAGTTGTGTTGTGTGTCGGCATTTACAAAACCACCCAACTGGAACCATGCCAATTAAAGTTCATCAAATCGATTAACTAGATTTAGTATTACAATTACTGTTAAATTTTGTTACTTGAAAGTGTTTAAATATGTTTATTCGAACTACAGTAGAACCATTTAAATGAGAACGTGGGTAAAAAGAAACTCCACTTGCAAGGCCAGGGTAGCTCACTACTAGTAAGTGTAGATTGCGCTTTTGATTCTCCAGCTTCACAGCTCTTCTGAGAGATTTAATTTTTTCTGGAAGCAATTCAGTAGATTCTCGAGCAGTCCGCAACTTTCATAACCTTGAAGTCGTGAAAAGTTTTATTATTAATGTATCTAGAAAACAATATTGTTAAAAAGGTTGCTCAATAACGAAGCAATAATCAAGCGCATTTAGTCGTACTGGCACGATGTAATACCTATGTTTTGGCCCTGTGAAGGAGATTCATCTCATTTGTGCCAGATGTGCTTTTTGAAATTTTAGTGGCAAAGGTAATGTTCGAAAAGTTGTTTGCGAAACAGCCCATCCTTCAAAAATGAGTTCCCAAAAGACAGTGTCCAGTTATTATGACGGTTGTTATGCTTACGGAGGTCCTCATTAGAAAGAGTAAAGTTTCCATTCACTTCGATCAATGATCAGAGTTGTCTGGCACTTCTCTGGGTAATTCTTATGACCAGGAACCCAAACTACGGACGTTTTGCATACGGACTAGAGTTTGCTTAAGATTTATCTGCATCTTATTGTTAGCATTAATGGCAGCCTGGCTGTCAGAATATATTATATCGTATTAAAATTCAGCAATTAAGAAGCGGCTTTCGTTGTCGCATTTATATAAAAATAATTGGCGCTTTGTAACCACTGAAGCGATTTTCGGCCGACCTCCCCCTCCAATTTATAGTTTTGTGGGGAGAGGTTTATATATAGGAGCGTCCTTTAGTTTATACTAAGCCATCTCAGAACGGCTGATGGTTTTTTTACGAGGAGCCTTTGTTTCATATCCGAAATATACTCGCAGGGGTGGACATTCCCTGCCGGGGAGGGCGACTCCAATTAAAAAATTTAATTTAATATTTTATTTAAATTCATCTTCCATAACTTTTTGGTTGCTGGTGGCACCGGAATATGAACCCTAGCCTTCCGAATGCCAACCACTCGGCTACTGCGGTCGCAGCTTTTAGTTCGGCGTAAAAGACATCGCAATGGTCGTGGTCTCTTACTTAAGTCGCTAGTAAGAGGTTCGGAGTAAATTCCATAACCTACTATGCCGACGAGTTTAACGTCAGTGGGTGAAAATAGCTAGGGGACTTTAATCTAGAACTGTTACATAATCCCATTGATAATTTGTTTGTATAATTTTTGTTGAGAATATGTAGACGAGGCAAAACGAAATCGAAACCGAAGCTTGCAAAAATTTATATTACAAATCCGATATGAGATATATAACTCTTCACACACTTTTTCAAACTGTTAGAGAAATAGTTCAACATAGCAGAAGACACCACTTATTTGTAATAATAATTGGTTACTGTTTCTTCTTCACTTTAGAGGCGCTTAATCGAGATTTTCCTCGGGCTGATCCTCATTTTGATGTTTTTATTTGGAACAACATCTAGAAATGTTAAATGAAGTATTTACTAAATTATTTCGGCTAAATTTACGTGGTCCCAGGAGCTCGCCGCTGCAATGATGGTTCAGACTTGAAACTTACTTATCTTATTGGGGTTAAGTTATTCTCTAGAATAAGGTTCTCGAAAATTATTTTATCTTGTTAAGTGCGAGTTCATAAACCATGTAGCTCGGCCAAGAAGGGACCATAACCATTTTTCAAACTAAGCTATGCAACTTTCTCCACTCAGGCTATATTGGAGTTCGTGCTCGATTCCGCTGGATGCCGTTCGAATCGTTTGAGAGTGGCGCTCGTGAAAGAAATATATACATAATATATATCGTGGGAAAGGTGACAGTCCGAACTGTAAATCAAGCATAAAATAACTTCATTTTGATTTGAAAAATGTCCGATTTTGGCCAATCGCAAAGGAGTTCTTTTCCATCATGACAACGCCAGGCCACATGTTGCAAAACCGACCCTGGCCCAACTGAAGGAGATGAATTGGGAAATCATACCGCATCCCCCATATTCACCCGACATTGCACCTTCTGATTATCATTTGTTTCGATCGCTGCAGAACAATTTGAATGGAAAAAAATTTAAAAATGTGGAAGACGTCAAAAACCACTTGACACCTTTTTCAACGAGAAACCGCGCGATTTCTATGAATCAGGCATCCGTAAATTGGTTGAACGTTGGGAGTGGATTGCCGAACATGATGGCGAATACATAATTGATTAATAAATGCGCTTTCTTCAAAAAATTTCAATTTTAGTTTGCACTTGAAATCGGGCACGAACTTATGCACTCAACCAATATGAATGTATGAAAGGATACAGGGCGGTTGAAAATAAACTGACATTTTTCTAACGTTTCTTATGACGGGTTTCATTTATAAGAGGAGCATTTTCAAAATCATATTTGTTAGTATTGTGGAACCTTCATCCCACTACTTTTACTTCTTATTCATCTACCTACCTATTCAAAGTTATGATGATTAGATCACAACATTTTTTTCTGAGGCTTAGAGAAGGCCAGTATATTTTTTCGCAACTGTTTCATTAATTTACATTTCAAGGATCATAAGTCATTTAGGAAAACATCTTCATCTTTTCATGACACCATTATAGTCAATGCCATGGCAAGTCGCAAACATTGCTATCTGCAGTGATTACTCAGTATACGTTCGCTGTCATATGTATGTAAATGATTTACTATGTAATTTAAATTGTTTCAACTTATATAAATATTTATTGATAAAATTAATTTTTTAACGGAGTTTTCGTTCATTAAATAAGCAAATTTTCAAATTTCAGCCTATGCTGCTTGGCATTTTTCAACAATTTCACACAATGTGTTACCGAAACGAGAGGCAATAGAAACGATGATGTTCCCACAAATATCGGACAACCCTTTACCCATGCATTTGAAAATTGGCTTAAGAAAGAGAAAAGTAAATTACAAGGCAAAACTCATAAGGAAGCTCAAAGGAATGGCGGTTTGTCACGTCTCTATGAACATCAACCGTTAGAGAGACATTTCAGAACCAACGGCACAATACCGCCAAACGTCGACACCTTCAAAACACCACAAAAAAATTCACACACATTAAATAAAAAACTGCTCAGGTAAGTTGAGTTCATAAATATGTATGTATGAAGCTGACATACAATTTTTTTAAATTTTTCATTATTATTATTTTTTTTTTTTTTGAAGATCTCCTTTGCATAACTATTTAAATTAAGGAGCGCAAAATATTCTTAAATATATATGTACTTTCTGAATATACCCTAACAGAAAACTAGGTTTTACTAAAGTGAAGGCGCCCAACAGTCATCATAGAAAGCGTTTAGCAGTCGAATCAAGGCGTCATTCGTCACCAGATGATTCTCATATGTTCATTATAAAGCTGCCACCGAATTTCGTTTATTACACCAATCCAGGGGCAGGAGCTAACAGCATCACGGATATGAAATTGAATTCACAAAAGACAAATGTGAGTATAAAATAAAAAACAAAAGAAAATATATAATATTTACGAAAATTTTCTTACTCAGGTCTCAAACTTTCCATTCAACTCAAATGGTAAGCCTGGCCGCATTTATCATTGGAATCTACCGGTGTTACAGAAAATACTGGGAAACAAACAGCCACTGCCATTCACAGACGTAAATGGCAAAAAATATGTTATAAATTTTAAAAAATTCTCCAACTTTCAAAAACCCTGGGAAAATGACAGTGTCGAAAAATCATATAAATCTAATTATAAAAAATCTTTAAAACATAAATCTCCTTCATATTACGCGCCAACAGCAGCGGTTAAGAAGAATAGTTTTAATCGTTATTTTTCAGGTAATGGCAAGCCGAAAGGTTTCTATGTTATAAAAGAAAATCAAAAGAAAGACTATTATTATAAAAACATAGTGCCATAAAAAGAGAAAGAAAGAGTAAATAACAAAATTACTTACGAATATATTATAATTAAAAAATTCACTTTTAATTCACCTTTGTTTTGCATATATAATACTTACTCTCTGAGCATACGTATGTATGTAAAAGTGCGTTCAATGCATATAAAATGAAAAACTAGTATACATACATACATATATCACTGGTCAATTTTATAAAAATATTATAAAAATAATTAACATTAAGGGAGTATAATTAGTAGGTATAATAAATAAGTAATATCATCACAAGAAAAATCTACATCGAATTTATTTTTTAGTAATTTTCAAAAAAAAAAATAGGGTCCCTCCTTTTGTGGGAACAACATAAAAACGCAGACTACAAATTGGAGCAGAAGCTCGCCGAAAATCGCGTCAGCGGCGACAAAGCACTAATTAAATAATTTAAAAAGTGTTCTTTTTTTATCTCGGCATTACGCTCTAACTAATGACTGGAAAAATCTGCAACAACTAAACTACATACATTTTTGTATAAATAATAATAAAATATCGGACTTATTTACTTAAATTGCTGGTTGTTTGTGCCTATACAAATATTTGTGCAATTAAGACTGAATAATTAACTGCACAAAATTTTCCAATTTTTTAATCAATTATTTTTCTTGTTGAAAACATTTTAAAAGCAAAATATTTACACTTCACACGCACAAGCAACGAAATGTGAAAAAAGACACAAAATGGTTTTTTTGTTTTGTTTTGTGCATTAACCTACGGCATTCTTTTTTAACTATTTCAAAGAGTTTGAAACTATAAAACAAAAGTTGAATTTAATAAAAACTAAACTCACTTGAAAAATTATTAATATGAGAAATACATATATATATTAAGCAACCAACAGCGTTAGTTTGTACAAGCAGACTGTCTCCCTCTACGAGTTAGGGGTTCAAGAATTTACCCGCGGTAAGGCATGCCTGTCGTAAGAGACGAACGACCCGGGCTTTTATCCGGCCAAGGACTGTCACTCCCGCAACATTCCCCAAAAAGTACTTTGGGGAATATTTTTGGGGTTACAACAACAACAGCAACAAACAGACTGTCCTATGAAATAATCTCTTGACCTATTATATATGTATATACATATATACATACATGTGTATACGTAGACTTACACATTGTAATAGTTATTCTTTCATAACATCACTCTTATAGTGAATAACTTAAACTGAACTGAAATTTTAACAAGTTTTTATCCAAAAAATTATCATAAACCGCACATTGTGGTAACAGAAAATAATGCTTTATTAAGAAAAAAAGAAACTAACCAATATAAATACCACTAATAAAATACATTTAATACATTCAAACATTTATTTAGCGTATAAACTTGACAACATATTTTTGTACTTTTAATAAATGAAGATCGAGTATTACTCAACTAACTAGTTATTAAGTTTATGCAATATGTTTATCCAGTACTGATAATGTCTAAGACTATAACGGCATATAAATCTGCACATGTATGTATGCTTAAAAGAAAACAATAAATATCGATAAAACACAATGAGTACAAAACCATTTTTATTCAAAATATTATTCAAATATTGACCGCAGCGTTTACTTTTCCAGACATTTCTTGAGCCCTATTGTAAATTTTTAACTCAGATCCAAACATTTTCAAAATTGGTTATTACATTCTTTAGAAAGTCAACACATAAAATTTACTTTAATTGTTTCGTTTTAGTTTTTAGTAAATCTTTGAATTACTAGTGTACGCGTCACACTGTCACTTTTTTATTGTTGAGTTAGATGGCAGGGTAGACGCCATGTCTTATTTCCAGTCAAATAAACCTGAAAGATATTTTCAAAAGAAATTGGAAAAAATTATCTTTTTAATTTTTCAATATATCACTTGTTATCGTTTAAAAGAGCACTAAGATTTGTAGAATTTCACAATATTTCATATTTGCAACTAATATTTCGATTGTATAGTTGACATTTCTTTACCGGATATTCTTTAATTTCCTTTTCAGCAGATTTTGTTCAGCCGGCAAACAACAGACACATATGCAAAGATGCACATGTATGTGTCACAAGAACCCACCATCAGCTATTTTGTTTTGTTCTAGCACCCAACAAACGGGTAGCAAGGTTAAAGCGGTGCTGCCATATAAAATATTAAAAGCATTTATAAATGCAATTATTTTAATAAAAATTAACAGTCAAAATGAAAATATATTTGGCAATCGAAATTCCGTAAAGAATACACACATATGTGCATACATAAATAATTTACTTTTTATTTAATTGTACATGCATTTTTGCATAATTTCTATTTAGGTGGCACTACACTTTGTGAGGAAATAAGAAAAAATAATTATTGTTATTTCCGTTTTCGAAAAATTTTCGTAACAACAAAACATTGCCTAGAAATTATTAAACATTTCCAAGAAAGTAGTGAGAGTTAGTTGATATATTATAAACTTGTCAAAAAAACGTGCATTATATTTTATATCTACAGTGATTTTAGCTTACACACCCACACACCCATATAAACAAACAATATGGCGCAATCCACAACTACTGTGGATACGGAAACACATAAATTACGAACACTAATTTTAAATGCCCGGAAACCGTTTGTACTACGTAATTTCAAAATGAATTGGCCATGTTTTGAACACACTTTAGAAGAATGGTGCGCAAATTACGACAAGGAAGCGCATGCTTTAACCGAATTCGAGACAATGCCTTGCGACCAAGGAAATCAATCGCCACATTGGGAACGTTGTAGGCAAACTAAACAAATGACTTTAACACAATTTTTAGAAAAACAAAAATCACCAAAAGATGATTATTGGATTGGCTTGAATTATAAAAGAGTAGATAGTATGCCAAAATCACTTAGAGATGGAATTGATTTTTCTAGGTTAGGTTTTAGTGAAGGCTCAAACGATTATAGTTTTTGGCTTTGCTCTGCAAAAACAAATACGCCCTGTCACTATGATAGCTATGGTTGCAATATCGTTGTACAAGTTTATGGCAGGTACGTTCTGGCATTAATTAAACAAAGCTTAATAATATTGAAAACTCGTTCATAGGAAATCTTGGCTGCTTTTTCCACCAAAAACACCTCTAACTAGCACACGAATACCATATGAAGAATCTAGTATCTATTGTGAAGAAAATTTGTTTGCACCGAACCCAGAAGAACTGCAACGTTTATCAAAATTGCATGATTCAGCTTATAGATGCATATTAGAAGCTAATGACGTGTTGATTGTGCCGAAACACTGGTGGCATTACGTTGAAGCCATTGACGTATCACTAAGCATTAATTATTGGATACCATTAGAGAATGACGTAAAAGATCAGTTAAAAGAATGCCTTGTTAAGATATTAATTGAGCGCTTCTTGCATAAAAGTAGCGATGGAGAACAAAAATATGTTCTTAATCCTAATCAGGTAAATGAAAAAGTAAATAAATATAAATATAAAAAAAAATTACTGACATTTTTCAGCTGGATGATATACAAGATGATGATGAAATATTTAGTATTCTAAAGCATTTGTATGATAGTACCAACATTGATTGTCCTACTTTGAAATCACGTCGGCTAAATATTTCACGTTGCCCTTATCAATATATCGATGAAAAGACTTGTGAAAACCTGATTAAAGAGCTACCTGCGGATATGTTGGAGTATCTAAGGCCTATGCCAAAAAAAGATTATGAAAATTTAATCAATCAAAATGCAAAACGTTTTGATGCATTGCAAATAAAAGTACCTAGTAGTACCTGCCCGTTGTCGGAAATTAAAAAGGCTTTATTGAACAGTATTTGTGAACCAACGGTAGTAGAGCATATTGTAAACGAGTTCTTTAGACGTTATAAATCCTAATGAGCCACTTTAGAAGTAAATAAAAATGTGTCATAAAAAATAGAACAAACTTAAATGATTTTCAGTTTTTATTATTGATTATTGCTGTGAAGATATCAATTTCACATATAAGAGTAGGTATGCGTGTACGATTATATATGTACGTGTATGTATTTTTACATAACGCTTGATATTTAAAACTACATAATTATTTTAAACAGAAAAATTAATTCGACAATACAATTCAAGTGTATAACTTCACATTTTAAAAACAGAACATCCATTCCATCTACCTAAAAAAAAAGTTTTTTATAAAACATGATGACGAGTAATATAACAAGGCGTGGTGATAGGGAAAGAGATTCCTAACATGGATCATTCATCTACCAGCCTGGTGGTTTTTGATTTGGATAACCACCCTGTTGATGAGCAAAACTGCCTGGATAGGTGCCATAGTGACCGGGCTGTGGCCCTTGTGGAAAACCGCTGTATTGATAGGGTGCTAAAAAAAAAGAGCATTATCATTAGTTTCAAAACATACGTGTATATTTTCTGTATTCCAACAAGTGATGCATACATCCAGGATATGGCAGCGTTGCGTACGGATTAAATCCCTGTGGCATTGGTGGTGGAACGTATGTTGGATAGGGCATGTTCGGTGTAGCACCATATGGCATCGGCATGCCTTGCATTTGATGTGGATAAGGCACTTGTGCTGCCGACGGTGCGGGAGCATCTGGCACTGATGGCGTTGAAGTAGCTGGACTGACATCTATAACAAACAAATTTTATCAATCTGTTATGTTTGTTTGCGTTTAGAAAAAAAAAATACCATTTCCTGACGTAGATGAGTAGTGTGATGGTAATGTTGGTGTGGGCCCTATTTCTGGACGGCTAGACTCTGTTGTCAAATCCTTCAGCAATTCTTCCTTTTCCGTTTTACGAGCGAAACAAAAATCGGATATTTTATTTTGGAAAACGACCAAAAGCTCAGTTAAATCATTATAAAATTTCGTGCCCTCTTTCAAATTGCCCAAAAGTTCAATGAAGCTATCATAAGCTGTTGCCAATTCTTGATAAAGTTTATCACGAGAGTTTCCGCAACTACCAGTTTCGGTCACAAATTGCTCATGACCTTGCTGAATGTCACTAATCAACGTTGCTTGACGTTCGACACTATCCTTGACTTGTGCTTGTAAAGGATTCAAAACTTGTCCAATGCGAGATAAGGAAATAGCCGGTTCATCGATTGCACCGTCTTTTTGTAATGCCGACAAAAATTCTTCTTTCATATTGAAAGTAGCTGACTTTAGCTCCGACTCAATTGCATCCCGTTCAGCTTTGATGGTTTCTACAGCCTCCATTAGGCCTTTCAATCTTTGTACACTGGGGCAGTTTGGATCTACATTTCCTCCGGCTGCTGGTATAGCCTGCTGAATTTGTTCTGGTGCCATTGAAAGCAGCTCAATACCCTAAAACGTGATTTTTGCAAATCTTAAAAAACCATAGATCAGTTGAAGAATATTAACTTACCTTTTGGTTCGTCTCAAATTTTTGACGAACAATTTTATCAGCTTCGACTGCATTTGTAATTACTTCACGATACTTCTTTGCGTTTGCGCGGAACATTTCAGTTAACTTATCAGATGGAATGCGTGTCCACTTTTGTTTGAACTGATTACGTAATTGATTATCAGAATCACGTTCCTCGTCCAATAAGCGCTCTGTTTCATCCAAAATCTCACGATTGCGCTGTAATAACTCCGGCAATTCTTTAAGATAAGTGTTTATACTCTCGATACCACCTTTGCTACGAACATCGACAGCCTTCTCACGTAGTGAAGGTGGTAGGCCACTGCCGCCATCCGTGATCTCGACAGCAGCTGGTAAATTCAAGCTAGCCAAAACTCCATTCAAGGTCTGTGTAGCTTCGCGAAGTTTCATTATTTCGCCATTTACAATTTCATTTTTACGCATATCCGACGCCGTCAAAGCACGATGCAATTCGACTGGTACTAATTCTGAAAAGATATCCTTAAAGCTACTAGCCAAAGGTGAAGATAATGGTAGAGCTTTAGCCAGCTGTGCTTTTCCTGGAGATGCCAATGCACTAATATCAGGAATCATTTCATTGTAAATGAATTCATTATCTTTTGTGGATTCTTCCAAATTGCGTCTGGCACGACTAAAGAATTCATCAAGATATGCAGAATTACCAGAACGAGTTTGTGCAGCTTTAAACAAATCAACAGAGGAGCGCAAGCGAGCAATTTCCTCACCAATCCGTTTAGCAGCCCGACATACCAAACTCTGATAAAGTTGAGTTAGAGCATGAAAACCAGCCTGTTTGCCTGCAATGGCTGGTATCCATTCCTTTTCCCAAATATTACGTACACTTTCTTTTTGCATTGCACGTAATACGTCGGCGTAGAACTCTTCGCATTGGCAACATAACTTTGCAATAATTTGGTCTTTCATGTTGTCTAAGAAAATACATAATATAAAATAATTAACTATAAAAGTTAAGTATAAAAAAATTTATGTACCTTTTATGGCTTTCAAAATAAAGACTTCCTGTGCCTGAGCTACCATCAAAGCTTGCAAACACATTAGAGTATCCTGGCTTAAATCGGGTGTGGGTTCCGAAGGTATAGCTGCTGGAGTAGCACTTTTAAGATACTGGAAAATGCCTGCACTTTGTTGTAGTAACTTCAGTGCAACTTTCAAACCTTCATCACTATCCAGAGCCTGAGTAGATGCCACATTGCTTTGCAATGAAGCAATATTGAAAAGTACACACACCTTCTCATACAGCAAAGAGGTGTGGGCTGAAAATTTATATTATTTCATTTTAGCATTGTAATAAATATCATATTACAACAATATGTAAAATTGCACTTACTCAAACTTATGCGACCACCAAAAATTGAGCCTTTGTCGAATGCATCCTTCCATTTGAAAGGAATTTGTAACTCGTTGACAGGAATTTTAGTTTCCAATGAACATATTTGGTCATAGTATCTGTATAATTTTGTATAGTTAATAATTACATTTGTAATTGCCGAAGAAAACTCTTAATTAAATGTTGACTCATTTTGTGGTTTTAATTTTCCCGAGTCCTAATCTTGCTTCAATACCATCTTACAAAAATAAGTTAACATGCGTATAGTTACAATTATATACATATTTAAATAGTTCATTGTGCTATATTCAGAAAATCTTAACCATTTGTATTTTCAAACAATAAGAGTTATAAAATAAATTATGACTCATTATTGTTATGGACAAACTACTCATGTTCAAAAATTCCCTTCACTACACCGTAACACACATACATACTTCAGTTGATTTGCTATTTCGGTATATTTACATATTTTGATCATAGATAATGAACGAAACACTTACGCATATACTATTTCTAGTGAAGATTCATATTTTTCGAAAAACTTCCATATCGCAATATTCCGCTGCTTCGAGAATTCATTTACAGCTTCCGAGTATTTAGCCTTTTCTTCAGCACTTGCTCCACTATATGTACTCTGTATAAGATTGTTCAGTGGCTTTATAATGTCGACCTCCGTCGGCTTCTTTGGGGGTACAGCGAGAATCTTGGACATTTCACTACTTTTCTTTATATCTTACACAAAAGTCTATAGTCTTGCAAAAGAAATTTTTTAACCTTTTTACTGTGTTCGATTTGCCTGTTGGATGACGACTTAAATTCTTTTTCCAGTATCTTTTCAGATTCTATTTACTTAATGAATCTTCTCTGTTGTTTATCAATTTTGTTTGCCACTGCTTAATTTGTAGTGTGGCCAAATCAGCTCAATTCTTACAAAATAAAAAGCAACCAAAATTATTTGGTAAAACGTAAATTAAAAGTCTCCAAAATTAGTGTAGAATATATTATAAAACACATATAACCTTTAATTCAAGTAGTTTTACAGATAATAATTACGCCTTCCCCTGCCCGTTATTACGTTAAGAACGATCTCCGTGAAAAACTCACTTTATTGTACGTTGAAGTTTCATTTTTGACAATAATTAAAATATTAGAACATACTGACCAAGTTTAACCAAAATGCAAAGTTTCCCGAGAGATCAAATGCATATTTCTTAGCATTTCAATACTTTGATATAAAAATTCGAACAGTGAAAACGAAAATTTTCTCAAACGTCGAAATTTTTGATTAGCTAGATTTTGTGGATACTTTTCAGACTATGAGAGTTCAGTCTTTTCTTTTTCATTCATTTGTTTAAAATGCCGGTAATAGCCTATTACTTTTATATATAATTGCACGATGATCATTGTCACAGATATGTAAGACTGTACCATGTGTTCTCCATTTTCATTCAACGTAGCGTACATACCTGAAAATGCATGTGATGTAGTTGTAACATTACAATATCCTAGAGCAATTTTAAGTTTATTTTTCCTGACATTTGTGTTTTACAATATTCACGAGTTGATTATTCACTGTACATTTCGGAGTATAAATAGTGTTTTTATATAGAAGATAATTAGTTTTTAATAAAATAAAATTGTATAACAATCAAAAATTAGGAAATTTATTTGAAAGTAAAAGACGCGCACAAATATATTTGCTCGCCATAAATAAAAGAATCTTAAAGTTTAAAGTAGCATTAAATTTTGGAGTATATGAAAATATTTTTCTTTGCGTTATGAGTTTTACAGACGATTCTTCTGATTTGGATTGGTGAGTTTGATGCCCATATGTTGCTGTACATTATTATACCTAAATGTGGCACCTATGAACTGTCATTGTAATCATTTTGATAGGAAAGCACCGAAAATGAAAACAACCAGATCCATAAAACAGGAGAATACTTCAGCGCAAAGCAAACCAAAATATGCACAGAAATTTTGCCAGAAATGGATGAACCTGTTTAGTCCATGGCTCGCACGCTGTGAAGATGATCCAAGCAAACCATTTTGCCGAGCATGTCAGTGTCGCTTGGATTGCAACCGCTGCCACTTACAACGACACGAGCGTACCACAAAACATGTACGCAACTTGGAAATACTCATAAACAAAGGGGAAGGTGCTGCAAGACAAAACCTAAGTATTCGGCAGGAACGTAGTAAATACTACCAACAACGTAAGAAAGTAAATTCTTCGCTTACATCATCACAGGATGCCTCAGAATTTGGTGCCGATACGACAGATGAGTTTATTGAAGAGTAAGTAACAAGTGGCATAACATTTACATTATAGTTTTTCTCAAATGATTCTTTGATTCTTTTAGAGCTGAACCCGAAGGCGAAACTGCTTTCCAATTTGTTCAAGCCGACTCTGCGCCTGGTGAATATACTGAAGAAGCTGTTTTAAAGCAAGAAATTACAACTGTTGATGGCCAAGCTGATCCATTACCCCCGAGCACAACATTGAAACAAGAGAAAAAGATATGTAATCAGAAAAAACCTGTTGTTAGAAAAGAACGAATGAAATTACTTATGCAAATACAGAAAGATAAAAATGATCTAATGGATTCCTTTCGAGAACTTATGGGACCTCAACAGCAATCACCAAAAATTGAAAAGAATCATGTTGATTTATTTTTTGAAAGTGTCAGCTCTAGTGTTAAAGCGCTGTCACCGAAATTGATTGCCGAAACGAAAATGCGTGTATCACAGTTGATATGTGAGCTAGAACTGCGTGCGCTTACTGAAAATGAGGTGAATGCTTCAGGGACTGCAGCAAACGCTGCGGTGGTTGTGTCATCTGATAATGGTACTGTGAGCAATGCATTCATTATAAGCCAACCAGTGGCTACTGTTGTCCATGGAACTACATCACATCATCATACGACGGAAAGTGTGGGGCAACATTACGAAACACTCAGTTGAAAATTTGAAAATAAGATATCAATATTTATTTTATTTTCTTATATAAATACAAACATGTGTAGATGTGTATTTATGTATATAAATTAAACTAAACTTTGCTTTAATAATTTTGAATTATACGCTGTAAATATAAGTTTCGTCATTAAAATTTTACATAAACTATAAATAAAGTTTCTTTAATTTTAATATGCAGAAATTCAAATTGTCTATATTTCAACATATGTTATGCTGAATTATTTGTAAAATGGTATTGAATCTTTTAAAAGATGTGCAATGTTTTTTAAGAAAAATATTTTAATAGATTATAGATTATATTAAAAGATAAAAATCTATTAAGTAAGTTTTAGTAATAAATTATTATGATTAAAATAATATAAATAAAGAAATAATTAGAGTAAAAACGTATTCCAAATATTTATTAATTTCGGTTATAAACTCACGGATTTGTATTTGCCTATGTTCAGAACTCTAACTACTTACTAATACATACATACACGGTTGCAACAAGATGCATACATGAGTATTTTTTGATGCACAAAAAAGCTCAGTAAGTAAGTTTGGCGTTTATGGCTTTGGTGATTGGTATTGGGAAAGCTTAAAACTGCAGTATCGGAATGGTTGTCATGTGTACTGTAACGGTTCGGCTGCGACAAGTGAATATTTTTAAGCAATAAAAAACTGATTTGTCCATTAATTTAACAGTGCAATTTAATGCAAAAAATATACAATGTGAAAAAGTATTATTGATAATATTCTCACTGTGCCTAAATATTAATACATACGTAAATAAATGTGTATGCAATTACTGTTGTGAATAAGTTGCAATTACTTTTATATATATAGTTCCCATATACATATATTTAATTACCCTTTTAATTAGAGTTTTCATTAAATTTGCAAATTGCTTCTAAATACTCTTACTTAAATAAAAATCGATTTTTCCAAAAGCCTCCAAGAGAAGCACAGTCAACGGGTGAGAAAAATATGAAAATGCCAACACTTGACACTTTACCAATTTAACAGTGATAAGAAGAAATAACGACATACATATCTGCATACAAGCATACATAAATATATACAAATATAAATAGGAAATTATTACCAAGCATTTCCTACAAACATTGACTTGTGTTTATATACAAAGTGCGCAAGCGTGCTCCCAACCCCTCCAATTTACAATAGCATCAATGGCATTTGTACATACATACACACATACGCACATATGCAGTTACATATGAATATAATATTATATCTACATTTGTAGTAGGTGTGGTGGATTAAATGGTTAAAATAAAATAGCGACGATGTCAGTGTCTCTTGAAGTTTGGCCTCGTGTAGACAAGTCTAAGCGGATCCGTTATCCTTCTTTAAAACATTATGAGAGTGGCGAGTTTTCTACAAACATAAAACGGTGCTTGTGCATAAATAACCCTACACTCATGTGCACATATATACATATACATACATATTAGCTTTTAGTGTAGTTATTGAATTTTCTTCACTCAAAATGGGCTTTTGTTGCATTCAGACATAACGAAAATTTAAAAAGTGTGATTTTTTGTGCATTTGAAATGCATAAAACCATAGATTGACAACAAAAAAAGTGGAGCTATTTCTTGGAATACAAACTTCATAAAAGTACTTGGTAAGTATAATTTATGTTTTCTATATGGCTGTGTGTGTTTAACTGCTTTACTGTTTATGCACTTTTGCATTTTTTTTTTTTGCATATATTTAGATACTTGTGCGCATACATAGTTGAACAGTATTACAAATATGTACATATGAATGTATGTGTGCTCACACAGTTAAGGTTAGAAAAGGTGTTTGCTTGTTTTTTTCCCCCCAATATCTTTGTGTACCCAACAATTGTACCATTCTTACTATGTACTGAAAGGAACATTGAACTAAGCCCTTTACAATTGCTAAAACACAGTTATATAAATACGTGGTACGTATGTGTGAATGTATGCACAATTGAATATATGTACGCGCAAAGTTTTCTAGTTTCAATGTCAATTTTTCTTTTGCTTTGCTAAATTTACTGGCAACTTATTTGAAAATTTGCATTTCCTTATACTTTGTACTTATATAATGGTAATTTTGTTAATATAACTTTAGAAAAGTTGTTAAATACTGTGGTGGTGTAACTTTTGAGGTTAAGATGTTTGAAAAAAACACTAAATGAAATAAAACTGATATACGTGTTGAGCAATAATAACTTCCATGCCAATTAAAGATATGCACATAGTACACGCATATAGATATATTATACGTGTATGTGTATGTTAATCTCACAAAACTACTAGTCGTTTCTATGTATGGCTGTATGTACGCTCTGTTTTTAATTTAAATTTGGCGCCACTGCCCTCTTCTCTAGCGGTCTCAATTACGATTGGCTTAGTTAATGAACTCATTTTTAGTATAGAAAAGGTTAAAAGTATGAATCTGTGTTCATGACGTCAGCATTTTCACTTGTTTTGCAAAAAAAAAAAATGTTTGCAGCTACTTATTTTGTACATTCATATATATGTATGTGTAAGTATGTATATGAAGTGACCAAAAAATAAAAAGGTTTTATGATTATTTTTGAATATCTGCAATAGTTACTTTTCGTAAAATAAAACATAAAATACATAACACCCGGTGAAGTTAGGGAAATTTTATATAATTATTATTTTCAGCTAAGGTACTCTTTATCAGCTTAATGGAATTTCAGTGATGCATAACTTTAATACAGGCGCGATTTAAAATTCCAAATTTGCAAGACTTTTTAGCGATATAACTTGGTAACAGTGCTGAAATATTGAAGAAAATAAAAGTTTCGAGAAAAAACCTATCTGAAACATTTTTTTTAATCCGATCGGTTGTAAGTGACAACGCGTATAAACGAAAGGAGAACAATCGAGTAAAAGCTGAGTAGATTTCATTAAAAATACCTGGACAGAAGACATTATTAGTTGACTTGTAACTTTGAAAACTGTAGATATAATAGTGTTTTAGATAAAAATAAACCAAAACAGTTTCTTAGTTAGAGACTCGCATATAAGCCCAACGTACGAGGTGTGTTAAAAAAATATCGCGAATTTTGTGCTTTTTCAAAAATTATTTATTTATTCATGAATATCTATTTTGTCTCCTTCAAAGTAATCCCCATGAGATATTATACATTTGTGCCAACGGTTTTTCCAATCTTCGAAGCACATCAAAAAACCATTTTTTTAATCTTGTTCAGCTCCTCCTTCGATGCCGTCTTTATCTCGTCAATCGTATCGTAACGTCGTCCTTTCATGGGCCTCTTCAGTTTAGGGAACAAGAAAAATTCACAGGGGGCCAGATCTGGGGAATACGGTGGCTGCGACATCATTAGTGTGTTGTTTTTGGCCAAAAAGTCGCGCACAAGCAACGATGTGTGAGCAGGGGCGTTATCGTGGTGCAAAATCCAATTTTTGTTCTTCCACAAATCCAGGCGTTTCTGACGGATTGCTTCACGCAAATACCTGTGGCAAGAACTCATGATGCACCACGCCCCTACAATTAATTTTTTCGTCTGTTGTTGAAGTGCTCGGGCGTTCGGCACGCTCTTCGTCGTTCACATCTTTTCGGCCTTCTGAGAACATTTTGTACCACCGATAAACGTTGCTTCGGTCCAAGGTAGCTTCTCCGTATGCCACAGTCAACATTCGGAATGCATTCGCGCACTTAATTTCGTTTTTCACACAAAATTTGATACAGGTTCTTTGATCCATTTTTTTGAATAGGTAAAAATCGAAGACCATCCAAAACACTTGCAAGCAAAGCAGCTGCCAACAATTAAGTGAACATTCAAAATGGCCGAGTTTGTCGGCATAAGTGACAGACATGAGAACCAACATAACGCCACAAAAAAATCGAAATTCGATTATACGTATCCCGCGAAAATTCAAAATTCGCGATACCTTTTGAACACACCTCGTATTTACAAGAAGAATATTTTCTTTTCCAATTCTAGGCTCAACTGAAAAGAATACCGCCAATTACCAGTCTCTTGGTTTAACAAAAGCAGGTTTACTATTGTATATATTGAAACTGAGTGAAAAATCTACCTTTTTTTAAATAAAAAAAAATTCTCCACTAATAATATGGGGCTCAAATTTTGAAGATCTTCACAGTTTTAAGCATACTTTCGACGGAAAAATTGCTAAAAAAAATCGCTGACCCAGGTGCGCGTACGCTTTTAAATAGCTAAGGGATCTGCACATGCATACCCAGGTTTTAATGGCAAATATTGGCTGTCTTAAGCGTCAAAAGGATAAAATGAAAAGAAATCGGACATTTTCAGGATACTATTCGCTATATATAAAAACATAAAACTTTTTTTGACTTCTTATTTGTGTGGAATTTTTACCAATTTCTTGTACAGCACTGCGTATAGGTAACTCAATTATATATTATATTACATTTGTACAGAAGTACACGGCGTATACGTAACCAATATGATAATGATCATAGCATATTTACACATATATCTGAAGTTATATTAATTTCTCGATTATTTGATAGTGTGCAATGAAATGTGATGAAAATTGTATTAATTGCATGCACTTGAGGTTTTTTTATTTAAATTAACCTTATAATGCATAATACATGGAAACATACATACATATGTCATGTGCTTATTGCCCAATTCGAAAATCTTTAATAAATATACTTAAATTTGTTTTATTACAGCATAAAATCGGTGGTCTTTTTACGCTAATGATTTTCAATAATTCTTCATATCGAGCTTAAAGTATATACAGTTCAAAACAATTGTTAATTTGGCAGGATGCATCTACATTTCGAGCCGAGTGTAAACACAAAATGTGATTGCACAATTATGTCGCTCTCATGGATGGGTAAAGTTCCTGATGATATACCAGAGGTAAGTTGACAAATTAATAAGTGAATATTTTCCATTTTTATATTGCATATAAGTGCGTTTAAGGAAGGGATATTTTTGTTAGACAATTACGTCCACTTGTGAGACCACGACACTTTTCGCCCTTATGATGCACTATCTATCCGCATGGATGCTCTAATTAACCTTTAAACTGTCAAAGACTATTCAAAAAAGGTACGATGAGATTGCGTGGACCACTTCTAACCAAAAACGTTTTAAGGATAACTACATCTTCTGAAGCGGTTATCTTGCCTCTGTGCTTGTTTTTTCATCAGATAGAGGTCGATCAAGGATGCAATAATTTTGTAAATGTATGTTTTTTAAGAAGTAAACTCCATGTGACCTCTTAAGGTCTCCTTTGAACTAACGTGGGGCCAACCGCTGGTCCCACGGCAACGCAGCTTAAAAGAAAAAACGTCAGTTTGAGATTTATAATGTCGACAAAGCTACGAAGCGTACGAGTGTGTGAAAGTGGAGCGAAACGTCTGAAAATCGAAAATGCACTCAGAGGCAGATTGACTGTGAATGAACTTTCTGTGATGTTTGCCGCAAATTCACAGATCACCACACCACGAAATAATCATAAAAACCCCGATGGGGTGGAGCAAAACTACTTCAAGGAAAGCTTCAAAATATTTGTATCGCGCTTCAACACCAACATAGAGTGGAATGGTGGCTATGTTGAAGAACAGTTTATATTATGTAATACAGTAAAATTTTGTTTATTTAAATTATATATTTCTAAACCCTTACAAAAATTTTGTATATTCCTATATGAAAGTTGCCTGCATGAGCTAAAAGTATACCAATACATCTTGCATCTTGAATAGGTACTTGGTCGTACGATGCATAGTAAACTCAACCATTCCATATTCCTGTGACCAGGTTGCCTGTTGACAGAGGGTCTACATAATTCTATCGTATCAGTCGTGTATGTTTAGTCACCTCCGTGGCAACGAGATCACGACACGTCCATTCTTCCTTAGCCTTCTGTAAAGTTTTGCACCCAACGGCTGATTTGATGTGATTTTCGATATATTAATACTTGACGCCAGTAACTGATCTTGAAACGCACCGAAAACAAACCGATTATTGATGCAGCAATTTACAAGCGGATGGGTAACTTTTTAGTATTACCGATTTATGTCAAATATGCATCTCTCATAGAAACTCTTGTCCCCATTGGCAAAAGATTGGAACAGTCGATTCCCAAGGACTGCTCTTGAGATCTATTCTTCTCTAGCCAAATCATTTGCCATAGATAGCAAACAAATGGTAATCACTTGATGCGAGCTCCAGACCAAAAGGCGATGCGTAAGAACATCGTAACCAAGCTCTCGGAGCTCTTGCCGAGTCACCATTGATGCGTGTGGTCTGGCATTGTCTTGATGAACACATTTTCCCTTCTGCAGGCCGAAAATCGGCGCTTCTGGGCGATTGCTTTCTGCAGACGGTTACATTGCTGATAGTACAGATTGGAATTAAGACTTTCTTGGTTATCAATCCTGGTTTGGAGATCGTTTGTACCGGCGCATTGTACTTCGACCACGACTGTTTTCATTTCCATTACTGTTAGTGATACACTTTTCCTCACAAGTCATCATCCGTTTCAGAAATGGATCAAATTTGTTACGATTCTGCAGCGATTCACAGATAGAAATGCGGTCAATGAGATTTTTTCTTATCAACTCATGGGTCACCCATACATCGAGTTTCTTTGTATATCCAGCATTTTTTATATTGTACATTAATATAATTTTTAAAAATAAAAGAGATAGAATAATTGAACTATCGTCCGTTTTTCGCGTCTCACCTCGTTCTTTCGAGGATACTGAATCTTTGGTGGCCATTCTCGAAAGCTCATTACTTTCCAAATGAGTGGTACCCAAATACCAACATGCAATTGGAAGTATTAAATACATAACTCGAAACAATCCATGGAGTCTTGAAAAGTGTTTCACCAAATATATATCAGCGCAATTACTTTTTATTAAAATATATATATACAATTTTTTTTTTGTCGTTTATCATTTTCTTATCCATTAATTTAATCAGCTTTTTATTTTTCTTTTCATTCTATTCATTTCACTTTTTTTATATATATAAACACAATAAATGTTAATAAGTTAATTTGTATAAGTACATTTGATTTCAGTGACCACCTGTTTAAATGAACAAATTGAAATTTGTTAATAAATAAATTATAAATATGTTAAATACTGTATATTCATTCAAATAATTTCTGGTTGACGCATCAGTTGTGCTACTATTATTTAGCAACGAACTTTTTTCGCCTGTTTCGAAGTTTATCTCCTCTGGATCGTCGAAAGTTTTCCTTATTTTTGAATTCATTAGCGCTTTCAAGCGTTCCAATGGCGATTCGGTGGGTATATTAAGTCTGCTCGTCAAAAATGGTTCATAGTCAAATGGAAGATCTTCTTTCGTATAACCATACATCAGCATCTGTACAAACAGATTTGTGGTATTGGCATCTGTGATGGTAGCTTTGAGGCTATTCGGTGAAAAGTGTGTGTATTCTACCTCTGGTGGTTCATTATCCTCCGTGTGCTGTGAATATATGTACATACATACATTTGTTGGAATTCGTAAAATTATATTTAATTTAAATTTACCACACATTTTTACTTACATCAAATATTATAAAGCGTACGTAAGTGATGAAATTACTATCAATATAGTAGAAAGTAACGTTATGCGTTGAAGCTTCCTCCTCGTTCTTCAACGAAGTCTGGTAGGTTTCATAAAGCAAATAATCACCTAAGAAAAAATATTTATGGTTAAACCAGGGAAATGTATGACTCGAGATATCCTTCTTTACCTGCTTGACGCGCGCCCAACTCGATTATTTTATCTGGCTCACCAAAATTGTCCTTATAGTCCATATCTTCTTCCGAATCAATCACTATCTCTTCACTCGTATTAGTTGTGTCCTCCCCTTCAAATTCATCCCAATCTTCATCGAATTCATCGTTAGTGGGTTCAAGTATGCCTTGAAATTGCTGATCTCTATTTAATATATAAGACGAATCCACATTGAGTACAGTCTCTTTGAATCCATAGATTAATATTTCCACTTGAAATGGTTCCAAGATATCAGTCGTTGTGTTGTCATCATCAATCGCAGTTATGTTTCCCTTGACCAAGTCATCTTGATAACTGAAGTTAACATCAGCCAAAACATTCTGGAGACGTTTTAGAAAGAAAATTAATTTCAAAATATTATATTAAATGTTGAATTTTCTGTTATTAAATTTTTTCTCAGTCCATAATATAGTAACTAAAGCCCAAATTACAAAAGTCTCTCACTGGAATTTCATCTTGGTATGATAAGAAAATATAAATGAAAAGTAAAATAATTTTAAATGAAGTAAAAAAAAACTAAAAATAATATATTAAATATAAACTAAAATAAAATTAATTAACAAAAAAATAAAGAAAATATGGAATGAATTCTAATAAATAAAGTACAACAACAACAGAATAAAACAAAATAAAAAACCGTCAAAATGCATAAAACTTAATTAAAATAAAGAAAATAAAAGAAAATTAAGATAAAACTAAAATAAAATAAAAAAAACAATTAGCTTCGAATTAAACCAAATTATTAATATATTGAATTTAAAAAAATAAAATAAGATAAAAAAATTACGATAAAACAAAATAAAATAAAATTTAAAATAATAAAATAAACCAAAAAAATTTTAATAAAACATATTCATTTTTCATTCATAAAACAAAAATAAAAAAAAATAGTAACTGAATAAAAAATTGAAGAAAATAAAACAAAATAATGTATATAAAATTATTTAAAATTGAAATAATATAATGTAAAAAATTAAATTAAATAAAGTAAAAGAACATACAATATAATAAAGTAAAGTAAAATAAAACCAAATAAAATAAATAAATCTAAAAAAATATAATAAAACAAAAGCAAATAATTAGTTACTTTATTCACTAACTTTTAATAGAAATGAATAGTAGTGGCGCAAAACCAATTATTAAAAGAAATAAAATAAACAAAAAAAGTAAAAAAAAATTAATATATAAATAAAAAACAAATAAATTAAAAATAAAATAAAACTAAATAAGATAGAAGTAAAAAATAAAATTAAACTAAATTTCTTGAATATATTATTTATATCTTTATATATAAATATAACGTATTCCACATAATTGTTTATATGAACTTAATATTGTACGCCCTCTTAGGGCTTAGAAGCCTTGGAAGTGATGCGATTTTTACTAAAAATTCAATAGTCTAAGTAACTGCAATCAAGAATAAAGGAATGTATGTTACAAAGATAGTAGTCCAAAACCGTTAGATTGTGGCAATCGAAAGCAAAACTTAGATGATATGTTCATCATAATGAAAGCACATACACGACGAACACAGTGTTACACTCAGGTTTTTTTTATTTCAAGTCAAAATATAGCATACAATTCGCAAGTATGATGGGCTACACCAAGCCAAGTTTAATTGGGTGGCGGCCCTCCACAACTCAACTCGGAAACAACACCAAAATAGGTTACGTTCGAATGCTAAACAATACCCACGAGCAAAATTTCATCGACATCGTTAAAGCCGTTTTCGATATAGATCTGGATATATAGAAGAATAATTTAAATCCGATTATTAATTTCATCTGCATATTGTATCAAGATCTACAGGGTCTCCCAATAAGAGGTGTTATTTTTATATTCACAAAAATGGTGTTTTTCAAATGACCGCCACGGCTACGCTCTCAGGATCACATCTTTTTTATGAAATTTTCCACTATGAAGTCGTAAGGTGTCAAATGCCAAAATCTCGGATGAAAATTGCGATTACCTCTTGGAAAGGTAACACTGTCCGTAAACTTTTCCCTTAACAGAACGATGGTTTCGTTGTTTGTGCGGCACGTAGCCTTGTCTTGTTGAAATCAAACGTTGTTCAGGTCAATACCATCCAATTCCGGCCGTAAAAAATCGGCCCAGCATTATTTTCGAAAAAGTAAGGTCCAATGACCCCGCCGGACCATAAGTCACATAAAACAGTCACACGTTGAGGCTTTTAAACAATAAATCTTGTTTTTTCCAAGCCCCAGATGCAACAGTTTTGCTTATTGACATAACCATCGAGTCGGTAATGGGCATCATTAGTCAGAATGATTTTTTCATGAAATTTTTATAGAATAGAGTTTTAATAAATTCAGTACCTTGTTAAAGCGTGCCAAATGTCAAACAATTGCAGCTACGAAATTGGCTTCTACCGAAATAGCAGGCTATTAAAAATGACACCTCTTATTGGAAAATCCTGTGCATTCGGAAGATCTTCGATGACATAAGTTTAATAAAGGCACAAAATGGACTAATTGATCTCCTGTGTTGCCTTCAAAACCCTGGGAGTACGATTGGCATCTAATGGTATTTTAACTGTAATATTAGACCTAATAGACGAGTGGTTAGCATTGCGTATTGTCACACGAATCGTGGACCGACTAACACCCAAAAATTACCAAAAAAAAAAAACATTTAGTCATCCCTCTGAGTGCGTTTCCGACATGAAAATTCTACTGCCGAACTGTAGATCCCTCCATTTGTTGAAAAAAAACGTCAAGATGCAAAACACAAATTGGAGCAAAAGCACGGACAAAAGGCGCTTTAGCGGTTACAAAGTGCCAAATCATTTCACCTTGAAGTAACTGTAAACGGCAAAAAAAACATCTTGAATAAATAAAATTCTATTTTCGTTAAATTCATTACTGTGACGTAAATTAAAAATATAGTTCATTTGATTCTATTATTTTTCACTTTTCAAAAATTAATACAGCCTTAAGTACCACCAAAAAAAAAGTATGAAAAAATTTAATATTTGTCAAGAACCTTTTAGCTGTGAGAGGCCAAATACCGTTCAAAAGCAATATTCTTGTATATCTACAATGCAATTATTAAAAAAAAACATGCCAATTTAATTTAAAAGTCTAACGAACTTGACTGAGTGTTTGCAATACGTTTAAGTAAACATACACAAACAAACAAGTATATGTAAGCCAATACGTACAGATGTATATGTAAATAATGTATTGTAAATAAATACATGCATTTTGGCACGTCAAATATTATGACGGAAATGTGAAGTTCATCGCCATTATAAATAAATTCAATTTTGAGAATTATTTGTTGCTTGAGTAAAAAATAAACACATATATGTATGTATCGTTAAGAGAATGTAACAACATGCTAACTGTTAGCCGGGATATTATGCACTTTCTAAACAAACATAAATAAAAACTAACGGTGTTCTATGAAAAACAAATGAAGAATCATCATCATCAACACAATTTTTTAAGTAAATAAAATTACTTATTAATTTTTGTTAAGCGATCAGCTCAAGTAATTTAATTATTCAATTAATTAATTAGACTTAGCTGAGGTGGTTTGGTCAGCGCAAATAAAACTAATTTATTCCACTTTTTTCCCAACGTTTCTCTAAATATTTTAGCATCTTCAGGGGCTCTAATATCAGAAAGTTTGAAATTATGTCTTAAACATGTGCATTATTACCATAATGTTTGGTAGCGAAATTGACACATTTTTCGCTTCGCTTATCTAATTTTAATTAATCATGAACAAATATATACAAATATTTAAGAGTTTGTTGGGGTGTTACCAAATATATGTATGTTTATATAGTTTTATGTACTTCTGGCGCTAAGAATAATATAACTCGGGGCATGAAAAGGAAAATTAACTAGAGATCTCAACTAAATTACAGACCGGCTTTTCTAGCACCGCCAAAAATCGCAAAAGAAGCTGGGCCAAAATTCGTTTATAGTGCGCCAAAAATACTAGTGCATACATATAAATATATGTATATATGTGTGTATACGTGTATATAGTATTTTGATGCCAAAATAGCCTAATTTTGTAATTAATATATATGTATATATATATATGCACAGTTTTATGCCTACATTTACACACATATGTACATATGAACATATGCATGTATGTATGTTTGCTAGAAAGTTCACATGTCGGTTGAAGTGCCACTAATATGTATTGCTCGGATTGCGGTTCCTAATTGCCAAGATTTTGTAAACAACAAAAAGAAGAATATTTTTACAAATATATATTTATATATATATATATATATGACTAATTGTATGCACAAACTATACAGTTCAGTTTCATATTTAGAATTTCAAACAATTTCGCAAAAATATTTAACTATACACACTCCCATACATACATACGAGTACATGTTGTAGAGAAACTCAATTCAAGCGTGTATTATGCATATATACATACACACATGTATATACATATTTTTATATATTTAGAAGTGATGTTTTGTGTTTTCAGCGATCAAAAAAAAAAAACAAAATGTGACCTTACTTGATCTGAAACTATTTCAATATAAGTTATCGGCTGTGGAATGGCATAGTTAAAGCCAACAACCGGATTCTCATCACTTCTGACTGGCGGTGCTTGCAGTACATCTTTCAATAACAATTCATCGTTCAGAATACGCATACCAATGCCGAAAAATGATTTACACTCCATTAATTTGGGCATAAAAGCGGCAAAAACTAACACAAATTGCCATATTGCCAATTTCTTCAAAAGCATCTCGATTTTGTAGGCACACTGACACGCTTTTCAATCTACTCAACACCACATATGTATATGTACGAATCTAGTATATTTTCGTCAGAACGTACGAAAATCAGTAAAATATTATAATCAGAAAAAAAAATCCGAAAATATTCACGTAAAGACCACAATTTTGTGACACGATCGTTTACTTCTTGTTGCCGCAGCGCACTCGTTATAACTAAATGGATTTTGTATTTTTAGTACGAAAATATTTTCGAAAGTTCGAAAATAAATTTCAAAATTTCACTGGAGAGAGTAAAAGTGTTTGTTAGATCAAAACAATATTGCAAATATCTGCGAACAAGTTGTCGGGCGACAGAGAGAGAGAGAGTGTAATAGATAGAGGTAAAAAGTTTGCATTTATTGTTGAGTGAAAAATAAAATTGCTTGACTTCGGTTTTTTCTTATTTAAAATGGAGAGAAATATTAAAATATATATATATTTTAAAATATGCATTCGAAATGCATTCTTCGCCCGTTAGGATAATTATATCGATCGTTTGAGTACATAAGTACTCTTCGCCATACATACAAAGAAAAGCCAGCTCTTAGCTCACACCTGTTATTCACTGCACTAAGGGTCTCTCTGTTTTGTCTTCAAGTGTTTAATATACATACGCGTATGTATAAAAATAACATGAGAGATTTTTTCTTTCAGGTGAGAGGTGCAATAAAAAGCGAACCAGCAAATATGCCAATGCATGTTGCAGTGCAATAAAATGTGTCTAGTATGAGCAGTTGTAGTTGTTGTTGTTATACTTGAGTTGTTAGTTGATATTGCTCATACGACATGTTGAACAAGGGGATTCTCTCAAGTACTTAATAAACACATGCATATTTATTTACATATTTATAAACATACTCGCACATTTGTACACATCTGCCGGCAGATATTAAATATTCAGCTTGCAAACGTGGACACATACATTTATACATAGCATTTTTAGCAATAAGAATTTTAAATTTAATTTTGGAAAACACATTTCCTACACATTAATGGTTTATAAACAAAAATGTAAATTTTAACAATTTCATGATGACAATTCTCATGTACACACTTCCCAACAAACCAATTAGTTTAAATTTTTAGTAAGCAGCAAGAGAAAATAGTTTTTTTTTCGAAAAGTTTATAAACATATACAGGTATAATTGGCGCTCTTCGTGTTTCTCCAACAAATAGAGGGACCTACACAGTTTATAGTCTACTAAGCCGCCTCACAGGTTAGACATTCCCTACCGAGAGTTGCCCCCTATTAGAAAAAAATATTATTTTATTTTTATAAATTTTCTGTAATTTTGGATATGGAGTGGAGTCCGTGACACGCTGCATGTTACGACATGTAGAAATTCCGAAGAGAAAATCAGGGTAATCAATCATAGGAGATATTTGAACAGATATGTAATTGGCACTTTATAACCGGTGAAGCGATTTTCGTCCGAGTTCCTCCTCTAATTTATGGTTTTTGCATTTTGATGATTTTCCACCAAATAGAGGGACTTACAGTATATACTAAGCCGTCTCCGAATGGCTGATGGATTTTTAAGAGGGGCTTTGATTTCCATGTCATAAATACTTTCGCAGGGCGTGACTTTTCTTGCGAGGGGTGACCGCATTTAGAAAAATGAATTTTATAGAATGGCAATGCGTAATGTTAACCACTCGGCGATTGTTACCGCCAATAGTATAAGTCTCATGAATAACATATATTAAATCTCTACGGTGTTGTAGTCTCGTGGCAAGCGAGTGAAATAAGTCTCGAGATCAATAGAAGTTCAATGTCATGTGCGCCCAGTTGTGTGGGAGGTGGCCAATATAGTTCCTTTTCGCCATTATTGAAAGACCTCTAATGGCAGAGTAAAAACCGACTTACCAATTGGCAAAACCCTGTTCTCGCGATTAACAGAAACTTTATGTATGAAACACTTTAAACATCAAGATGTGTCATAGTCGTAGTAGAGTCTAAAACTGTTACTAACTAATGTAGCGATTTTATCCACTGCATTCAAAGAAAGAGGGCTTCTTCTAAAGCCGCTATAGGTTCAACAAAGCATCCAAAGTTTTTTTTATTAAAATTTAATTTAAAAAAAAACTGATAAATAATATGGTCTTCCAGTGGCCCCTGCGGGTTAGGGGTTCAAGAATTTACCCGCGGTAAGGCATGCCTGTCGTAAGAGGCGACTAAAATCCAATAGTTCCCGCGACAGTCGGGTCTTAATACCGGAACGACCCGGTTTTTAATCCGGCCAAAGACTGTCACTCCCGCAACATTCCCTAAAAAGTACTTTGGGGAATATTTTCGCGGTTACAACAACAACACAACATGGTGTTCCAGTAGCATCAGCTCGATGGGAAAGTTCAAAAACGATTTATAACTAAAATATATTGCTTGCTGTCGCTTTAGCTCTTTCATAGATAATTTTATATCAATATATACTTTTCATTATTATAATTATGAATAAGCAACTCTGGAGATTGCATGATGCTTCACGAATACACATAAAATTATAGACAGAGCGCTCTCCAGTAAAGTGTACTATGATTCTGACCCTATAGCTTTGGGGGCTCTGGGCACTAAATATCAATACTACTCGGCTGGACGCTATGCTAAAAGGAGCTTTCAGTGTAATTTACATACCTACATAATGAAGGGAATCGAAAAAGGTTTTTATTCCCATATGGGGAAGTGTGTTTCATAGTAAACCTAAGGATTTCAATATGTCTGACACCCTTCGAGCTTAAGAAAGCGGAACGACTGATGGAAATTCAGACTAGGTCTACTGCTAGTACTACTACTACTCTGCTTCTCGGGAGAATTCTTTTATACGCAAAATTCTCGGATACAGGGTCATAAGATCTGAGATCGTGGGATATCGACACTTAGGTATGTCAGCAGAGGAGTCCCACAAGGTGGAGTCCTCTCGCCTCTTTTGTGGGTCTTGACAGTTAAGCAACTGCTGAGATACTTGCAGGAGAATGGGAGTTGCAAGGAACTGGCGGTTATAGTAAATAGCACCAACTTTATGTAATATGATGCAGAGCGGACTAAATTTGGGATTTTGACCAAGAAAGTTTTCAACACTATTGCTCTCAGAAACGGATCAGCGTATTACTCAGCCTGTAAAATACTTGGGATTCATCCTGGACAAGAAATAAAGCTGGTTACAGAATTTCCTCCATCCATTTCCTTCTATACCTGCAAAAGCGCGATACGCTGAAAATGGAGCATGTCACCTAAAATAGTACGTTGACTTTACATTGCATTTATTAGGCTTATAGATCTCTATAGTGTTGTAGTCTGGTGACAAGTGCTCGAAATAAAAATCAAACTTCTCCAAATTAGAGTGCGGAGTACTGCGCTCCAGTGTATACAACACCAGCTGAGGCTATGAATATCCTATCAGACTTACGCAGCGGGTAGACTATAAAAGGTGTCTGAATGAATAGTAATAAGCCAGGGACTTACTATCATCTTAAGAAGATTCACTTTACGAGAAAAAACTCGGATTACTGCATACCATTTACTGACCTCATGACCGATTTCAAGGTAATTATCCCGGATAGAAACCTCGAGGATCAAAACTACATAACAGGATCGATGGAGGAGTTTGTTAAAATGATCTTAGTATCTGCAAATCTCCTTTCGTTTACCTGATCAATGAATTAGTATTCATGCGGATTTGATGGCTATATAGCAGTTGCCAATTGTCCCAGCTCAAGGGTACTTTGAGAAAATTATATACATATTATTTCGTGTAGCAAGACCGCATTAATAGTGCTTGAATCTGTAAAGGTAAAATCGAAAGCCGTGGAGAACTGCCGGGGCTCACTTAAAGTGATGGTTAAGCAGTTCTCTTTGAATCTTGCATGGGTGCCTGGGCACAGTGAAATATCGGGTAGTGAGAAGGCGGACGAGCCTTCATGGAAGCGGAATTCCCTTCCACTTTCGCTATCCACTTGTAAGCGCAAAAAGGAGAAGTCTGAATGCGTGTAATGTGACTAGTATAATATGGCCAGAATGGTAGAGAAGACGGTCACGTGACCTTATCGAGCTAAAAAGAAAGGAAATATCTACAGTTATAGGAAAACTCATAGGGTATATTCTATTTGGCAGGCACGCAGAGAGCTTGTGTGTACTATCAAATGACTTTTGCAGCGGTTGCAGAAAAGAAGAAGAACCTGAGGCACTTTCCCTGCGGCATTCTTTGGAAACTTCAGCGAGGTACGGCGATTATTCAGTTTTGCAAACTTCACACATTGATTTGGTTAGCGAGTGGGCCCGCTTGGAGCCCAGATGAGCTGATGCCCCGCTACTACTTCAACCAATCAACCAAGGGTGAATTTTTCAAAAATTAAGAAAAATGTTGTATTTAGCCTTGCCGAAGATTTTGAATCCTTCATGTGCCGAAAATAATAAATGATGATTGGATAGAAAACGATTATTTCCGCCTTCCTTTAATAAATAGGGATTGGTATTGATTTTAAGTGAAATGATAGCTTATTAGTTTATATTTATTTATGGTGTGTTACACTTGACGTGCTTCAGGTTCAATCTGGTTTCGAAAAAGACTTTTGAATGGAGACTTTTTGCTATAATAGTTCCAAGAAAGTCATAATAAAACAATTTTTTTTTAAAAAAAGAAAAAAAATTTTAAATAAATATTTTTAAATAAACATTTTATTATTAATGTATTTTATTTTATTTTTTCTTAGGATGAAGATTGGAAACTAAATCGAACAAATTATTATCAAGAAGGATGGCTGGCCACAGGAAACATTCGTGGTATTGTCGGCGTGACATTTACGACTTCACATTGCCGCAAAAACATGGACTTTCCGATACGTACCAACTATAATCTGCGTGGACATCGTTCGGATGTAAGTGCATGCAAATATTATTAAAAAAAAAGAAAAAAGAGAATACTGTCGTCTTTCGTCTATGCCGAACATTATAATACGTGTATGTATTTCTACCTACGAGTATCTGAACGAAACGTTTATATGGCGGTTATATTTTATAGTCTATTTACTTCATTATTTAAGCTTAGATTACCTATTCTCATGTTGTTAACTGTCTTATTGAAATATTTGTGATTCAAATCGGTTGTAGGAGATCTATTTAATATACGAGGTGTGTTCAAAAGGTATCGCGAATTTTGAATTTTCGCGGGTTACGTATAATCGAATTTCGAGTTTCTTGTGACGTTATGTTGGTACTCATGTCTGTCACTTATGCCGACAAGCTCGGCCATTTTGAATGTTCACTTAATTGTTGACAGCTGCTTTGCTTGCACGTGTTTTGGATGGTCTTCGATTTTTACCTATTCAAAAAAATGGATCAAATAACCGGTATCAAATTTTGTGTGAAAAACGAAATTAAGTGCGCGAATGCATTCCGAATGTTGACTGTGGCATACGGAGAAGCTACCTTGGACCGAAGCAACGTTTATCGGTGGTACAAAATGTTCTCAAAAGGCCGAAAAGATGTGAACGACGAAGAGCGTGCCGGACGCCCGAGCACTTCAACAACAGACGAAAAAATTAATTGTAGGGGCGTGGTGCATCATGAGTTCTTGCCACAGGTATTTGCGTGAAGCGATCCGTCAGAAACGCCCGGATTTGTGGAAGAACAAAAATTGGTTTTTGCCACACGATAACGCCCCTGCTCATACATCGTTGCTTGTGCGCGACTTTTTAGCCAAAAACAACACACTAATGATGCCGCAGCCACCGTATCCCCCAGATCTGGCCCCCTGTGACTTTTTCTTGTTCCCTAAACTGAAGAGGCCCATGAAAAGACGACCTTACGCCACGATTGACGAGATAAAGACGGCATCGAAGGAGGAGCTGAACAAGATAAAAAATGGTTTTTTGAAGTGCTTCGAAGATTGGAAAAACCGTTGGCACAAGTGTATAATATCTCATGGAAATTACTTTGAAGGGGACAAAATAGATAAATAACTTTTGAAAAAACACAAAATTCGCGATACATTTTGAGCACACCTCGTAGTCGACTGATCTGGCAGGTTACGACAAAAGATCAATAGATTACAAAAGTTCACGCGCATACTGAGTTTCGTTCAAATATCTTAAAAACTGAGAGATTAGTTTACGTTCAAATAATAAGACTGACCGGAAAGACTAAATCAACTCGTCATTCTGACCAAATCGATAGACACTTTGTACCATAGTTATTATTTGATCTTAAATTATAAAAATTTTGAAGTTTTTTTATTTATATTATAGTCGGGACTCATTATAATCTTTAAGTAGAGATATAATTGTGAAAAGAAAGGCAGTTTATTCGAATGAAAAGTTAATACGATTGTATTATGTAATTTAAAAACAAAATTTTGCAAAATTTTCTCTCTCCAGGTAATTTTGGTAAAATGGAATGAACCATATCAAAAATTGGCGTCTTGTGATAGCACCGGCATTATTTTCGTTTGGATCAAATATGAAGGACGCTGGTCGATCGAATTGATAAATGATCGTAACACGCCAGTTACATATTTCTCTTGGTCACACGACGGACGAATGGCGCTCATTTGCTATCAAGATGGCTTTGTATTGGTTGGCAGCGTCGCTGGTCAACGGTATTGGTCGTCCATGCTTAATCTAGAGTCGACCATTACTTGTGGTATTTGGACGCCAGACGATCAACAGGTGTATTTCGGCACCACACAGGGTCAGGTGATCGTTATGGACGTACATGGTGCGATGGTGTCACAAGTACAGCTTTGCAATGATGTCGGCATAACCTCAATGGCGTGGTCATGTGAAAAATTTAAAATGGAAGAGGGTGAAGAATCCGAGCCGGGCGTTACCAATGCCGGTAAGTTACAAATGAACAATTGAAAAAAAAATTTCCAATTATTATTTTCTTTTTCATTTCAGCTAAACGCTCTTTTGTATTAGCTGTAAGCTTTCAAAATGGTTTTATATATTTGCTAAAGTCATTCGATGACGTCTCGCCGGCTCATATCAATACGGGGCTTAGTGGCAGCATAGGCATGGTTATGGAGTGGAGTAATTCCCGTGAACTGCTCGCTGTCGCCGGCACCGCACAGTCCTCGTTGAATATGTTCGATCAACAGGGTGCACCGCTTTATGAGAATTTATTGAAATTTTATACCGAATCTGGAAATCTATTATACCAGATACGCCTACCAAATACCTCTTCGACTGTGTCGGCGCTGACGTGGGGCCACAACGACAAGCGGCTTTTCATTGCGACTGGTACTCAAGTGCATATTGCATGGGTATCGCGACGTATAGCATCGCTACAGTTTTTATGTCGCCTACAAATACAGGCAAGCATCGGTTCGGAACGCATTTTGCCACTGCTACCGTTGCCGTCACGTATTAGAAGTCTGATTGGCATGCTTTTTGCTCAAACAATAAGAGTAAGTAAAGCCTTTTATATACGAGCAGATACGTTGTATTAATTGATTGTGTTGATTTAAATTACTTTGTTATGCGCAGTGCTGTGTACCTGATCTTAAATCCGTACGTGAGTTCGTTTCCCGACCACCAATGTGTTCGACACGCCTGCACTGCACCATGATTCGGCACGATGAAGATCCCAACCAAAATACAGGCATTTGCTATACACTCTATTTAGAATATTTGGGTGGCCTCGTGCCGTTGCTTAAGGGTAAACGCATCTCGAAAATACGTCCAGAATTCGTTATATTCGATCCTCAAGCCAATGGTTTGTAAAACCTTTTACATGTAAAATATATAATCCCCAATATACATTAATGCTTTGTGCCTTTGATTAATAGACTCACCGGTATTTTTGCAATACTCACCAGAGTGGAAAAGCTCATCGGGTTCAAGTCAATCCACCACCACCGGACAAAGTGGCAGAACTGATTCATCCGACAGTGAGTTTGAGGATCGATATCGCAGCTCGCCGCGTCCAACGCGTCAGCGAAAAATGCGACAAAAGAAACGCAATCAGTGCAATGGAGAAAAGTATTCTGTAAACACAAATGCTGATCCCGATAGCATGGATGAACTCGCCTACGTCGATACGCTTCCTGAGGTATGTTTCATTTGGAATCATGATTACTATCAGCTTAAAGTAGATTAAACACTCTTCTCCTAAAATCGAGTGGTAATAGCATTTGTGATGACTTGACTATCTTTTCAGGAAGAGAAACTGGTTGAGGTAACCTCAAATATTTGGGGTACCAAATTTAAAATTCATGGACTTGCCAAAACCGTCCCAGCCAATTTAGGCCAAATAACGTACAAAACGTCCCTCCTGCATCTGCAGCCAAGACAAATGACACTAGTTATAACCGAATTACGCGACGACTTTCCCTCAGGGCCGGATCCAAACTTTAATCCGAATATTTTCTCTGAAGACGAAGACGAGGCGGCGCTACTGAATGGCAGCAAAAGTAATGGCAACAACTACAATGCAAATACAGCCGTAAATGCGGAGGCACTGGCAAAAGCCACGTCGGCAACAGCAGCGGCACATCGTCGTCTCAACGAAATGTCACCACCCATTGCACCGATGTCACCACGTCCCAGCCACCTGTTGGCACGACATAAAAACGCTTTAAATAACAATGGCTTACAAACTACGGGTTTAAGTCCTTTGGCGCGCGCAGAATCGTACGATGACGATTCGTCGAATGAGTCACAAGATGTGAATGGCTATCATAACGGTGCCAGAGCGAATGCAACTAACAGTACAACACATCACAATACAAATAACGTGCCCAATAATAACAATAAATTAACGCGTCCGAAAAACATAACCGCCACCACACCAGGCAAGCGTAGCAGTTTAGGACCAGGCTATAGTAGTTTCAAAAATAACTACAGTCGTACTAGTTCAAACTCGAGCTCGCAATCGCGCCACGCAATATCACCTTTATACTGTGATGGTTCCGTGCCAACATTACAATCGCCCAAAAATGCTGTAGCACCAACAGACATCATCTTTGAACGGCCCGCCGTGTCGGGTAATGGACAAACAACAGTTATGTCTTACTCAAGCAACTCGGATTACACCAATAATGTTGTGCAAGTAAAGAACGTTTTACTGCCTGAGTTAATACGTTCAACGACAAACAGCCATGTCAATCCGGTGCCGTTAAATCTAAGTTTGAACCTGGAAAGAATGGATGCCAGGCACAAGTCTCCCGCTTATAATGGTAATTTCAACGTAAATAATAACACGGCTAACAATAACAATCCGAAACGGCGTGATATCTCATATATAGACGAAGAAACTCAGTCACCCACTCAGCAAGCTTTGATCACCTTTACGCCCGTCTCCACACCTGTTGAGATACGCATGAAACGCACAACAACGGTTGTATCTATTGCGCCCGCACTGCCAGATTCGATTACGCGAAGTTGTAGTGTTGGTTATTTGGACTCCGATGCTATCACACCGTCCGACGAAGCTTTAATGGCTTTGCGAAGAGACGCGCCCACTAAACGTTTGATTTTAGTGGACAAGCGTAAGACAAGAAAAAAACGTCAAACAAATGAGGTAAGATTTGTTATTGAGCTTTGGCTACTTATTCTCTATTAATGTTTATCTGAAAATTCCAGGACTCACGTAAACCGAAATTGGAGAAATCTGGAAAATCTAAAAGTTTGGATTCCTGTGATTTAGTCTTTAGTCAAACGAAACATAACAGCAAAGAGTCAGAGAGCACATCACGAAAACTTCATGAAATCACCGAGGGCAAAACGAGCAATAATGAAAGCCCTCAAACCAGACACTGCTCGAAGTGCAATAAAAGTATTAGTCCCAACGAAGAATGTAAACATTGCCAATCAACCAGACCCATAATAGATGAACAAAAGAAAGAAGAAAAAATACGCCTGGTGTCCACCGCCCCGAAAAAAGACTTCACCACCAACACAATAGTCTATGAGAATATATATAAGAGCCCAGAACAAAGAAAAAAGACTGCTACACCGCGAAAGAAAAAACTGGATGTAATCACCAGTTTCACCGACAGTCCACTCTTTACACGGAAACATCGATTTGGCATCAGAAGTCGCAGCAAAGAGACGGGCAGTAGTAGTGAGACAAATACCGAAAGCTCAACACCATTATTGGGCCGTAAAAATGATAATGGATTTAGTTTCGTAAAACAATTAACGGAGGCACGTTGGCGACGTAAAGAGACGCAGAGTACACAGAATATAAATACAGTGAAAAATCAAAGGGATTTTGTGGCACACCAACAGAGCGGTAGCAGTAATGGGAATCCCATTGAGGCAACACCTGTTGAGGCTAAGGCTTCCGTATCGCTGCAAGCACAGGTATTGTTAAATGTAAAATTTACTGCTATTACATGCCAATACGTACAATTAGTCACCACTAGAAAATTGCATTCAATCGATTAATCGAATATGCCGGATAATCAGTCAAACGTTGAATAATTATTTTTGATTACCCAAAGTATTCACTTCTCGATTAATAACATTTACATTAATCGGCGCAGTTTAATTTGATTAGTCAGAAAATAGATTATACTTTAGAAAAATACATTCGCTCAAGTTTTTTTTTTTCAAACAAAAAAAAAATAAAATCATATTTCTTCCAATTTTTTCAAATAAATTTTTCATAAAAAAATTTTGAACTAAAAAAAATCAAAAAAAAAAAAACATTTTTAAACTTTTTACGTGCAGTTTAAGCAAGAGTAGGTAATGAAATCCGATCTTGAAATACAAAAAAAAATTTTATGTAATTTATACCGATTTGATGTCAGACAGGGCTTTTGGCATTCCAAATTTCTTCAGGAATTTAAGTTTATTTCAATGAGAAATCTTTGCTTTAAATTAAAAAAAAATAATAATATTGCTTTTGGGAAGACACAAAAATCCTTGCTACTGCTCAAGGTAACAGGGCTAGGTAGACAAAAAGCAGATCTGATTGTAGCAATCTGATCTGGATCCAAAAGTAGTTCTGTTTTAAGGACTTTTGATCTTCGCGGTGAACTTCATGATACACTGATGCGGCAAAGGATCCCAGTCAGTCTGTCGATATTATATGCAAAACTCTTTATACCTTTCAAGAACATATAAAATCGATTGTATTGTAGAGGGTATTTTCCAAGGCATGTGGCTTTCAAGAAAGATTAATACGCATATAATTAAGTGTTGTGGTCGAGAGTTTAGCTTGATTATAAAATAAGGGTTTGTTATTATGTTTTAAAATTAATTTCGGCAAGTAACCGTTGGGGTTGATTCCAATATATTTCAGCCGATATGACCAAATTTCGACCACTTTTTGCAGCTTTTGGGGCCGTATGTCAGCAATAACGTGCCGAAAATTATCTTCCAAGGTGTTAATCATCTCGGGCTTATCTACGTAGATAAGTGATTTCATATTACTCGCAAGCTTGAGGCCAACAACGCAAGAAAATGTCCTCACCAAAAGTTTCCTTCAAAAAAATTGATTGTTTCGGTGCATGTATGACATGCAGCGCCATCTTGTTGAGACCAAAGGCCATCCACATCAATATCCTCCACTTCAGGCACGAAAAATTCGTTAATTATAGCTCTATAGAGCACATCAAACCGTAACTTTTTGGTGATGTAACAGCGTCTCAACAGCTGGATCAGAGGCCATCTCGTTTTCGGTCCATTCGCCGAAAGTGCGAATCGCTTGATTTCCATTCGGCTTAAATTCTTGCACGAATTGGATTTTTGTATGCCCACAAATCAAGATCCTTCTGCACGATGGCGAATGGCCTCATTCGGGTCTTCTTCGATACTCTACTTCGCAGCAGAAATAGTGTCTTCGGTATGCTCGTTTTCAAAGATGAATAAACCGTTATTTCGGTAATAAATTTGCTCGATATGCAAACGCTGTTTCAGAGTAAGTCTGTTCATTATGAAATGGCAAGCCAATGCTGAGTATAAATCAAGTAACAAAGCTGTCAAAAAACCAGCTCCGAAAAAAACTATAGCTTTATTGAAAACCATACTCTTTGTAATGCGGAAAAGGGACTGCTGAGGAAAAGAGAAAAGTTAAAAAAATATATACAATATAACAACTGCTAACTGGTAACAAGTGTCCGATTAGACGCGGAATACCCATAGTTATGTGCTAAGCATTCGCAGCGTTATTATGCAAGCATTGGTATGTTCGTACATGTATCTATGTATGTATGAACATATGTGCGATAGTATAAAAAACATATATATATATATCCATTCTCATTGACACCTCCTCTAACGATTAACTTACATAATATACACATATGTACATACATTTATTCATATTATATATACATACATATATTTCTATCATGCAGGCACTTACCACATTAGAGAATATTATCAGCCGCTTACGAGACCTCGATGAGGGCCGACTCACACCGCCAGCAACACCTAAACGCCTACCACGTAGCTCACCAGCCTCACCGGCTGTCAGTAAAAAGAATAAACGGCAAGGCAGTTCGCCCATTCGTCATTTTTTAAATTCACCTCTACTAAATAGGCGATATCGTAAAAAACAATGTCTCATAGAAAGTTCAGATGATGAAGGTAACGGTACAAATGGGTCAGGCGAAGAAAACGGCGGTGGTAGTTATAATAAGCAATATCGTGATTTGGAAACATTCCAAAAGGCACAACTACTTCAGAAGGTGCGTATGTATGTTTGTACATAGTTACATACGAGTATGTAGGTGCGAGCATATGATGAGCTGCAAATGTGTGTGTGTGTGTGAAAAGTGTCGCCAGGCGATGGTACAAAAGAACAAACAAAAAAAATAAAACTAAAACAATTTTATTGCATGCATCATCTGTCACAATTTTTCTTTAATATTATGAATTATGATGAATTTGCTGACTGATGATGGCACTGTAAAGGGTTCAATGTGGCGCTATTGAACTTTGTTGATAATAAAAATGGCCATTTTGCAACAATATTCACACGTGTGTAGTATGTGTTGGTACGTGTTAACAGCGCAGTCACATGCGAAGGCCGATCGTATTGAAATAGTTTTAACGAAATATACACACATACATATGTAGATACAAGTTTAAGCACATTTGACAGGCGATTATAATTTCGATTTGATGTCTTGCTTTAGCAAAAAACGTGGCGCCGAATTATTGATATTGTGTAGGAAGCAAATGCCCGATGTTAGTGTGGGCAAAGTGGTTACTTTACTTATATATATATATACCATACTTGAAGTTTATAATATAAAATAATTTAATTATATTTTTTAATAAATTTTATTAGTTATTATCAGTTGTTTTATTTATTATTTTATTTATAGTTTTTTGAAATATTAGTAAGAAACTTCTTTCCAATAGCATAAATGCAAGAGAGGACGATTAATATATGGATAGAAGCTTAAAGTTGGAAGTTGAAGCTGGAAATATTTCAGTTGAAGTCATAGCATTGATACCCAAAAAATATAGCATGACATAAAAATTCTTTGGATTGAAATGTTAATCCTTATACTTTGTATATAATTGAGATTTGCTTTGATTAAAAGCAAGATAGTTGCTGACCATCAACTCGCATCTGCCATAGGGTGGGTCTCACAATGAACTAAGGGTTTCTAGAGCTCCACCCGCTGGTCAAATCAATATGAGGAGTTATAAAAATTGCTTCCACAATTTCGCTCAAGTCTCTAATGGTTGGCGTCCCTAAAGACCTTTACTTACTCCTCCAAAGTGCGGTACATTCGGAAAGCCTTTTTTTACTATTTTCTACTCCTGCAGAAATCCTTCGAAGGTTCGCCTGCCTGATTAAAAGAGAATGTCTTGTAAGGACCATCTTTAGTTAGTCTTAATGAAAATCCTGTTATTACGAACTCTTTCTTCATGACGAAATTGGAAAGAAAGAAGTGATCTTCCTTAAAAGCCCATCCGCCAGCAAATCAACCATTATATTAAACGGTACGTCACTGTGTCGTGGTACTCCCAAAACAGCTTCCAGAGGTAATATGCCTAGCCTAGTTAATAATACTTACTTATGCCCAGTTACTTTTAGTAAACTCTATTATCCAGCTAAAAACAGGATAATCCTAAGTATTGTGAGGCCAGACGCTTCTAGGCAGCCAAACGTCAGAGCTTACGGGTACATTAGCGTTGCGTGACCCCGAAGTGTGCAAATAGACTGCGTAATTCCGCACCTGACATTCGGTAAGCCGTTGTCTGAAGCAAAGGTCTGAAGTATGCAGACAAAGCTCTTCATATTTTTAAGAATGGTTAAAAATGAACGAAGGAGTGAGGGTGCACACAACCAGAGATAAGGAAGTCAAAGTAAGCTGCCAAGATATTACAGTATCTCCCAAACCGGGTGTAGACTTCCAAAGAAAGAGAATACATATTTATGAGGATAGCCAAATCGTCCTCAAGGCCTTAATTTCTTAAAGCACGAAGTTGATTTTAGCCGCACTATGTAAAGAGGCGATTAAAAATACAGTCTGAAAAGGAAAGAGTTTACATATACTGCCGGCCAGATCACACGGATATTAAATGCAATGAGATAGCTGATGAACTGGCTGGTCAGAGCGTCTCTTTAGAACAGCTTGTAATAATGAACCAAACAGTTCTATTGAGGGGTGTTGGCTTTACGCTAGAAGTAGTCTTGTTTCGTCAGGCGAATAGACTTTGGGAACAAGCTTAGCGCTACAGAATAGCGAAAACTATATGCAAAACTTATGATGCTAAACTTACAAGGTTTTTATTTGAGTTGAAAGATCGGATTGCATGCTGGTGGCAACACCATTAGCGAGGTATTGGCTATTGGCGTCGCATGCTCTTATTATAGATCTGGTTGGGGACAACAAGTACAGAAAATGCAGGGAGTGTGTGGAGTCAGTAATCTGTGAGTGTCCAGTAATGGCAAAGGCTATGATTACTTGGCTCAAAAAGACTACAGGAAATTTAATGGGCAATGGCTTTAGACTCAATAAAGTGCAGTTTGGTTGTATGTAGTGTATCTGGCAACACTCTAAGAGAAACTCGGTGTCAAATAATTCAACTAAACCTAACCTAACCTGCATTCGGTATTTTAGTCTTCATGTGCACTTATCTCTGCTTAGGACCCACCGCGGGTGTAACCGCTGAAGAGATTTTCGGCCTAGATTTCTGGTGTGCGTCTTGACTTTTTCCATTAAATGGATGGACCGGCAGTTTATTCAAAGAGGTCTTCGAATGACCGATGGATTTTTATAAGGAGGTTTTATTTCATGTCAGTTGCGACCATAAAGAATGAAATGTCATTGATTTACTGCAACCCTTGTCCCAGCACGGTTTATTTGAAAGGAAAATCGAGGCCAGATTTTATCAAAAAGATCGAAAAAGTTGTCCTCGACAATACTCGACTAAATAAAAAGAACTCGTAGAAATAGTTGGAATATCCAATACAACCATTTTTAAATCCTGGATGATCATCTTAGCATGAGTGAGTTCGGATCACAATGGGTGCCGAGAATGCTAAGATAATGATGGTGTTCAATACACCATTTTATTGAAGACGAAACTTGGATTCATCATTATGAAACCGGGTCGAAACAAGAGTTGATGCAATGGCATAAAATGTTCACAGTACCTACCAATCTAATATTTGTAATATTATTAATCGATCAGAAAGATAAAAGTGTTTTTATAACTGGAGAATGGTACACTTAAATATTAGTGATATTAAAAGAAGACATTAAAGAGAAAAGACGGTGAAAATTTAAAAAAGGTGCGCTGTTTTCTTATGACAGCGCGCCCACCCACAAGTATCGCCTTGCGTTCTATGCCCTACATAAGGTGGGAATCACTCACTCTACAGCTCAGGCCTTGCCTCAAATAATTATTAACTGCTTTCCAAACTGATTACCGATATTGAAGTCAAGAATGCAGTTTCGGAGTATTTTAAAGACAAAGAGAAACACTTTTTTTATGAAAAAGAAAAATGATTTGTTTTTTCCGCAAAGTTCAAAGAGTTCCTACATATTTAGTTGCATACTTTCAGGAGTTTTTTAACCAATTAGATGTTGTATACGTGTTTTCAATGTGATATACGAATATATGTATTTTATAAACATTTCTAATGATATAGGAAAAATGTTATTAATTTTATATTTTTTTTTTTTTGGTTTTTACTACATACAAAAATATTTCACTCTACTACAGCTTAAGCGTGGAAAAATTGAACCGAATGGTTCTTCTACCTACTCAAATCCAGCACCGGTTAGAAGAGAATTTGTGATGCATAATAAAGCGCCAATGTGGAATGAGCTGAGTCAAGTCTATCAATTGGATTTTGGTGGACGCGTAACGCAAGAATCGGCGAAGAACTTCCAAATTGAATTCCGTGGCAAACAGGTAACACAAATACATACATATATAAAAAAAACTTCAACTATGAGGTAATTAATATAATTTGTTTTTCTATCAATCATTTACTAGGTAATGCAATTCGGCCGCATCGATGGTAATGCATATACACTGGATTTTCAGTATCCATTTTCGGCATTGCAAGCTTTTGCTGTTGCTCTAGCAAATGTCACACAACGATTGAAATAAGAACGTACATATATTTGCAAATGTATGTATGTATGTATAAGGAATGATCGTCTACCTAAATACAGTTTAAAGAAAACAAAAGAGAATAATCAGTGATTCTAAGTATTAAGCGTAAAAATACTCGTACTAAAGGGGCCTAAAAAATTTAATGTACATACTTACTTCTAGTGATCGTCATACATGATATGTGAATAGTAGCTTAAACATACTTACAGTAACTCGTAGCTGTCAATTTACTTATACGGATTTATTTATTATTAATTAGTTAAGTGAAGCGGAGATGAATATTAATGAAAAGTATGCGTATTTAGTTAGAATTTTTTATTGGAAAATGTAAGCAATTTCGATTTACGAACCATCAGCATATTTATTTAAAATTATTAAAAAGAAATTGGCTACAATAGCTGAGTGTTTAGCAGTGCCTGTTATCATTCGAAAGACCATGGTTTTAGTCCCAGTCCAACCAACATCCAGAAGTTATTAGAAAATTAGTTTCGATAAAAAAGAAGAATAAAGAGCTGTCTTGGTCATGCCGAAGTTTCATACTATACCGTACCATATAAAATTATTGGTATTTTCTTATAAGAAATATTAGCTCTAATATCGGTGATGATTTTCGGCGACAATATTCTTTGTGTTGAGAATACCCAATTTCACGTTTTCAGTTGGTTTTCTGACGGATTTATTACCCAAAATCTCATATCTAACTAAGTCGGTTGTATGGGAGCCATATAATATAGTACTCCAATTCCGATAGATTTCAGCACCATTGTGTATTTCATTATATGTGTGCGAAATACAAAATTTAACGCACTTAGATGCTTTCTTAAAAAAATTTATGACCCAAAATCTCGGTCGCATAAGCTATAGTGTTCCAAGAGACTAGCTCTTCCCATAAATGATCCTTTAAATGAACCAGGGCATTTGTAAACCAATTTTGATTGATAATTCTTTAAAATTGAGGATACAAACAGACGGACGACAGACAGACATAGCTAAGTCAACTCAACTCGTCATTCTAATCCGATGGGTATAAATTTGTATGAGCCAATCTCTTCTCCTTCTGGTACTTACATACTTCGGCGCAAATTTAATATACCATTTTATGACCATGAAAGATATATAAAAAAATAGTAAGATGTACCACACATTGGAGTAGAAGCTTGACCGATTAATAAAGATTTCTTATAATTTATTACTTAGACTTAAATAAAAATTAGGCACGAAGTTGTAGTGCCTAACGAACCTTTGAGTGAGTAAAGCCGATCTTTATGGCGTGGATATACATATGAATGTACGTAGGAATATCAAATTATTTATTTACACTAGTATGCGTATACATATTATTATTTTTTTTTTTGTTGTATAGCAAAAATCAACTTAGATAGCATATACATATGTAGATTATATTTTTTAATTTTTAACTTAATCTCATCGCACAAATAATGTAGAATTCACACTCTTGGTACACGAGTATATAAATTTATGCATATTTTAGTTGCACAGTTTTACGCTTAATATGTTAAAAAAATTTAAATACCCAAGATAATATCAAAACTAACAGCTTTTCCTCGTCCTGGTCATATATATAAATAGATGGCACTGATTATTAATATTGCTGTTGCCACTGGATAGCGAAAACTTTGAATGGAGATACATAGTTTTACTCTTTGAACATTGGAACAATTTCGAAATACTGATGCCATTAAGTTACATTGTAATTAACACAAAAAACCGTTTTGTCTGATTTAAAATATAAATTTGTATGCATATTTTGGTTGGCTAAAATCTAACAAAAATTAAACATAATGATTTTGCGTGTTGTTTCTAAGTAGCTCCCTAGGGCCCATAGAGGCCGTAGAGGCCAACAAGCTAAACATTTCCTCAACTTATCCTCAACAATACCGTTTGAGACTACTTGCGACTAATTAATGGCCAATTGTACTCGAAGAGTGAGTGCTCTCTTTAGAGATTAATCGCATAAATATTTGCAGGGCGGTAACAACAGAAAGTTTCAGATATAAACACATACACTGACACACACACTGAAAAACGTATATGTATACAAATATGAATAAAAGCAATTGATCTATTTGAATGTAATTATTTTGCTTAAAGCAAGTGAAGTAAATTTCATCAATTATTCAAGTATTTACAAGTACTGATTTCTTCGAAATATATTCCAAATAATGTTGTATTTACAGGCATATTTTATAATGATAGGTTTTAAAACTCTTATTCCGATCCATTTTATTTGAAAACAATACTAAGAATAACTATACATAAATGTATGTATGAAGAGTACTTTTTTTTGCTAATACTATGATATAAAATACATACGAATATGGGAAACTTACGGAAGAATTAACAATTTTGGTATAAACATAAGTAAAGTTCGTTAAACTTTTACATTTACAAGTATATATACACACATACATTCATATCTTGACTTTCAAACAGCTGCTAATATGTACTCCAAACATAAATACGAGTACTTAAATGTAAAATATTAAGTTAATTATATAATACAATATATTTCTCTAATAATGCAATTTATAGACATCTAATAGTTAATTAAAACAATAATTTATTGGAGTGAAAGTTTAAATATAAACGCAGCCATAAACATATGTATATACAAATATATGTATGCACATCCAGTCGAAGAATGGATGGAATATTTTTTATAAAAACTGTGTATGTAATTATGTATAAATTTTAGCACGCTTTTAAATAAAAATACGTTTTTGCTTCATAATCGGATATGTAGTTAGTCGCAATTGTTAAAAAATTTGCTATTCAATTCTAAATCGCGCTAGGTAATAAGAAGCATAATTTCTAAAATATGTAAAACAAATATCATTTCAGGAAATACTACATACTTATAAATACTATGATATGTACAATACAATATGATCTTACTACCTAATAAAAAAAAGTAATAAAAAACTTACATACGCATATATATATATATAAAATACATCGCTAAATATAGTGAAACATAAAATATTTGAATAAAAATGACGCGTCAGGAAATATGTACAATATCTTCACTTTGCATTGCTAATACAAAACTTGAAAATATAATTAACAAACTTACATAATTCATTAATAGATACATATGTATGTAGGACTCAGCACAATTAGAATACGTGGAAAATGTATTCGTGATTTATTCAATAAATGTATTTTACCAATATGAGATTCACAACAACCAAATTACTTTATCTTAAAAAATGCATAGGCAAGTTATTATTCACGGTAAGTAATATATACATAGTTTTTATCTGGTTTTTAATTTGATTTGTTGTTGTTGTTGTTATTGTAACCGCAAAAATATTTCCCAAAGTGGGGAATGCTGCGGGAGTGACAGTCCTTAACCGAATAAAAATCCGGGTCGTTTCGGTATAAAGACCCGTCGCGGAAACTATTAGATTTTAGTCGCCACTTACGACAGGCATGCCTTACCGCGGGTAAGTTCTTGAACCCCTAACCACCGGGGGGTAGAAGCAAAAAAAGCAAAAATTTATTATTACCCCACATTTCACTAAAAAGTTCAAGTGTTGGTGCAATTTCATGCGCCAACGATAATACGGAAAAGGAAGCGATAATAATAACAAACCAATGCGCCACCTATATTTCAGCTTCTTTACTTTATAGCTGTAATTTCCACTTCTATATAAACCAATTGTTATAGTTCAAATAAAGAAGCGAAATAAATCAGCGAAATCTTTAAATTGTTATAATTTGAGTTTTATTTTACTCTTCTAGCTGTAACATATTTGAAATAAAACGTGTTGGCTTATAATTTTGTAAATATTCCTTCTTCTAAACGTACCTTAAACTCAATCCTTCAAAGAATTTAATATCGGTCGCAAAGTGATCTGGCAATATTACATTTTTGACACTTACCATTGTGAATACATTTTTGTAGTTAGAAGAGGAGTCGTATAGTGTGCATTGCTGTTTTTTTGCCTGTGGAAAACCAATTGTAAGTTACATAATTTTTAATAAATATATTCTAAATTTATTTGAGTATAATGAAATATTCACATCTATTGACAGAGCCTGCAAAATGTCTGATAAAGCTGTTGAGAAAGTTGGACGTCCAATGAAGTATCCCTATACTTTCAGTGCAAAAATCGCTCAATTTCCACTAAAACATTACATCCAAAAGCAATGGATCTGGAAGTACTACTTCGTTGCCTTTGGTTTGTGCATTCCCGTCTTCTACAAAATCAGCAAATTGGGTGAGTGAAAAACGAACTAATAATATTCGGTTAAATAATAACGATTCCTCTTAACATTTTAGCCAACTCACCTGAAAACAAAAAGAAGTGGGCCGAAAGCCAGGCTAAAGAAGCTGCCGAACATCATTAAATGTAGAAGAATATCACTGGTCATTTGAGTTAATGTAATTTAAAAAACTTTGGATTATATGTAAAGGAATAAATAGCTTGCTTTTAAACCTTACACAAAACTACCAATTGGATATCGCAGAATTATTTGGGGGCACGCAATCTTTGAATCTATTAGATAACTGTTAAACCCTGAATCAGCCTTCACAAAAAATATATCAATCAAGCTTACAAAAAATATTTAAATATTAGACAAGATGTCGGGTGAAATATTGATACACCTTCAAAATCCATAAGTTGTAGTAAATTGTATGAAGTTTATGCATAAAAGTTAGTGATGAAAACATTTAACTAGTATTTAGATCAGATAATACGTGTTTAGTTCGGCAAGACATTAAGAGAAATACTCAAAAGATAAATTACTATGAATAAATCTCCATTTTTATAAACAAATATTCATTTATTTAAAAGCAAAAGAGATATACTGCGGAGATTGCGCCAATCACAGTTTTTACTCACAGTTATAATTTTTGGCTATCAGCTGTTGTTTTGTTGTCGTCACATTTTCATATTACAATAACAAAACAACACAGGTGATATGTATTTTGAAATTGTGACGCAGCTGCATAATGTAAGAAAATTCGTTGACCTAATCATACTCACTGAGTATTTTAGAATTTACGTTTAATCTAATTAAAAGAATGTATAGATTTATTTAAAACCGGCTAGTGCTTTTATATATATAAAACATAAAAAATTGGGAGAAAATTTATTTCGAATGATTAATTATTTATTGTTGGCTATTAATATTTTTAAGTGGCACCGCTGACAACAAATACGAATTGATAACAAAAGCTTATTCGATGCACTTCTTTTGTAAATTGTGTTATATTGTGTACTTAAAATCCAAACAGTTAGTAATATTAGAAATGAAATATTTATGAAAGACGTAGAATTTTGTTAAAAAATGTATGTGCAGGGCATTGAAGCTATAAAACTGTACATACCTAAAGATAATTCTCAAATTTCTACAAATATAAGGGAAGAGCGAGAACAAGAAATAAGTGTAACCGATACAATGTCATCAGCAGAACGGTACAGGTATTAACAATTCAACTATGAAGTGACTTATATATTTTTAATATTGGTACATATACGCCCTCTTATCATTAGCCTGTATTGGAATGGGTACCAACAAACTTTTTTCCTAATTTCATTGGTCTAAGGGGTCTTAACATGAGATGTTTAATAACTATTAGGATATTTTCAGTAGAACCTGTGGTGCAGGCATATACAAGATCAATCGTTTTATTTTCTTCCTTTTAACAGAGAAGAATGGAACAATCTTTTGAAGACTTTGGACGAAGACCCTGAATGTATACGCGAACAAGCATTTGAGGGGGATTTAAAAGTTTCGAAATTTCGTAGCATTTATTGGTCCTTATTGTTGCGTGTCTTAAATCCACATTATCGGAGTTGGAGAGAACAACGTGAAAAACAAAGAAAACGGTTCGTAGTTTCGTTTATTTCGCTTTAAATAATTGTACAAGAGTTTATATATTTTTTAAGGTATGAAAAACTTAAAGAAGAATTTATTAGAGATCCGCATGATAACGCAGTGCCTAATGATAATCCATTGTCACAATCAGAAGAGGTACATATTCATTCAGACATACATATATATGCTATAATTATATATATTAAAGAAATGAGTATAACTCAAATTCCATATTTAACTTTAATTTTTAATTTTATGCGTTGTAGAGCGTCTGGAACCAGTATTTCAGTGACCGAGATCTTTTTGCTGTGATACGTCAAGATGTAGTTCGAACTTTTCCTGGTGTGGACTTCTTTAGAAAGACACTAATACAAAATGCTATGGTTCGTTATACATCACAATAATTGACTGCTCACTTTTGTAATAATCTCATAAAATTCTTAAATTAACAGTGTAACATTCTCTTTTATTACGCTCGTGAACATCCATACATGTCTTATCGCCAAGGTATGCATGAAATTCTGGCACCGCTATTGTTTGTATTTTACGGTGATCAACAGTCTTTGCTTCACTTTACCGAAATAGCGAAAAATCAAACTAGGTAAAGATTCGTTATATGTTCGAGATATCAATTTGAGTAAAGTTTTCATCTTACAGTGAACTTCTTTCTAACGTGCTTGATCCAAATTACTTAGAAGCCGATACTTAGTAAGTTGCTTTAATAATTTTTGAGAGAATATCTTTATATAATAGAGAACGTATCTAAAAGATTATATAAATCATAACTTCGTATCAACAATTCGTTGTATACAAAATATTGATCCTTAAATATTTAACTTTTTCCATGTATTCTTATATAATAGTTAGGAATATATTCATAAATGAATAATATCTTGAGTTATATATCTTCTTTAGCTCACTATTTTCGCGTTTGATGTCGTCCATTGAGTCCTATTATCGTATAAAGAACTTCCTGCAATCGCCCACGCACTGTGCTGTCATAGATGATGATGTATGTATGAAATCCACTTTCAATAAAATTTTGATTTTCTATTCAAATATTTAGTTAAATCCTGGCATGGGAACTGGAGGAGAAATCTTAAGCCAACTTAATTCAATTCGGGAAAAAATTCTTGCCAAAGAAGACTTACATCTGCACAATTACCTTCTAAAACTCGATATTCCATTACACATATTTGGAATGTAACTAAATAAAACTTATTCCATATTTTTGTGGAATTTTTTGTTTAATGATTTTTTTTTTCTTCAGCCGTTGGCTTCGTTTGCTATTTGGTCGAGAATTTGCACTACTCGATTTACTCATCATTTGGGATGCGATATTTGCAGACAGCGATCACTTCAATTTGCCAAACTATATACTAGTCGCAATGTTAATACGTATTCGTGACAAACTATTGCTAAGCGATCAAACAACTTGCCTAACATACCTAATGCGCTATCCAACTAATGTTGATGTAAACTTAATTTTACGCCATGCTTTGCATATGCTGCAACCGAAGAGATTCGAACGACCCAGTAATGCATTTGTTTATTATACCTCTAACAAGCAAGGTGCCGTGAAAGGAATAATTCCAATATCACGCAAAGCGAGCGATCCAGAGACTTCCTACAAGTCACCAAAAAGTGGTTCACACTCATCAGGAGAGCATATATATAGAATGGATGAACAAATAACTAAGTTACAAACACAAAATGCTGCAAATTCTGCAGCTCAATTTAGAAGAGATGTTTCTGAAGATGCAAACGCCGTCGCCGAAGGATATTCTAAAAATGTAAGGTTGTCATATAACTTCTATTTACGAGTTAATATATTTCCGTTCTTTTCATAGAGCCTTGACCTTATAAATTTGGAATTACAGAATGCTCAAACTATCATCTCAATAGCTCGTACCAAACTCCAATCATATATATCTACCATAAAAAATAATATCCCTGGAAACAGCTCTAAAGAATTGTTGCAGGCACTAGATGGTATCGATGAGTTATGTGGTTTTCTCGATGTAAAATTTGTGTTTCCAATTCATGCAACTAGACCACCAATCGATGAGGCGTTGGAGGCTAATGAACAAGTCAATTCGAAGAAAAGCCTATGGAAAAAGTATAAAAGTAACGATGGAATGACGTTGGCTGGGGTTGACACTAAGCCGATGGCAAGTCATGAATCTCATAGCGTAGGTGGAAAACACCGCCCTGTTTTAGCAGATACAAATTCCATATCGGAATTTACAATAAATGCTTACGAACGTCCTGATGAGAACGTTTCAGCAACACCATCACATTTATTGCGAGGTGTACGGGAAATTGAACTTCTAACCATTGCAACTTCCGAATATGTCGATGAGTTAACTGAAGGCCAACCGAATATCGCTGATATTCAAAATGTAATTACAACCACAACCAATAGTGGGACAACACAAAAATCTCAATTCAGTAAATGACCGTGTTTGCATAAACACATTCATATTATCGTACAGATATAAAATTTAGCGAAATTCCAAAAGAAATACGTACAAACTTATGTTTGTATGTATGATATTAAAAAAAAATCGTTCTACACAGCTTTACAAATTTTTTTACTCTAATATTGTACTCTTAAGTATATTATTATTGTTTTTTATTTGAATTTATGTATGTATGTAGTTAAGTCACAAATAAATTGTTTACACTTTGTTTGGAGAGAAATGAATATTACGGACTGATGAAAGAATTCATATTTATCAGTGGTTCTCGCCCTGAAACTATTCACGGCAAAAATAAAAATAAAAGTTATGAAGATCATCTAAAATTTGTGTGCTTATAAACTCAATTTTTTTTTAATTATGTATACAGGTAGTCAAGGTTTTAAACAGTTCCATAAATTAGTTTAAGGATATGAGACAACCCTTTTCGCTCTTTTCTAAATTACTTTCAAGATAGTTCATTGCGTTACCTAAAACAATGTGAGAAGAAGATTCATAAGTCTCCAGTTACTGTTTTTACACACACCAATTTTGTCTACCTGCTATCCGTTGGTGCCCTTTACTCCGAATCTTTGTAACTTAAATTTAGTGGAAGCCCGAGAGGTACGCAAACAGCAAAATATGCTCTCGATATAAAAAAAAATTAACCATTGAAAATTAAACGTACTTCTCAGCCATACTGCTACTGTAATGGCTCAGGGGAGTTGCAGACTTCTTCTCTTTTCCCCAAAGCAATTTTAAAATCAATTACGCCATCAATAGTAATATACTGTCTGGACTCATCAATTTAGTCATGCTCGTAGTAGCAATCAATCACTAAAACCACTTGTATTTATGTGGTGAAAAGTATTTCCCTCCACGTGTATTTTATAGTTCTGGGTTTCAAGTTTGCGATCAATCAGATTCAAAACTTAGTTATCTAAAACAACAAGTTACTGAAGCAAACTATTCTGAATCATTTGATATTAAACAATGTTCCGGGACAAGCGACCGCATACCCCGACAATTCTTTAAAATATATGTTAATCCATATTTGGAGAAGGACTTTGTGGATGTCGGCAGAGTTAATAACTTTTATAGCACACAGACAAGTAAGCCGGGTGGTGGATTTACCACACAAACGTCTTGGATCCCAGCTCGAATGTGAGCTCAATGCATAGAACCAATTACAATGGTAGCCCATATTACCATCTCCCGAATATGTAGTTAAGCTAGAGAATACACAGACTGCTTTCGTTTTGTAATGGAACGGCAGTCGAAACAGGGGATCAGCTCTACATATATCGAGGTGACTGAGAGACCTTCTCGTTGTTTTCTGCACAGACTCGCAAAAGCGACTGGCGACTCTTTTGCATTGGCAGAAGTCGTGCAAGGTAAAAGAGCCCACCTCGGCATAGAGCTCGCGAGAAACTATATCACAAAATATCTTAGCAAGAATAATTTACAGCAGTTAAAATTGTCTCTGTCTCATATAAAGTGCATATGAGCATACATTCAAATATATGTACAAATACGTATGTATGTAGTAGTTCCTGCCATTCAACATAACCTATATAAAACTCCTCAAACTTTCGAAGGTGTGCAAAAAGTCCAAGCCACAAAGACTATTAAGAATATTGATGCATGGTACGAGCTCATTAGGAAGCGCACTCTAATATGTATTTTAATGCGTACGGACACTCCGTCTGAAGCTCATATACATATGTATATAGCTCTTCGGTATGTAGTTTGCATTGTCACAGTGGATCTGGTGATAAACAGGTAGTGCTCACAGTCCAATCTTCAGTGCAGAGACGGCAGAGTTTAAGAGAATTCAGCTCAGAAGATAAGCAAAGTTACGTATTGTCCAATGGCTAATGGCACTATGCTTTGCAAATGTATGTATATGCGGATCGAAACTATTCCAGCAGATATCAAAGGAAAAGCACACCGTGGTAGACGTCAAATCGCAGACTAATAAATGATTTTTAGAAGAACTAAAGCGACATTCTGTAATAAAGTTGGGAGTTGGAGATTACCGAAATTTGCTTGGGCGCATCTAAAGACAGAGATGCGGGGTTCTTTTAAGCGAAGACAGCCCTGCATTTTGCAACTAGAAGACATTCTGATACTGACATTACCACAGCTTTCCGTCATTCTTATAGGTTCTTCAAGTTCACTGCGATATTTCTACTGATAAAGGACCGTTCAAGTAACCTTTTCAATGCCACTGCTAAGATATCGAGAATCTACTTTCAGCAAGACCTACCTCTCATTAGAAGAGGATTAAGGCGAACAAGCACTTCCTCTCTGTTAAATTATCAATCCCCATCCATCCGCAGTTATAATCCTTTCCATCTGTTGTATATAGTTGTAGCTTTATAACCGTTGAAGCGATTTTCGGCCGAGCTTCTCCTCCAACTCGTGGTGTGCAGCTGATAGCCGCTTCCGAGCTCTTTAAGTCAAAAGTGCGTTCAGATAATTTGACATTCCTCCCTACCGAGAGTTGAGAGCAATTAACAAAAAAATTTCTTGTATAAATTTGGTATCTGATTTGTCCAGAATTGGAACTCATGACCCTTCGCATAGTAACACGTACCCATTCATATGTTAAAAATAAAATAAAACTTTGGTTTTTAAAATGGCGCATGTGATGATGATGATGATCGTCATCAATTTTTATTTTTTTTTCATTTATTTCATTTTAACTTTTTTCTAATAATACATTTACAGCATTGTACGTAAAATATTTCATAAAAGTTTAGATTTTTGTTAATATGAGATAATAAAAAAGCACGAATTGAGACTTAAATTCTTGTTAAGTAAAAATTTTAATTAAAAGATAAAGAAGCAACAACAACTGCCGAGGGCTGCTACTACGAATATAATAAATATTTATGTATATTCTTTCCTGTACTTCCAATGCATTTTAATAGCAATTTTCAAGACTGGTTTTAAGTTCCAGCTTTGAAATAATATATATATTTCTGAGAATAAACAGCACAACAAACTATTTAATACCACAAATTATTGAAATATCTGAAACGAAATACTCAATTCATGATGTTTTTTGAGAGCAAACATTAATCACTAAGACTTAAAAAAAAAACAATAATTCTACCGAACAATCTATACCTCAACAGTTGTAGTGCGGATATGCAAAATAAAAATTTAATTACTTTTGAAACTAAAAATATCATGATTATGGTTCATCGTCTGGTTCGTTGCATTGACTTGTACTGAGCTCGTTATTATCTGGAATGATTGTATCAGAATTCGGTTTTGGATTAGAAGTACTACGATCTCTCATGGCGAATGTTGAACGTGATGACAATGGTGTTGAGCTTGTACTAGCGGCTGATTGGTTTTTACGTTGCATCGCACGCATTTCCAAATCATACACGATTTTCATTATTTTAACTCGACTCTCTGCAGCCAAATCCAATGGTAATCTTTTAACTGTTTCATTCATACTTTCAAAGAATAAATCGTACGTGTTGCGCTCCCGCTTAGCTTGACTCAAAACATTTAATTCCAACTTTCCATTGTGTTGTTCGGAAACGCGCGAATAGCATATATCCGCATCTGAGGGTGAAAGGGACGCTGCAGCTGAGATGGGTCCGGAAAGCATTGTCAAATTTTGTCGCATTTTATTACCTTTCATTTCGCGAATCAAGCTAAGCATTTCCGTATGAGCATTGGTCAGCCGTGTGGCTAAAGAAACCTCCGAGCCAGATTCATCTAGATTACCACCTTCCATAGTAGCATGTGTTGGATTATGATTTCTAAAAATATATAACAAGATATTATAACATTTGTATTGGTAAATTTATTATGCCTCATATCCACCCACCCATTTTCCAGTGTGTTTTGAGTGTTCTCCTCTAAGATTTCACCATTCTGTTTCTGTAAATAGCTACTTGTTGCTTTTCGATGGCTACGTGAGTTGTGATGTCCCAATGCCAATAAGCCTTCAGTCATTACGCGAGTTTTGCAATATTTACAATAGCCAAAACTTCTATGACCTTCGGGATCCGGTAAAAGCCATTTGTATAGTTTATATTTTGAACTGATGTTGTTTTGGATTTGAGTATCCTCCGTTTTGGAAATTTGTGATGGTTCGGTTTCATTTTGGCGCATTAAATGCGCTCGTATATGTGAAGCAGTGCATTCATGCTTCGATGCGAATTTTGCTGTGGGCACAAAAACGCTTTGTTTGCAATAGGTACAGTAACCGTAGTGTTCACGCGATTCGCTTTCGGTAAATGACAGCCACACATATTTTTTCTGCCAGTCACCATTAGCAAAGATTGGCTTGAGTTCGTCCTCACTAATACCACACTCCTCTTGAGCAACCCTAATTAAGTTAATCAAATAATTTTAGCAATGAAAATAAATTTATTTATAAGAGGCTTTGAGATTTTGTAGATTACGGTAAAATTTAAAATGAAAATGAATATTTTTAATATAAATCTTGCAGGTAATTACATAGTACATACATACCCCTCCATTTGTGAATTTTTCCGTGCAATGTATTTTTGTGTCGCTAATTTATGTCGCTCAGTTTGGTCGTGCACGGCGGGCCTGTACTGATTCGAAAGAACTATCCGACAAAATTTACAAAAAGTTTGTCCGTTCTTTATACGTTTTAGCCAAGGGAAACTAACTACCCTTTCCTTAAAATCTTCCCTAAAAATGTAATGTACGTCAGAACAAAATTATCCTTTTTGGTTTTATGTGAATAAGGACTTACATTTGATCCATTAATTTTTCTTTCTTAGCGTTTTCAAAATATGAGCTTTGAGAAAATCTATGACGTTCCGCTCTCTCGTGTTTGCAGATATTTAAGTTTCTGATCAAAAGCTGTACTTTACAACATTTGCAGTAAATGTAGTTTTCATCGTGTTCGTTTCTCTCATAGCATGGATTTAATTCAAACCACTCATCTGTGAACATAGTGCGCTTTCTGCTCAGAAAAAATAAGTTTTATAATTTCTTTAAATGCATAATAATATAGTATTAATACCGTTTCAAGGTGCTTTCATTTGCTGTACGATCATGTTCTTCACAGTTGGTATCCGCATTGCTCTCATCATTACCATTTGGTAGTTTGCGTTTCATAGCTTCACAATGGGATTGCGACTTTTCGTGGAGAGCTCTTTTTACAGTTGACAATCCATACATGAATCGCTTCTCGCAGTACTTACAGTATGCAAACTTCGGATCATCTGGGTCTGCACAAATCCACCTATGGATTTTTGTGTATTTGCTCCAGTCAATAGGCATATTAGACATAGTAAATCTATAAGAGATAATACTGGGATAAAATTTTCGTACTGAAAAATAAAACACGAATGCTAACTTCTTATCCTTTCTGGCACTAATTGCTAATGCCTGCATATTCTTCCGATGTAACTTGGTTTTTAAATGCTTACGGCAACTATGTTTATCCATTGTCACCCTGCAAACACGGCAGCAGCGTTGACTACTGGAACTCGGTACTTTATCGAATAAGCGCCCTTTCAAAATTTTGCTATAATTTATACATACACATATGTTTTAATATGTTTGCCTATTATAGGTTAATATTTTGCTTAAGTTAGATAATGACAAACCTGGCAAGATGGTTGTTTATTCTGATTATGTTCTCCTCATCTCCGTCTTCGTTAGCTATTTCGGAGTTATTTCCAGCTATTTCTGCAGTATTATTGGGATTTTCATCATTTTCTTGATCCAAAATTAGTTGCTCTCCTAGCTTATGCTTAATAGAATTTTCGTGTCTCTGCCTGTTGACCGAAAATTCTACATCGAAAATACATTTGCAAAGTTTGCAAAATCCTTTGGTACTAACATCATCGTAGTGATTCGGCCGCTCTAACCAACTATGTTCACATAGCCAATTATTCCAATTAAAATCGTTTAACTCCTTAGATCTTTCCAACCTTTTCGTAATTAATTCCATTGAAATGCGCTCAGCATTTGCTATATCTATTTCATTTTTAATAGCAACCAATCCATCTCTAAATTATAATAGATTTGCAATGAATAAGTATAAAATTATAAAAATGTATAAGGAGCTCACTCATTGAATGTTTCACGGCAACTATGTAAGAATGCCTCATAATTTTGTTTTCTCTCTTTGTGTATCAATGCTCCATCATGCCTTTGTAAATAATATGCCCCTTCCACAGTCATATTTTTACCGCAGTAAAGGCAGAAACCTAAACGTTTGCCTTCTGGTCTACGCAGCAACCAAGGATAAGTCTTTATCCATGCTTGCCACTTATCAATCGTACCTCCATCATCGCTAGTAGTTGTTACATTGGCTTGATCTTGGCCGTCATCGCTACTGCGCTCTGCTAGTGCTTCCAATAAATTCATTGGATCTACATCCACTATGGTGTGTTCATCAGAGTCCGCCAATACATCTATATTCTCCATATTTTCAGTGTAATCATCCGGCTCGTCTTTTATATGCACATTCCTTGAACAAACAAACTCCATTTTACGAAATAAAAAAAAGTTATTACCGCCAAGTGAGTTTACTAATAAACTTTTTAAACTATGATGCCGAGTTTCGAATTTAAGAACAATTAAGTATCATTTCAAAAATTTGGCACGATAGGGATATTTTAACTTTTAATTCTTTCCGGCGAAATATATTTACTTGTTCTTCTGATTTCAGGATAATGAATGCGCCGTCAATGCCGTCAATAAAACTGAAAAAGCCTAGACGGCCGTTTGCAAAATTTACGAGCGCTGCCAGATTTTAAAAGTGAAAATTAAATCTTGTCTAAAGATTTGGTCTGAACATTTTGTCGCAACGATAGAGAAATACAATATAAGAAGTTTACACCAAAACTTTTTTATTGCAGGAACATTTCCAAAATTATTGTATAAACTTAATAATGTAACGGTTTAACTAAATAAAGTCTTTATGATTTCCGAAATCCTCCGGATTCGATCTCAATTGCTAAATAAAATTTCAAAAATTGTTGTTCAGCTTTTGGTAGTAAGTACACAATATACTAATTCTCTGGTAATCCCTCAGTATGCTATTCCTCCGTAAACACATAGTTTACTAACTAGCCAGCTCTCCATATGCACACAGTTTAATCTACATAAACACATAGTTGTTCTCCATAAATACACAGTTTATTCTAGTTGTAAACACATAGTTTCCTCCTATTCCTTTTTGCAGCAGAGTTGTCACTAACGAGATCTCTACTATCTAAATATACACAACTGAATATGCTGTGGTGTTGGCAACAACGTTTATATTCCTAACTATTTTTGGTATTCACCTCTAAAAGATTCTGTTCAATTACTTTCGATTAAGAGCATTCGAAGCACGCGCTCCAAACATGCTTCAGTTATTGGCCACTCCTCACCTTACATTAGTATTTGGTATATAAACTTCGACGTCTAAAATGAATACCCAGCGGCAACGCAACACCAGAGTTAGCTAACTTTATTCTTTTTCGCACGTTGACCATTTGCTTATTTTAACTACCATTTATTTTCTTAAATTTGCCGGATTAATATTTAAAACAAAAAAAAAAAACAAGTTGAATATGGTCATATCTCAAATGAAAAAAAAACGCTAATTCTTTGGCACATTTTGCTTTTCAGTTTTTTTTATCAAAACATTTAAAAATCTGTTATATTAAATAATTATTCAACTTGCCGAAGTGTTAACCAATCTATCATGTAACCTAGTACAAAAGTCCTTATGTTATCGGCTTTAAAACTATCGATATCTCAACTACAACAAAAAAAGTATTTTGAAATATGTGCCGAATATCTATCAATTGTAAACACAACAAACAGGATTTACTTACATACATATGTGCATATTATGCCATTGTAGGAATCTGCTTTAACATTTTTAACTTTTACATCTATACCATTGAATCGAAGAAAATTATTAGAAAAATTAAACGTCTTTAAATACAATAATTTATTGTAGATCAGTAATTTTTTATAATAAAAGAGTACAAGACAAATTAAAACTATTCAATAATTTTATATTAAAACTATTTCCTTTGTAAAATCTAAATACATACATTTTTAAAATGTACAGGCCAGATAAATTGCTCGATATCATTGGTTCATATTATTTATTATTCGCTTGCTTTCGGTTGAAATGTGTAAACAATATGGGGGACACCCGTATTTGGGTCAATGACTGCTGATTCCTGTGTTACGGATGCAGTTACTTCTTGATGATGAGTAGTAGTTGCGGGAACTACCATTGCATTATTATCTGTTGTTGTACTGCACTCTTGAGCCTCACGTTCACAGATAGCACGTAATTCGAATTCCGCTATCAATTGCGAAATACGTCCTTTCACCTCAGCACCTAATTTTGGTGGTAAAGCCTTTGCTGTTGCACATACACTATCAAAAAATAAATCGAATGTATCCTTTGTCTGTTGAATTGGTGGTAAATTCTGCCTTTTACGTACTAAGTAATATTCATTAAGGGCATTTCGGTCGCGATCTACTCGTTTAAGCAGTTTAAAGCGATCTAACTTGAAGTTTCGAATCGCTTGGCTCTGACCAGGTGAATCACGATTTTCTGCTGTTTGGAGTTGTCGGTTGTTTTGCCTTTTTATCAAATTCTTTTTCAGTCGGTTTTCCGAAGAGCGCTAAAGATTTGAAATTATAATTAAAATATTAGTGAAATAATAGGGGAAGCAATTTCTCCGAAAAGATTTTAAAATTTATTGCCAATAGAAATAAAAAAAAATTGAAAAGTTCAGACTTACTCCAAAATCAATATTATATTCTGGATCCATTTCAATAGCCTGGCCAAATTCCTGTTCCTCTTCCTCCAACTCACGCCTTGAAAATTTAATAAACATATACATAAGTGTCCAGGTCCAAATTTATTATGTTTTGGCTTACTTTCCACACTCCATGAATTCTGGTGGATTCGGTTGTGATTGATCACCACTATTGTCAAACGAATCAAAACCCTGAAGTCTTCTATGTTTGTATGAATTCTGATGACGTTCCAAATGGCTTTTTTTGCACACAAGACGTTTATCACACACTGTACATATTCCAACTGATTCGTCAACCTTATCTGCTTTGAGCCAGGGGAAATCTTTTTCCCAACGAGCACAAAATTTCTGGCGGGGGTGTCGCAATTCCTTAAGATTTCTACGCACGCGAGTTTTAATTAAAGGTAATCGTGAAAAACTAAATGAGGATGATTAAAATTTATTGCACTTAAATGAATACACAATAAAAGTACCTTTCCTCAGTGTCGTCCTCTGTGGACACATTTTTTTCGTTGTCACTCATTAAAATGTTTCTAATAATGTTTAAACAAAATATAATATTTATGCAACTTATTATTATTTTTTTTTTTGATTTGGCTTATTGGCAGAGATATTATATCCTCATACGTTTGTTCCTTGAATCGTAGGTTCAAAAGACGCGATCTTCTCCACAGGTGTGATGTCGTTTTATTGAGTTCAACTTTCAATTAAATTTACATTAAATCTTCTGGGAAAAAAATTTAGCCAAATGATTTTGAGTAGGTATGAACAAAAACGAGATACTGAAACCGATTATGGTATCGAGAACTGAAAGTCGATGGTTTATAAAATGAAGTTTACAATTTATACCCGAAACAGAACGTGGAATTTGAAACAACATATATGAAGGGTGATCGTAAAAATAAAGGCTGATTTCTATTTGTCGGAGAACGTACATTTCTTTCTCTTCGCTATTATTGTTTTTAAATTGCCAAGTTTTGTAATTACATTTGTATGATACGTATACATATATTTACGTACACGGTGTGTCCCAAAAATAACCGAACTTTTTGGATATAAAATAAAATACACATTATATTATCTTTGAAAGTTATTATTTATTCAAAATATGTTCCATTCGACTCCACACAACGTTTGGAACGATCAACCAGCGCATGCAGATTTTTTTATGTCATTTATGGAAATGTTCTTCAGTACTTCGGTTACGGCTGCTTGAATGGCTAGGATATCATCATAAAATGCTCCCTTCATCTTGGTTTTCAGTTCTGGAAATAAAAAATAGTCACATGGTGATAGATCAGGCGAATACGGAGGATGGTCGATGAGAGAAATCCCCTTTTTCATTAAAAATTCGAGTGATTTTTTGGTCGTCATTTAATTCATGTGGAACAAATCGCGCACAGACCTTTCTTTTCCCCAAATCTTCAATTAAAATTCTCCAAATAGTGTTTTTACTCGTATTCAATTCCTCAGCCAACATTCTCGTAGTAAAATTTGCATCAATACCAATGATTTCACAGACTTTTTCCACCAGTTCAGCACGATTACTAGTTTCTGGACGTCCTGCACTTGGGTCGTCATTTAAATCCTCACGACCATTTTTAAATCGTGTATACCACGTATAAACTTGCGTACGACTCATACAATCATCACAAAATTTGACACAAAATTTTATATTTGCTCTTTGTTCCATTTTATTTTTGAACCATTAGCACACTTTTGGTTTATTGAAATGGCTGCCACTTTTACATCTGTCATCCGACTTACATGATGTTAGGTGCGTTTGAAATAAGATGAATGTATCTTTTTGATGTTGCAAATTTTCAATAGATGGCGCTGTATGTTGTATGATTTAAATATAAAGTTCGGTTATTTTTGGAACACACCGTGTATGTACATTTTACGGCTGCGAGTCATAGCCACAAAGTACACTTTGAAAAATTCACGGAATTGCTTCAATTTCATATACCATGTTTTCTAAAATATCTTTAATGTGCCATAATATTATTTGTAAGGATTTCTCTCAAAATTCCTAGAAGTGCCACACTACTGTTGAGTAGTAATATCCATTTATTTATTTTCCTTTGCTTATATACATATGTATGTTTATTGTCTGTATTTGTGAACAAAAGACATACAAATATTTTTAGTTAAACCTTTTATAAAAAATATAAAAAACGAAATAAAATTACCATAAAAAATACACAACATACATATATCCATTTGAATAATGGCGTGTATGTACTAAAGGAATGACAAAAACTACGGAACCAATAAAAGTAAAAGAAAAATACTTGCTCTGTTCGGTGAGAAGAGTCAGTAAGAATTCGCCATTAATGAATGAAGTAATTAAGAATCACGGAACGTGATTCCATAAAATTCAGTAACAATTTTTAATTGCTTATCGGGTCACCGAACTGAACTAATATTTAACTTCTTGGTATCTTATAACTTAGAATTATTTACAGCCTCCATAATACGTTTAATTTTCAAAAACTGTCGCTGAAATGTTTCGTTAAACTTGTGTGCACTGGTTTTGATGCTATCACGGAATGCTGTGATTTGGATATAAATTCTGAAAAATATTGCAAAAGTATAATTAAAATCATATGCCGGTTAATACAATTATTTTTTTATAATTCTTAACCGAAAATATACTAAACGCACGTGTCTGAAGTTATTGTGTAGAAAACACCATATCCATCTAACGTCATAGGAGCTACAAATCCAACATTGGTGGAGTAGCCTAATGTGCTTGTGGATAGAATAAAGTTTCCGCCACCACCACTTTTAATATATAAAGGGTCATCAAAAAACTCCGCCACATCTATTTGATTTTCGTGTGCTATACACCACAGCCCGAAAAGGTGTCGATCCACACCATGCCCCTTTCGAGCTTCATTCATCATGTGATTGTGATGATTAACAGCATTTCGAAATGAGGTAACTATTTCTGAAGTGGAAGATTTCGATTCTCTCGCAATTTGAATAAACTTGTATACTTCGCTTGAACAAGATCGTAAAGTTTCCGTTCTTCCATTATAAAAATGACGCATTAAGGCAGTTTCATATGTGGAAGCGATCCTTATTCAGTTTCGAGTAGATTGTTATTACGTTGTTATGTATAATCATAAAAAATATTAAATGTACATCAAAGATGAATATATATTTTTTAGCATCATATCTATGTATAGAGCGAAAAAAGTAAACTATTCTTACTCTTTATGTAATTCCGCATATGCTAACTGCATAATAACTTGAACAAAAGAGTCTGGATGTAAATTCCATGTTTTGATAACATCTTTTCCATATTCGTTGAAAGAGTCATGAGTAACAATAACATCATTTCTCTATATTTGTTTAAGTTAAGTTAGGATAAATACGCTTATGAATTTCAAAATTCTTAATTATCATTACCCTTCGATCACACTCTACTTTTGTACGCTCTATCTCTTTCTGAAGTTCAACGTCCAGGTCAAACTTTAATTCCTTGAGTGCAACAACCTTGCTGGTGTCGGTTGAACTCCAATCTGGTTCTGGAGTTTCATACATACTTAGTTGTACGAAAAGTGCATAGCTCACGCTGATTGTACCATCATAAGCAGAATGCTTTAAATAAATAATAACAGAAAAAATTATTAGAATATAAATAAATAAATACTTGAACTGAGTAATGATGATAAGAATTAAATCTGTACATATGTATTTTTGTATACGGGTTTGTACATATTGATTATATATTGTATACCAGAATTTACCTCCCCAACACATGCGAATCGTCCATTTTTATAAGCAATTATGGTGCTGCTCCTATCTCCCCACTTTGAATGATAATCGCCATTAACACAAAAAAGCGAAATTTCTTCATAACTTTGTGGCTCATTTTCATCAAATGCAATGACGATTGAAGAACTTTCTATAATCCTTATAGTTTCCCTATTTTTCTCCGAAATTTCTTGAAGTCGTAAATAATTCTGTGGTTTTTGGAAAGCATTATATAATTTTACTCTTATTCTTAAATATGAATGAACTAACATTTGCCCAAGTAGTCCGATCACCATGTGTAAGAATTGGTACACAATCCCCAATTGGCTCATAATCTAAAATTGTTCGAACTCTTTGTAATACGATAAGAATTTCCTGCGGAGTAATTAACGTGCCATCAGTATGAAGGCAATCAAATACGAATATACGTCCTTTTCCAGAAATAACAGCATGAGAGGGTGTTGGACCTTCTTTAACTGAAGATATTTGTTTCATATCCTTGTACATAAATGGTAAAAACTTTTATTCCATTCATACCTGTTTTGAAGAAGTTCTTTATATAATCATATTCAGTGCCTGGTGCTCGAGTTGTTGAGAAAAATCTTTTATATAATGCCGATGAATATTTAACTGTGCCTCCATTGGATGAAAGGGGTTTGATCAAGGCTTTACGAGCCAAATCCCAAAATTCAAGTGTATGATACATCAATCGCGATAAATTCTGCATGCATATATATTCAACAAAAATAAATAATTATACAAATGTCGAAGGCTATTAAAGCACTTTGCAAACCTTGAGCAGAAGGGCAGGTGTTTCTGGTATATTTATAACTTCTAATTTTACTGGCATAGCCATTACTATATATGGATTAAGTGGCAGTCGTAACATATGATAGGCATATTTATCCCACCATTCGTCAACCCAGTTCTTTCTAGTCGCAGCATGTTTTACTAATTTTTCTTGTAATTCTGCACCAACACCAGATTCAAATGTTTCTATAACATTCATGGAATTCGCTAGCTCACTTGGCGAGCCAAAAGGTTTAATGGATTCATAGTAGCGTACTAGCGTATCATGGAGTTCTGGCAATGGCAGTGGCGGCAAGGTTTCATCAAAATCATATGTATTTGGCTCTCCTTCATTCAAAAAGTAAATGCTAGCTCGATTCATGGCTTAAGGATCTCTTTTAAAGTATATCTGTAAGTGTGAAGAAAAATAGCACAAGTCGACATTTATACAAACCATTAAACTGTGTCTAGAAGTTATATCAGTGCTTATCTAAATATATATACATATTTCCCACGAGGGAATGAAATAAGTAAATCACATCATTACAATTTTAAATTCATGAATAAATAAAAATTTGCGTAAAAATAACGCACTTTGATTTCAAGTCTGCATTTATAAAATAGCGGGTATATTGCTTTGTAGAATTAATTATACATTTCGCACCGCAAATGAACAATATTGATACTATACATATGCATATATCTTATTTACTATAAGGTCTATAATGATGCCAATAATGGATATTAATTATTTTTACTTCACAACCAGAAAAGAAGCACCGAGATTAGAAAGTAAACGAAAATTAACTGATGTTTGTTTGTATGTAAAACGACCTTTGATTAGCAAAAAAATAAAAAATCAAACGGTGGGCAGCGAATGATGAACTAACCGTCTGATATACTAGGTGTACTTGGTATATATTTGTGTTCAGCAAGTGATTCCAGAACCGCTCTGCAAGAATGTTTGCAAACAACTGAGTGAAACGATATCATAGCTTGAATTTATTAATTTGTCTTTACACTTTCAGGTTTGGTAGAGCACATATTCAAATTTTGAAAAATTAATTAAATGAATATAAAATAAAGAAGTTGACAGTAGTAACATTCGGAAAGAAGTGATATTTTGCTCTTCTTGCAACTTAACTTTATATACATACATTATACATTTAAATTTGAATAATCATAAAGTAAATTTACCAAAAAATTCTCTTTGTGCCTTAATAAATATTACATTTTCCTCCAAAAAGACTTTTGCAATTAGGCAACTAATTAACTAATTAATTTCCTAATATCATTTACTTTTTGCTTATTTATAAACAATAAAATGACCTAGTCAAGAGAGCTACAGTCGTGGCTAATAAAATGCAACACTGCTCACAAGTGGTCTAGGTGAATTTAGGTAAGGTGAATATAGTCTTGCATTCATTCAAAAGCTCCTCATAAAAAAACATCAGCCATTCGGAGGCGGCTTAGCATAAATTATAGGCCCCTCCACATCAACACACAACCTAGTTGCATCAGGGGTCAATGGAAAGCGTCAATGGAAGAACCTACAAATTATGGGGTGCTTTTATTTCATGTCTTAGAAACATACTACTACTTATGATTAATTTCTACACTCGTTTATTCGACTCGGGTTAAACGTACAAGCATAAACGTCAAATGTTCTGCTCGAGTTGAATTCGGATTGGAATTAATATCAGTTCTGCCAAGCCCAACTTTTGGAAATTTTAGTAAAAATTTAGGTAAAAAAATTTATTTTTGGCAAAAGTTAGAAACACGGAAACTGCATGAATCAATCACTCTCTCAGTTTTGTTCACCCTGTAGCGGCTCATTAAATATCACAATTTCATAGTGCCGACAACATTACTATTTGATACAAAAAGCAAGTAATTTGATGAAATAATGAACTTAAACAAATAAAGGGACATTTATATTGGAAAATGACTTTTTAAAAACAAACAAGCAGTAACATGTTACCCTCCCTTGGCTTATTTAAAGGATTTTCGTGTCCATATTATACCGGATTAAATAGCAATAACAGTAATGTTGGATTACAATCCTGCCAAAGGCCTTATTGCCATTTTAAGCATGTGCGAAAAGGTATGTACCTTGTGAAATGTTATACATATGCAATTAAATTCTTTTGTTTTTCAGATGAAAACATAAGCTCGCAAAACATATCTATGCCTGAGTATAAACCTTCACCAAAGCTACTTCCATTACCAACAATTACAAAATCTAAACCAAAGTTGGAATACCAACCCGAAAAACCTGCGTTGAATGCCAGTCCTTCAAAGCCCTCACTTGGTATTGAAATCAACGCTCCAATTTATATCCCAGGAGCATGTAATAATGATGATCAAGGCTTGTTTACTTTGAATCTTGATGATTGTGAAGATGAGTTAAACGAACTTGGTGAAATACTTGAAATTGAAGTAGATAAAGACAATAAAAATATTGATGAAGGCCAATATGATTGCGAGCAAGGAGATATTTCAGAAAATCCAAATAGTGAGGATGTTAACGAGGAATTAAACTCTGTGATTACAAAACAAGAAACTGTTAACAAAGGAGAAAAAACAAGTTCACATCATAGTAGTAATAAGGATATAAAGATTAAAAAACAAAATTCACTTTATGAAGACTCATCGGTTTCAAAGGATAAATCACATCGGAAAGAAAGCACTCGTATAAAAGTCTCCAGACAAGAAAAGAAAGAAAAATCCAAAACAGATACAAAAAAACATAAAGATCATAGACAAGATGGGCATCGGAAAAAAGATAGAGACAGAAGTAAAACTCATGACAATGAGAAAGATGGCAAATCTGCTTCTTCTTCATCTTCGAGATCTGATTCAAAAAGTAGGCAATCATCTAGTTCATCTGACGGCAGGGAGAACTCCAGACATAGTAGTAGTTCCAAAACAAGCTCAAAGAAATCTAGTACTTCAAAATCAAGTCACAGCCCTTCAAAAGTTTTTGAAGAAGAAATAAAATTAGCCAAATTACCATTAAAGACCGAAACTCATAACTCACCACCCAAGCTAACGGAAATCCCAGAACAATCCCCAATGTCGGAAGAAATCAATAAAGAATGCCAAATGATATATGAGCAATTGGAAAAAGATTTTGCCTCCATGCATAAAGATAATGCTGCTGAAGCGAATAATTGCACAGATGATTCTAAAGCGTCTAAACGCAAGCAATCGGAAGATGACGAGTATGTTATTAACTCTTTGCAAAAGAAGCGGGTGGCTTATCAAAATGCCGAGAAGTTAAAGGTGCAATCTCCACTATTGTTACGTAAGCCAGATCACATACGAAATGCTATGCAGGTAATAACAAAAAATTTTGGTCTATGTCTTGGTTTGTAGTGCAATTTTCATAAAATATTTATTACAAATTATAGGCCATTTTCAATCGTCAAACTGCCATGCATCGCAAAAGGGAAGAGGATGCTTCTGCGGAGGCGGCCGCTGTACGCGAAGCCGAGGAAAAAGTACGTGAGGCCAACGAAGCGTTGAGGAAAGCAAAAGAAAAGAACCGATCAAACAACAACAACAGCCAACTAACGCCACTCATACCGAAGAGTTATTTAACACCTCCATTGCGATTGGGCTGTAAGTTTTCCGTAGACATACAAAAATTGATTATATATTTTTAATCTTACAGCACGTACAATCGCACCTGTCGCGAACATTATTGCCTTAGAGCGTGCAAAGAAAAAAGTGGAGGAACTTAAAGCAGAAAAAAAGCCTGCATTTACACCCGCGCAAACAACAAAGAAGGGCGAACGAGTTGCGCATAAATTAACAGCAGCTTTAGCAACTAAAGAAGTGGTACGTTTTTCCTGTATACGTTAAGAATTGTAAAAATAAATAAATGCTTATTTTCTAGATAAAACCTGCTAAGCCACCAGTTCTGGAAGCAAATTCATCAAAAATATCATTTAATATTCGTATGCAGTATTACGAAATGATGGTAAAACATTGTCTTGCCATATACCCAAATATGGCCGATGCTTGGGAGCGGGTAAATAAGTTTTACTTCTTAAGGCACATGTTGTTGTTTTTTTTTTTATACGTAGATGCACTAACTTTTCTTCTGGATTTGCAGGCACAAACAGAAGAGCTCGCCGTGTTTAAAAAATGTAATACACCAGTAATTTATAAAAGCAGTGCTTTGTTAGCTATTAACAAATTAAGAAAGGAAGCAACTGGTAGTGTTCACTTTATAAGTATTATTCATTGTAATTTAAATTTACCGATTTTCAGATTCTGGGAACAAACCGGCCGATACAAATAAAATGGTCTCTCACGAAGTCATATTAGCCGGAAAATTAGCAAAATCAAATACATGGAGCGTTCAAAAAAAAATGTATGTTTTTTTTTTATATTTTAAACCATAATGAATGCAGTGAACTATTGTTATGAAATTTATATAGAAGAAGTGATGCGAGCGATGGTAATGAACCATTTGATAAGTTGCCCGGTCATAAAGCATACGATATGGTATATGACTTACGCCTCACAGAAGAACAGCTAACCTCAAACGGGTTTCCGCGAACTGGGAAAGGCCCGGGTATTGCAGTTATAACGAGCACAAGACCTTCGCGCCGTCCAAATGCCGACGAACGCTACTGCAGTCGTTGTGGAAAAGTGTTTAATTTGAATGTATATGATGAGGTGTGTGTAGATGAGTGTAACTATCACCCAAAAAGTGCTGGTTATCGTAGAGGTTTGTAAAGTGATGCATATGTATTATACACCGTATTATTTAATAATAACCTCTCTTTAACAAGGCTTTGCGGACAACCACCATCGTTGTTGTCAGCAACCGGCTGGAACACCTGGTTGTTCATATGCTAATTACCATGTTACTGACTATGTCAATTATGATAATCTCACCGGTTACATTACAACAATTGATAAAGATAGCGACTATATACCCACAAAGAAAGATATCTATGCGCTTGATTGTGAAATGTGTTATACAACAGCTGGTATCGAATTGACCAGAGTTACAGTCGTTGATATTAACGGGCGCACAGTGTATGATGCGCTTGTTAAACCAGAAAATAAAATTGTGGACTACAATACTGTGTGAGTAATAATTGCTCCAATACTGAACTTTTCATACTCTTTTTCGGCTCCTAGAATTGATTATTATTATTTATTTATTTTTTTTTATTTTTTTTTTGTAAAATACAATAATTGCAAGTTCGAGCGTTTCTACTTTTATCCATTGAAATTATTACTTGTCGTTTTCATTAGTTATTCTGGTATAACGGAGGCAATGTTAAAAAACGAGACACGCACATTGCGGGATGTACAAGCCATCCTCTTGTCGATGTTTCATTCGAAAAGCATTTTAGTCGGTCACAGCTTGGACAGCGATCTTAAGGCATTGAAACTAATACATAGTGTAGTAGTAGATACATCGGTATTATTTCCACACAAAATGGGGCCACCAAAGAAGCGTGCACTCAAAACCTTATGTATTGAAAATTTAAAGCGCATCATACAAGAAAATGGTATGAAATTCATATTATATCTTTCTAACACACCAATAAATTAATGAACTTTGCAGAAGCTGGTCACGATAGTGCAGAGGATGCTGAAGTATGTATACAATTAGTAAAATTCTATCTGCGTAATAAAATAAGTTGAGCATTTGTCAACTTGGAAGAAATTTTGGCAAAGACGATTAATACATCACCTATAGTAAAACATGAACAAAAAATAATAGTGTATTTAAATATATATCATATGGGAATTTCATCGTGTAATTTAATTTTTTATTTATTTATGAAATCAAGCTTAAGTTCAATTTTTTCCTTATCATTATCATTAATAAATTTCAGTTAAAATATTACGGCATTATTCGAGCATTTAGTTATTTGTTTTGATATTTACATATATCTTCAATTTTAAAAGAGATCAGAGTGTGTTTTTCTCATTTTTATTAGTTTTTTCTATAAATTTCGAGCCAGGCCGCAGATGGTCTATTTACCTATGAAAAACTGAAAAATAAAAGAATACTCCAATATAAGATCAATAATCTATTATAACTTTGACCGCGATTTTTGGCAACAGTCTTTAAAAGAAGCACTTATCGCCTTCATATAAAAAAAAAATTCTCAATTAGTTAACACCAGGTTGTCACAATTTTGTTGAATAAATAAGGTAATTGTATTTCACTGAAGAAAAAAGTTAATTATACAATTTATATTTCAAATATAACACATCTTTTCCAAGGTTACATAATTCTTTACTACATTTTTTTTTAAAACTACAGTTAATTTATTAAAATTCATGTATGCGTATATGTATATGTATGCAAATACGAATAAACCTTTGAGAGAATAAAGAGTAAGCAATAAAACAGAACCTTTATGATAAATTATCTGACTTTATCCATTCATTGAAATTTTACGAAAGTAGCTATGCTATTTAGTGATTTTGTTTGAATTTGCATACAAATGGACATGGTTAATGTTCATCTTTTCGATTTTGATCATAATTTTTTATTTTATCGATTGAAGTTTATGCAACGATTATAGGTAATTTTGAAGCTCACTCATTTGTTATTATTATAGAGTTGTTCATATTATTCTCCGATTGAGCATTTTCACCAGTTTTGGACGATTTATCTGCAATAGCAGCTACATCGTCACCAAGTGACGCATTACCAATGCTACTACTATCTCCACCGCTGTTGTCTATAGTCGAAGACGGTGAGGAACTTTTGCGATTCGGATTAGTTGTTGCTGCCTGTCCTGCCTGTGGTGGCTGGAAAGCCGGACGTTGAACAAACATATTATCAATAATATGATCAATGTTTTCGGCACTACCAATGGGTGCCGACGACTGAGCACCGTTACCCTGTGATGCTGAATTGCCTGTAAGAAGTTTCGCTTCATCCTTGGCATCTGCAGAACGTTGCTTATTCTTTTCAGACGGCGGTAATATGGGTATGGCGTTGGTTGGACGTCTTTGTGGTAGTACCACTGGTCGTGTAGTTGCCTGCGCAGGTGGCACAAAATACGTGGTTCCGCCAACTGTGTTGTAATTCTGATAATTCGAAAAGTTTGCATTGCTATTGTTTGCTGCAGATCCAGCCGCGTTTGCCACTGTTGCTGGTGGTACAGCTGTTGGTTGACCAAATGATGTGGCCGGTGCACCTGCCACTTGTGGTGGTGTAGTCGTAGACGGTCCACCGGCATAGGCAATGTTAGCTGTAGTTGGTGTCGAGGATGAGGGCAGGTAATTTGAAGGTGCCTGTTGCGCATATTGACCAGGAGGTTGCGCTTGTGTACCAGCAGCAGCTGAGGCAGTATAGACATCGGGAGAAGCAACATAAAATGCAGTTTGAGAGGTTCCAGTATTTCCAGAGTTGGCATATGGTGTTCCTTGAGATGCAGGCGGCACAGGGGCATACCCCGAATTGGTCTTCTGTGGTTGACTTGGGTTCGGAGTGGCCTGAATAGCTTGCATTGCTTGTAGGTTTTCCTGATGATAAAGTTGCATGAGGTTAGCTTGTATCATATGTTGGTCTTGTATTAGCATCGGAGGTTGTTGTTGTTGTATATGCATTTGCTGCATTTGATCAGTTATATGTTGTGCTTCATGTTGAGAACGACGTAAACTTGAGTAACGTTTTGGTGGCCCCCGCTGTTCTTGTGGTATCTGTTGTAATGGTTGAGCTGGGGGACTCTGTTGATTATTGAGGACAACATTAGCTCCTGCCAATTGCTGTTGCTGTCCAACTATTTGATTTTGTGAAGCCAGGGCATGCATTTGAACACTACCAACGTGACTGGGATCGTTCCGATTCTGAACCTGTTGCAGGCGCTGCGATAAATTAGAAGCAGGTGGAGTATTTTTTGGCTGTTGCTGTTGACGTATTGGTATATTAGAAGATTGTTGTTGGGATTGCATGGGCGATTTTGGTTTTTGTTGCGAGTAAGATGAATGATTACCACCACTAATGGTTACCTGATGATCCATAACCTGGCCATAAGCATTTTCCGCTTGCGACTGTCTGGAATGTGTTTGCCCCTTACCATTACCACTTTTATGTTGATTGTGGTCCACCATTCCAGAATTTTGTTGGGTGTTGGACTGGTGACGATTGTTACCTCGATCATAATGTGAATCGTTTCGACTATTTTGAGAGTCTCTATATGAAGGGCCAGAGTGTCGAGCGTTACGTTGCTTTTGTTTAAATTCCATTGGTGCCTGTCTACCAACATTACCCGTATGATTACTGAAGTTTTTACCTTTACCAACCTTCATATCACGGCGCTCTTCTTGTTGCTGTGATGGTCTAGACGAGCTACATGATTTGTCCAAATTGGATCTTTTGTCCATTCGATTTTCTTTCTCTTCGCGAATGGTTTGTGGTTTTCTTGTTTTATGTGCATTACGTTCATTTAGAACTGGGAAGTCTGAAGGACGTGGTGGTTTACGCTCTTTATTACTTGCTTTTAAATAAGCGCTTTCATCTTCCCAGTTACGTGAATACTTACTAGGGCCACGACCATATCGGCGGCGCCGACGAGCCCGCGGTGGGGCATCTTCCGTCCGAATGTCATATCCGTAAGCGGATACCAACTCGGTACGTGACTTTGGAGCCTGCTCCGAGGCATCGAATCGGTCGTGGCTCCAACGTTCTACAGCTGATGCTGGCTGCCATTTCTTCATTGTTTTCGAAGCTTGAGATATTGTAGGTGATTGTGGTGGTTTTACCCCACTGACCGCACCATCTTGGGATTCACAAATTTCATCAACATTTACAGATCTATCGACATCAATTTCAGCTGTACGATCATCATGTTCATAGAATGTTCCACGCTTCGGTATGTACTGCGGGTTGCTGCGATCCTCATCTACTTTCTTTTGCTCTTCTATTTCTGCTTTCTCTAAACTTATGCTACCTTGTCTTTCATCTTCTTCATCGTCGTCGTCATCATCATCGTCAGTCATGCTTTCTCCATCTGTCATACTTTCATCATCTAAATCGTCGTCATCCTCTTCATCGTCGTATTCATCAACACCACCTTCGAGGTCTGATGCGGTATCATATTCTGAATCATGAGGATGGGAATTACTTGACTTTTCTTGTGTTGGCGAAGTACCAAATTCCACTGTATTATTGCCGGCAGCTTCACCTAATTCAGATAAAGGTATGTCAGCGCTGCTTATATTAGCTTCAGGAGAGCTCGTCGCTGTTGTTGAAATTTTCTCAACTTCAGCCATTTCTATTTTCTACAAATTTGCGGAACCTAAAAACTTTAGTTAAAATATCAGTTGTCTATGTTTTAGCAAACCTAATTTAAAGATATTTACCTGTTTTAATAAATTTTACACAATGATATCACACACCTTTATTAATTGGTGAACTAAAATATTTTCTTCAAAAAAAGGTGTTCCAGCTCACAACGCAATCACAGAAAATAGAAAGTTCGAAGAGTCGCGTAAAAAACCCGAATAGACAGAAAAAACTTACAGAGTTGTATTTTTATATTCTACTACAAGGTGCATCGAATTATTAACAAAACATTACGATATTAATTAAACAAAATATGTGTAGGTTGTAGGATATCCAACATATTCCTTGTTTTAATTATGCAACCAATTTCATAGTATTAAATTTTATAGTACAACTTTGATATCATATATGTACATTACATTTGTTTAGTTCCTGGTTATCGCCGCAATGGTGTTAATCATAATGTACGGTATTTCTAAAAAGCTTTTATCCATTTGGCAGCGCACAAAAAAGTGAATTGTTGTTGCGAAAAGAAAAGTGAAGGAAAGTTCAAAAAGAAATGTCTGAAAATCATTTATGCTTCTTGTAAAATTAAGCCAGGAAATTGCATTTTCCTATATTAAAAATGACTATATTTGTTTTGTGAAAGATTGAAACCAAATTTTTAATTGCTTGGTTCCAGATAAAAGCCACGGGGCATTTAACCATAATTTGAATACATTAAGAAAGAGTGGAGGTGGTGGTGCAGTAAAATCTTATTTTCTTTTAGTTTTTTAGCAAAAGGCGTTAACAATTGTGTCGAAAATATGTTATAAAAAATGTGATTCAGAAGTTATAAAATATAAAAAACAATAGGTTTTATTAAATAATTTCATAGTGTATTAAAATCAAAAAATGTGTGTGGCTTCGACACAGTTCATATGCTACAGGAAAAACACGAATGATGATGGAAGGCGAGATTCGCAGGTGCAGCGATCACATTTGGAAAAATGGTCTCAAAATAAGGATATAAGCAAACAAAATGCATTAACTGACTTGAACTTGCTAATATCCACTACATCGCTGAGGCCTTTAAGATTTCCCATGTTATCGTCTTCCAAGAGCAATACTTCGATTATGGTATCATCAATTTCCCCTGCGCATAGTTTTCCCATATTCAACGCGAAATACCGGCGGAAATGTTTACTCCTTTTACTATTACTAATCTTCCATAGCTGTTTTAGTGAGTTTAGTCGCGTTGCTGCTTTTAATTGCACACTCCAAGGCAATCACTGCCAAAATGAAGGTCAGTGCCAGAAGGATGGACAGTGCCTTTGTGCTGATGGCTGGCAAGGTCCTGAGTGTCAGTTTTGTGGAGGTAAAGTGAGGTAAGTTTCGCTTTGGGAAAAACTGATGTTATATAGGTTTTGATAGCGGTTTCACACCATACAAATATATGTGTTATCATAAAGGTGTTTTAACCAAATGATTTATTAAGGCGGACTATTGTTATTGATTTGTGTTTGTTAGCTTAAAGCAATTTTGTGGCTTCTGAGTAGCATAGGCTTTCTTGTATTCGTTTTATTTAACGAGCCATTTATGCATTGTTTTTTTTGCATTTGCCATGATATTACCTTACGTGAATTTACAAGTTCATATTGTAAAAACATTCATATATGTAACTGCGGATGTGTATGTACATATGCATATAAAAACTCTTATCTCCTTATCTCAATATTCAGTGACGCGCATTCGTATATTTGAAAATTGCATTCGCGGTAATTATAAATTATTGAATATGCACACACATTTGTACATGTATTTCAGCTTTGCTTAGGGGTTCAAGAATTTACCCCGGTAAGGCATGTCTGTCGTAAAGTCCGACTAAAGTGTAGTAGTTACGGCGACACCCGGGCATTTATATCAAATCGACCCGGATTTTTATCCGGACAAGGTATATCACACCCGCAAAATTCTCAAAAATTACAGCAGCACCAACGCTATTATATAAACATCTAAATTTGGATATTTGTAGATATTCTCAAAGACAATCTCGTAATACATATTTGCAATTATTTTTCATTTTAATTTAAGATTATATCATCAATCTGGAACCATTCATGATGGAAATGGCAACTACTCAGTGAGTGTGAAATGCAGTTGGCTGATTGATACTCGACACCCCCACTCAAACTCGCTAAGAACGCCTTCCATTCGAATCCATTTGCGCGAATTTGCTACGGAGTGTGGTTGGGATCATTTATATATTTATGATGGGGATAGTGTAGATTCGCCACTATTAGCAGTTTTTAGGTAAAATGATATAATTATATATATAAAAACCAATTAATTACAAATGCAATTGCCTTTATAGCGGATTGATGTACAGAGATAATTTTGCAATACGTAAAGTTCCACAAGTTATTGCACGATCGGGTACAGCGCTGTTACATTTTTTCAGTGATGATGCCTACAACATGTCTGGTTTCAATCTATCTTACAAAATGGATGGATGCCCTACAACTACCGAAGGTATGTGCAATCTAAATATCAAAATTCTAAGCTTGTAATAATCCGTGTGTATCATGTTGCTTAGAACTGGAATGTTCTGGCCATGGAAGATGTAGTGAAGGAGACTGTATTTGTGATGCCTTATATAGAGGTGAGGCTTGTGATATATCCGCATGTCCTAACAATTGTTCGGCGGATAAGAGTCAGGGCGTATGCAAGGAAGATGAAGAAAGGTATGGGATTAAGGTAGATGTAAATATCTGTAATTTCTAAAATATAAATTTAATCGTTTACAGATGTCAGTGTAACGATGGTTTTGGTGGTAATGATTGTGGGCAGCTCAAAGCCCTGGGTGTTTGGACTACCATCTATCCCACACAATCGCCGCCTCCACCGGGTACTGCATCCCATGGTGCTGCTGTGTGGCGCGATACGCTTCATATTATCGGTGGAGAATCATATGGGCGCGGGGAGCTTATGACCACATATGATTTTAATGGCAACGTATGGGAAACGTTGCATATTGAGGGTGGCAGCACTGTACCTGAAAAACGGTATGGAGCTTCCACAGTAATGTATGGTGACAAAATCTTCATGTACGGTGGTGTAGTAGAGGGGCGTGGCATTTCCAGTGAGCTTTGGGCATTTGATGTTTCAGCTAAAACTTGGGAAAATATTACCGTTAAAAGTGATTCATGCAATACAACGGCTTTAACACTACCCGCTATGTGTGGTCCTTTACGTGTTGCCGGTCATACAGCTACACTGGTACCCGGCTTCGGTGACAAAAATAATTATCAATATATGATTTCAATTTTCGGTCAATCACCGCGATATGGTTATCTGAATACGGTACAAGAATTCAATTTTGGCACAAGAGAATGGAAAATTATCGAAACGTTTGGCTATGTGGTTAAAGGTGGATTCGGTCATAGCGCAGCATTTGATTATTTAACGGAGAAGGTTTACGTTTATGGCGGTATTATATCAGAAAGTGAGTCCAGCCAAGTACTCAGTTCCAAGTTATATGCTTATGAGCCCTCAACACGCATATGGACTTTACTTTCCTCTGCGCCGAGTGCGCGTTTGCTGCACACCGCTAATTTTATTAATCATGGTCTTATGATGGTGTTTGGCGGCAACACACATAATGATACTTCACAGAGTTACGGTGCGAAATGCTATAGTCAAGATTTATTGGTTTACGATGTTTATTGTGATTCGTGGCATGTGCAGGAAATGCCTCAACATTTACAAACCGATTTAGCCAGGTAAATATTAATATGCAAATGTTCAACATTTAGTCAAATAGAAGTTTTGGCAAATTTAAGACTTGTTTGTTTTTATTGTAGTCATGCATTTAAATATTTTTGCTTTCTTTTTTTAGGTTTGGCCACAGTGCAGTTGTTTTCGAAGATTCGCTTTATATATATGGGGGCTTCAACGGTCAGTTATTAAACGACATGTTGCGCTTTACACCTGGCAATTGTAGTTTTTATACGAAGCAGGAAAAATGCACAAACGGTCGTCCTGGTGTCAAATGTATATGGGACGTGCAAAAAAACCGTTGCATTCCAGTTACTCAAGTACAACGTTCTGCAATTTTTGGTCGCGAACCTTACGATTATGGTGTATGCCCGTCTAAAAGTCGTATCACAATGACTTCCGAGTTGTTAAATGATGTAATGCGTTGCCAAGAGCAAAGCAATTGCCAATCTTGTGTAGCGAATTCATATGGCTGCACTTACTGTGGTAATGGTATTTGCACTCGAGAACGTTGCCGCGAATCTACTTTAATAACAACACTTTTTTACGATTCTGGTAACCAACAAAAACATCAACAACAGCAACAACAATTTGTGCCAGCTGCTGTTCCAATGGCAAATATTAAGCGTTTAGAAAATTGTCCAAAAACAGAGGATTTTATGATTATTACATTTTGCGAGCAGTTGCATAGCTGCCACGCCTGCTCAGCTAATATGGACTGTAGTTGGGATGCGGAACACAATCGCTGCAGACCTTATTTATCGAATAGTTCTCATTTGAATCGCACAAGAGACGATATAGTTTGTCCACAGCCGTGTGCTACATTGACAAATTGTCACAATTGTACGGAGGACGAGTGTATTTGGTGCCAGAATGAGCAACGTTGTGTTGATCGTAACGCATACACACCTAGTTTTCCCTATGGCCAGTGTCGAGAGTGGACTACGCATTCAGCAAAGTGTCGCTCATCGCCTTCCAATACTGGTGTCGGTCGCTCAACAGCTGCACAAACCAGTGCTCAATGTGGATTCTATAATAGTTGCACTCAATGTTTGGACGATCCGGCTTGTGGGTGGTGCGATGATGGTTCCAATACGGGTCTGGGCAATTGTATTGCTGGTGGAGCTATGTCACCTTATGATGTTAACGAGTGCCCATTAAACCATTGGTTCTTCACCTCTTGTCCATCCTGCAATTGTAATGGCCACTCCCATTGTCCGGACAATAACATTTGTGAGCAACCATGTTCAAATTTGACCACGGGTTATCATTGTGAAAAGTGCAGTAAAGGCTATTGGGGCAATCCGATTAATGGCGGTCATTGTCAAAAATGTGAATGTAATGGGCAAGGTGAAAATTGCCAACCAGATACGGGAAAGTGTTTTTGCAATACAAAGGGTATAGTGGGCGATCACTGTGAAAAATGTGACACCTCAAATCATTACAATGGTGATCCGATAAAGTCATCGTGCTATTATGAACTCACAATTGATTATCAGTTTACGTTCAATCTCTCGAAGAAAGAAGATAGGCATTTTACAAAAATAAATTTTCGTAACTCACCACAAAAGCCTGAGATCGATGCTGATTTTACAATAACCTGCAGTGTACCTGCTAAAATGGATATATCAGTTAAGAGAGCTGGTATTAAAGAAAAATTCTTATTTGCTGGTATCAATTGTTCCACGTTCAGACAACGTTTCCCTAAAACAGAATACTCCTTCGGACATTCACCGGAAGATAACAGCTCCATAACTACATTCTATGTCTTTGTGCACGACTTCCGCCCACCAATTTGGATTCAGATAGCCTTTTCGCAATATCCAAAGCTGAATCTACAGCAATTCTTCATAACATTCTCTACATGTTTCTTACTGCTTCTCCTTATGGCAGCTGTTCTTTGGAAAATAAAACAAAAGTACGACATGTTCCGAAGGAGGCAACGATTATTTGTCGAAATGGAACAAATGGCTAGCCGTCCATTTTCCCAGGTAAATAAAACGATCTCTGAAATTCACATTGACCTCTGTATCCCTGTTTAACCCACAGGTTGTAGTGGAAATTGAAAATCGTGATAATATTGATTTGACACATACAATGGAGGGCGTAACGCATCTGACGAAGAAACGTAAAAAGGTAATTTTCGCATGGCGCTATTGTGTAGTTGAAATTAAAAGAAGGAAACAAAATTTAAATTCTTTCAGGATTGTCCCAGTCCCATAGCGCTGGAACCGTGTAGTGGTAATCGGGCGGCTGTTCTTTCGCTTTTAGTTCGCTTGCCAACGGGTTAGTATTGATAAAATTAATAAACACATGAGTTGGATTAATATACTTTTTCCATTATTGATTAAATTCCAATAGGCGGCTTGCAGCATGCTCCTGCAGGGCAGTCAGCTGGTTTGGCTGTGGCCAGTGCTCTTGTAACACTCGGAAATCCACGACGGCCATCTATTGAGCATACAAAAGAGCCAAAATCCAAAAGAAAACAAAGTCAACATCCTGACAGTTGTACATAATAATTGCGTAGATTTAAATGTGACGTTTAACAGCGAAATTTGTAAAAGTATTTTCTTTATATATACATACATATAAATAGAACGATACACGTTCAGATTTTGGTCTGCATTCGTAAATGTAAATCAATTGAACAAAACACTTAAATATACATACATACATATATGGTAAAGCGGCCACGCAAGGAGTAATATTATGAATGCCTTTATATAAAATACATAATTATATTAATAATATAAATAATAAACACGTATTGAGGCATATTTACTTCACATATATTAATTACATTTAGTAATAGTAATTGTAAATTAATAGGGCATAAAATTATTTATTATAGTTACAAATTTTAATTGCTAGACTCAATGGCAGCCTAAAAAGACATTAATATTATTAAAAAAAAAAAAAACATTTTAAATGAGAGAGTTAATACAATAACACGACATAAGTTTTATGTAATTGAATGCAAAATATTATTCGATGTTTGAAAACTTGATTTCTAACCAATTTATTTTTGTATATTTTTTATTTGTTCAAATGCATGATTACGCTACAATCACACCCTCAGTTGTAAAAATTTAAAATACTAAGTAAAATATCAAATTTGAATGATAAAAAGTCTGCTGTAGAGTGTTTTATTGTCTGTGTTTGAAAAATGGATATATGTATATTCGTACAATGCATATTGGAATACAAATAATTCTATATGAATCTAACTTAATTATTTATTTATTTAGAATTGACGGCATGCTGCTGAGTTAAACACGAAAAAATTACTTGTGAAATTCAAATTCAAAAAGAAGTTTGTAACAAGGCTTTTTTGTGTTTCTAAATAATTTATTAAATTTTCAAAATCAGATTTAAGTTTTGTGATATCAAAGGTAAGTACTTAAAATAAAACTGGAAACAATTTTAGTATATCAGAAATGGGATACAAGTTCTTAGTATATTTTAACATAGAGCATATGAATTATGCTTTCTGATTGTCATAGATGGCCATTATGAAATTTTGAGTATCCACTAAATACCCATATTCTCGATTATTATAGTGTTTTCGTACTGATTCTCCAGCAAGACGCAGTTCTTGTATGCACAAAATCGCGAAGTAGAGACGAATTGGGAACGTAAATATTTACTTGCAACAATTATTCAGTATAAGAGCAAATTATTCCCTGTAGTGGACTGCACGTCCTGCGGCTGGCAGGGATAAATAGCTGGAACCGTTTTGATATATTGCAATTCTGGCCTTGTGTGTTTTGTCTCAACGAGAACGTAGATAATCAGCCGCAGACATATCGCTGAACAATTTTCCTTTAACAAATCCAATAACGTGCTTTTAAATTTATCGCACTAACGTGACATTATACATATTAAATATAGTATAATCACAATTTTGCAATCACTGAAGTAATTTTCGGAGGAGTTCTTCATACAATTTTGATGTGCGTCCTAATATGTTTTCCAGCACATAGAGGGTCCAAAACTTTTGAAACGGATTTTATGAGGAAGAGATGACATAACTTCTCCGCAAAATGAAACCCATTACTGTCCACTCGTCTACAGCGGACGTTAAATTACAAAGGGATTGTTAGTAAGCCACTTGGCCATATTTCACACTATCCGAGAGCTCTCCCTCCTCCTCCATCCCCGCTCCTCACTGGAACGTGATTTTGTGTTTCACATTATTTTCGTATTCTACAATATATTTATTAAAAATATTTGCATAATAAGTAATTTTTTAATACAAATGATTAATATCAGTAAGCAAATCATTTATTAAGCACTCCTTTCCCGGTTACGTGACTAAAGCGTAGCACTTTAACGAACCCCTCCAAGTCTTGTTTTAGCTGAGTGATTTGTAAGCGCTCCCCAATCAATATCCATAGTATTAATTTTTTTACTCTCCTTTATACTATTGACTACCAACATGTTGAGTAATACACTATTTGGTCGATTCAAACTTGGTTTATAATATGGAAAGCTTATTTTTGAACATTCCTCGTGCCCATAAGCCAAAGTGACGAAGTGCAACGCGTGACAAAAATTTGGACAAAGACTTATAAGTATTAAGAAAAGAGAATTGGAGAATTGGATGAAGGTCTAAGAATATATTTGTAAATGTGTACTCGTATGTTACTCGAATGTTACACATGCTTTATCGAAATATAATATATATACTTCGGTTAGAATATTTACTATTTAATATTTAAATTACATACGCCAAAAAAAAAAAAAAGGGCGAATGATTACGCACATTCAGAAATATGCACATTTTAATTTTACAATTTTATTTTATTCATAAGTTTTTTTTTGAGGTTCATGGTCGGGTGAAAACGAAAGTGCTTATATATTTTATTTACATAAATTCTTGTTCACACCACAAAGCTAATTAACGCTGTGCGAGGGAGACTTTTGTATACCCAAACAGAATTTCGTTTTCATTTCTCCGCATAAAAAATACGCATTATACAGCTGAACGTTATTATACACCAATACAAATAAGTTAAAGAAAAGTAATTACCCAACTAGCAGGAAAAGAGATTTTTTCTAATTTAGTTAACAAAACGAGATGGCGACCAATTTCCACAAGCCATTGCTTAGACGCCGTTACATCCTCAAAAATACTCTATTTAGTGTGCTGAATGAGCATAGGGAAGTACTAGCCCATATTGTACCCGTGAATAATGGTTTTTTCGTGATTGAATTAAAGGATGTTGATGTGGACGATATTTGGTTCCAACAAGACGGCGCCACACGCCATACCGCCAGCGAAAGAATCTATTTATTGAAAAAAACTTTAGCCGATGGCATTATCTCGCGTCGTGGGTCTGTGGCATGTCCTTCAAGATCATGCGATTTAACACAGCTGGACAATTTGTTGTGAGCTTGCGTAAGTCTGAGGCGATTGGCAAAAATTTATTTATTTAAATTATTTTTAAAACATAATGAGGAACCATTATTTTTATTCTAGGCCATACATGAGTCTAAAAAAACACCATTGCAAAAATTTTACATTCAAAAACGTTTTCGAGTCTTATATGTATATATTAGCTATTCCTGAAGCGGTGCACGCTGTCGCTAATACTTATTGAATGTATGAAGAATTAATCATGTGATATCTCTTTATTATAACTTAATTTTATCAATATTTTTTTTGTAGTACAAAATTTTTGGTTCTGTCATTGCTATTGGTCCAGTTCACGTGGAGGGGAAATGTTCCAATTTTTCAATTGGCCAGTCCCCGGTCCATTTCCCGGAGATAAGAGTAGTTTTCCTACTGAATTATGACACATATTCACCGAATTTCGAGTAAATCCAGCCATAGATAAATTTTTTTCGAATAAGTCAATCTCTAGCACACTTCCCATGGAGATGAAGAGTCTTCCTGTTAATCTAAGCAAAAAACTACATAGGTATGGAATTTCAATTAACCGAATAGATCAGTTCCAGATCCACTTTCCGAAATTTTGCTTGTAAGCTTTCCCAAGAACCATAGAAACAATCTGCCAAAATTTTAAGTCAATCGGTCGGTCGGTAACTTTCGGAGATTACTGGCTTTTTCCAAACGGACATAAGATTTTTATATACTGGTATAAGATGAAAGCATTTGCAGGATAATCTACCATTCATTTCATAATTCCTTACTTTTGGTACATATTATATGTAAGTCTTCGCATAGATTGTTGGCTGGGTACTCAAATATATACATATTTGTATGTATGTCGTATAAAAAATTAACAAATGTAGGTTTTATTTTTGGTAGATAAACTTTGAAGCTTCGCAATACCAGGGCTCTCGTGACTCACCTACAAAGCTTTATACCAAAAACCGGATTGTACAAACGTACTTATTTGTGTCGAGAAGTAAACAGCGAATATTATTTAACTCATTATTAATTTTTTTAATAAAATAGCTTGGCATTGATTTGACGGTATTTCAGAGGGTTATTCAGTCACACATACACTATTTGTATATACTTATTTTTTATATATGTTTAATATTAGAAAAATGTACTTGTGCATATATGTAATATAAAAAGTGTGTCTGTGTCTTTAAGATAGATAAAATATAAAATAATTGCTTACATACATAGCACTATAGTCCCTAACACCAGGTTTTGCAGCCAAAAGTAAAATTTAAAAGTCCATAAAATAATATTTTTTTAATGAATATTTAAATATTAAATCGCTTAATATGCTGTGAAAAATAATTTTTGAAAAGAATTATATTTTGAGTGCGCGGCTTCGTCGAAAAAATTTACCGCCTGTGATAGAGAATTTATCTGTTCTAATGTTGGGCAATTTGGATTTTAAAATATAAATAGCGTATTGTGAACTTTGAACCGATTTTCGGCTGAACTTCTCCTCCATTTTGCGGTAGGCTTCTTGATATTTTTCCAACAAATTGATGAGCATACAGTTTATAATAAACCGCGTCCGGACGGCGGTTGAACTTTTATGAGGAGCTTTGCTTTTCACGTCAGAAATTAAATCGCAGGACTTGACATTCTCTGCCGTGTCGCATTGATTGAGATTAAGGAAGGACGCCTCCAGAAGAGTGCTACAAACTATTTCATAAATCATAATACCAACATTTTTATAACATATAATTTTCTTTTTTTAATTTATTCGTACACTTTTATTTTCATATTTAAATTTTTTTGTCATTTTTTTGTTTAGCATTTAAAGGCGTGATACACCTTTTTTATTTCAAAATAATTTTTATACAGAGAAACCTCTCCTAATGGACACCTCTATTAGACGGAAACCTCTCTTAAGCAGACATTTTTTCACACATCGAGTTTTAAGTACATTTTTTTTAGAACAACAGACCATCCTTAAAGCGGACTCATTCTTGGGCGGACGCGGACGATAACATACATATTTACTATAACATTGAACTTAGCGCACACAAATCCCTTTTCAATGGACAAATATTTTTTTTCGTAACAAATCTAACTATTGTAGATCCTCTGTTGGGCGGAAACCGAATTTTAATGGTTTTTTCATTTTAAAATTTTGCTTCCACTTAATAATTTACGAGTCTTTTTATAAACGATTTTTACTACCAGCTTCAGAATTTTGATTTTTGTTTCATAATTAAATTTAAGACAAAACTGGATCATTATTTTTTCAGCAAAAGCTTAATTCCAAAAAAGAGTCATCAACAGACTTTAGTCTGCCTCTGGCGCTTTGTAACAGCTGTAGCGATTTTCGACCGAGCAGCTCCTCCAATTTGTGGTATGCGTCTTGATGTTTTTCCAATGGAGGGATTTACAATTTCTTCTAATCCGTCTCGGAACGAACGAAAGATTTTTATGAGAAGCTTTGATTTTCATGTCAGAACTACCCTCGGATGGCTTGACATTCTCTGCCCAATATATACATAAATACTCTGTGGGAAAAACCCCATCGAAAATTTTTACCTACTTTACGAATTATTAATTTTGGCCACAAAAAGTTCTCACCTGGACTGTAGCACGTTGACTATTACTAAACCACTGTGTTAAGTCATGAATATATTTCAGGCGTCATTACTTTAATGCTAATCAAACATCAGCTCTGCAAACATAAGCATAACATTTATTAGAGGTTTGAGCTGGTGTTCATTATTTTATAAAAGTTTTGCATTATTTCCATTAATGACTCTTCGAAATATTCGGATGTCTTATATGTACATATAAATCGAACAGCTAATAGCTTTTTCTGAAATTTTGTTATTATCTCTGTCTTCGGAAAAAGCCAGATGGCCAATCAAATGTTTTATAAGATATTCGCAATAATAAAGCTATTACTTAGACTTTACGAGTATATCAATAAATTATTTCATTGAAACGAGAGCCAAAGCGAAAAATAAAAAGATAGCATTTTCCTATCAATTCACCATAATGTTGTGGCACAAAGAGATGAAATGAATACGAAATAATGACAACGCATAGAGTAGCTCAGCAACAGTTAATGTTTCGGGAAATCTTTTTTCATAATATTCAAGCCAATTTGTATTTACTGTTAGATTAACAGATTGAACATAATTCCGTAATTATGATAATATAGCTGTAAAGACAGTTTGTCCCAAAAACTGCCCAATGAGATGCGCACAGCGACCAAAACCGAGATCGGCTTGAGCCTGATCGATTCCAGGAAGATTACATTCAAATATCTAAAAAAGAAACAAATTTCAAGAAAAAACACAAAGATAATTTAAAAAGAAAGTTTTGGGTCTTTTACTGAGAGAAACATTTTAAATATTTTTTTTGGTGGTAAATGCTAAAAAAACCTTTATTTGTAGGGTTTATAAGAGAACATATGGAGGTCGTTTCGTTCGATGCAACCTAGTTTTTCTAACGGCTCTTCTAACTGCCCTTCCTCTATTTCTTCCAATGCGTACAGTAGCGAATACGTTCAAATTTGACTTTTTCTCTTAAATGTGAATTTTAAAGAAAAGAAAAGTAAAAATTTTTCCAAAGCGACTATATCAGCAGGTTTGAAATCAACACAACAGTCCTATCTTAGACTGGTGTTCATATTCACAGAGATTTAAAGTTCACAGCCCTGTTCATATCAAATTTATAGTATTTAATTTTAAGATTAGATGTCAGATTTGAAAAATAAGTTGGAGGGGATAAAGTTTTCAGATTTTGATGAATATCAGTGTCAATTTTTATTTGTAAATACGTTTGTAGATTATCGAATATTTTCTACGTTTTTGGATACAAAATCTTACATCTAAACAAATCGGTTGTAAGGTATGCTGCAGTCATGCGATTATGATGATTTTTAATGAAAATAATAATCCACAGATACGAATGTTTAATACTAAATTGCATACTATTCGATGCTTTTTTCAACAGAAAAATATTACAGCAGTGTTAAAATGTGCAATTTTGGAGGCCGCGCGGCAGGTCCACGTTGCGAGATGGTATGTAGAAACTTCTTGTTGGAATCAAAGGTCCTCTAATTCAGGCGTAAAATGACTCATTAATCATGGCTCTAAAGCGTTTCTCATTGACTGTAACGTCATTTTTGAAGAAATATAGATCAATAATTCCAAACAGTGACTTTTGAGAATATACTGGCGTCTCAACAATGGCTTGTCCGACAATTTTATTTATCAACGCACCGATTCCAGCAAAATCTAATTTTATCGCTGCACAAAATTTTCTTGTGAAAATTGGAATCGGTCGCCATCACGTTTTGGGCTCATTTAACGCACGCTATTGATGGTCGGTCGGCTTCAGTTGTAACACGATTTGGATTTTTCAAGCCTTGCTGACAAAGATCCTTCTACAAAATCTTCCATAATGTGGGTAGGTATAGCTTCAATTATATCGCGCCAAAACGGATGAACTCATTCGAGTCTTCTTCGATATAATGCTGCGATGCTCATAATTCACTAGAGTAAAAATGGTGCGGTGTTGTTGTTGTTGTTGTAACCGCAAAATTATTCCCCAAAGTACTTTTTGGCAGTGACAGTCCTTGGCCGGATAAAAATCCGGGTCGTTCCGGTATAAAGACCCGACTGTCGCGGGAACTATTGGATTTTAGTCGCCTCTTACGACAGGCATGCCTTACCGCGGGTAAATTCTTGAGCCCCTAACCCGCAGGGGGTAAAAATGGTGCGGTATCGATCCATGGTTGTTTGAATTACCGACTATGCTGAACAATTATGCCGGCTGATTATTGAACCCCGACCTTCATGGCTAGGCGAACCGTAATAAATTTGTACGATTTGCAAACGTTGTTCCGGAGTACGACTGTTCACTAGAAATTGGCACACCAAACTGAGTGTAAATCAAGTTCCAGCTGGCAGAAAATCCTCATTTGAACTACTTTGAATATGGTGTTGTCTCCTTGAAGAACACCCTTTGCTATAAATACAGATTTATGCTTGTTACAACAACTTCCGTATATCCTTTTTAAACAACGAAATTTTCCCATAGCCTTCCACTGCCAAAAAAAAAAAAAAATTAAGTTAAGTGTATAAAGGTGTTAATTAACCGGTTGTATCTTGAGTTCAGCAAACTAAAAATAAATGACAATGCTAAATACCTTTTTTTTTTGTTTTTGCAAAATTTTTATGTTTGGGTTAATCCATATGCTGCTAAATGAATCATTAAAAATGGAAAAGAGCATTAAATCTATGTACATGCGTATGGTATGAATGAATGTAAAGACATCCATCACTCATTTACAACTACACCGCAGCGACTAACAACAAAAACCGTTTAAATTTATTATGTTTCTGTGAAATAAACTTCAAGCAAGCTGACGCAAAGCTTTAGTACATTTTAAGACCTCGTACGGTATAGTCGTCTACGGAGCCAGACACACATACTTAAGTTCATATATGTACACGTATGTATATACGAAACAAAAAAGCACAGATCGTAGTAAAATACAAATAAAAACGTCTCGTGAGGAAAATACTCAAATACGCCAAGTGTTTGAAACGAACTTACAACTCGAACCGACGAAAAATTCACGAAATATTTTTTGTGCCCACATCGAAATTGGCACCAACGGTTTTACAGCAGGCGAAGCGGTGTGTGCATTCATTCGTGAGTTGCGCGTTAAAGTGAGAGTTTGTGTCTTAAGTCTTTTGATTTTCCAACGGAGCTGCGGGTATGTGCAATCAAACAAGCGTAAATATGTATATACTATGTGCATACACACGAGTATAAACATAAGTGTTTGTAATTATCGAGCAATATTGAACACAGTTCAAATAAATATTAATAAATGATTACAAAAGTGAAAGAAAATAATAAGTAAATTTCTAAATTATTTATGTGCAATTTTATGGCAAAGGAAGATTAGTGCGTGGGAAGATGTTTGTTTGGAGTCATTTTGAAATAATTTAATCTTTATAATTATATTTGGAGATTCTCTACGGTGTTTTTCTTCTTTACATAATACAAAGTGATTTATTTACATATATTAATTAGGAGTGAAAAATTAAAGAGAGTAAAAGTTTCGCTATGAATATCCACTCGAAAGTGTTAAAGCGTGAAAGTTAAACGATTTTGGAAGATGCCAAATTTTTACGTTTACGACCTGATTTAATGTTAAGAAAATAAAATTATAATAAAAAAGTGTTTTTTTTTTTTTAATTTCGGCTCGTATTGCTTAGTTTTTGCAACGATATGCATTTAAATTATTAGTATTTTGAAAATATGGTTTTCATATACACACACATAAGTCATACCATTTTTTACGGTGTTTGTTTAAGTTTGTGTGTATTTTAGCGAAAGTGGATTCGTAAAGTGTTGTGTGGATGTATACTTATGTACATATTTGTGAATACATATGTATGTGTATGTACAAATGTCTGTATCTTATGGATGCACGCATTGCAGAGATTTTTACAATTTTTTTAAATATTTTTTAATTAACTTACGCATACTAAAAATATATTAAAATTATTTAAAAATTGATTATCACTAATATTTTGATGTTTGAGTAAATTGAATAGCTTTTCAATCTATTGGTTTAACAGTTATCGTAAAAAAAATGTAATGGAGTTTAAAATTTTTTCTCAAATTAATTTCTATTAGAAATATCTACAGAGAGAGAGTACACATCCTTGAAGCCATTTTTTTTATATAACTACGTCACTGAGTAGACTTAATTCCTGGCATAAGAAATCTTTTTGGATAACAATGGAATATTTTTAAATGTTAAAAGTGTGGTCTTCGGTCAAGCCAAATTCTTTATATCTTTCATGTTAGGATTAAATATTAATTTTCTTATTCGAAAAATTGGTTTTGGGTAGGTTTTATATGATATAGCCTCCCGATTTCAATGATTTTCAATGTCAACATTAACTTACATTTACGTGCGTAGAATACCAAATTCCATAGATAAATAAAACGGTTGTATGTGGCGGGGCGTTTTCCGTTGGTCTTTTGTCAGTGATTAATACTCAGTTTTGCTTGCCATTTAAGAACAATTTTTGCAAATAACACAAATAAAGGTTCGGCTAGAGCGACGAAGCTCACTTTTGTAATAAGCAAAATTGTTGCAGTCGGAGCAATGCCATATATCATAGATCTTCGAAAAGTCACCGCATTTTATGCTCCATGAGTAGAAGTTATCATTGGTCGATATTTCTTAAAAAATGAAGCCGGTCATAATATTACAGTCAATGGGGAAAGCTACAGCGCCGGAATTGGTTGACTACCTTTGTTTTCAACAAAACGGGGCTACATGCAATGCAAACAATGAAAAAACCAAATTATTGACTGGCAGCTGGACTATCTATTGTAGGGTTATGTGAAGTCACTTGTCTATGCAGATAAGTTCGATAGGTTTAACGTCTTGAAAAAGAATATTCGGCACGTCATTGCTGACGGACTTTGGTCCAAAGTATATAAGTACCAGAACGAAAAGAAATAGATCCATCTATGCTTCTACCAATATAATCAGTATGACGAGCCGTGTAGATTTAGCTCTGTTCATCTGTCCGTCTCTTCCTCTGTTTGTACGCAAACTAATCCCTTAGTTTCTGAAATATTTCAACCAAACGTGGTACTCAGCTTTACTTTGAAATTTGAACGAAGATTTGCCTGAGTTGGTTAGATAAGACTGCTATAGCATATATTCGACCGATTTATCAGATTTGAGATTTTAGACCATAAATGCGTCAGAAAAACATCTAGGAGCTTAAAGTTTGGTATTATAAAATCATTTTCACAATATCGAATAGCGACAAATATGAGGTTTTTATTGAAGAATCCATCAAAAAAAAGTAGTGGGAGCGTGAAATTTGGTATTCTACCCTCGTAACAATACAACAATACAATAGCTCCTCTTTCTTGTTGTAATTGCGGTCGCTTCTCGTCAAGAAATGAGTTACTGAACGCTTGCATAAAAATCCATCCGCCCTTCATAGGCGTCTTAAAATATAATGCAAGCCCCTCTTTTTGTTGGGAAAATATCAAGACGCCGTTCCAACCGTTACATAAAATTACCAGTAAAATGCTTCTTCCTCTTCATTTCATGCTATTTTTCGATGCAACAAACCATTGTGGTTATGAATATAGTTACACAGTTCATGAAATGGTGAAAGAAAAAATTTCATAACTTTTGAAAAACGCTGCAAGAGATGTTACATTCCCCACACCAATATATTTGTGAGTCCGAATTCGTCTTAATAAATGTATGTATATATTTCCTGAACTTCCTGAAACTTAATGAATGTCTCACTACCTCATAAAAGTTGGTTGCACAAGTGAAAAAATATAATATAACAGTACTTTGGGTAGTTTCTACCACTAAACCAGTAGTAAACGGTTCGCACGCATAAATGTTAGTATATTTTAATTACATACACTGATGTATGTACAAAAAACAAAAAAAAAAACGTAAACAAGCGAACAAGTGCATACATTTTTGTTTGTCTACTCTTTTACATACAAATGTATGTATGTATGTTGATGGCATTGGTCAAAATATTAACGGTCTAAGTTTATTTCTCAAATACCAGTAAGCACAGCGCTTTGAATTGCAAAATTTTTATTTTACACTAGACAGTTTACGCCTTAAGGTGTAGTATGTACACATGTATGTATGTGTAACTTTATGTACTCACGGTATATGAATATTTTACCACGGTTGGAGCTAAATTAAAAAGAAGTCCTCTGACTAATATACATACATGCCTATAATATGTACATATGTATATGTTTACGCACATTTTAACAAATATGTGAAATCTGCATACATACGCATGTGGTATGCATTTGTACATAAGTGCGCATCCGTACACACACACTAAGCTACACTTATGCATTTCTTATATTTCTTTTTATTTTAAAGTTTTTTTTTAAGCAAGTAAAATGTTTCTCAATGCTTTGGTGCCGATATCGTACTCGAATGCTGTTAAAACAATATTTATAAATGTGACTACTAGTGTCTACTACTACATACTCGTACATGTATGATACCATGGAAGATGACATTTTCTCTTCATCACTGCGTTGCCTCTTTCACTGTTTCACCATTATTTCCTCAATTTTTACTTCCTAGTTCGTAATTGTAAAATTGAAACCATTGTTTACCTTAGTTTTGCATGGGACATGGCGAAATCGAGGTCACTTAGCTCAGCTGGTACACAATATAATATAAATGCATACACGTATGTACGTATGTCAATAAACATAGTACAAAACGGCATTAGTTTTATCGTTTGTGTTATAAAAGTCGCGCATAATTATCGATTTTTTTTCTTTTTTCTTTTTTTTTTTTTTTTTTTTTTTTTTTTTTTTTTTTTTTTTTGTTTTTACGGTGTAGCGATACGAGGTACTATATGTAAGTAGCAAAGTTAAATTTTTCAATTGATTCGTTGAGATTTTAAAAAATTTAAATGAGGATATTCGAGCGATCTCGTGCTAGATTGTTTCCCTGAAGCAGTTAGTCTAACTTTTTAGTCGAACGTTTTACTTATTGCCATCTACATTTTAGCAGCTTCAGATTCGAATTTTAAGTTTTTGAATAGTGAAAAAATTATTCAAAAAAGGTCTAAGTCCTCATCATCATTTGGCACCGTAAGCCTTCAGTTTAATACCCTCAAAATAATATTTCATTTAAGGTATCAGTTTAATTGCATTGAACTTGTGAAACATTTGGCAGCTTTCCTAATTAATTTCTCCACCATTAAACATCTCTGTACCCCAACAATCTATAAACTAACGGTTTTCCAATAAGAAGTGTTATTTTGATATTCAAAGAAACGTTTCCCTTAAAAGATCGAAGGTTTCGTTGATTTCGTTGCTTTAGCGCCGTCTTGTTGAAAGTAAACGCTGTCCAGATCAATACCAACCAATTCCGGTCATGAAAAAAATTATTAATCATCAAAAAAAGTAAATTCCAATGTCTCCGCTGGACCATAAATCGCATCAAATAGTTGCACGTAGAGGATGGAGAGGCTTTTCAACAATAAATCTTGAGTAACAGCTCTGTCGAATTGTAAATTTTATTTACTGTCCATTTCTCTTGAGCACGTATGCAACATTAATAAATATGTGAAGATCAGAATATGTACATATATAGCAAAATTGAAGGTGCAACGTGCAGCAACTAAAATCTTAATCCAATTTAATGAATATTTTGATTTTCATCTACTTTCTTGACACAAGGTCGAATATTTGTTGATACTTTCAAAGGGTTTAAAGCTCTACCAAAACTGGTTGACACAAGATATTTTATTCGTATGGTTTATTTATGAGTTGATTCACTTATGAGTTTTGTTAACAAAAGATTAAGTAAGAATTGTCGTTGAAATGATTTGATCAGGAGTCAAAACCGATTTTCTTGTGTTTAGATTTAACTTGATGGCGACCATATGAGCCATAAACTTATGCATGCTCGATCTCTAAGGTAAAGAGTAATTTTTTTATTGTTTTCTTTCAAGATCATCCGCCCAATCTTTTTCGGGTTTATTTATTCGACTCCATACATTTTGCATGCCAGCTCGGTAACCAGGCTTAGGTGACCTGGGAAAGTGTCACACAGTTTTTGATTTGATTCTGAACGATTCACGAGACTTTGAAGCAGAAAGAAAAGAGGTATTTGTTGAAAACACATCAGCGGCCGGGTGAATATAAATTTTAAACATATTCCTTTCCTTAGATAACAAATTATATGCATTTATATAATAAGTTATTCACATTTCGTAACTAAATAATTAAACGATATTTCAGCATTTACACACTTGTTTGCTAGAAATAAAAAAGTGCCAAATCGCTCTTTATCGCATCACAAACTTAACACAGAGCAAAATATTAATTTATTATTTTAATTATAGATTTTTCGCAGTATCTAAATACTGGTATGACGTTTTCAAATATTTAACTTTATATTGTTATAATCTGATAAATAAATATGCAGAACAAAAAATATACCCAATTGAAATTTAAACGCAGAAAGAACTCAGATCGTTGAACATCAGGTTGAAATAAACAATCCTAATATGCTATAAATATTATATATACATATATACAGGTATATAGACCTATTCTTATTTTTCTTATAAGCTCTTTTCAATTACAAACGAAAATTTCGTGTGTGTTTTTATACGAGTAAATTGTCTTCACACTTGACTAATGCCTGAACCTACATAGCATACTCGTATAATAGTAACTGCGTTCATATGTAATGCCAAAGTTACTGGCTACTGGCTAAGCGCAATAATTTGGCATCGAATATCTTGATGTGTGATTTCGTATGTGGGCCAAGTAAGCACCAGAGCTTTCTGGCATTACTTATTTGTATACACTAACAAACGGTTAACAAACCGCTAAGTTCATATGAACACAGCTAAAAAATGTTATATGTAACGTTAAGTCGCAACCACCCACATACAAGACATACATACAAATAAAGGTTGGTACATATAATCATTAACCAGGTATTTTTGTTGGATAACAGTCGCTGCATAAAAACCACATAAAACTAAATTAAAAACAAGAGTAATTAAAAAATAAAAAATTAAAGCGAAATAATAAAAAAATTATAAAATCAAATAAAATAAATTAAAACAAAATAAAATAAAAATTAAAAATCAGAAATAATATAAAAAGCAAATTAAAATAAAATAATATAAGTTAAAAATTACTAAAACAAAAAAATAAAATTAAAATAAACATAATAGAACAAAATAAAAATAATTACCTTATTTTAATTTTTATTATATTCTAATATGTTCTAATATGTTTATTAAATATATATAAAAAAATAAAATAAATAAAAAAAGTAAAATAAATTAAATATAATATAATAAAATTATAATAAAGATAAAATAAATTAAAATAAACCAATGTGAATTAAAACAATATAAAATATACTGAAATAACCTAAATTAAATTAAAAAAAAATAATAGAATATAAATTAAACAAAATAAAGTAAATTAAGTAAAATACAATGTAATAAAAATAAAATTAAAATTAAAATAAGAAAAACAAAAATAAAATAAAACAAGAAAAAATAAACTAAAGTAAATAAAATAAAATTAAGATAAAATAAATTAAATTAAATATAAGAACAAAAATCAAAAAAGAAAAGTAAAATAAAGTTATTATAAAAATAAAATAAAATCAATTAAATAAAATATAATATAATACAAAGGAAAACAAAATAAAGATAAAATAATTTAAAACAAAATAAACCAAGCTGAAATAAATTGAATTAAATCAAATTCAATTTAATTTAAAAATATGAAAACAAAATAAACTTAAGTGAAATGAAATTAAAGACAAAACAAATTTAATAAGTTTAATTAAATGTAATATAATAAACTGAGTTAAAACAATATAAAAAAATATGTAATATTATATAAAATAAAATAAACTAAAATTAAAAGTAAAATAAAATACAATAAAATAAAGTACAACAAAATAAAAAAATTCAATAATATATGTAAAATAAAATAAAATATAAATAAATATAATAAAATTTATTTTACAGGCCTAATGGGGGCCTATGTATATCAGCGAAGTTAAAAGCAATAGTTGTAGCATGTATTGTACACGCATAAAAAATACAAAACTACATAAAAACAACACATTACCGCTAACATTGCGTTCCTAAATACCTTTGTACTTAAGTGTCAGAGTTATTGGAGTGTCAAGTTAAATGATTGATGAAAGGTCGCGTTAACAGTCAAAGCTCTAAAAGCATTATTGCACTCACACGAAACCAAAAAAAAAAACGAAATATAAATAAATTCATTAGACTTTTGTTTTATAAGTACATAATAAAAAATATCAAATAAAACGAATACCTTAATCATGCGAGTATTCGAGTTTATAATTTACTTCTTGTTTTCGAAAAGTCTTAAAAGCTTAAGTTTTCAAAATAACTAGAGCGTAACATGATTTGTTGGTGCCTTTTTAGTTAATAAACACTTCATGGTAACTTAAGACTGATATCACAAGAAGGTTTACTTACCGAATTCGAAGAAAAACATTTACACCTGTCTATTTTACCAAAATATTTTTTCTCTTTTTTTTTGATTAAAATTGTTTTTAAAAACTATCTAAACAAAGAAAATAACTATGAGCTGAGTTTTGCTCTAACCAAAGCCTACGGAGAACTCTTGTCTCTCTGGTTACCAACAAAAGCTTTCCATCTTGTAGAGTCATGTAAATGTGAAAGTGTAAGCGAATTCGCAAAAGGCTACTCTTTGTAAATTTCAATAGATACCAAAAAATTTAAGGATAAATGTATTTTTCTATTGAAGGCGCAAGAAATATTCAACTTCTTTAATGAAGTTTATAATAGCGAGGTTAAAATCAACGTAAACTCTGATAACGGACTGTATGAGCTTTTACTGCAGTTATTCATTCAATGCCTGATTAATTACCACGACAAAGGTCCAGACGTGCTTCCCCAGCTATTTCCTATAGCGTTTAAAGTGCTATTATAAAAATACAGCTCCGAATAGAAGCCCAAAGCGATTAATACAAATTTGTATTTGCGTCACAATTTTGTTTCACAACTATTTCTCCACGGTGTATGGAGTATGCGACAAATCGACTGAATTCCACTGTTAAAGTGAAAGCGATCTGTGCTCTCACTGATTAATCATCGCTGGCAAAAAAATTATACATACATACGATTACATACATACACATATGTAGAGGTATGTACGTGTAAGTTGCGATGAAGGTGCTCAAACAACTTATACAAACTAACACTTACATATGTATACACATTAGCAGACATATATATGTATGTATGTATAAGAGTGCATATATTTGCGCTCGAATATTTTCTTATTGTATTTCAGTTGCACAATTACATTAGTAGATAAATACGTGGTATGTATGTATGTAGGTACGAATTTATTTTCTTTAAGTTACCCATTTTTGTGTAAATATAATGCATAGCCAACCACAAGCTTTTGTGGTAGTTCATTATGGTATTGCGAAATTTTCTCTTCGTTTCCGAATTAAATTTTTATTTTTCATTTTATAAATATGTCTATAATTATTAATTATTTTTAGATTTATTATTCCAACGGGTATTTAATAAATTCAAACGGCATACATAAATAACTACAAATATTTAAATAATTTCTTTATTTTGTTTCCAGCTCAAAAGTGATTAACAACCAAAGCAAATTAACAACAAAGTTTCAGTTTTTCTCATCACATACGTGTAGTACATACAATTATACAGAAATAATATAAAATAAAAAACTTGTCGGCCGTTGTGGTTTCATGCTGTTGCCAAATTTTGAGTTTAACGAAAATGGCGCAGGTGAATGAACGAAAGCTGCTGCTTCAACTTGTACTCCTGTCTTTGTGCATTTGCGCATGCGCATTTAATGCTGCCCAAGCAAAGCGTTTAAATGGTGAGTAATGCATACATATTCATATATGCACATATGTATGTACATGTGATGGATGCTACACTTACATATATATATATTATATATTATATATTCATGAAAAGAAACTCAAGGATTTACCGAGCCCTAACCGTGCAAAAAGTGTAAGCACACAATAAACTAAAATTAAGTATAGACTATTTATTTTATATTTATTACATTGTCAATGCAATAATTTGTAAAGTTAATTGGGAAAAAATATTTTCCAAATATCTACTCATATACGAAAGAAAGTGATGTTAGTTACTAAGCTTATAACTAAAGAACATTTAGACCGACTCCGATGATTCGCATCAATTCCGGTTGGCCTTCAGCCAAACAAGAAGAAAACTCAATAATTATGGACCAGGGAATAATATATTCCAAAAATTCGTATATTTGGTTCCATTTACTTGAAATTATTTTCTTTATTTAAAAAAAAAAAATAATATTAAAATATATTTGATTAATTTTTAACGGGGTATCTTTATGTCTAAAGTAATCACTAGTCTCTATTTCATTGCACACTTGTGCCGTCGCTGCTTGCAGAAAGAAGTATTTTCAGATTTTTAGAAGTGTTTTTAGATAAAATAAATGGTATGAAATGATTATTTGATTTAAAATTAAAAATTACAAAAATAGGATAGTTTAATATGAATTAAATAAATACAATTACAATTTGTAGTGCATTCAATCCTCCCTCACTGACACACTGTCTTTTATACTTTTAGTTACCACAGATATACATAAATCTAAATAGCCCCCTGCGGGTTAGAGATTCAAGAATTTACCCGCGGTAAGGCTTGCCTGCCGTGTGAGGCGACTAAAATGCAATTGTTCCCGCGACAGTCTTGTCTTTACACCGGAACGATACGGATTTTTATCCGGCCAAGGACTGTCACTCCCGCAACATTCCTAGACAGAATATTTATTCCCCGGAAAGAATCGATTTCCACACACGGCTTACTTCGAGTGATTTCATATTTACATTAATGACGACTTTTAGAAATGAAAAATCGACTAATCTCTGACTATATCTGATACGCATTTCTATGAATAGATAAAAAATAATGGAGCCGCCAAACGCCTATGCGTACATGGCTAGATAAATAACGGTTATTCATTTTGCAGTTTCGAAAATAAGCGTAAATAAAATGCATTTAAAATAAATTTCTTTAGGAAATTCCTTTTCTTTTGTTTGAAGCTAGACATTACAAGTGAAACACTACATTGTTCACACGACCGGCAAATTTTGGCGAGTTTCGATCCGTTTGAGGTAATTTTCGTCCACTTTTCGGCAGGTATCTCACGGTCTTTTGCATGGTGTCACAAAAAAGTCTAAGGATGTCAAATAACACGATTTCGGTGGCCAAATGACATCGCCAAGACGAGAGATAATGTGGTGGGACAATTTCTCTCGCAATAAAGCAATACTCGCTCATCCTGTTTTCAAAGAAGTAATCTCAAATCCTGGCGAAGGTGGGCATCGGACAGTAAGCTTTTTTTTTAGTGTAATGGCCTCTCTTCAATTTGAAACTTGGTTGGAAAAATCGACGTCCACTGCTTGTTGTTCAAGCACTCAATCAACGTAAGTACGGCGCCATAATGTGTGGTACGAAAGTCCCAGAGATATCCATATTAGGTTCTTAGAAGGAAGGCGTTAGCAGAGGCCGGTAGGAAGAACCTATGTTAAGATATTTTCTTAGCTTGTCATTTCTGAGCTTTTTATGCTTCTCAATAAATCCACTAACTAATGCCTTGTCTATGTTTTCCGTCGTTAGAAAGTGAAAAGAAGAAATCGTAAATTTCCTCCTGGGGACTTTCCGCACTTAAGTCGGAATGGGTTTGAAAAATTCGAATGGAGAAATATAAAAGCTACCAAAATTGAAGCTATAACTTCATTATTTTTTTCATTTGGAGATAGTAAAAGAAGGTCCAAAAATTAATGATTAAACTCGCCTGCAGAAGCTTAACAACAAATATGTTGAAACTTAAATTTTGCTCAGGTACTCTTTCCTCGATTATGGTAAAACTGAAAAGTCCATTATAGTAGCTTGGCAACCATTTCTTCATTTAATTGAGGATATCAAAAGAAGCTTAGTCAGTCCCCGATCTAAAAAGAGTAGTAATTATTGTCTCATAGAACTCAGAAAGCCATGTATTTTTCTGTAAAATCATCTGGCTGCTTTTTAAAACCATTAATGTTAATCTAAGAAATGTCGCCACACCGTAAGAGTTTGAAATCACAGATCGTATCATATGTAGGAAAATCGTAGAAGAAGCTCCACCGGCAATCGCTTAAGCTTATGTACATGTATAAAATGAGAGTAGTAAAAATGCTATTAAAATAATAGAATTAAATTTGGAAATCACACCTCACATTAACTAATTTTGTTTGGCAAAATATTTTATACTCGTATGTATGTACCTTCATACTCGTTTGAACTTATTTCCTGCTTCTTGCTCGAGCACGTTGCGTCTGAAGAGATCGAACCAACATAAAAGAAAGGTAAAAAAAGTAACAACAAAATCTCAGCCAACAAAAAATCTCTAGTCATTTCCGTTACAATAAACTGGTAAGATTTTGGTTAAAAATATACGGCATACACATGCAACATTCATACATACATAAACGCGCAAATGTGCGATTGTGTCCACGAATAGCGGAAGAACAATAACAAAAGAGGCATTAAGAAAGCACTGTGTCAGTCGGTCAATGGGCAAAAGTAGTAAGATCACCTAGCATCGCATAGCAAATGCTCGCAGTACGTGCGGTGTGGTAGTGGATTCGGCTGTCACTCGTGTTAAGAGCGTCGCTAAGGCGCGCTTCGTTTCCTATAGCACACCAGTTCTGTATAGCAAATTTCGCTTTCATTTCAGATAGCTTCGATGGCTGTGTTTTGCATATGGTGAACGTACATAAATCTCTACGAGAGAATACATGCACACATACTCGTATATACTCATGCATAAGAAGCTTCGTAAATATTTAATATTCATTCTGCTAATTGTAAACAAATACCGATACCTATATATAGTATGTTATACTACAATATACATACATTCATATATGATAATTTGTACAATATCTGTTTCCTTATTCAAAGATCGACTTATGAAGAATAAAAATTAATGATTTTTTTTCTTAATTTTAGCGAACCTAACGTCTTGTCAACATTTGCGTCGCGTTGAGACAAGGCGTGCGAAAGCTCTGTACCCTAATGAGAAAGGTTTAGCTGTGCGTATCCCGCGTTGTAACAAAAGTGGAGATTTCGAAGAGATTCAATGCCGCAACGAGCGTGCCGGTTTAGATTGTTGGTGTATTGATGAGTATGGCGTGGAAATACCTGGCACCCACAACGAGTCAAAGTCTGGCGTGCGCTGTGCGGAGCCGGCACATTGCCCCGCTTCTGCATGTCGCATGTTCTGTCCAGCCGGTTTCGCGCGTGATCCAGAGACGGGCTGTAGTATTTGTCGTTGTCGTGATCCCTGCGAGGGTGTAGCTTGCCCTAACGGTCAGACATGTCAGCCACAAGAAGTGAAATGTAAAATTGAGCCATGTCCACCAGTACCGACATGTAAGAAAGCACGTTCTATGTCTACCTATTGTCCGGCTGGCACGCCACTAGCCATCGAGGGTAGCATACGTCCGTTCCTATGTGGTAACGAATCGGGAAAGCCACAGTGTCCGCCGCTCTATCAGTGCATGGTGGAAGCTGGTAACGAATATGGAGTTTGTTGTCCAAGCACTGTGAAATTCTCAAAACCCGGCATTTGTCCGGCGCAAGACAAAGTTGAATACAGTCCAAGCACCGGTTACATGTGCGGTTCGCCGTGCAACAGTGATCTGGAATGTGGTAATATGGAGAAATGTTGTTTTACAAAAGGTTGTCAATTTAATTGTCAGCAGCCATTTAATGTGACCACATGCCATCAGGCACGTGCACTCTCGGATATTTTAGCGGTTAATGAACGTGAGGGTCGCGGCTATCAGCCGGATTGTAATGGTCCTGGCGGTTTATTTACACCACGACAGTGTTCGAGAAATGGACTGGTGTGCTGGTGTGTTGATCCACGTACTGGCCATAAGATTCAAGGTACAATGGGTCCCGCTAATGAAGTTAATTGCGATGGCTGGGAGAATATGATAAGTCATTCGTTGGCGAGGAGTTTTAATATGGAAAAATGTGACACGAATATATGTGCGGCTGTTTGTGAATATGGCTTTAAGGTGAGTATATACAATATGTGTTTTTAAAGCTTTATCGAAATGTTACAGCTTGTTGTACATTTTTCGTTTGGTTTTTATAGAACGATCATAATGGATGTCCATCATGTGAATGTTCAGAGCCTTGCGAAGGTTTTAAATGTTCAATCGGTTCGCATTGTGAGGTGGCCACAGATCCATTATGTGAATCTGGCTCAGCATTATGTGCCTCGTGGCCTGTTTGTAAACCGGATTTGGTATATTCCAACCCATGTGATGTGGGTGCCCCGCTGGCAGACAATAACACTGGTGAAGTCATGTATTGCTTTGAGGGTATGTACACTTTGATGCGTCTTTGCATTTGTAATTGATTACTATAAATTTGTATTTACAGAGCGTCAGTCTCGCGCTTTTCAGCCCACAGCTTTCTTTGAGCCCGGCCCAGATATGAAACAAGCACGCTCCATGACAAATCGCATTACTTGTCCGAACAACTATAAATGTGTGAAACTGCCACACGACACTGAAAGCGTTTGTTGTCCCACTTCGGAGGAGGCCATCACCCATGAAGAACAAACGACACACCAACAAACGAGTGAGTGAAATCAAAAACTTTAATATATTTTAAGGAAAGAAAGTTCCACTTCTTAACTCTTCCCTTTTTCTCAGTGTGCGAATATTTAAGGGACTTCTCCGAGCGTATGGAAGGCACAGAAGAAGGTATGCAACTAGCCATACCAGCACCGCATTGCACTGACGATGGCAACTATTTTGAACGCCAATGTACTATGAAAAAGATACGTGTCACACGCGCCGAGCAACGACAGATTCTCGAGCAGAATACCATACGCCGCATGCGAATGCTGTTGAAGAGTGCAAATGAACGGCAAGCTCGTGGAAAGCGGCAAGTAGAGCGCTTGAAATTGTACCGCGTCAACGATGACGCTTTAAAAGTGCACATTGCTGCGCCAATACAGAGTCGCAATGCCAAAGTAATTGACGTAGGTGCAGATCGTGCACAGAGCTTGGGCCAACTCTTTGAAGTTGAATTCAAAAAGGTACTGCCGGCACTGAAACAGTCTTTGGCGGGCAATGAATTGGTGGAAATCGAAGTAGAGGAATGTTGGTGTGTTGATAGTTTTGGCACGGAGATACCCAGCTCGCGAGGCTTTAACATAACCGATGCAGACTGCGCAAATGTGCGTGAATCTATTGATTGTTTAGATCTGACCTGCCGCATGGGTTGTGAGTATGGTTTTACCTTGGATCCGAATACACGTTGCCCCGCCTGCCAATGTCGTGATCCGTGCGATGGTGTCGTTTGTGGCGACGGTAAGGAGTGTCGTATCGTCGATGTATCTTGTGACGAAGAGTACTGCCCACCTGTGCCTGCGTGCTTACCACGAAAGCCAGGGCAATGCCCATTCCTTGTTCCACCAGGACCAGACAATCTGGATGCCAATACTTGTTCCTATGAATGTCGTACAGACTCACATTGCGAGGGCCATAAACGTTGTTGTTCGAATGGTTGCGGCACTCAATGTGTTTTGCCGCAAATGAAAACAGCTTGCCAACATCTAAACACGATACAAATGCATCAGGCCTCCGAACTGGGTATACCAGCAATGAAAATGCATATTGCGCAATGTGATGCACGTACTGGCAAATGGAATCAAGTTCAGTGCTCTCCAAACGGTTACTGTTGGTGTGTTGACGAGAAAGGCTGGGTTGTGGCTGGCACACGTGTCAAGGGATCAACCCCGAATTGTGAAATTAACTCAACATTTGCTTGTGCGCAATTGTCGTGTGACAAAATGTGTGAGGCGGGCTATAAAATGGATAAAAACGGTTGCCCCTTGTGTGAATGTAGAGATTTCTGCGATGAGATCAGCTGTTCAAATGGCGAGGAGTGTCAATTGATCAATGTGGAGTGTATCGATGAGCCATGTCCGAAAATGCCCATTTGTGTGCCACGCAGAGTCTCAGTTTGTCCAGAGGGCAATCCGCTGCAACAAGGTGATCTTGAGGTGAGTTGTGGACCACACAATGATAATGAGGCCTGCCCCACTACACACACATGTCAATTGAATCCGGTGACACATCGAGGCGTCTGCTGCTCAAAGACAAGTACGTATGAAATCAATGCCATTCTGTGTGTATGCTAACTTATTTATAGAGATCAGACTGTGCGGCAGAGATAAAGTGTGTTTCTTATAAACATGTGTTTAAATATCATTTTGCAGGAGACGTTTGCTTTGAATCCATGGACAAGGCTTGTCTGGCAAACCTCCATTCACAACGTAATGTCACTCGTTATCGCTTCAGCCCGAAATCAAACAGGTGCTTGCCGGTCACGATCAACCTGGATGCCACCACATGTCAAACAAAAAATCTATTTCACAGTGAACTAGCGTGCAATTCCGTGTGCCCAGGTGAGCCATGCGTGATATCAATAAAGCTGATGTAAAAATTGGCGTGTAACACCTTTTCTAACTTCTAACTTATTCTTGGTTTATGTGGCTTTCAGTTCTAACATCATGCGAGCGTCTGAAGTTGAAAAATAATTTAGCTGCCCAACACAGTGGTTACACATCTGTTTGGTTTCAACCACGCTGCGATCCTGTCACCGGTCATTGGAGTCCTGTGCAATGTTTAGGCGCACAGCCATCTCTACATAAGGAGTCAACAAAGGATTTGGGTCGTGCATCCAAACAACGTCCTACAAAAGTATCTTCTTCGTCTTCCACTAATGGCGTGTGCTGGTGTGCTGACAAGAAGGGGGCACCACTGAAAGGAACATTGACACGTGATGTTGAACCTGTTTGCAACAGTCGCCAAGGACGTCAGAGCAAAGCTTTCAATGTTGACGACCAGCTAATGGAAGAGGTAATCAGACAAATGACAACAATGGTCGAAATTGAAGAATATGAGTTGGAAGAAAGAGCTGAAAAAACACAAGATGCTCACCTCGGTGCCAACACGTATAGTAATAGAAACGGTGTTGGAAGAAGCTTGGACGACAATATGGCCGTTGAAAGTGAATATTATGAAACGCCAGTTGGCCTTAAGCCGAAAACCTCGGCAATTCCAAACACTGCAGCCGAAGCCTACGTTACCGAGCACATACTTGCTTTAGCCAATTCATTGTTGGACTCTCAGCTAAGCATTGAGGCCTTAAAACCGATGCCTGTGGAAACAACACGCTGTCGCGCTTTGTCCGAAACTGCAGCGTTTCCAGTATCTTGTGATGAGCATGGAGCATTTCTGCCAACACAATGTAATAGTAAAACATGTTGGTGTGTTGATGCTGCCGGCAATCAATTGGATACATCCCACATGTTCAGACCCGGCACAAGTCACTGCTCGGAGACACCAATCGCTTCGGTAGCAATTGAATTACATATGGTTAATCGCACCAGTAGAAATATACGCAATGCTTACGATACCATTCGCAGAGAGCTTTATCAACTGCTCGGCGATGCGGTAGAAAATTTACGCGTACAGGAAAATTTCGACGGTTCTGTTATTGTACGTTTCGAACTGCATAATGAGGAGAAAATCGACTTGGCATTCGCCATTGAATCGGCTATAAATGCGAATCGTTTCAATTTGGTAGGCGGCCATTTCACACCCGACATTTCACGGTCCCACTTCATACACCGCAGCGTCAGTTCGCCAGTTACCGCTGCGGTTCCACACGAGAGTACCATACAAGTGGTTCTATTTATTATGGCGACCAGCTCGGCTTTTCTAGTCAGCATCTTTGTCGTCTATGTTATGCTAAAGAGAGGCAAACGCACAAAAGTCCTAACGGATCATTATGGTTATCCCGTTTATCCAGATGAAGCGGTTAGCAAAACTATGGGGGGTGGAGATAAGGCGGTCGATTTTACCGCGCCGATATTTGTGTTGAGCTCACACGAACATAATGCGGAGAATACGGCCAAATAGGAGGCATTTTAGTTTTATTAAGAAAAAAGGTTTTGTTATTATGTTCTGGAGGAGTACATAAGCCTAAAGAAGGATTTTGAATAATGCTCGTGTCTGAAAAATGAGTGCTTTTTTTGTTTACCGAAATTTAATTTATTTTTTTTTAACAGTTAGCTTATATGCATGTAAGTGTCTTCTAATTTTCTTGTAGTTAAAACTGAGAAACCAACTTTGGGGATGGTCTCCAGGTGCAAATCTTGGCTAAATCGTATAACTAAGCGATAGCTTCTTTCTTATATCTATTGCATATTATGGGTATTTATATTTGAACATAAGTATATAACATACTCGTACATACATACATATGTATATACGAATATGTCGTATTAGAGTAATATCTTTCAAATGTAAATATATTCATTTAAACATTCTTAACTTTGTTACACGATATCACAAACATACATGCATTGCATATATATGTACATATTACTATATAATATATTATTTGTTGTTTTATTATATAACATCTATTGGTATTTAAATCTAATTATTTATAAATTAATATAATTACGTCTATTTTTAAGATTTTTTAAATAAAAACTAAATAAATGTTGCACGAAAAACAATTTTTCCTATTGCGAAGGGATTTTTGGATCTGAAAGAAAACGGTATATGTTGTACAGAAAGCTCAACTATTCATTCAGGTAGTTTTTGCACTCTCACTTCTTAATTAACAATAGCGCGTAATTCACTTCCCTCTTTTCGCTGTTAGGCGGCAATTGGAAATACCAAGTACAGCAAGGTGCTTCTTTTCGGCTGCTCTTTCTAGCAGTGAGGAGGTCTTAAACTTTCTCTGCTTCAACCGGCGGGTACTGCATTGAAAACTTTCATAGCTGGAGTGTTTCTCGTATATCTCGTACAGCTCATCGTTCCATCGACTTTGCACCATAATTCTTATGGAAAATCTTTCTACCGAAACTCGGAACGACGACTCATCAAATGTTGTCATCGTCCGCGCCTTCGCACCATATAGCAGGACGGGAGTTTTGTTTTTGTTTGGAAAGGGGACTTCACACTTCAATTATCTACTCAAACAAAAGTAGTAAAGGCAGCTTCTTTTCGTGCTGCATTAAAATCGATGTCCCTTTTTTATAGATTGGGTAAAGCACATTTAAATTCCATATTCTACAAAGAAGCTGAAGCATGTATTTCCAAAAACCACTGTTGTTGACTAATACACTGAGACAATCGTTCGGCTGTCTGTTGCGATTGCAGCTTTTCGATGTCGAACCTTCCTTGTATTTGTTAACGGGCGTTGCATGCTGCACAGAGTCGAATGCGTATTTTTGCTGCTAGAAGATGGTCGTCCGAGTTGGAACCTCGGAGCGTACGCATGTCAATAACATTCGAGTCATGTCCGTCTAGTGGCTTAATGAACTTTCTTGGGCTGATGTAGTAGTACTACTTTGGGTCCCGGTTAAGTCGATCGAGTTTTACTAACACGGTTTTTAAAAAAAATTTTAGTTTCCCCAGTTGAATACCGATAGTACCGGTCAACGGTCCCAACAATCATGCCTTTAGTTTGTACAGATTGGACGAGGAGGAAAACGAATGGGTCTGTCGACAACCAAACATTAAGCATACTCGCATTTCACTTTTGCCAACAGAGGTTGATCAGGTAGCCGTTAGTTCTTTCAGCAGCGCGCATTTAATGCCATCTGCGGCTCTTCAAAGTTCTCATAATTGTTGGAAAGAGGAAAAGGTCGCACGGTGCCTGCCTCTCTTTCACTTGTTTCACATTTTCACAGGCTGTTGATGCGCAGCACGTTCAAGAAGCAGCTGGCTGCATCATTTCTTGCAGTTTTGAAACTTTTCGATATTGTAAGTGGTTGAGGGAGGGGAAGAGTATGAAGCGCACTCCTTTTGTAAAGAGAGTTGTCTGGCTTAACGTTATTGGGGTAAACGGATAAAAAATAATCAATTGATAAGCCTCTGTTGGCTCGGAGAAATGGTGTCAATTAAGAAGTTTACAACCGGTTGTCCGATTTTTATCCACGACGTCTCCTTGTCCCGTTTGCGTGTGCTGTTAGATAGTGATGAGCTCTTAGATTCTCCTTGTTTTTCGGTATTTTTGAAGCTTCTGTTGTTTGTTTCGGAAATACATGCTGCAGTGAACCGTAAAATTGTAGAATTTTCATCCAGTAAATAAAAGGACTGGGAAAAATAAAATACAGAAAAATATGTTAAAAGGTATATGACAGATAACGGAGTATCGAGTTGGATGTTTGTCAAAATCGCTTTATAGTTTTAACCATTCCTTTCAAACAATATTTAATAGAAGCATATTTTAACTCCCTTTCAATTTTAACAGTATTTTATTTGTTTAAGGGGCACACCTTGTGTAATGGCCTAAAAAAGGTGATTTTTTGGGAATTTTTATAAAAAAAATGCTTTATCAATTTTTTCAAAATTTTAAGAATATATTTATACAAGAATATACAGTAAAATTTTTGAAGAAAAAAATTAAATATTTTTTAAGTTATAGTCGATCTCCAACGGCGCAAAATAAAATAGGTCCTTCACTGCTGCAGTGATTCCATCCTCCTCCGTGGATGAAATCTAAAAAAAAATTCTCTACTCTATTGTCTGTACAATGACCTACGATAAAAAAAAAAAACAAAAATTGACAATATGGCGGCATTTAAAAAAAAAATAGTCGAATTTTACCCAAAAATTGTACCTACAGACAGAAAAAACGAACTATGTATGTAATTGTAATTGTAAAAGAAAAATAGTTGTATGATATTTATTAGATAAAATAATATTTATTTAGGTATAATGAATTTATATTACAATAATTTGGCTTTTTAGTATACAAAGCTCGTAAATCTTTGTGAGCATTTGCGAAACACATTTGTTTTTGTTTTTTTTTTTCATTTTTTTTTTGTTTTGTATAAATTCTTAATAGTATTGACAATATTTTTTTTTTTAAATTCTTCATAAAATGTTAGTCAATTTGCAAATATTTAATACAGCTTTACACTATATATGTATGTAGAATTTTTGCTGTAGAATGCTAATTTTTTCCCAATTTATAAGAATCCAGAATTCTTTACTTTTTTATTATTATTTTTATTTTTATTTTTTTGTAAACTTCATTCTTATTTCATAATACTTAATACATATACATATTTGGACTGAAAAATGTTTTAGGTGATTGTATTTGTGGGTAATATCCACTGTTAAAAAAATGGTGCAATGTAATATGTTCATGTTTGTATGTATATATGTACGTAAGAATGCTTACAGCGGCTGCCGTGCACATTTGGAAATGTTTAATAATTATAGAAATCTCAACTCTCCCTTGTAAATTTACTTTATAGTATATACGCACATAGTATGCATTTTTTTTGAATGTTAAATGGTAAACATCTAACGAAAAGGTATAAGTAAGTTAATCTCCAACGAGCATGCATGCTAACATATTCAGTTTATACGTACATTTATTTGAAATTACGGTATGGGTTTGTATTGTGTGTAGGTAAATGACATGAATTCTTATATATATGCAATGGAACGGATGCAAGAGGGTTTTGTATATTTTATAGATTTATTTGGATTAAATTTCGAAAGTAATGAGTAATTTATTTTAACTTTAACAATGACATTAACAAATGTTAAAAAATTGTAATGCTGAATGAGTTGAGAGCGCCGTTCCTTAAAAATCATGGGTTTGGCAATAGATTGTTATCAATGGCAGAGCCAAAATCCTATTCATTGGTAGTTGGTTTTTATCTACTATGGGTAATACTATATATTATTTTTGCATTGTGCTTCATTCACTAATAAATAACGTTCATTTATTATAAAGTGGATTAAAAGAATTGGTAAATTTGAAGTGATAGATATTGGTAAAATATTTGGCGGATAGTTTCGTAATATTTATGCACATTTGACGTGTTAAAATGTTTATAAAATTATAAGATTAATGCTATAGAATACAAAATTTTTGTAAAAAACTTAGATATACCAAAGATATTTAAGAGTCAAAGTAAATGAATTGAAAATGTTATTTTACGTATAACTCTCTGCACCAAATGTACTTGAACAAATCTACCTAATATTTGTAAGCTTTCACTTCTTATTTTGATTATTAGTATTGTTGTTGGTATTGATACCTGTACCCCCTGTTGCGGCGCCATTGCCTGTGTTACGTTGAGGAAATCCGCCAAAACCTGGTATAGCTGCTCTTTGATCCTCCATACGTCCACTCTGTACCTTCATTATTAGTGAGAAAAAGTCCTCATCGGGTACAGTCGTTCCACCAGCGCTACTGTTGCCACCAACTCCTCCGGCACCAGTTCGACCACTAGGAGCTTCTGGTTGAATTGGTGCCTCAGCGTCCATTGTAATATTGGCTCTTGGCAATTCAGAGCGTTGTTCCTCTAAACGTGAACCCTGACATCGCACCAACATGTCTAAGAAATCATCATCCGGTTGTTGAGTAGTTGTTGCACTTCGTGCTAACTGACCATGACCGGAGTTGCCGCCAGAAGCGGCATTAATATTATTGAAGGACTTAACGCCAACAGCAACGTTGCCATCAGTGCTACTGCCACTAGATATGGAATTTTGTTGTGTTAAAGGCTTTCGAGTAGCACCCGTACTAGAGGTTAGCGAGGGTGTTGCTCCTGCCAATGGCATTGACGTATTTGTTAGATTTTTAGCAATTTTAATTGAGCATCTCTGATCATCCATTCGTTTAGATTGGGATCGTGATAGGAGTTCGAAAAAGTCTTCGTCTTGAACTTTGGGTTTAGCACCTTTTTGAATGTCACCGGTAGCGTTAACTTGATGTGCTTGTTTGCCATCTGGAGTGATTTTAATTAAATCTAACTGCTCCATACTTTGGCGTCTTACACGTATCTTAAAAAAAAGAAAAACATTTAAAAACTTAAAACCATGCAAGCCAAAATTTAAATATATTACTTACCATGCGACCATGTGAGCTACCAGAGCTATCGGACCGTTGTTCAATGCCTGCTGAAATATCTGAGGCAATTGAACGTTCTTCACAACCGATTGGTGAATCTGGCAGACCGAGTAGCTTGCGTAAGTCAGATATATTAACCCTGGCTGTGCTTTCCCCAACAGGATCTTGTAATTCAACGGCTAGGTTTAAATGTGATTCGGCATACAGGAGAGCCTTCTCATGATTGCCGATCGCCGAATGAGCATTACCAAGAGACCAACAAGCCCTCGCTTCTCCAACTCGATCACCTAATTCTTGTGCAATTGATAAATGGCGATGATGGTATTCAATTGCTGTTAAAAACTCCCTCAGCAGAGTGTAAGTATTTCCAAGGCTATAGCAAGCTTGTGCCTCTACTTCACGTTCTCCAAGTTCAATAGCCAATGATAATGTTCGCTTGTAATGTTCGGCCGCTTCCTCAAACTGTCCCAGAAAGATATGAGAGTTTCCCAAATTACTATTCGCACGACGCTCAGCCGAACGATCGCCGAATTCACGAGCAATACAAAGCCTTTCTTGGTGGTGTTCAATAGCAGCTTGGAAATTGCCTTTAATATTTCATACATACTTAGAAAATGGTAGTTAATAATAAAAAAAACTCTAAACTTACCAAGTAAATAATAAGTATTTCCTAAATTTCCACATGCTCGACCCTGAGCACTACGATCTCCCAATTCTTTCATAAGTTTCAGATTTTCTTGATAAAATTCAACAGCTTTACTCAGTGCTTCACGTACCTCATCGCCGTAGTCACCAGGATTACCCTGACCCATATGTTTTCCTTTAGCATGATATACGTTACCCAAATTGTACAGAGCACGCCCTTCGGAAAGCTTATCTCCAAGTTGCCGGGCTAATGTCAAATGACGATCGCAACACATGGCTGCTTCATTGAAACGTCCCATAACTTTCAAGGTGTTTCCCAAATTTCCCGACGATTTAGCTTCGCCCAATTTGTCATTCATACTACGCGCTAGTGTGAGATCAAGTTTGTGATACTGCATGGCTTTCGCATAGTCGCCCAAATAAAAATATGCATTGCCCAACTGCGAGTAAATTGCGGATAAAGTGCGAAGATCGTTTGTACCCGCTTGAATGGCTGCTTGGAAGAATGCCACACCTGAACGGCAGTCACCAGATTTACAAAGACGTTCCCCTTCTAGTGCCAGTTCCAAGCACATGCTCGAGCTTCCATCTGAAGCTGCCGCACCTTGGTCCAAGCCTGCACCACCTGCAGCACTAGACACATTTTCTGCGGAAGCTGATAATGAGGACATGATTTGTCCTTACCACTTCTTCACTTTTAGAAATATTTCACACACCTGATATCTAAATTTAACTCTATATTAAATGGCTATATAAATCTTATCATTATTTCAGCAGCTTTTTATAATCATAAATCATAAAACCGACGGAATGGTTCTAATTTTCTAAAGTATTGAATTTATTTCGCTTTATTGAATTTTTCAACATCACTTGCATTAAGATTTTACAAAGAAATTATTCATGGCTATGGTGTATAAGCCCAAGTATTCGAGGTGAATTTTCAGGGTTGCATTACAGTTTTGGTCTACCCGTTTATTTAAAAAAATGGTTATTACTGCCACAAGCTAGTTATAACTTAAAACATTTCGCCTACAAAGTTATAAAATTAAAACTTTAAAGGAGATCATTTCATTCCATGCATTTTTATATATATCTTTTATAACATTAACTTGTTTGAATTTTCTTGCCCCATTTTATTTCACCACAAGATGGCCGCCAGAGTAGCTCAATTTGTTGATGCAACTCACCAGACATTTGTCTCAGTGCGCACAAATGACGAAAGTAGCTCAATGTGTTCCATTTCTGAATCAGAGTGAACGAAAGGAAAAAATTTGTAGAAGCAATCAAAGGCGCTGTCCGCGATTTTGTGTAAATTATTGCATTAAAGGTAAAAAGACTTTATTAAAATAATAAAACTTTCTAAATAAACCTTTTTGCTAAACAATTTTGGTGAATTTGATTGAAGTTTTCTAATGAAACGCACGTGAAAACGAATTGAAACGGTTGAAAATTGTGCTAACGAAGAGAAAAATGCGAAGAAATTTTAACGGGAAGAAAAAGGTGTTCAGAGTTGCTCGGTCTACTTCGCAGCGTTGTTGTTGCTGTCGTTAGCTCGGTAGCAGAGATAGTGTCGCTTTCGATTTTGTCGTGAGTGCAAAGGATTTTGTGAAAATCGAAGAAATCGAAATAAAGCTATCTTCAAACAACTAAAAAACTGATACTAATTAAGATATATAAAACAATTTGAAAAAGAAGATAAACTAATAAAAGCGCAAGTTTAAAAGCCTTTGGTTTATACTTGAAAGTAATTAACGTCGCCAACAGCGCCGCTTTATAAATTCGATCGGGCGTTTTGACATTTGATGACATTTGCGCAGCAAAAGCGAACGTTTGGGTATTTGCTCAAAGTGTGTAGTGGTTGAATTTAAGTAACCAACGAGGAATCAGGGAAAAGGAGAAAATCAATCATTTTATTTGGCAAACAGGTATTATTGAATATAAAATGTAAAACTTTTAGAAAAAAACATTCAATTTAACTTATTGGCTTTTAGAAAATTTCAGCTGAAAGTACTATAAATAACTTTAAACATAGCTGATTCTTTTTTTATGAGACTAATTTCGTGGTATCTTAAAGAAAGTTAAAATAAATTTATCAGAAATAGTCAAATGGCAGTGACCGATAGTAAGAAGTAGTAATAGTATTAACAATAAACAGAAATTTGGTGGAACTACACATTAAAGAAAAATCTGAAAAGAGCTTCGACCTACACTTAATTGTATTTGTTATGATTTTCATAAATTATTTGCCTCGCACTTCGAAGCTTATTAACAGCATGGGTGCATACCTATATACATAAGTATAGATATATAGATACAATATTTCTTGCACGTAACAGCATCAATATGGTTATATTACATGTAATGTAATACAGATAATTATTTTGTGAAGTTGAAATTTTAAAAGATTTAACAAAATATTTAATTAGGAACTTCTTTTACCTTTCTTACACTATTTGGCTTATAAGTATTAGCATAAGCCATCAAAGGAAAACTACAAAAATAGTTCTTTAAATCATATAGGTACATCTTAAAACATGATATGATGAACTATAAGCCTTTAGCAAAGGTTTAAAAAATAAAAAATAAATGTTGAAGGGTTATGTAAGGTTTCTAAATACCATAAATTGAGCTGAAAGTATATATACATATGTATATGTGACTTTGTGAACATTTATATGAATGTAACTAAATGTTAGGAATCTTAGCAGCTTTAAAAACATAGTCTTAATATTTTAAAGTAAGTAGATATACTCAAATGATATATAATAATATTTGAATTTAATGCAACAACTTATAATATATTTACCGATATTTAGGTGAATTGGTTTATGATACTTAACGCATTACTTTCACATCGTGAAAAGCTGTATAATGTGAAAAACTATTGAGCCGCCTACAATACATTTCAAAATTTAATAATATGCACATATTATATTATTAATAATATGCACATTATCACATACATATCTTCATATCTTTATGAATGGTATATTCAATGTTTAGGGTATGTATGTGTTATCGGAATTGAATAGCATTTGTTGAGACTTTGGGGATTTCATTCAATACTTAACTTATATTATTTATGTATTTTTATTATTATTAATTTTATTAAAATTTTAGTTGGAGTTAAATACTAAATAACTAGTAAGTCAACTTTTTAATATTAATTTATTTTACTTTTTTTTGTAAGAAAATTTTGAGTATTATGAGAATTAAAAAAAGTATATATTGAAAAGGATCTGCGTAGACAGATGAATGAATACAAAGAAATGTTTAGTGAATTAGCGAACGTAGAAGAAAACAAACGTGTAAAATAACCAAAGTAACGAGTAATGATTATACTGGATTATTTTAGTGTCAAAATATTTAGATGAAAGAGTTTAGAGATGAAACGGAAAAGAACAGTATCTGAAATATGTTATTCTTTATAGCCTGAGACATTATGCATCCATACTTGCTTATGCTTTTAGTGACAAATAAATAAACCAAAGGTACAGGGTGGTTATATGAATTAGAATCTTAATTGTGTTGTTGCCGCTGTTGTAACCGCAAAAATAGTCCCCCAAGTAGTTTTTGGGAATGTTGCGGAAGTGACAATCATTGACGGGAAAAAATTCCAGGTCGATGCGATATAATGACCCGCATTTCGCCTCTTACGACGGGTATGCCTCACCGCGGTAAATTATTGAACCCCTGACCGCAGGTGTATATGATCTGATCGTAATCGTATTTACTTATGATTTATTTATACAAATTAATGTTTTAATATAATAATTTAAAACTATGTGAAACAGAAATTTAAATTTAACAATATCATATAAAAGCATTCTTCGAACATATCTCACAAAACGAAACTACAAGATAAGACCTAAAATTCAACCGCTGATTTAAAAAATATTTCCGATCAGGTAACATTGGCTCGACATACAAACTATAACCAACGAGTTGAAAAAAGAATTGAAACTAGTAATTTTTAGTTTGTGTTTGTACATCTTGTGCAGGTTTCTGTGCCAGAATCGGCTGGAAATATAGAAGAAGAAAAAAGAATTTGTCAAACGAGCGAAAAGGCCTCCATAACACATGTGCGGAACGAAAAAATTAATTTGGTTCTTCTACCGTTGTCGTCATTGTCGGTAAAACAGTGGACAGCAAATATATTTTATATATAATATAATAGAGAAAACTTATAGAAAATATGTGAAATTTTATAATTTTAAACCGAATTTAAGACCTGTAAACTTTAAATTTCTTATAGTGGTAAACCAACCGTAAATTAAAATGAAAAAGTATTCGAGGGGGGCTGACTCAAGTGAATATTTGTTCAGAGTAGTTCACATACCCAAAGTGAAGTTGAAAAACAGCTTTAGTAAAATCACAAGCGTATTTTCGAAGGGAAAATGTAGTCATCTTCTTCACGAGCAAATATTAATATTAAATGTTTATCCATAGTCTTTCTTGTGCTTAAATTGAGTTTAATTATTTTTAGATTATTGATTATGTAGCATTTTTCATGTTTCTACGTCTTTCGTTTCGTCATTTTACTTTCATTCGTGAGCACGTATCGTGTGAAGGTACGTGTATTAGTGTTCGTGGATACGCTAGTATATGTACGTGATTTATTTCGCTACGGGATTTATTAAAATTTCTCACAAAAATATTAAAAATAAACTATAAAATGGCTTGACATAATATAAATAGGGTTGCAGGAAAATCGCCAACACACTTCAAAATAAGTTTTAAAAATGTCTTCCTAAGTTATATTGATAATGTTTATATTTACTAATCTTATGTGAAAATTTAGGAATTCTGCTATTGTTTTGAAATATTTATAGATATTTTGTATGATGCGAATTTATTGCTGAAAGATTCTTAAATATTAACTTTAAAGTTTTAGTAGATTCTTATATTCATTAGTTACGAAATATGATTGTTTTGTTAGATATGATATGTATCTGAAAAATATGATGTAGGTAATTTATATAGCATATATCTTAATTTTTTAATGGTCATTTAAACAGTATAAAGAAATATCCTAAAATATATACAAATGTAAATAATTTTTCATGTGATTATATTTTTGTAATTAAATTAGCTTTCATAAACATTTTGTACAATTCCGCACGTTATACTATAATACAATACAACAATATCATAAATAGTATAATGTTAAGATCTATATATCACATTAAAATTATACGACTCGCGGTTTGGCCACACAAAAATATGCATATGTTCATACTTATTAGGTAGATACATATCATTTTAAAATTGTTAAAAATGTAATCTTATCACTCATACAGATATTTTGGTATCATTTATAAATTATTTAAATTAACACTCTATATGCATTTAAGATATAGTAACGAGTATTGAATGCACTTTTTACACACTCTCTGCTTAATTGGAAGACACTATTATTAATATTAGTAATATTAAAAAATTAATGTATGGACATATTTCTTTTCAAATGATGATTTATTAAATTCATTGACTTATTATTTATTAATTTCCATAAACAACAATTAATTTTGTATCACTTTTTTTCTTTTCAGTTAGCTGTGATTAAATTTATTATCGTTATGGTTTCCATTGCTCTGTTCAGCTGAAAAGAATAACAACTTTATTCCCCTGGTTAAATATTTATATATATAAGACAATGTCACCAATAAAGTTGTGTTGACGCTGTCGGTAAAAAGCTTCTGAATATCATAAGGGCACACGAGCACTTCAGATCCGGTTCAAAAAGTAAGTTAATACTACATAAATACCCTTACATGCATCATAAGTGGTTAATTTGATTTATTTTAGATAAGCGTGTGTCCAAGTAAGAAACAAATATTACTATAGGCAAACGAGAATTGCACATACGGTACAATTAAAACGGAAAATATAACTTAACCAATGTAATGATAAATTAGTATAAAGCTTCAATAGAACTGCATTCAATGTGCCATTTCATCTGGAGATAAGGTTCATACTATTCCCAACATTTAGTATATAAACACATATTTAACGTAGATGCTTAAGTAAAGTATTAGATACCAAAAAAAAAAATCAACAAAGGATACACTACTGAAGAATTCCCTCCACTTACTCGCATCAGACAACAAAATTACTACAATCGCTGTTATTTAAATAATTGCATTTGGGCCACTATAAAGGTAATTAACAACTTTATGAAAGTATAAATTTGAAAGTGTTTCATTATTTATCTATCCCTATACAGATATCTCATTCAACTATTGTACTTCTATTCATATTAAAGCTTACAGTTTGAGAACTATAATAATCAAAGTTGGTTGAAAATTACTCTCCAGAACTCGAATTTATAAGATTTATAATATTTGAGAACCTTGTATTAACAATATTGAAAAATCAACGAATGATAGTTCAAAGAATAGCATTAACAGTGATGACTGGATAGTTGTTTGTATAAGCCTATATAGAGAAAAGGAGCAGAAAGCGTGGCATTAACAAACAAAGCAGTTTGGAGAATCACATTTCTTAAGAAAAGAGCAAAAATCGTCATCCCTCTAAAATATTGAGACTCTTAATATTGATTCAAGTTATACTAGTTTTTAACTACACCTTTGTGTAAATCATATTCGCAGGAGTGTGAGAACATAAGAAGGAAGTACAACTGGTTACAAAAAAAAAATACAAGGCAAAAAAATGTCATCGGGAACGTTTGTTGATCGAATTGATCCATTTGCCAAACGCTCGCTTAAAAAGAAAAGTAAAAAAAGTCAGGGTTCCTCACGTTATAGAAATTCTCAGGATGTGGAGCTACAACAATTGCCGCCGTTAAAAGGTAAAGTAAATTTTCTCAAAACATCTAAAAAAACATTTTAGTAGTTAAAAAATTAGACTCAATAAGAAAAGAAAAAGTAATTTGAAACAAATTCATAAAGATTTATATATAGAAATTGTTTCAAGACATCTACTGAATTTTGCGAATTTTCGAGTGGATAAAAGACGAGATTTTTAACTTTTTGTTTTGAAATTCATTCAGCGGATTGCTCAAGTTTGGAACAAGAAGAATTATTCATTCGTAAGTTACGGCAGTGCTGTGTATCTTTTGACTTTATGGATCCTGTAACGGATTTAAAGGGCAAAGAAATAAAGAGAGCTGCTCTAAATGACCTCTCCAATTATATAACACATGGCAGGGGTGTGCTCACGGAACCGGTGTATCCCGAAATTATACGAATGGTGAGTATTACCCAGTAGCTGTTTATGGTTTGTAAGAGGTATGCAGCTATTTTTCTAACTGTCATATTTCGTTTTATAGATTTCATGTAATTTGTTCCGTACACTGCCTCCCAGTGAAAATCCTGACTTTGATCCTGAAGAAGATGATCCAACATTGGAAGCTTCATGGCCACATTTGCAGTTAGTCTATGAAGTATTTCTACGTTTCTTGGAATCGCAGGACTTTCAAGCGACTATAGGCAAACGTGTAATTGACCAGAAATTTGTTTTGCAGGTGAGACATGAGTAGGCGATAAACAAAAATATGTTCAGGAATATGTACTATATGTGTGAAAAAGTGTAAAGAATAATAATTAAATTTTAAATATTTTAAAATCTTTTATTTTGTTTACTCAACAGCTTTTGGAGCTGTTCGATTCTGAGGATCCACGCGAACGTGATTTTTTGAAAACTGTTTTACATCGCATCTATGGAAAATTCTTAGGATTACGCGCTTTTATACGAAAACAAATAAATAATATTTTTTTGCGTTTTATTTATGAAACAGAGCATTTCAATGGTGTCGGCGAATTACTAGAAATATTGGGCAGGTAATGTATATCAAATTTTTGTATGCACTTAAAAAGCTCCCAATTTGATTTTTTTTTTTTTAAATATAACTGATTTTTTTTATTTACAGCATCATCAACGGATTTGCCTTGCCTCTAAAGGCCGAGCATAAACAATTTCTTGTGAAGGTGCTATTGCCTCTGCACAAAGTGAAATGCCTTGGGTTATATCACGCTCAACTGGCATATTGCATCGTACAGTTTCTTGAAAAGGATCCATACCTAACTGAACCGGTCGTACGTGGTTTGCTTAAGTTCTGGCCAAAAACATGTTCACAAAAAGAGGTTATGTTTTTGGGTGAGATCGAAGAGATATTGGATGTAATTGATCCACCACAATTTGTGAAAATACAGGAGCCATTATTTCGACAGATCGCCAAATGTGTGTCAAGTCCGCATTTTCAAGTGAGTAATAAGTTATTGATATTCTCTGAGAACTCGGAATAATATTAACAATAATATTATATATTTTTTTTAAACTAATTTGTACAGGTTGCTGAACGCGCCCTTTTCCTATGGAATAATGAATATGCAATGTCCTTGATAGAGGAGAATAACGCCGTCATTATGCCGATAATGTTTCCGGCGCTGTACAGAATTAGTAAAGAGCATTGGAATCAGACGATCGTTGCCTTGGTTTACAACGTGCTAAAAACATTTATGGAAATGAACTCGAAGCTTTTTGATGAACTAACAGCTAGCTATAAAGCTGAGAGGCAAAAGTAAGATCATTTCAAATATGTAAAACTGATTTTTATTTTTATTTATTTTTTTACTCTTGTACGCAGAGAGAAAAAGCGGGAGCGTGATCGCGAAGAATTGTGGAAGAAATTACACGAACTAGAAATAAATCGTGCAAAAAGCGGCAGTGCCGTAGGCACGTCAGTGGCTAATTCGGTGCTAGGAGCTGGAGGCAGTGGCGGCAGTGCCGCCGGCTCGCAACAAATCAACTCTTATCAACAACAACAATCGAATGCTAGCTTGGTAAACAGTGGAAGTGGTGGCGGTTCTGGTGACAACAATCCTGCCTTGCTTAGCGGCGGTGCACAAAGTGGCGGTACCTCAGCAAATCCTGGCGGTACGAACGCCTTTGCCAAAGCCAAAGCGGAAAAGGCAGATAATTAAACAATGAGGCGACGATCAATTGTAAGAAAGAAAGAAACAAAAAGAAGAAATATAAAACACATAAACTTAATAATAATAATAGTTTAGTGGAGTCTAAAAACCTTAAAAGAAATATTGGTGTTGTTAGTCAATAAAGAATCTTGGCATTTGTGCGTCTACAACCCAGTGTAAGCCACAAAAAGAGGAGAAGAGAATATTTTTAAGTAAACTTGAAGTCCCTATCGAAGTTAAACAAAAATAAAGGAGAAAAAAAATTGAAGCACCACACCAACATGATCAAAGTAAAATCGTTTCATCACCATAATAGATAACCGGTAACATTACCATGAAATCTGATCAGTACTAGAAAAATAAGAGGATGAAGCTAAATGTTGATAATAATAGAAGAATAAAATAAATAAATGAATAAAAATGCCGGTATTAAGAGCATCAGAGTATGGATGTACATTGGAGAGGCAGTAAACACTTACAACTGGGATCGTGGTATTACACAAAACAAAAGGAAAGCGTATGAAAAGCTTAAATATTAAAATTATATTATGAATATAAAATACCTATTATTTTACGATTAAAAAAATATTAAATATAAAAAAATTAAATAATTATACAAGTATATGAGGAGGATAAAAATGCAAATAATAAACATAATATAATATATAGTGCAGAAATGTTAGAAATTGTAAACTAACCAATGTAGTACAGCGAGTCTTTCTCTTTAGAACAATACTAACACTACAACAACTAAAAACAAGAAAACACTCCTTGCTATTATTCTACACTATATTTGAATAATTAACTGGCGTTAAAAAACTGAGCATAGGCCAAAAACTGCAACACTCATATGCTTTTAATATACCTACATTTACTAAAACATTTATACTAAATCATTTTCAGTTAGTTTCAAAAGTGCGAAAAAGGTTAAAAAATAAACAACCTTTAAGTTTATACTACTTTAGTTTGTGTTAGTAAGATTTTTTTTTTTTTTTCATTAATTTTATTTTGAGAAAAAACTATATTTTTTAATTTTTCCACCAACGGTTTCTGTGCAAAATAGTATATTGCTTGGATATATATATGCGTATATGTAATCTTTAGTACATTAACAATAAAATTGAAGGGATATTTATTAAGTATAAAAGATGAATTATTTTTTACTGCTAACAGCACGATTGAACAAGTTCTAGTAGAAGAAGAAATATGTAAATATGCACTGATATCTACAGTATTCAATAGTCAGAAAAGGCGTTCAGAACCACACAAAGAAGGTAACACAAACATAAGCAAACAAAAAAGTAAAAAAAAAGAAATGGCGTAAAATTTAGAAAAATGCATGTATTTCACACACAATTGATACCAATTATTATGTCGTTACTAAAAGAAAATTTATTCTTTTGTTTAGTAAGTTTCAAATCCCAGTAGCAAAATGAGCAAATAAAGTATGTATATAAAATGTTTGCATATTATGATCAAACGTTGTTGATGAGCCGCTGCCGATAAGATTTTATGTGTGACCGATTCCAGTTACGAACGACTGCTAGAAATTATAATATAAAATTAATGATCCATACGCAAAAGCTTATACAATTCGGAAAAAAAAATGTTATAACTCAATCGTACTCTACATGCATACATACATATGTATAATTCGTATTTATACAAAAAGTGAGCGACTAAAAATTTATTGTGTGCTTGGGTGCGTGCGTGTTGTGTTGATACGAGTGCAATAAAATTCGGTAAAGCCTATATCTGCGCTGACAAGATAAAAAGCGTAGCAAAAACCTCTCTGAATGTCAAAAGGAAATAAATAAATTAAAAGAAGAAGTAATAAAGAATAAAATGTTATATCTCACCCTTATGCATCCATACGTATATACATATTCATACATTCGCACCTACAGTTCTGAATATTAGTAATGAACTACAAACAAACACAAGTAACATACATACACACATTTTGAAGGTGGTAGCGTACGTGCCAATCTAACCAAATCGGCTCAATACGCTTGCTAATTTTTGATTTTCTATTAAAAAAAAAACACTTTTTTTTGCTTAGTTGAGCAATACAGTTAAAAGTTTTTCAGAACAATAATTTCCTTATGTTCATATGCATTTGTATATACAAACAAACATACATAAATAAAAACAAAAGTGGTTATAATTTTTCTGAGTTCCCGCCAAACAATTCATTTCGATTTGTGTAGTTGTAATTGTATATGAAAGTACTACTTTATAAAGATTTGCGTTTCATTTAATTAAAAGAAAATTATTCAAATTATTTATATCTGCATATACAAAGTTGTTAAATTTGAATTCATTGCATTTAAAGTGAATGTAAATGTATTTTGCTTGAGCGAGAATAAAATAATAGATGGTTTATATTGATTTGTGAACTAGAAGTTTTCTATATACAATAAATATTACGATATATTCATCACAGTCAACCCTGCTTAATGGACACCGTCGTTTTTTATTTCTAGCTGAACATTTTCAATTTTTTTTTTATAATTTAGACAGGGCGTTTTTTTTTATAGATATATTAACGGATCTAAAAAGTATGGGAATACAGTTATTTATAAATATGTAAATACATTTTTATATTTGTTTAAGGTTTGCAATTATTTTATGAAACATATGTGTTGTATGATTGGGTATATACTAAAAAAAAACGGAAACTTAGGACAAAACACTTCAGTTGGTTCTTGCTTCAGTTAGTAAAAAAAAATTTGGTGCACTCGGAAATAAAAAAAAATATAAGGGTTCCGGTTGCTATCATTATTCTTGTGGCGGTTTGAAAATACTTTTATTACTTAATTCTTTTTTCTGGACGGTTATTTAAAGGTTATTTGATCACATTTGTACAAAATGGTTGGTTGTAAATGTCGTTGCTTATGTTTGCAGGGGTACTCCGTAAATTTTAACTGCGCTTTAATTAAAAATACATATATGTATATATTTTGCTACAAATAAATTGCAGAAAGCTGGCGCGATGAATAATTTCACCAAATAGAGACGTAAAACAAAAGAGAACTACAGCTTTTCTGATAATATAATTTCAATTCTTTTAATTATTAAGCTAAAAGAAATCAATTTAAAATCAAAATTAATTGTAATTAGGTATGTACATCTTTAGTTATGTACATATATTTATTTAATTTAAAATATATTTAATTTTCCTGCACTTTCAAGTATCAGTAATAGCTTCTAAGGTTATATTTTCATTATTGGAAGTAACATGATGTCAGCTAAAACAATTTTTAGCCAACAAAAGAAAGAAAAGAAGAAAAAAAAACACGAAAAAGTGAAGCTAAAGCTACTTCGTAAGAAGGGAAAATTATCTAATTTTAGTTTTTCAACAATTAAAATAAAAAAAATAAAAAAATTCGTTGTAATATAATATATAGGCAACAACAAAAAAATTATTAGTGTTGACAAAAAAATAAATTTCAACCATTGATCAACGACAATAATTTGTTTTTTTTTTTGTTTTCAATAATATCTAAATACTGTCCTATAAGATTCTGTATAACATATTTTTTACGTTTATTAAACATGCGTACATAAATTCATACGCATATGCACATACATATATACATATGTACATGTACATTTTACTCATACGGTTAAATACTGTAATTGAGAAAAAATACTTTACATAAAATATATTAATTAATATTATTGTGTTGTTATATTTAAAATTTTGCATTTTTTGTTTCAATAATTTAAATTATATACTAAACATATTTTACGATTTATTATTGCTCGTTATGTATATACTTTGTGTGTATGTATGTACATATCATTTGGCAAAACGAGATTTTTTGTATTAAAGTTTAATTTGTTCGTAAAAACCACACAAATTTTATGAGAAACGTTTTTTTTTTTTTCTAAATTTAAATATACTATTTTTTCACCCAAAGCTTAAAAGAACTATGTATTTACAAATAAAATAAAGTTCTATACTAGTTTTATGAACAAACACACTCGCACGCGTTTTTTTTTTCTTATTTTGGCATACGACACATTTATTATTTCACACCGAAAAGTATATACATACATATGTATATTTACTCTTATTGTTGTAATATCCTGCTAAACCAACTCGAGAGTCAACGAGGCGTCTTCATACATTTACAAACAAATTTATTTACATTTTATTAAATTAAGCATAAAACTGCTGCCTGTATATATGACACATGTACATATACATATATATGTGCAAAAGTAAATCAATTTTCTCACGATTTCATACAAAAGTTTAATAAGGAAAAACGAAAAAAAAAATAATCAACTGTAGCATAAATTCACAAACACACATTTAATACGAAATTGGATTTAGCATGTAAATTAAAAAAAATATAAGCAAATTGCATGCTGAAGAAATTATATAAAATATAAAAGATCTTGTGGCTATATAAACAAAAAAAACGTCAATATACATACATATATTAGAGAAAACAAACGCATTTGTTTACAGTCAAAATCAGACAACATAAAAATATCGAAAAGAGGTTTTTATGCGCATTAATAATAAACAGTTAATACAGTTTTTTTTTTTTTTTGTAAATCTGACTGTTATACATTTTTTTTTATTTTTTAGGTGATATAATTGATTTTCTGTATAATTTAAGTCTCATTGCATTCAAACTTTTCGAAATTCAAATTAAATAGAATCTTTTTCAAACTGCATCATTTAACTTTGTGTATCCATACATATAAACAAACAAATAAACAAGGATATATTATATATGTATATATATTTACCCTCAGTACTTGGCCGCCTTAAATATAATGTGAAAAAAATAATATGTAATAATTTACAAGAGGCTTAGAGCTGAAGTGAAGAGCCGAAATCTTAAGCCTAGTGCACACTTTAATTGTGTGAAATGCTGAAATATATATATAATAATATGCATGTCTTAAACACGCGACCCTTATTTGCCGATATAAAAAAAACATAATCACACATAAGGTTTATGTATGTCGTAGTATTTAAAAAAAATTGTAATAATGATAAAAATAAAAACTGAAAGAAATTAAAAAAAAACTCTCCCTAGTGTTACAAACAAAGCAAAACTTAGTGACAAGCTGAAGCAAATTTTTGTAAGCAAAAATATTGTAAACTTAAGGCATTTAAAAAATATAGAGGAAATAGTTTATGTTTATTTGGTGAAAGTTTTGCTGATAACAAATAAAATTAACGATGAACATTTGCTAAAATGTTTAGTATACATAGTAACACGTACACACGTACATACATACAAACATACAAACCAACTAGTGAATGCATGAATTTATGTGAAAAAGTCAAAAATGGCATGATTGAAATTCACATTCAACATATACATATATATACATATGTATGAACAAACATACTCTTTGTATGTAACCAATTTACATATGTATGTACATATGTGGCAAACAGAAGTGAAGCTAGCTATGTGTATAGATAAGAAATAAAACGCTTAATCATTCGATACATAAATATTATCTAAAATAAAATATAAAACAGAAGCAAGGCAAGAATTAATAATAATAAAATATTTATAAATTGCATTAATACATAAATAAGTGATCATCCCTGCACTACTTTCATTCAAAAAAACAAAGCAAAAACAAAAAAAAATTAACGAATACATAAGATGTCAAACTTTTTCAAGTGTAAAATCGCAAGAAGTTATTTGTAAAGGAGGAAAATGAGAAAATTAGTTCTTACTAATTATACAGTATATACTTACATATATACAAAACACATAAATAATAGCATAAATAAAAGTAAATATATATTATACATACATAATATAAATATATATTAAAAATAAAATTAATTATTAAAATAGTATTTAGTATGTGCAGCGTAAACTGAAAATGACGTAATTCTCACACAAAATAAACTAGAATGTAAAACAGAACTTGCATGCATACTCTTATATACAAACATAAAAACTAGTTACATTACATTACATGCGTAAAATGTGTGCATGAAATCAATGAGTTCTGCAATTATAAGTCTTTTTGTTGCTACTTATTATGTACATCTTATGCAAACCAGTAAAAATAATTATAATTCTTATAAAGTTAGAAATATACAATAAATACATATACATATATGTATGTGTAACTGTAATAATTAAAAAAAAACTTCTGTATAAATAACAAACTAATTATGCGAAATTTGAGTTGACCAAAAGTGCAACGCAAAAATATATTATATAATATTATTTTCTTTCATAAAATTCGTTTCGAAAAATATATGTATGTAGAAACTCCTTTCTGCGCTTAAATGTAAAAATGCAATTTATTCTTTTATTCTTTCGAAAAATTTCTATTGGCATAATAAAACAAAAAACATTGTCGTTACTTTAAAACGATTTTTTATATATGTATGTATGTATATGTATACGAATAATTAGAAACATAAAGTTAAAGTGTTTTATAAAATTGTTTTAGTTGTTTCTAAAGTATATATAAGCATCATCTGTATAGTAATGCATGAATCTAACTAAATACAGTACATATTATATATAACCGAAGATGTTTCATATTTTTTTTTTACTCATAAAAATTTCCTGGAATTAGTATCTCCTCATTAATATTTCTAAAATGAAATGACGGTTTTTAAAATTGCATTTTATGAATGAAATTAATTTGGAAACTAATTTTTGGTATATATATTTAGTGCTAAAAGTTCGACGCAACTGTTGCATGTTGAAGATTCTGACATTCAGCAAAGCAGAGGCTTTTTTTTACTGAATCTCTCGAATTTCGGACATGCGTCATTTTATTTTCGACATTTAGAATGATATGCGATTCAAGCCACTTCCAAATGGCTAATCGATTTGTAAGAATATGTTTTTTTTTTTCTTGACTTAAACGCTAGTATTGGCGTTGTCTACTGACTAGCGAGGGATGTAAAATGTATGCCAATGTTAGTTTAGTGGTAATTTCAACACAAAACCACCGACTTGTGACAGCAAAGATCTTTGGTAACAAGCACCGATAGTTAAAATTCATTCTCGTAAACTGGATTGTGTTGTTATGTAATCGATATACTTTTTCATTCGTAGGTCGATAGCAAAATCACCTAATTTTATCCCCAATATCGCATTTTCCCCATGGTCCACAATCATCGAATTTGATATAAATCAACAACTGAATTTATTATAATATATATTTTAACTGTTCGGCCGTTTCGATAAAATCGAGCTCGATTATTTAATATTATTTGATTATTTAATCCATTAACTTCGATATGGGATATGTGAAAGGCTTTGTTCGGTGACAAATTTAAGTAAAAATTAACCATTAATGAAATGTCAAAATTGCAAATTTTATTAAGTTTTTGCCTCACCGATCGCGGTTCAGTAAAAATTGGTAACAATTGTCCAGTCGCCGTCCAGCAGCTCGCCGAACACACTAAATATTTAGGAATATTTATTTTCGAATTACTCCTCTTGAATCATGGTTTCTTCAACATTTTTAAAAACTTGCGAAAGAAAGCGACACAAAGGTGGCGTGCTCCTCTTTTGCTTGCCGGTTTGGTTCCAAATGGGATCTTAGCTCTTCACATAAGAATTTCGTCTATGTTGTTTGCCAATTATATGTATTTATGACTGTAAGTACACATATAAGGTAACTGAGGTGGGGTGAAAAATCCCTACCTTACACGCTTCTTCAAGTCTCTAATTTCGGCCGATCTCCTTCTATTTGTGGTGTGGGTCTTGATGCTTTTCCAACAAATGGAGGGACCTACAGTTTATACTAAGCCGCCTCCGAACGGCTGATACATTTTTGAGAGGGGCTTTGATTTTCATGCCATAAATACACTCGGAGGGGCGAACGTAATTAGAAAATATTACTTAATTCTTTATTTAAATTAATTTTCTATAAATTTTGGTTATTGGTCACACTGGGATTTGAAGTCGAGCCTTCCGAATGGCAGTACGCAATGCTAACACTCGACTACCGTAGTAAATTTAAATTTGGTTATGTCTGGTAAGGTTATTAAAGAACAATATATCGGGGTTTTAGACTCTTTTCGTTGCATAGCCCTGGTTCTCGACAGATTTTATCTTTCAAGCAAGGCGAAGCAGATTTTAGGTGAATCTGCGTTCAAGGTTGCGCTTCGATGTACTAGAGGCAGTTTCGAGATGTGTTAGTTTCATTCTTTTTTCGGTATGTTTACTCAAACTCCTTTATTCTATATATGTAAATTTAAAAAGTTAGATTTGGAAATCTGCATTTTCGGAAATCTATGTTTTTAATCTATCCAACTTCAAATTTCAAGAATGGAATATGTATTTATGCTAAATTGATAGAAATTGTTATAGTTAATAATAGAGACATACATATGTAAAACTAGTATTATAAAATTTTTTTGTTTTATTATGCCGATTTTTTCAAAAATTTCAATAATTTCAAAACCACATGAAAACGCTCATAAAAATATTCTTCAGCATATCTACGTACAAAAAACCATTTTAGTTCCATAAAAGGGGAAGTTCTTAAAATCAGTGTTCATTTACTTTTTATACATATTTATGTATGTATTTATTCACTAAAATTGGTGTGCTTGAAGAATATTATTTTTCTTTTTCAAAGGAACACTTTTGTATTACATTTTCTCAACTTATTCCTTATTAGACGTGGGGGAAGAATTTCACCGATCTTTCATTTTATTATAAATATGTACAAGTGTATGTAGGTAAGCAGTTTAGGTTCAAATGCACACCCACTTTACATATATGTATCAATCAACATCAATAAATTCATCATTTAGAAGTTCGTATACTATAGTGTAGAAAGTTGACAAAATAAATACATATTTACATACATATGTATATATGTACATCATCGATCGTTAAGAAACCGTAGGTGTTGTCGTGAAACCTAAAATTACATTCATACATACATATGTACATAAGTGACCCAATGGGGAAAAGGTGCGTATAATATGTATGTACGTATGTATGTACATATGTACCTTTTCCCTTGATACCAGTGAAGGTGAAAATATTTATGTACCTACATATGTATGTATTTAGAATTTTCTGTTGTACACGTTTGTATGTAGTTTTATATGTAAATGTGTTTTTACTAAAATAAAATAAAAAAGGATAAAAATAATAAAAGAAAAAATCAAATAAAAAATGTAGACCAAATTTCTTTTGCTATGATTTTGAAGTAATAATAATTACATACTAAAAAATAAACAAAATGAATATAATTAAACATATATATACACGAACGAAAAAAAAAACTAAAATATATTATATAATACAAAGTTGCTGTAGCAAAGACGAAAATTGCAGAAATAAAAAAAAAAACATAAATAAAAATATATAAAAAAATTTTAAAATACAAAAAAAGCAGAGCAAGAGTCTAATTTAAAGTGTATTCGTAATGTTACGTAAATTAAGAATTATTAACATTTACGCAAACAATTATAATAAATAATAATTGATATACAATTCTAGAAAGAATAAAAAAACCAATATATATATATATATATATATATATATTATATATTATATGTATATGTATATATATATAAATATATATATAACACAAATATCCGATCAGTACTAAAAGAAAATAAATCGGAATATTCAGGAAAACAAAAACTTTCTTCGAGTTCAAGAAGATCAAAAGAAAGCATTGTAACCAACTGGTCTATCAGGCCCAATAGCAACAAATAACAAACAAAGGAAACGAGTAAAAAGTATCGAAGATATGTACGTAGTTGTTACCCTGTGAGCAGGAAGGGAATCACAGCAATGGCTGATTGCAAACGGTTTTGCTGAAAGCAAAACTTATCATATAAAAGAAAATCAATCAACAATAAATATAAAAATTATTAAAAAAAACACACACACTTTTTCTGCCACGTTGAGCTATATATTCTGCAGGATAAAAGATGCATTGGTAATATAGAAAAGTATAAATAGTAGGTAGGATCTTGAGAGAGACGCTCAATCCCACGCCAGATGAGGCCTTAAATGTCTCCACATTTTACCAAAACACTTAATAGGTTTTCAGACTGCCCCGCTAGCTACTCTTTACCTAAGGGAACGCTAAATCGGGGTAATAATCAACGATTTGGACATTCGAAAATCCTAGAAAGATACATTTTCATACCAAGGAGCACAGACTGATGCTCGTGCAATAACTTCGATATTCTTCTCGACAGTATTGTGATATTTTAGTACTTACGAGTATATACTGATGGATCTTTAACTTGATGGAAAGATGTCTTCTCAAAATATCCACCAGCGAACTACATTGGAACTGAACCAACGGGAAAGGATATCCACATTTTCACCGATTCAGTCACTTGTCTCGTTTACGACGATTTTAAAAAATGTACAGGACTGTCGCCGATCTTTACGGGAGATGGCTTTTAAGGAGGCTGGGGGTTTCCTTTCGGAGATACTGTAGCTGTAGCTGATGATGATGCAAGAAACTGGCTCATCTCCTAAGTGACTGCTCCGCCTTGGGCAGAGCTAGTTTCGGATAACTAGGAGCTACTTTCTTCAATTATTTGTATAAGATAGAAAACATCAAGATGAATTATCTAAAGAAATTAATGAAGAATGCAAAGTGAAAATCATAGTGGTATCACAATATGCCTTCACTTGTGATGTATTGATGAGTACACATTGATAGCCACTTCAACCTAACCTAATCTATGTAAGATCCTCATATACTTGCAGCGCCCACTTTCATAAATCATATTTGACAGATCTCAACAATTTACGCAAATTTTGACATTGTCCATAATATGTTTTAGAAATTATATTTTCGAATTTCGAAAGCAAAGTTAAAATGGCGGTATTCGGCAAGAAATAACATTAAAAACATTTAGATATAGATTGATAGTCAGGCGCAATTGACGCAAGGACAGGAGAGCCGAGGAAATCACAAGTGCATTGTGTGGCACAAAAGAATTAATGAGATTACCGAAGGAACGATTCGTCTGGTTTTGAGCCAAAACACCAATTATTAAAGGCACGAAACATTGTGTATAGTGCAACTGGATCGGAGCGGGAACGATCTGCTGGACCGACATGTGTAAGGAACCAATTTTTGCTGACCCGATCTCGAAGGGGCAGTTGTATGCATATGCCAACCTGCTGGCGTCTTAGGAACAGTTTTTGTCCTGTCTTATCTAGATCACCAGCCAGCCAGTGAGATGGCCGCAATTCAGAGTTCCAGAAGTACTCTCAAAGCTGAGCGACGACTTAATCTCTAATTAGGTTGTACCTCTATCTAGCGTTGCAAAGCAGTGTAACGTAATCTAAAATTAAAAATTGAATAGAGGTCATAACAGAGTTTAATATGCTATGATTCCTTTGGAAATTTTTGAATCTTGTCTACTTCTAGGACTGTAGGAATATCTCTCATTAAACTAGATGATCTACCGTGAGTATGTATTGAATTTGGGACCACATACTATATTTTTTTTTTTTGTATCATTCGACCTTTCCTTACAAGTTAGTAGGTGGCACAATTGGTTTCAGTTAAGTGAACTTAAGTGAGCCCAGACAGCTTTAAAATTTACACAGATGTGGTAAATGACGAACCTTTCCTTAGGGGTATTTTCTAAGATTTGGTGGTTAATAACTGGTCATGAAATTTTTTCTAGTCCACTGTTCACTATATTATTTTTGCACTTGTCTTAAGATCAAATGATGATCTGCAGGAATTGAGCTGCTTTCAAGTATTTAAGAATAAATGCGAGGACTATACGTAGGATATTCTCTCAATCTTTTAGTTAGTTATTTAATTAGGTTGCTGAATTACGGGATCCTTTGATCGCACACACTTAGGTCTGTTGGTCCGTTGTAATATCTGGCCTTTATGCTCAGCACTTTTAGCAAGCAGCAACATCACATCAAAAAATATACACACCTATGTAAGTATGTACGAGTAACCAAATATATCCCTGTCTATATGTATGCATGCATATAATTATTAAAAAGTTGAACAGACAGGCGACAGCAAAAGTTGCACTAACTGCAACAGTTTATTCGCTAAAGCTTTCAAAAGTTCGAAAAGTGCATTCGTGCTTTTTCCGCCTACAAACCCGTAATCCACAAGTTGCAACAATCATTCTTAAATAATAATTGACAGTGCACCGTTTACATTGTAGCTCGCGGATTTGTGCGCAATTCATTTTCTACGAAATTGATTCAATGCTAAATGAAAAACATCGTAAATTAACGATAGCACGCATTTATGGAGTAACAACGTCTGAGAAAAGGATATTTCCTGGTGGATTGTAATCAGAAAATTAAGCCAAAAACACTGAATTTATTTTTGAATCAATAATGAAATGGGACGATTTTGGCGCTGGCTGCATTGGCGGTAAGTACGTGTATATGAAATATTGTTAGTAATTCAAAATATTATAGGAAACATGTATCTACACACATACATATCTCCTAGTCCATAGATAAAGGCACAATGTGCAATGACGTTGGATATCCTTTTAAAATAGAATCCATATTTTTCATCATTGATTAGAATGTGATGCAATAAAATGTATTTGTAAGTGTATGTAAACAATTTAGCAAAAACATACAATTACAGATATACGAGTATGTATTTAGCCGCCCACCCCTCTCTGAAAGCGATCCATTGCCGTTACACGTGTTCGGCCAACGTATTTGCTATATTCGTTTTTGCCGCCTTCACACTTTCTTCAAGTTCATGACTGGCGCCCCTGATCTTTTGCAGTATTTTTGGCATTCGAAATAGAAACCTACTCTCTCTGAGGCACACTTCTAATTGCAGGCTGTGCATACTTGTAAATTTATGCACGAATATATATATATTCATTATATGTACATACCTACGTGCTTATTTACAAGTAGAAATGGTGATTAACATGTAAACTCGCGGAATAAACAAACAAATTTCCCTCGTTTTTTTCGTCACCTTTTTTTTTGAACAGGTGCTAGAATTGTTAGGGCAATTTCTTAATTACTTCAATTTTTGCATGCTCATTTGTATGTGAGAATGTTATACATATGTATGAACGCAAATGTTTCCTAAATTTTTGAGCAAAATTTATTAATTAAAATTTTTTAGTTTTCATGTAGGAAAACGTATTCACTTGCGGTAAGATTGAAAGGTTTGCTCATTTCGTCTTTTACGTATTGTGAAAGTTGTGAGCTCGGAATTCAAATTTATAAATAGATAATCCAATTTGTTGCCAATGCAACGCGGCTCTTGCGGACGAACGCTTTATCCTCCAAAAGCAGTACACCTTTCACAAATTTTCCTTTTCTTTTTAATGGCTACTTCGAATCATCTTGATATTCCCGACTATGTTGCTTGGTTGACGATAGCACAAATTAACTAATTTTCTAATCACAAAGAGACAATGTGACACTGAACACGTTACGATTCTAATGAGGCTAATCACTCGCTCAAACCCCCTCATTTTGCGAAATTATGCATATGTTTATAGTTCTCAGAGAAAATAATTATCAATAATCAGATAGTCTCTATCGCTTCCCCGCTGATCCGACAACTTCAGGAATTGAACATGGAAGTGCCATTTAAAAAGAAATGCAGCAATGATTGGAGATGGCTTTCAGAAGGTCTCTATAAGTTCTCACGTGTACCATACATCTATCATATACATATATACATAGGTTATATGCTCTCAATTAAGCTTAGTAAGCAGTGTCTCTTGGGATGTTTAAGTTGGTTCTGCTCCTGGTGTGGCCTTAACTATTTAACTATTTGAGCAAGCTCAACTTCTTCGGCAGCCACACTAACTGAGTGCAGAAGGTCATGGTTCGAACCATGGATACCCAAAGCTGTTGCCGTTCGGCCCTTTTAAAGAAATTTGGACTAAAGACTTTTAATGACGAATAGTTTAAATTAAAAAAAAAAATACCATCTAACGCTTTTATTCAACTCGTAGGAGCGTGTGGCGTACTCATCGGTCATCCCTTAGACACCATTAAAACATGGCAACAAGCTTCAAATTCATCAGTACCAAGTGCCATACGACAAATTTATAATAGGAACAATGGGGTAAGTACTTTTGCCAGATTGAGTGGAAAGCCATTGGTGTTGAATAAAATCTTTGACCACAAGAATTAACAATTGAAGTAAGTTTTCATATTTTCAAGTCGCTAAAAAGTGGAATTTAAATTTCTTTCTGAAACGAAAAGCTGTGAAGTGTGTGTGCTGTGCTGAGTTTATGCGGTTTTCGACGGTTTATTTTTCTCTTGATAACATGTCGCCGAAACGAAACGCTTTCATTTCGTTGAGTTATTTTTTCTTGTTAGCAAAAGGAAATAATATTGTTGCGTTCATTGAAGATCTGTGCTATTTACAAATAAACATAGACACCGAAAATCATCGAAAACGGAAAACTTTATAAGATAACCTCCTTCTACTAAAATTTCAGATATGAGAATTAATATTTAATTATAAACTGATATACCATAAACTGTACATGGTCATGAAAGGTATAAAGACTCCTCTTCTTTCTTTATTTCAACTGAAATCTTTTTCTGAATAATTGTCTTAATCCTAATTCGACTTTAATTGTTACTTCTTGTGGACACATAAAAGCATACTGAGTAAAGGTCTGTATTAAAAAAAAAAATACTTCTTAAAGTTAAATGGATTTTACAGAGGAATGCTCTTCCCATTTGTCACAACCGGTGCGATTAATTCCATACTCTTTGGTATATACGGCAATCATCTGAGACAATTGCGACGGGTTTGCCATAGTGACTACCAACGCGAACAGTTGGAGTATCAGAATATGTTCATTGCCGGATCTGTAGCTGGTTTTTTTCAATCCTTCATTGCGTGCCCCATAGAGTTGATCAAAGTGAGACTTCAAACACATTGCTGTGAGTTTTTATATAAAAATGGCGTGTTAGATATTTCTTTTTTTTTTTAATTAACATGTCTTATTTTATTTTGATTTTTCAGATTATAATGAGTATATTTTCGGACAAAGAGGAACTCCATGGGGAGTTTTTAAGAAAGTAATTAAAGTGGATGGAGTTTCAGGGCTATACCGAGGCCTACTACCAATGATGTGTCGGTAGGTGGATATTAAATATAATAAATAACCAAAGTAATAAAGGAAAATAATTGTAAATTTCCATAGCGATGTGTTTCCCTATGGTATTTACATGATGGTATATCGCCAAACTGTTGACTTCTTGGAAACTACGCCGTTAGTCCGCAAACGACGCAGTAAACCTGAAAACGGAAATGTGGATTTTCTGGTAACGACGTTGGCAGGTGCATGGGCTGGAATTTTATCTTGGGTTTGTGTGATTCCATTTGATGTTGTTAAGACTATAATGCAAGCTGAGAGCAATAAGCAATACCGCAATATAAAACATTGTTTAGTGAAAAATTTTAAGGTAATTGATGTTGTTTACGGTTGCTTTGTAGAGTTTTAATTTTTATTTTTTAAACAGTTGTATGGCTGGCGTCGTTTATTCCGTGGGAGTTGGATGCTGGTGGTGCGGGCGATGCCGGTAAATGCAGCAACATTTTTAGGTTATGAATATGCCTTGGAATGGTTCCACAAATGGAATGGCTCATATATATGAGGTTCAAAGAAAAACTAAGAAAACCCTCACAAAAAGGTCTTAAACAATTTCCACTCTATAAACTTCGAATGAATAAAAAATTTTATCGTTACACGAAAACAAAGTGCATCAATCCATAATTATGATAAAACTAAACTAATTATGAAACAACTCACAAAATTTATTTGCAAGAAATAGTTAATTATTTTTTTATTTTTTAATAATATTTATTCTTCTAACATATAATACATACGTAAATAAAAAAAGTAAAAAGAAAGAAATCTTTACGTACTCTCTGGAAAAGTAGGAGGGAATATTACACAAAGACGTTTACTAAAAATCTAAAGCTCAACCGAGAATGGGAATAAAAAGAGTCGTAAAAGAAAAACTATGAGACGAATATGGATACATACTTGCTAGTCAGAGCAAAAGCCCATGCCAAAGCCCATATACCATTTTCGAAATAAAAATAAATATTCCTGATACCCTTGTACGTTTGACGTCATCTGCATTAAGCCGATGGCAGAGAGAACTTTAGCTGTGTTGCAAATTGCAAATTCGGAAGTGTGGGCGCCAAGCGAAAAAATAAAAAAAAAATACTGTAATATCAAGTAATTATTAAACATGTTTCAAAGTTTTTTATTTAAATCATGTGAAATTCACAAAAGGATGAAGGAAATGTATGAAAACTAAGATCAGAAAATGGCTAAAGCGCGCAAAAAAAGGAGATATGTCAAGCTTTATACATTGCGTTGGCGTCAACTTTGTTAACGAGGAGGTTTTCGTAAAGCTGGCTGTATTCTTCTTAGACGACAGCGTCAATTTGTCATCCAAAGCAGCGTAAAGGTCCTTTCTGCCATAAACTTTACTTTTGTCGTTATCGATAACAATTGACAGCTGTTGGTACATCTTTGGCATTGACATAGAGTCGTTGTCCAGAGAACTTATAATAACGAGAAAGTGCAAATTCGTTGCAATATCGAACCTGCTTCAAACAATTTCTGAAAAACTTTGGGAAAGGGATTCACCACACTTTATATAACATCCACAGAAAAAATTAGCAGAGAGCGCAATGGATTTTCTGCTAAAAGCAGAGATATCATTTTCAATTGTTCTTTCAATTTAATGTACGAGTATACCTTTGCTAAATAGAAATTTACATATGTACCAAGCATTTTTACAGGCCTATTCTCACTGTTACCGGTAAAGTAAATTTTGTTACTTTTCTTTAACACCCGAAATTGAATTTGGTATTCTGGCGAGCTGGCTACATTGTTTGAAAAAAATTTGGCAGCACTGTTTTTTTCGTCCATGTCAAATTAAATTTGCCAGTTCATAAAGTAGAAAGAAAAATATTCACATCGAAATGGAAGACGATTCACAAAAAATTTCAAAAGTTTTATTATGGTTTTACATTTTTTCTCAAACTTACAACACAAAATCAAACAGCAGATATATTTGTTACCTCCTATTTCGCTGGTAACAAAATTTACAGGGTAGCAGTGAGCTCAGAATACGAAATGGTAACAAAATTTACTGAATAGTAAATTTTAATACCTATGTAAATTTTGTTACCTCGACAGAATAGGCCTGTTAATATCTGCTATGTTTCTTAAAAAATTGAGAGAAAAATATAAACACTATGAAAAAAATAAAATTAAAAAATACTAAAAAAATAATAAAAAAAATCGAAAAAATTATATTCTTAAAAACCATTAAATATAATAGTCAATTGCATCGCGGCGTCTTAATAAAACCTTTATAAAAACTCAAAACTTAAGCAAAAACTTTCCCTGTATCTTTTTCAGCGGCAACTCTGCCGAATCAAAAGATCCAAAACAGCGCACAACATAACGAAGTAAAAAGCAAAACAAAAACGAAAAGTTGAATAGAGAAGTATAAAGCGAAAAAGGTAAGCAAGCAGGCAACGTTAATAACATCGCTGAAGTTGGCTTCTGAAATTATTCCAAAGAGGCGGAGGAGCAGACGGAATGAATCACTTGTACGAAGCGAATGTGTTGGGTAGCCCATAGCATCGTCATCGTCATCGTATTCTTCTTCGCTATTAAATCGTTAGTTAATATTTGTGAGTATCGGTGGACGCTAGTGTATTGCGGAGTAACGTGGCGTATAATAAGTGAAAAATAAAGAAATATCTTTTCACCAGCTTCTTTAGCTTAGCTTAATAGTGTAAAATGTGATTTGCTAACTTTAATATATTTTGCAAAATAATTAAGTGAGTTTTAACCCAAATAGTTGTGGATGAAAAAATCTGTGAAAAATGCCTATGATTCAAGTACCTGAAGAAGGGGTGGAAGAAGAGAATCAAAATATGAAAAAAGAAAGGAAAATCATTTTTAAACATATGATAATAGTTCTGTGCTAGTAATTATCAGAAAATAAATGATTAGACTATATATATTTGCGTTGCAGTTCAATCACTGCGTATGCTGTTATCAGAATTCATAACAAGTTATTTGTGATAACTCATAATTATGTAAATTAATGTACTTTTCATTGTGTTAATTTTTTTTACATTACCCAAATACCGTCCTTTCTTAACAAACCAGTGTGCCTTTATTATAAACATTTGCTCATCGTTACACAAGTTTTTTTTTTTTTGCACACTCACCCGCTAAATCTTCGTGAAAAAATTTACATTGTAATTTTCCTAAAATTTTCGCGCAAAATACATACCTAAGTCATCTTAAAGTACACAAAGGAGCAGGAACTTGTTTTGCTCTCCGAATCTCCAACAATCAACACCTCAAAGATGTCGTCGGTAAAGGTTGCTGTCCGGGTTCGCCCCTTCAATAAGCGGTATGTATAACAATTTACATATGTACATATGTATTTACCTGCTTGAACTAATAATTTTAATTCACGGTATTTGCTATTCGAAATTGAACAAAAGAATTGTACCTCCATACTTGTATACATGTATTAAAATGCATAGGTATGTACATGTACCCATACATAAATATGTATGTTGTTATTGTTGTAACCGCAAAATTATTCCCCAAAGTCCTTTTTGGGGAATGTTGCGAGAGCGACAGTCCTTGGCCGGATAAAAATCCGGGTCGCTGCGGTATAAAGACCCGGCTGTAGGGGGAACAATTGGATTTTAGTCGCCTCTTACGACAGGCATGCCTTACCGCGGGTAAATTCTTGAACCCCTCACCCGCAGGGGTAACATGTATGTAATATGTCGGCTGTCAAAAAATGTAATATATGTATATACCTTGAATGTTTATTGAAATCAAACAAAAAATAAAGTAAATTATGAGCAAATATACAAACGATTTAAGAGAAGTTTTAAAAGAAGGTAATAAATGACTAGCGAAGAAAAAGTAAATACACATATATTCATGCATTGTCCACGCATCTTACTACTGCAAACGGTTATTAAATTTGTCATTAAATATGATTGTAAGCACCAGAGCTCAAGATTTTTTCCACATATTTTTTTTGACCAAATCGCTCAAGAATTCGAAATTTTTAGCCAAATATTCGAGTGGTTGGGTAATTCAGCCTCTCAGATAATCAAGCCTTACCGCGACCGAATGTCTCAATCCGTAACCCGCAGGAATAGGAAACTTAGCGCTTCTAGAATGCAAAAACAAAAATAAAAACCTAGCACTAATCAAAATTCTTGTCCACATTTTTCAGTAATAAGCTTTTTTGTTTCTCACCTCGTTGACTTAAATCCTAGCATTATATTTTTGTTTATGCTAGTTCCGTATGCTTTTTCACGTCCCAACGAGATTAGTCGTCTTCATTGTCAAATTTAATTTTATATTGTCTTAGAGGCAATTCTATTTCGAGCAGCTGAAGTCGATTCAGTGGTTGCTTGTATCGATCCTTTTCTCATGGGACTTCTCTAAGTTTTGGCACATGGTGAATATTTAAATAATATGGTATCTATTACGAGCCGATCGGTTTTTTGACATTGGGCGATATAAATTTTACCTCATATGGAGCAATGTTTTTTTTTTCAGACCATATCTTGCATATGGTCTCGGGCATGAATCTTATCAGTTCCGTAGGCATGAAAAATAGCTAGTTGGTCGTCGATACTCAAATAATGGAATATCTATACGATCTTTTTGTATGAAGCCGCATTGCGATTGCAGAATTGGGGGATGGAAAAGAAAATATTTGTTACTCCATGGTGATTTCAGCTTAAGTGCGTGTTAAGAAAATCGATGCTTCATATATGAACGTTTATATATTGAACACGTCTTAACTTATTAGGTCACAAAATCATCTCGCTCTGTTAAGCACAATTTAATTTAAAGGGCTTTATTACACCATACTCCATTACAATAATAAAAAGGCAGAACTAAATACATTTCATTAAATAGTATAATATGTACATACACACTGCCTAAGCGATAATCTTAATAATATATTATATATGTAAGTACAATTTGAAACAAACGATTCCACCAGGTGTCAGATTTCAATTTCCATATATGAAATGATATACATACAAATTGTGAAATTTATTTGTACTATACGTATTTATGTACACTCTTTAATATTTGCAAAATAATCTTAACAGCGAGTTTAAATTTTTTTTTTTAATATCTACGTTTTTAATTACAGTGAAATCAATATGAATGCCGAGCTTATTGTTGAAATGGATGATAAAAAAACACGTCTTCTAAAACCAAAAGCACAAAGTACGCGTGATGGAGGACGCGAGGGTAATCATGACTTTACATTCGACTACTCTTACTGGTCATTTGATGAAGCAACCAATCACTTTGCAACACAAGAAGAGGTGTACAACGATCTCGGTACAGATGTCGTCAACTGCGCCTTTGAAGGTACAAAATTAATTCACTTAACTCTCTACGAATATATATATGCGTATATACAGAGGTGCTATTATGTATTAACAACAGCGTATTAGATTTGCAAAATTACAGTCATGTACAATACATATGTACATATGTATATATCTACATCTTTGTTCGTACAAAAGTCGCACGACGCACGGCTGTTGTCGAAATTTGAAAATAATAAACGTCAGCTTACAAAGTCGAAAAAATGACAGCAAAATGTATTAGAGTACTTGCTTGTACAAAGAAATATGTGTACATCTGTACATATACTTGTGTGTTATGCATATCTGCGATATGCTTGGATTTGTCTTGGTTAGTTGTTAGTTCATTCATACTCCACCACTCACTTTATTTAACTCAAGCAAGATCGAGAGACAAAGCTGAGTTATTACCCATAATATATATGTATTTACTCGTACATATGTATATGTATTAGCGACATTTCTATGGGTGTTCATTATTAATTTTTTGGCGTCAAATAATTACTAAAATTTGTTTTCATTCTTAAGCTTATAAATATATAATATATGTATGTCGCGGGTAAATTTTGTGTACTGCCATTCGGAAGGCTCGGGTTCAACTCCTGGTGTCGTACTAACAAACTAAGCTAAATTTTCTAATTGAGGTCATTCTCGGCAGGGAATGTCAACCCCTCTGAGTGTATTTCTGACATGAAATAAAGCTTGTCATAAAAAACCATTAACCGTTCGGAGGCAGCATAGTATAAACTGTAGGTCTATCCATTTATTGGAAAAACATCAAGACGCAAAACCGAAAATTAGAAGCAGAGCTCGGCCGAAAATTGCTTCATCAGTTATAAAGCGCCAATTATATATGTTTATATAAAAAAGCAATTCGCAATTCGTGTTGCTATAAATGTATGTATGCACAAAGATATATTGCCTTAATTATTATATTTAACTTAAAAATTATAAAAAAATCCAGTTAAACTCAACCTTCAACGTTTGATGATCATTTGAATATTATATTGGCTCAATAATAACGAAACTTTATGATGAGATCATATTATCATTAACAACAAAGTAAATGGGGTTTGTTTGAAAATTGGAGCACATGACAATATTGAAGAACTTTGCATCTCGGTATGAATATAACTTTTATCCCGGATATCGGTATCACGGGATAATGCTCTGTTGTTGTTATAGCTTTCGTGTACATGAAAGGGTATATTGGTAAATACGGAAAAGAAAGGTGATAAACGAATTGAGTTAATTTAGCCAAGTTTGTTTGTCCGTCTCTTCGTAAGTAGTCCCTCAGTTTTTGAGATATTTCAACCAAACTTGGTCCACAGATGCTCCGGTACATTTAAACGATGGTTAACATTGCGTCTGTACATTCGAAAGGCTCGGTTTCAAATCCAAGTGCCACCAACATCCAAAAAGTTTTTGAAAATTAAATTAAAGAAAAATTAAGTAGAAATTTCTAAATGCGGTCGCCCCTCAGCGTTAGCGGCTTAGTATAAACTGTAGGTCCCTCCATTTCTTGGAAAAACATAAAGACGCAAAACCACAAATTGGATCGCTTCAGCGGTTACAAATATATATATATATATATATATATATATATATATATATATATATATATATAATTCATGTTAGAAAATGAATGCCATAAAATGATAAATTATTGATGAAATGAACGTAATCAACGTAATTTAATACAAAAACATAAGGTTATACCGCAATTTAGTACGGTATCCACTACCTCTTGTTGTTAATAACGTTTTCACTCGCCGCGGCAGACTTTCAACCAAAATTTCTTTAAATTCACTTGGAATATTTTCCCATTCTACCCTCACACGGCTTCAAAGTTGCGTTGCGCCAAACGACTCTTTAAAATTGACCACGCATTCTTAATGGGATTAAAGGGGTGGACTTTGCGCAGGCCACTTCATTACCCGAAATTTTCGTGCAGATATCTAATTTTGCACGGGTTTCGCCGTGTGTTTGCGGTAACCATCTTGCTGGAAATTACTGCTTGCTCGGCATAGGCGCTGTGGTCTACAAATATAACGGCAAAGTTAATGTGAAACGTTTGGCTTATTTTGATTACACTTATTCAAAACTAGCAAAACTGAGTTGCCTTATGTTTTTGTATTAAACTGTGATGATTATGTTTTTTTATTGTGATATTGAATACGTAATTCTTTTCTTAATATCATAAAAAATAACTTTTTAAAATTTCATAAAATTTCTTTCATAATTTATCATTTTATGCACTCACTTATGCTCGCCAGGAAATACATATATTCATGATAAATATTTTGTCAAAACTCCGTCAAAAGAGCATCTAAGGGCATGAACTTGTGCTTACGATTACTGTTTTTTAAATCTTTCAGTGCAGTTTTCTCTAGGTTTAGATATTTGGTGTAGTATTCCAGTAAGAGAGATGATCATTGGTGATATTTTTACATTTTGTCACTAAATTCGTTTTATTTCTTGCAACAATTCATTGAAATTTTAAATTTTTTTGAGTTAGATACTTATTATAATTATTACTATTATAATTATCATTATTATTACAATTATAATTATTATTATTACTATTATTATTTTTATTGTTATTATGCTAATTGCATACTTTATTTTATTTAAATGAGTTTGTAACAATCATATCTAGCCGATGGTAATGTCACTCATAACTATTTAGTCTATTCTAAAGGAAAGACTAATATTTTGGTAACAATGAACTCGTTCCGCCCACAAGCTTTAAAGCTTGTGAGTGCAAGACTTACACTCATACACATCTTGCACTTGAATAACCTGAATAAGAAAGAAAAAGATGTGACTAAGTAAAAACAAAAATGTGCTGCCCTTTTCTCTCGATAAAAAAACAAAGTAATGAATGAATATACATACACACGTATTTACAATGATTTTATTGAAATGCCTCAACATTCCGGTTAGTTATGAATTACCACTTCAATCATAAGACTGTCGCAGCTGATCTTTAGTAGCCCACTCTGTTTGGTTGGACCCAAATTTTTAACACATTTTAGATTGTTGTCTTTTATGACTGCAATGTTGACTTAATTTCGAGTTTTCAATCATAGATCGTCCTTGGATAGTCGGCGTAGCACTTATCCTTAACGACTTTTTTCAAAAAATAAATCCAGCGTAGTGGAATCGCAGCAGCCAGTCGGCCAGTTGACATTACCGCTTCGGCTAGTTAGCAAGTTTCGAATAAAAATGTGAATCGTTCATGTCATTCTCATTAACATTTAAAAAAAATAGTATTTGAGCATGACATAATGATCAGTCTTAACGGTAATACAGCTCCTTTCTCGTTTTCGAATAAAAGTAGGCTCAAGATGCGGCCGTTTAACACCAATCACTGGTTGAGTTCTATGTCGAAGACGTCAAAACTCAAATTGTTTTCCCTCTAACATGACCAGTTAATGTCTTATATCCACTTCAAGTCCCCGCTGGACACTAATCAATCACATTTAACTAACTCATCTAACACCAATTTTCCTACAGCTAGATGATCGCAAGTAAGTGTTACAGTCTCGTCGCGTCTCGCATCTCGTCAAAGAACTAAGATCCAACCAGACAGTCAATTATTTTTTATGTAATGGCCTCTCTTCAACTATTTGAAGATTCTTGGAGCACCAAATGCGAAAATTTTGCTTACTGACATATCACCGTCGTGGCTTGTTGTTCAAGCACCCTATCGACGTATGTATGTATGTATGGCGTTGTACAGGATCTGCTGGCTTCAGTTGTTGTGCAAGCTAGACTTTATATAGATGTAGGTACAATATAATCCAAGTGCAAAATGCGCCATAATGTACCCTAAGACGTCGCAGCTCTGGAGAACGTGAAGAAATATACCCATTCGGGTCTTCAGCTCCACTGTCACATACAGTAGCGATATTTGAGGTGGAAAGAGCAAAACGATGTTTGGCAGGGCTTACAATATCTATAATTGATCCAGGCACAAATTTCTTTAAAACTTTATCAATTGCTTGAGTAGTGGGAATGATAATTTTTGTAGTAGGTTTTAACAATTTTAACGCGTAGTTCGGTTGTTAAGCGTTTATATTTCATATGTGTGTGCCCGGCTTTTAACTAAAGCAAAACATATGTTGGACAGATGTCAAAATACAGCGCTAGTTTTGTAACCACGAAATGGATAACCCTGTTTAAAAAAAATAAAACATATTATATACTCTAATTCGGCTATGCGAAATTGTAGTGCGTGTTTAATACACAGTGCGTTGTTTTGAGCACAGCTATACTTCCGCACTTTCCTCGGCCCAGTTGAAGCTGGTATTGCGCATTGACTGAGTACATACACGTATGTGTGTATATTTGCACAAAATTTTTAGCAAAATAAACAAGTGCAATTCGAGGTGGGAACGTTACGCTGTTGCGGTTGCGAATTTTGTGAAACAATAAATTATATTACGTAGACACATATGTAGATAGTAAAAACAAACTCAGCTGAACAGCGAGTTGTAAATGCATAACTATTTTGTTTATAAAAGATTGCATCTATTTTAACACTGAATTAATTTTTTTATGTTTTCAGGATATAATGCATGCGTATTCGCCTACGGCCAAACTGGTTCGGGCAAAACGTTCACCATGATGGGTACGCCAGATAATCCAGGATTAATACCACGTATTTGCCAAGAGTTGTTCGCGCGCATGCGTGTCGGTCAAGACTCGGGTACGGTCTATAAAACCTTAGCGAGTTATTTGGAAATTTACAATGAACGTGTTAAAGACTTATTGGGATCGCCGAACGCGGGTCATAAACTGCGCGTACGTGAACATTTTACGGATGGACCGTACGTCGTAGATCTATCTGAACGCGCAGTTTCCAACTTTGACGAAATACATGTACGTTCAAGAACTCATGAATATTGATTAATTTATTTATTTAATTCAATACCAATCGTAAATTATAATAACTTATTAAAAGATATATGAGCCGTTCTGTGCACACAACGTTTAACTCCACTTTTTGAAAAAACTTAATTTTAAGTGTCAGAGCCTTTGGCATAGTCATAACTTTTTATATTTATAATAACTTTCCTGAATAATAAAGATTGGCATCGTTAAATGGCAAATTTTTTTTGGCCATTGAATAATAAGTAATTTTTTTCCGAAGGCATTTCACTCCATTCAGACACTGTATCTGTTCTGTAGTTTCATTCTACTTCTTATTAACTTTATATACCGTTAGATGAAAGCTATATCTGCAATTAGACATTGAGTTAATCGATGTGTGCACTGAGCGGCGCAAATATCATAAGTTGTTTAGAAAATTATTCATAACAAACAAATTATATATTTGAACATTTTTTTTTGTCGAGCAATCTATACCAAAAATAATACAGCCGCGATTAATTTTTAACAAATGTCAGGCTGTCAGCTGTTGAGCTCGGTCGAAAATCGCTCCAGCTGTTATAAAGCGCCAATTACATATATACCAAATTATGAAAAACTTTGTTAACTTGTGCTCAAGATTTTCCGGTTTTTGCCACGCTTATGTCTTTCATAATCCCACACATTTCCTTTCCCTTTAGTATGAAATTACCTTAAAATCAGGAAATCTTTATTTTTTTGTCATGTATCATATATTATTATGTGCAAGTGTACAATGTATGCCATTTAATTCAAAATCCTATATCCATATTATTTCCCTAGGAATGCATTATGCGCGGAAATAGTCAACGGACGACTGCGAGCACCAATATGAATGATACCAGCAGTCGTAGCCACGCTATTTTTACGATAACTTTCATCCAGGCGGTGTTCATGAATGACAAACCAAGTGAAACGGTTTCCAAAATACATTTGGTTGACTTGGCAGGAAGGTAAGTGAAAGAATATTACGTTTATATGCACATATGTATATATACATAGTTATATTGATATTTAATTGGATTTTTAATAATTTCAGTGAACGTGCCGACGCTACTGGCGCCACTGATGAACGTCTCAAAGAGGGCGCTCATATAAATAAATCTCTAGTGACACTGGGCAGCGTAATATCTGCTTTGGCAGAGCAGTCGGACAGTTCGAAGAAAAAAAAGAAATCATGCAATCACATTCCGTATCGCAATTCCATACTCACTTGGCTGTTGAGAGACAGTTTAGGCGGCAATAGCAAGACCATTATGATCGCTGCACTTTCACCGGCTGATTGTAATTTCAATGAAACGTTAAGCACATTACGTTATGCTAATCGAGCTAAGAACATCATCAATAAGCCCACAATCAATGAAGATGCAAATGTCAAGCTCATACGTGAATTACGTGACGAGATTACAAAACTCAAATCCATGCTGGACGGTGATATTGTGAGTGCAAAGTTTAAAAAGTATGATAGAATGCAAATAAATTGAAATTCATGTATTTTTTCAGGCAACTTTGCAACCATCGCTCAAGGTCTTGGAAGACTTGCAAAAGAAGGAAGCTCAAGAAAAAGTTTTAACCGAAGAATGGACTGAAAAATGGAAGGAAGCTCAATCGATTTTGAAGGAACAAAAAAGTTTAGGCCTCCGTAAGTCTGGTCTCGGTGTCGTTTTAGACTCAGAAATGCCACATCTTATTGGAATACATAATGATGTCACCACTGGTGTAACCTTATACAGTTTAAAGGTAGTAATTTACAGAAAAATAGTAAATTTGAATGTTTTTTTTTACAAATTTTTCTTTGTTTAATAGGATGGTGAGACACTTATCGGTACTGAACACTCAGAGACGCCGCAAGATATTGAACTTGTTGGTGATGGTATATGCCCTCAACATTGTAGAATAGTCTTAGAAGGCGGCTTGGTTACTTTACATCCCCATCCCGGTGCACAATGCTGGCTTAATGCCCATCTCATCGACGAGCCAACACGTATATCGCAAGGAGACATCATTCTACTGGGCCGCACTAATATCTTTCGTTTCAATAATCCCGCGGAAGCTGCAAGATTACGAAAAGATCTTAGTCGCTCACAGCTGGATATGTCTCGTTTATCATTAATTACTTCATCTCGTGAAAATTTGCTTAGTTCAAGTTTTTACTCAGAAGAGGATTCGATGTGTGGTAGCACAAATGCATCACCATTCAAACGACCGGAACATCAGTACTATCCTACCAAACCATTATCGCGCGATGATCCAGAACTACAAGAAGAAAATCGAAGAATTCTGGAGACAATTGAAAATGCTTTAAAGCAGTTGAATATTGTTAGTACAGACATATGAGTTGCCATAAAAATGGCATACCATTAATGATATATGTCTATTAATACAAATAAATATTTTAATTCTCAGGAACGTGTGCAGATGCATGATCAATACGAATCTAAAGTGCGAAAATTGGCAGATGAGCTTAAACGTCTAGATATTGAACAAATGGATAAATTGGAGATTTTACATTGCCAAGAAAAGGAGCTCCTTGCTAGAAAGGATATGCTACTTTGGGAGAAAAATAATGAGAAAGTGCAGGTATGTTGCTACAGTTAAAAAACTTGCTTCACAACATAACTTGGTATAATTATGTTTTTAAAAGAACTTATGTTAAGTATTATTTTTTATTTGTTTTAAAATATGTATGCATATGTTTTTTTCTGTTTTCATTCGATTTCTTTATTAACTTCGCTGTTCTTTATTTAATTTGTTTTATGCAGAGTCTCTTTAATTCTTTAAAACACAGTCTCTTTAGTACATTAATTTTTAAAAATATGATACTGTCGGTACATCAATATATTAAAGTGGGTTTAGGTACGATTTCCACATGAAACTATTCCGCTTACTTTATAAATACTTGACTTCTGTCGGAATAAAATATATGTACCAGCCAGAAAGTGAATAAAAATATAGCAGTAGTGAGAGGAGCTGCATTAATGTTATTGAAGATTTTTTATTGAATATTTTGCTCCCTTATTGCTAAACCACATACATTTCCAGATTTTATGGCACTACATGGCCATGTTACGATCGAGCGAGACACGAGGTGTAAGGATTGGAGGGATCGATAAGAAAGGTGTAGCGAAACGCAATGACAAAAACGTTTTTACAAAGAAAAAGAAACAGACAAAAATAGGTAGACACTCACTATTTAAGACGATGACGTACAAGCGAGTTATTCGAAAATTTCAATTAAAGAGAAAGGTACAGTAATATAATGCACGTGGGACAAAACTGCTGATTGTAGAATATATTAAGGCAGAATGCTTAGTGAAAAGTTTAGCGTAAATATTTGTTACTAGAAAGATACTAGTGTCAGTGAGACCAAAATGAGATTTTTTTCCAATAAGCGTTAGTCACTTGGGACTCACTTGAGAAATAAAACGATACTCTAAGGTTAACGTAAAAATATCTTTGCAGATACTTCTCATTACCAAAAGAACATTTTTATCTATGTATCATATTTATGTTATTTTGTAATATTATATTATAATTTTATTATGTTTTTTGATTTGTTATTTTTTATTAATATTTTCATTTTAGATTGATATTGTGTGTAGACAAATTTCAACATTTCAAACTCAGCTTGATTCAAAGAAGCGACATTTTTCCGAATATGTAGCTAAAGAATTGCAAGAGCTGCAAGACTGTGGCAAATTAGATGAGGTTTGTGTTCAATTATAATTTATTGGTATTTTTTAATTGACAAATAATTACAATGCAGTAAAAGAGTTTGATAATATATAATACCATACATAATTGAAAATTTACTCAGTTACTAAATAAATACATTTAATATATTTAGATTGGCTTAACGATTGCTGCGGGAGTGCCGTTATCAGATCAATTATTACTACAAGTGGCGGATTCTTTAGATTCGTTTGCTTCACAGTTCATCAAAGACACTATTAAAAAAAATGTTAGTATAACACACTTGGAAAGTCTTGCCAATGTACTTATGTGTATCTAATATTTTAAACTAACCCCATCTTTTTTTTTTAGAATGACGAAATAAGAAAATTGGACGAAAAAATCATGGAAAAGGAGTGCATATTGAATGAAAGTACAAAGAAAATTGCCGAAGTAGATGAGCAAATATTGCAGATTCAAGAACAACTGTCGAAGCTGCAAGACGAACAACAGGAAATTGAATTAAGGAAAAAGTTAGAGTGATGAGCAATAGTTATAAGCACCTACAGTCATTTCTAATTCATCCATTTTGTTACTTCTCTCATTTTCAGATTGAATTTAGATTTAACGAAAACTACTTCCGCAAACACAGCAGACGACTCCACTGAAGGATGCTATACATATCATACAGCTCAATCGAATATTTCACTTAATTCGCCTACAATTGTCGGTGAGCAAATGTCGCCAATGAGCACGCTTTCAGCGACTTCGGCTGATTTTGACGATACAAGCACCACAGAGAGAGGTATCTCCTCTAGTGCTTCAGTCATTAGCAATCCAACAGAGGCAAGTGAGATAGGCAACAACAACAATTTACAACCGACAACTTCACAAACTATAATGTGTGATAGTGGTGTATATGTAGAACCAGTCAGAACACCACAGCAACAACAGTATTGCAATGGATTTGCCAACAACAAAGTCAAGGACAATAACAATAGATTTGACGAAATGCCTATCTTAAATGAGAGTGCAAATATAACATTAAATGGTGCTAATGTGCGCACATCAGACGATGATAGCACATCATGCTCTTCATGTGAAGTGGGACGTAACTGCGACATACCTAGACCATACTGTTCCATGCATGCGCTTAGGCGTCAAATTTCCAACCAAAAAGCCTTAATTATGAGAAACCTCGAAATGCATGCGTCAAAATCAATATTAGATGAACAGATCGGAGATTTGCAAGAGTTACAACATAGACTTATAGCTATGAAAAAAGAGTTGATTCAATCCTCAGACCACCATATAGTGGAGATAGATGAATATGGTACCTCCTTTCAGGCGGATAATGAACAATTAATTAGGAATGATTGTATAGGGGAGTCCAGCTACGTGACTAGCATGACACGTTCTTGCCCCTCAATGGCCGACTTTCGTAAGTTAAAATTTGGCTGTTCTATGTGTTGTGCATTTGTGTTATAAGACTTATCATTTAACATACATTTTTATTTTAGATATAAAACACATTGTCTCATTGTTATGTCTAATTTTTGTTTGCTCCACTTTACTCTTAATAAATTTTTATCCCGGTTAACTAGGATAACATGACTAGTTTTTGTAAGGTCTACATTATATGTAGAATCTAAAAATACAAACACATTCCTGTTTCATTATATATGTACATATATTAACATATAAAAAGAGATGAGAGAAATATAGATTAAGAAAAGTTAGCTAACAAAAATAACTGACATATGAATATACCCACCATCGGTCATCAAAGAACAGACATACATACATTCATACCTTCGCCCATTTGACAATTAAGACTATAAACGGACTTAATGCGCATGTATCTTAGTAAGAAGTAAGTAAGTACATTTTTTAGGTATAGAAATTTAACATCGTATATCAGGTAGATGTTTTTATGAAGTTAATTTTCTTAATATGATTGTTATATGTTCCAAATATAAATGAAATGAAACCGTAAATGATATTTTGTTCTTAAAGGATACCTAGACTATAGTTCCATTAATCGAACGAATTTTTGTTTAGACTATTTTGCCAATCACCATTTTACCGAAACATTCATACTTTCAGTACATTTTCATTTAAATTAATAAAAAAATTTTACCATTTAACATAACGAAATCCTCTCGGCTATATGATAATAATGTTAAGTTAACAAATTAATTTATTTCTATTTGCCTTACAGCTGATGCGGAGCATTTCATTACAATACCGAGCTTCGTGATACGCGGTGCTGGTAAACAAACACATTATGAGTATGAAGTGCGCATCACGCTCCCTGATGGCAAGTTGAACATACTTCGACGCTACAGTCGTTTTAGGGAATTACACCTGAGTATGAAGCATTGCTATGGAGCAAAAGTATTTAAATTAATAATAATTAAATTATGCAAAATATTTATCGAAATATATAATTAATTATAGATCGGCGCTCTACCCTTCCCACGCCGTGAGATCTTCTCATCCAACAGCGAATCGGTGGCTAAACATCGACGAAGACTACTTGAACTTTATTTACGACGTTTGTTTGTAGTCTGTACGAAAATACCACAATGCCCTATTTACGAGGGACCCGGCGGGCCGGGCCTTACCCGTGCTACTTTGTCTCAACTGTCTCCTTTTTTCAAGAAAGGTTTGTTCGAGAGCGGCAAGCACGGGACGGGATAATAGTTACTCTACTGCTAAATTATATTCTGCCTATAATATGCCTTTTAACTTATGTTTACTATATATTAAGTTATGTTTACTATGTAAGATAATTATTGTCACAATTAATCAATTTTTACAATATACAATATTTGCATATGCTGGTATATAAGCTAAAGCGGTTCCTAAATAATTTATTTATACTAAAATATTTTGATTGCTGCAATAGTGGTGGCGGTTAATTCCAGTTAATATATATACATATATGAAAAAAAACGAAATATGGAATTTGTTTAAAACTGATTTACATACGAGTACTATTTTTCATATTAAATTTCCTTTTAGTTTGGTAGAAGGCATTATTGAACTTTATTGTGTTTATATTTGTATGCTTATTAAGAAGAAAAGAGCAATAAAAAAAACATTACTCTCAAAAGAGTTACGTTTAAATAATTATACTTTCTTATTATATTTTGCATTTACCACAAATATATTTTCTAATTAAAATATATATAAAACATATATATATGTGTGTTTCAAAATTTAAATTTTTTTTAACTCGTACTTACATATCTTCAATGGACATAAGTGTGTAATTATAACTGACACATCAGTGGCATCCGAACATAGGATATAGGAATAACAAGCATATATACGCAATAAAAGTGAAACGATAACAATAATTTGTACATGAAGTATACAAAAATGTACATATATTCGTATATTTAAAACATTACTCCCTTAACAAACTGTGATTAATCTCTCGAAAATACAGTTAAATTAAAATCTGTAACATTCTGTGCAATTATGTAGAAAGACGTAAACTATATAATTTCATAGCTTACATAAAATGTTTAAGAGTAAGCTACAAATAATTTTGAAATGAATATACCTGTTCGAAATTTGGGAATAAATTATTAAGCATACAATTCCACTAGCATTAATTTTGAAATTTCCTACAAATAAATAAATTTAAAAAATAGTTAAATATAATACATATATTACTAACAATGTTGAAAGGTGGGCAGTGTCGATTTAGCGGTAGAGTAAAAATATTAGAATATAAGCCCTTTAGCTATTAAAAACTAGAGTAATAATAGGTAAAAAAAAATGTTAATTGTAATTATAAATTTAGATGTAGTGTAGGAATATATACATATGTAAATATTTACATACGTACACAATCGAAGGAAGCTTTTTTTATTTCAAGCCTTTTTCCGTTAAATTTTTTAAATGATTAAATGCGTAATAATCCCTCTTATTATTAAAACTCAATTGGTGCTCGTAATAGGCCTGTACCGAAAATGTTTATAAAAAATACATATGCATATATTAATTTTTTATTAAAACATTAAAAAAAAGTAGTAATTTATCATAACGAACATAGAAGTACAAGTGAAAGCAACTTCCATCTACCAGTTCAAACTTGTTACATTTCATTAGAAGTAAAGTGTTATGTTATTCTTGCGTAGAGTTTGAAATATTTGTACAATCAGAGGTTATTGTATTCTAAACTTAGTTAAAATTTATGACCAGGTTAAAGAAAATATATTTTTGTAGAGATTGATGTAAGAATATTTAGTGTATTACTAAGGAAAATATACGTGTATGTAGTTAGTTAGATACGCGAATACATATTTGTATAGGTAAATACAAAAATGTAAATCTGTAAGCGTAATATGTGTATCAGAGAAAACACAAACGATTATTATTTGTCAATTTGTTGCCTTGCCTTGTTTTTACCAAATATTATTGCATAAAATCTTTTGATTTCTTTAAATTATTCAAAATTAACGTTAGTTTTGCTGTTATCAATTTGCTCTGGTATGTACTAGAGTGTTATGAATTATATGTATGTAAATTTTGGCGTGATACAAGAACAAGTTAACCTGTAAAAATCTTTCATTGTCGCGTAAATGATCGTAGCTCAATTTAAAATTCAAAAAAACGGATAATTTTTAAGAGTTATTTCTGAATTTGCTTAAACAATGATACATGTACACAATTTCATAAAATTTTCAATATTATATAATATTGATATGTATAAATATAAGTTTACATTGAGGCATTATTTTACATATGAAAATAATTATATTTAGCTAGAAAAAAACTTATAAATAAAAATTTTCATAGAAAAGCAAAATATTTGTTTCATTATTATCGTTTTAAATATTATTTATTAATAACAGTTCTAATACTTCTACTACTACAATTATATACAGTTTTTTTTATAGAATAATTAAATATTATATATAATCGTTGTCTCAGTTTTTAATACATACATTTGTATTCACCCAGAGATAGTGTGCCCGAAACCCCAATCGATGACGATGGAAAAGACGTTCCGTTACCCTGATATGACGAGGTACGAATAGCAATTGTCCGCTTAAAAAACAACAAAGCGCCTGGAGTAGACTGTAGTTCCTCATTGACCGGATATTCACTATGTGTCTGATCTTTGAAAATATCCATGACAGCACGAATAGGAGCTGTCTCTATGCTGTTACATATGAATTTGACATCCGCGCAAAACAAAATACAGCTATGCAAACTGACATTGAGCTACACTAAAAGCTCCGTCAGGTTAGGAAAGGACCTCGCCAAGTCCTTCGATACCAAATGAGGTTTCAGACAGGGTGATTCCTTATCGTGTGACTTTTTTAATTTATTGCTGCAGAAAATAATACGAGCTGCAGAGCTGAATAGAGAAGGTACAATCTTCTAAAAGAGTGCACAGATGGCGGGCGCATGCCGAGGATATTGACATTTTTGGCCACAAAAACCCCGCCGTGAGTTCTGCTTTCTTAAGACTGGATGAGGAAGCGAAAAATATGGGTCTGAAGTGAATATCTCTCGTGAATTCTTGAATTCTTGAAAATGTCTCTTGTCATGAAACAAACAGTTGTAGCATTCGCGACTCTGCTCCCACGTCTCCGTTGACAGTCATAACTTTGAAATCGTAGATAATTTCGTCTATCTTGGAACCAGTATTAACACCAATATCAATGTCCGCCTAGAAATCCACTGCAACATCTCTATTGCCTGGTGCTACTTTGGAGTGAGTAGCAAACTCTACAAGTCGCTTATTGTTCCCGTCTTGATATATGGTGCCCAGGCATGGACGATAACAACATTTGATAAGTCGACGTCAGGACTTTTCAGGAGAAAGGTATCGCGTAAGATATACGGTCCTTTACGAGTTGGTAAATGCATGAGATATACGCCGACATTGACATAGTTCAGCGAATCAAGAAGTAGCGACTACGTTGGCTAGGTCATGTGAGAGAAAGACCAGGTTGAAAAGGGCCAAATAGCGAATAAAAGAAACGAATAGCGCAAATTTATAAATTCGGCTATAATCGCGTAAGCGCAGCCTACGCTAGTAAAGTAAGTAAATATTTTTCCCCTCCTCCGAATTTGTAGCTAAATGTCAAAATTGTGCTCACCTTGCGAATTTTACTATTTTCACTATTTTTTTTGTCTCAGTGAACGCGGTTCAATAAAATTCAGTAATAATTGTTACTGAACATTACGTCACCGAACAGGACATTACTAAACGCATTTAAATAGATAACCATCAATTTTCAAACAAGTATTCATCCATGTAAAGATAACAAATTGCTCAACGTGGCGTATGAGCGACTTTTGAACTTATCAAGTGTGAATATTTTCAAGGAAACCAATAATTAATTTGCTATAGATAAAAAGGCAACCGCGTTAGTCGAGTGGTTAGCATTGTGTACCGCCATTCGGAAGGCCAGGGCTCGAGCATTGTTCCAACCAACATACAAAAATGATAGAAAATTAATTTAAGTAAAAAACTAAGTCAGGTCGTCATCGGTTGGGAACGTCAAGTCCTCCGAGTGTATTTCTGACAAGATGTAGAAAATCTCCTCATTAATATCCATCGGCCGTTCGGAGGTGGCCTAATATAAACTGTAGGTCCCTCCATTTATTGAAAATACATGAAGACGCATACCACAAATTGGAAGAGGAGCTCGGCCGAGCATCGCTTACAAAGCGTCACTTATATATATAATATTATATGGATAAAAAAGTTTCCTTAACTAATTCGATGTGCCTTTGAGTTCGCTACTATCAAACTGTTAATTGTGGAATCGAAACTCAGGTGTTGTTTAATATAAAATTACAGAAAAAACTCACTTCTGAGATAACTCACGCGGAGAAGAAGAAGCTCGGCCAAATATCAGTCGCATGCTACAATGCCAGTTATATTACTATATATTGGGTTGCCCAAAAAGTAATTGCGGATTTTTCATATGGTCGGCGTTGACAAATTTTTTCAACGGTTTGTGACTCTGCAATTGCATTCTTTCTTCTGTCAGTTATCAGCTGTTACTTTTAGCTTGCTTTAGAAAAAAAGTGCGCGAAATTTTGTTTACATTTGTTTGTTTGGCGTCAATTTTAATATGGAGCCCACAAAGGAGCATTTTCGTCATATTTTACTTTATTATTTCCGTAAAGGAAAAAACGAGGAGCAGGTTGCTAAAAAGTTACGAGATGTGATGAAGCCTCAAAAGGAAGACAGTGTCAAAATTGGTTTCGCAAATTCCGTTCTGGAGATTTTTCACTTAAAGATGAGCCACGTTCAGGTCGGCCAAATAAAGTTGATGATGACCAAAGCAAAGCATTAATCGAATTGGATCGTCATGTAACTCAGCGTGAGATAGGAGAGAAGTTAAATATACCAAAATCAACCGTTCATTATCACATAAAAAGTCTTGGACTGGTGAAAAAGCTTGATATTTGGGTACCACATGTATTGAAAGAAATTCATTTAACACACCGAATCAACGCTTGTGATATGCACCTTAAACGCAATGAATTCGATCCGTTTTTAAAATGGATTGTTTACAACAACGTTAGTCGAAAACGATCATGGTCCAAGCATGGTGAACCAGCTTAAACCACTTCAAAGGCTGATATCTACCAAAAGACGGTTATGCTGTCTGTTTGGTGGGATTGGAAGGGTGTCGTATATTTTGAGTAGCTTCCAAGGAACTAAACGATTAATTCGGATGTTTACTGTCAACATTTGGACAAATAGAATACAGCCATCAAGGAGAAGCGACCAGAATTGGTCAATCGTAAAGGTGTCATATTCCACCAGGACAACGCTAGACCGCACACATCTTTGGTCACTCGCTAAAAACTTAGTGAGCTTAGCTGGGAACTTTTGATGCATCCACCATATAGCCCTGACCTTGCACCATCAGACTACCATTTATTTCGATCTTTGCAGAACTCCTTAAATGGTAAAACTTTCGGCAATGATGAGGCTATAAAATCGCACTAGGTTCAGTTTTTTCCAGATAAAGGCCAGAAGTTCTATGAGCGTGGAATACTAAATTTTCCAGGAAGATGGCAAAAGGTTATCGAACAAAATGGCAATTATATATTTGATTAAAGTTCATACTAAGTTTTATCAAAAATGCATTTACTTTCTTTTAAAAAATCCGCAATTACTTTTTGGGCAACCCAATATATGTATTATACAATTGAAAAGCACTCAGTAATTGTAATAATTTTTCATCTTCCCAATACGATTCCAATAGTAGTTGTTATTAGTCGACGAGACCGCATAGACCGCATAGACGTGTAATATGGATTCTGCAAGAAGTACTGAATCAGCATTAATTGTTGCTTTAACACCCTACATACGGACATTCTCATTATTTGCCGTATCGATGCCACCATCCATCATATTACATACAATTCCAACAAATCGGCGTGGTTTATTATTTATTATACGTACACTTTTCGCGTTATATGTCATTATTCATTTGTTGGTCAGCTTTTGGATTATTTACGTCTATATTATGCTGATTGGTACTTTTCTGTTGGAAAATTCTTTAGACCTTATCACGTGTGTTTTTAGCGTCGGCATAATCATCGCACAACTCTTGGTACAAATAGCGGTATACACACAAGCAGTAACCGGTCACTATGCCCTACGTAATATATTAATTACTGGTGTGCAACTCGAAAAGGACATACGGAAGCAGTTTACTATTGGATGTTCCTTATCATCGATTCGTTGGCGTCTGGGAGTTCGTGCGGGACTTTGGCTATTGATTTGCTCGACATTCGTACCCTATTTAAGTTATAGACTCACCCCCCAAAAGCTGTACCCTCTTAAACGTGGAATAATCGTGTTTTTCAGTTGTCTAATTCAAATTAAAGGTGTTGAATATTGTGTTGGTGTGCAATTGGTACAGGAGCTTTTGCTTTTGGTGCAACAACAATTGATACATTTGAGACATAAACTTCTTCGTTGTGAGAGATCAGAAGCGCGTTGCATTTTATATATCGAATTGCAAGCAAATCAACAACTTTTGGCGCGCATCTGGAATCTGTTAAATCAAGTGGAACGATATTTTTGCACTCCAATGCTAATGTTATTCTTCTACAATGGATTCGCCATAATCCAGGCTATACACTGGGCATATATAAATTTTTTGTTAGATGATTTGGACCTACGTTTATGTAAGTGAGTCTCCAAGATTAGAAAAAAAATTTAATCCGAGATTCGAGAGAGCGTTTTTATGCTCGCTGAATGAGATGGCCTTGGCTGGGTTATTAGGTTCATTAGTATCGTAATATCTTCAGTGACTAATAATTCACATAAATACGAGGATTCATTGTCATTACGCAAATCAAGGTAACCGCGAGTGAAAAGTGCCGTTAAAAAGTTGTTTACCTAGTAGAGGAAATCATTGTACAAGAGACATAGTTTAGTTTATTTGAAGAAGGAAAGGAACAACCAGCTTCGGGGTGACTACACCAGAACTTATCCAAAACCTTGAGAATATTGTATTCGACGATGCTCAGTCGAAAAGGAATCAACTCGTAGAAATGGTTGGCATATCCGATAAAAAACAGCCCTCCACAAGAGCCTTGGCCGCCCTGCATAAGGCAGGCTTCGACATTTAGAATCACCCACTCTACCTCTACAGTCCACACCCGGCACCGAGTGATTATAGCCTGCTTTCGAGAATGAATGATGATGAGGTCAAGAAGGCAGTATTAACGTATTTTGAAGATAAAGAGAAAAGATCTATATAATGGAAAGATCTGAAAAATGTATCTGCTTCATTGGTTAATATATTAAAAAGGAAAAATATTTGTTTTCTTTTGATTTCAGCCCTTATTTCCCATTTCTCGAACATAAAAACGTTCTCTAGTATATACATATGTATGTATATGTGTATAACTTTATACCATTTTTGCAATTAGGTCGTATTGTGCACACCGTTATGCTAATTGTTGCTTTACTTTTGCCCTGCTACCTGAGTCAGTGCTGCATTGATGAGGTATTAGCGTATTTTATTTAACATTTTTTTTGGAATACTGCGATACTGAATATAGTCTAATTTTAGTACAACCGATTCGGCACAATGCTGCACAAACTAAAAACCGTTGGAATTGATGAAAACCTTAGTATGCGCTTACAGGAATATTCACTTCAGCTCATGCATCAACGAATGCTATTCACTTGTGGTGGTTTTTTCGATATAAATTTGAAAAATTTTGGTGCGGTAAGCTGAAAAAATGTCTTTCCTTACTGGTAATCATAAACTAAAAATAGCATTTCATTTCTTTAGATCAGCCTAACGATTACAACTTATATTGTTATATTAATTCAATTTAAATTGCAAGCTGAGACGGAAAACAAATCTGCTCTGGGCGCTCGTTTTGAATGAAGTGCAGCAGCAAAGTTCAATACATACATATGTGGTTTTTAAATAAATTAATGTATTTATATTCATATATGAAGATCATATAAAAATAAAAACTGCATAATTTACGTATTCACCGTGTCTGAAAGCTCGTTTGGTACTGAACGGCTCGAAGAGGTTCTCCCAAGTCTGACTACGTTTCTGTTGTTGCCCAGCGTCAAGCGTCGTATGAGCAATAATACAAAATTCAGATATAGAGACGTAAGAGCAGCTCCATCTTCGGTTATTGCACTTTCACTGCCATTCAACAGGCTGGACAAGCATTCCCTCCATGATTTGAACATCGGTATCATTCACTAAGCGCTGCTTTGGCCAACAGGATGAGAATTATGCCGCCAGAAACTCCGAGAGCTTGATTGAGAGGCTCATATGCATCCAACTTTTCGTCTGGACCAAGTGATTACCACGGCAAATGATTTAACTGATGCTTTGTAACTGCTGAAGCGATTTTCGGCCGAACTTCTCCTCCAATTTATGGTAGTTTTCCGATTTGGTCTGTGGGATTCTGGTGGCAGTGGTTGAATGCGCCTTGATGTTTTTTCAACAAATGGAGGACCTACAGTTTATTCTAAGCTCCACCGTACGGCTGATAGTTTTTTATGAGGAGCCTTTATTTTATCATTTCATATATTGGTGTATGCATTTATTCGTGCGTTTTTCTAAGAGAGGGATCTACTAGTATTATTTCGCGTCGTGTTCATCTGTGGCTATATTCATTTCAAAGGTACTGTCGTTGTTGTTGTTGTTGTTGTAATCGCAAAATTATTCCCCAAAGTACTTTTTGGGGAATGTTGCGGGAGTGACAGTCCTTGGCCGGATAAAAATCCGGGTTGTTCCGGTATAAAGACACAACTGTCGCGGGAACTATTGGATTTTAGTCGCCTCTTACGACAGGCATGTGTTACCGCGGGTAAATTCTTGAGCCCTTAACCCGCAGGGGATAAAGGTACTGTCATTTCGCGTCGCTTTCAGTAGATGCCATTTGTTTTAGCGTGAGTAACAATGTGTTTCATTCATTTGGAAATGTCGAAATTTGTACCAGATAAAGTGTTTTTGCGGGGAGTTCTTCTTCATTTCTTTCACATGAAGAAAAGTGCTACTAAAAGCCATCGTATTTTACTGGGCGTTTATGGTGACCATGCTTTAGCCAAACGAACGTGCCAAAAGTGGTTTGCACGGTTTAAAAATGGCAATTTCGACTTAGACGACGGACAGCCAAAAAAATTTCAAGACGAAGAATTGGAGACATTACTTGACGCAGCTGCATGCCAGACGCAAGAACAACTTGCAAAAGTTTTAGGAGTGGATCCAGCAACCGTTTCCAGGCGATTAAACTCAGTTTTTCACAATAAAGTCTTAATTTTCTATATATTGTATATTAATTTCCTTCAATTTTGGGATGTTGGTCGGAGCAAGACTCGAACCCTGGTCTTCCAAATGGTAGTGCGCAATACTAACCACTGGGCCATCGCGGCCGCCATTTACATTTTAGTATCGCATAAATTAGCTATGCATCGTAACACATCAAATGTGCTTATGTGTTTGTGAGCACTCATATCCTTGAAGTTAACAAATTACCGTGACGTGGCGTGGCGTGGTGTGATGTATAAGTGACTTTCAATACAATTTTCCAGTGTGTTAGATGTAAATAAGATATTTTCAGCATAGAAATAATGGAAGTAGCTTTATCACTTACTTCAAAAGTTTCCTTTCATATTTTTTAATTTCTTACGAGGCTTTTAGTTGCAATTAAATTTTGTAAAGGAACGGAGCGATTTTGTATTATTTGAACTAACAAATTTCTGTTCAAAACTTTTGAGAGTTTTTATTAAGTTCTTGTGGCAGTTGTCCCCAAATAAACGGATAAAATGCGTCCTGCGACATATACCAGTTCGGCGCTAGTCAGCGCTCTTACGCCCTACTTTTGGGCTTTCTCCTTATTCGCTGTTGTATTGCCGCCGTGTGTCATATTACGCACAGTTCCAACACAACGTCAATGGTCGTTGCAATTATTTCGCGCATTTTTCGCTCTATATATACTGGCACAACTGGCTACCAGCTGTCGGGTTACCTACATAAACAGCGCGATGATCAGTCGATTTGTAGTGCGTAGCTCCTCGGATGGTATCACTTGGCTTTTAAGTTTAGGCATTAATGTCGTACAGCTTATAGTGCAAATAGTGTTATATTATCAAGCGTTAACTGGTCACCAGCTTCTAACGAATATGCTTTTCAATGTGATGGAACTAGAAAGGGATATAAGGCAACACTGTAAGAATGAGTGCACCTTGGCGTCTATACGTTGGCGGTTTCGTCTGCGTATCGGTGTGTGGTTTCTAATAATTTGTATTGTCTTTCCATATCTCAACTATGAGCTCGCTACCACATCACTCACACCACTTCCACGAGTCTTAACGGTCTTGTTTTGTACAATTGTGCAATTGAAAGGTGTCGAATACTGTATGAATGCCCAATTGGTGCAGGAACTTTTACATCTGGTCCAAAAACAGCTGTTACATTTGAGACATGAATTGTTGCGCTGTGAAGACGTGGAACGTCGTAGAATTATATACACCGATTTGCAAACGAATCAAAATCTTTTGTCGCGTATTTGGGATCTTCTAAATCAAGTGGAGCGATATTTTTGTATACCAATGCTTACGTTATTCTTCTACAATGGATTTTCTATAACACAAACGATTCATTGGGGTTACATCAATTTCGAACTTGATGATTTAAACTTACGATTATGTAAGTTCTTACATTTTACCTAATCGTGTAAACATAGTTTTCATACTTGATATTTAGGAATAAATAAAAATTGTGAAGTTCGGGTGACTGCTGTATGTTTCACCACGGCTTAGTTATAGTTGCAGATATAAAAACCTTAGGTTGTGTAGCAGAAATACAAAGAAACTAAAGATACCGTGACTTTCAGTCAGTAAAAAATCTCAAACAAAAGCTACGCATTTCCACAGAAATAACAAACCGCAGCTAAAAAAATCCAAAGACTGTTTAATGATGTTTAGTTAACAAATATTTATATAAACTAATTTAAGGAATTCTAATTCAAACGTTCTTTTTTACTCTAATGCGAGACATTTTGCATTAACATTTGGTGCTTTATATTTAAATTTGTACTTAAAGAACATAAGAAATATATATGTATATAGGAACGATTCGATTGCTAATTACTGTACTTAATTTTTTTTTTGTTGACTTGCAGTATATTTAGATGTCGCATGCGACATTCAAAAAAAAACATTTGTTATCGGTGAATCAAAGGCATTTATATTGAGAAGTTCGAGGTGTTGCGACGTCCGGACTACAGCGGGAATGCATAAGAACCTCCCAACAATGCTCTCTCTGGCAAGTCATGATCGATGTCTGTGGTATGACGTTGTCCTGAAAACAGCTGGGCGTTTCTTGGCTTCTTTTAGATGGTCCAGTTGCTGACCTCATAATGGATGATTCCTTGTCAATCCCTCTAAGTCCTGGCTTAAAGATAATTTGTTTCGGCTTTTTGCCTTTCGACCAAGACCGTTTCCGTTTGACGCTGCTCTAAGTGATCCACTTTTCATCACCATGAGGTTTCTTCTCGTTAACTCATGTGGCACCCACATACCATACATCGTATACGATTTTTTCGAATAGGTTGGTTCCTAGTATATGCACTTCACTAAAATAAAATTTCGTACAAACCTAACCAGAATCCAAAGCAGCAAACTGACAAATTTTAAATATAATTTGACTGGTTATTTTGAATATCACTGCTTGAAAATTATTAACGCAAAAAAGCTCAGCAAAAATATTTTAAGGAATCCAAAATTATTTTAAAGCCTTCTAAGCTCTATATTCGGTATGTAACAATGACCAACAGAAGCAGACAGGACGGAATTTTCCAATCAAAAAAGAATTAGTTGACATTATTAATAATGGGCTAGACTTATGTCCCTTGTTGTTATATATATTATATGTGTTTTGCTTTTTTAAGTACTTTTACTAAGTTTTTATTGTGAAAATAAATATATTGAAAATAAATTGAAAAAGTTTGCCAGCTTGAGGTCCGAATAAATAAAACAATGTTGTTGTTTTCTCCCAGGGAGAAAATCCGGCAAACTTTTTCAATTTAAAATAAAAGAAAGATCGCCAAAGTCATTATTATCAATATATTCAAAATATTAGAAACCATTTATCATTAATTACATACAAAAGTGAAAAAGAAGCATAAAAAGTATTAAAAGATGGAACAAAATGTCGCATGCAACAGTGAATAAAATTAAATAAACATAAATTTCTTCGAAAAAAATTAAAAGTAAAAGATAAATCAACGCGTAACATTAAATTATATCGCATTATAATATTCGTTCAAGTTTTGCAGAAATCAAGTTTTAATTTTTTTTTAATTTTATATAAAGTTTTATAAATTTGTATTCAATTATATTTCTATATATTTTTGTTCTATTTTCTTTCGACAATTAGGTCGCATTGCCTTTGCCGTTGTAATAATTACTACTTTGTTTATACCATGCTATTTCAGTCAGTGCTGTATTGATGAGGTGAAGTTAAATAAAGCCAAAGCCAAAATATTTAATTTTTAATGTTTCCATATATAAAGTTGTATTAATTATTATCATTTTAGTATAACCGTTTTGGCACGATGTTACACAAACTCAAGACTGTGGGCATTGACGAGCTTCTTGCAATGCGTCTACAAGAATATTCACTTCAACTCATGCATCAACAAATGATGTTCACTTGTGGCGGTTTATTTGATATAAATCTGAAGAATTTTGGTGCGGTACGTAAGCTGGCTTAAAAATTTGTGCCAATTATATATAATAATCATTTATTTTTAATTTGTTTAGATAATATTGACTATTACAACATATGTTGTCATACTAATTCAATTTAAATTGCAAGCGGAAACCGAAAGGCAATCGAGTTTTGAAACTCGATATGAATAAGCTTTCTTACAAATGTACAAAAATGTGTAAATGAAAGGCAAAATAAATTTAAAAACTACACCAGTAGATATAAAAACCTTGAGTTCGTTTGTGAAGATTCGCAACACTCCAAAAATTAAAGATTTATTGACTTGAAAATTTCTCAGATTGTTTCTATGGTTCTCTTCTCCCCAGGTCATGGACTAGGAACGGACCCATTTGGTTGTTCGATTTGGGTTTTTTGTGTAAAAGGCGTATTTATTGTAGTTTTTACTTATAATTCTTATTCTAGAGGTAGTGGAATGATCTATTTAAAAAAAAATATATATATCTGATAAGTTTTAGTTAAATTTTTGAATAATTTGCATAAATGGAATATTTTTGCCTCCGGGAAAAGGACCAGAGTCAGAAAGGGATCAACCACAGATTGATAGAAATTAGTAAGATTTAGATGTAAGCACGGGTCGTGCTTAGGTACGTTCACATCTTATTGTTATTATATTACTGATGCGGGTTACAAATCATTCTTATGAGTTTAACTTGATTGTTAATAAGCCGGTCGGAATGTTGTATTTGGCTTACGCCGAGGTATTCATATTGATATTTTCGTGAAAGATTTCGAGCAGGGAATAAGTGACCGATCCATAAAAATATGTAGTTAGATCAATAACGACTTAGATGAAACTTATTTAAGGTTTTGATATGGTTCTTTGCAATAACAAGTATAATAAAAAATGGAGAAAATACAGAAAAGCATAACAACGTGTGACCTGGTCTGCTAGTATTCTTTAAATATTTAAAACACTTCTTCAGACTGTTTTTCCAACAAGCGGTGCGGGCGATAATTATGTATGTCAAATTTTGTGTTCACTAACAAACCCTTTGAGCCTAAGATGTATTGGATGAGTGCATAAGTTCGTGCCCGATTCCGCTGGATGCCGTTCGAATCGTTTGAGAGTGGCGCTCGTGAAAGAAATATATACATATTATATATCGTTGGAAAGGTGACAGTCCAAACTGTAAATCAAGCATAAAATAACTTCATTATGATTTGAGTTGCTTTGTGAAAGGACGCATGGAAGATGGACAACGAAAGAGATCATATGCGTCATATTATGTTATACGAATTCCGCAAAAGAAAAACAGTAGGCGCTGCAACTAAAGATATTCGCGAAGTTTATTTGCTCCAGCACTCCACACAGTAAAGAAATGGTTCGCGAAATTTCGTTCTGGAGATTTTAACCTCGAAGATCAACCTCGCAGTGGACGGCCTTCTGAGCTTGATGACGATGTTCTAAGGACTTTAGTTGCGAATAACTCACGTATTTCGACGGAAGAGGTTGCCAGTGAATTGAACGTCAACAAATCAACTGCGTTTCGTCGTTTAAAAAAGGTTGGGTACACTTTGAAGCTCGATACATGGGTGCCACATCAGTTGAGTGAAAAAAACAAAGTGGACCGTATGTCAACAGCAATTTCTTTGCTTCGACGGATCAAAAACGAACCTTTTTTGGATCGGCTCGTGACTGGTGATGAAAAATGGATCCTGTACAACAATGTTCAACGCAAAAGAACATGGAAACAGGCACACGAAGGGGCGGAACCGATGTCGAAAGGTGGATTGCATCCGATGAAGGTACTGCTGTGCATTTGGTGGGATATCCGAGGCGTGATCTATTTTGAGCTCTTGCCAGCTGGAGAAACGATCACTGCCAACAAGTATTGTCAGCAATTGGTCGAATTGAAGAAAGCAATTGATGAAAAACGTCCGATTTTGGCCAATCGCAAAGGAGTTCTTTTCCATCATGACAACGCCAGGCCACATGTTGCAAAACCGACCCTGGCCAAACTGAAGGAGATGAATTGGGAAATCATGCCGCATCCCCCATATTCACCCGACATTGCACCTTCTGATTATCATTTGTTTCGATCGCTGCAGAACAATTTGAATGGAAAAAAATTTAAAAATGTGGAAGACGTCAAAAACCACCTTGACACCTTTTTCAACGAGAAACCGCGCGATTTCTATGAATCAGGCATCCGTAAATTGGTTGAACGTTGTGAGTGGATTGCCGAACATGATAGCGAATACACAATTTTAGTTTGCACTTGAAATCGGGCACGAACTTATGCCCTCATCCAATATCAGATTTTGATCTTTAGTGTCATTTATAGTACGAAGAGTTTTAAAATCTATACTAAAAGTGTTTTTTAGCAGACAAGAGTTTTTGGCATTTGGCAATTTTAAATTTACTTATACACATGCAAATGCTTTACTTTGGGAAAATGTACATACAAACATCTATATTATAGCTACATCTTGCAGGTATGTGTAATCAAATGTTTGCGCATTGGCGAAGAGACAATTACAAATAATGTTTATCGCCGTTAATAGTTATAATTTTAATCGAATCAAGATACCTTCAAAAATTATTTATTGGATAGATTCAGGAGCTTAAAATACATAGTATATAGTAAGCACAGTAATGTACTCGTAGTAGTAAGAAGGAAAATATAAATAGTCGCCAATTGGCTTCAGAATTGAATAGAAGTTGTGTTTCGCTATAAATACTTATTTTGCCTCACTAATTAATAATGGAAAAACTTGAAAGTAAAATATTTGACATTTCGTTAAAACCGTTTCGACGTCTCATGGTATTTCTGGGAATAATACCTTATACAAATTACTTAACCCACAAAAGGGGCTTTTGTTACAAAAAAGTATCAAAGTTGAGTTTACATTTATTGGCCGTATTCACTTTGACTGGCTTCCTAATAAACGAACATGTAAAACGTTTGCAGGAAGTAATTTACAACCTTGACGATATCTTCTCATCTGTAATGGACGGCTTGGGCTTTATCTCTTTAATAGCTGTGCAATTGATAGTGCATTTGGAAAGCACATGGAAATCGCAAATATATCAGAATATCTTTAATAAATTCGAGCAAATGCGTACATTATTATTACAAAAGTTCGAGATGGAATTCGATTTTCCAAAGCTGAAGTCTTGTATCAAGGCGTTACGAAACCATTTAGCAATCTATTGCACTTTCTTATTATTTTTTGTTATCTTGCTTGCTCTACAACCGATTCCCACAGTACGTTTTTTAGTCTGTTTGCATGCAGAGATTGTGTTAAAAATTAAAATATTTGAGTTTATGTATTTCACCGTTGTGTTCATCGTGATGTTGGGTGATTTATGCCGTGCGGCGAAAAAACAGTGTAGACTTCTTGAGACTGCTCGCTTTGAAAATACATTTCAGCAACGAGAATATTTGTTGGGTTTTATTGCCTTACAAGACTTACATGCTTTGCTTTGGGAAAATGTACAGTTGCTAACGGACTACTTTGAATGGAGTTTGCCAGGTTTGTTTGGAAAACAACTCACTGATTTGACACTTTTAGCGTATTGGGCGTTTTTGAACATAGAAAGAGGGACCTCGATAGCAATTAGATATTGTGAGTAGTCTTATAAAGTATTATAAAATGCTATTTATATTTGTTCATGCATACTTCATACACAAAGATTTGATAGTTATTTGGCTGATCCGATTATCGACCTTAACGATGGCATGCTATCTTTGTACCATGTGTGAGCGACGGGTAAGTAATTATCTTTTAGTTATTGATACGAGTACTACAAAATTGAATGAAATATAAATACCAATGTTTATGTATACTTGAATATCAGGACAGAGAACTGCGCTCTTATTTGAGAAATTGTCTAAAGGACCGTCGTAATCAACCTCTTATGAAATGCTTCCATCGAATTTCAATGCAACTATGGCAGGAACCCATTAAATTTGATGCCGGAAATTTTGTTACAATTAATATGGAGACTTTGGGCAAGGTAAGGAGGAAAAACTCCGTAAACATGTAAAATAAATAAAAGATAAGAAGATATTATCTATTTCAGTATTTCTTCACTGTTAGTATGTATATTGTAATTTTGATACAATTTCGTTTGTCAGTATGAAGAGCACCATAATTTCAAGAAAATTGAGTATTTGTATTTGTATTGATATACATTTGTGTTTAATACATCACTTAAAAAAACAAGTATTTCAGTATTAAATAAATATATATTTCATTTTCTGTGAATGATTTATTTAGATGAGGTATGTATTGGGACAACTCACCCAGCGTTCTTTCATTTTTATGTGTTTTATTTCCGATTACGGTTTCCGGTATTTTCTATTGCAAAAGAAAAGTTTACCGGATATGCATACGTACATCCTTAAAGTTCCGCTTGTTTGAACACTTTTTAATATTATTAAGTTAAGAAACATGACTTAAGCTTCTGATAACAATGTCTAAATAAATTTAATTAATAATAACACGATAAATATTTACACAAACTTTTTATTTCCGCAATCGTGCAGGAAAAGTGGCAAACATTTTAGCTTTGTTGAGTCAAATAAAATCAAAATATGGCTGACCTTCAACTTCCCCAGATCTTTCCATATCGCTACAAATTTATTGAAATTGATTAACAAAAACTGCAGTCAATGTGGCAACGTAATGTTCATTCGTAGGCGGAAACAAACAGCTGATACCACTTTATTTTGTTTCTTGATCTAGCCAATATTACCATCCTGCATATCTACTTCTGTGAACGAAATTATTTATTGAGTAACGTTTAAATTTGACAGATCTGTTAAGTACAGCTACATATATACATAAATTAGCAGTAATTCAGGACTGTCGTTTTACTTTTAAGTTGTTCTATATACATTTTTCTCGTACCTATATGCAGCCACTGTACACTTGTTTAATTAATTTCGATTAACGGCAACACTGTATTATATGGCGATTATAAAAATAAATACACTTGTTATAAGTCATCCAAAACGCTAGCAATTTTAACAGTTTATTAAAGCCTCCAGGTTTAAATTTTATATGGATTATAGGCATTTGTACTATTACCAACGCAGTGAGTATGAACAAATTTATATTTATTATGAAATCGATTTATAATAATAAGAAATTGATTTTCTCTCTATCAGGTATTTCCCAACGTATAAAACTTGTACACACAAACGTATGCACACAAATACATACAGAAATACTTACATACCTACATATATGCATAATACCATATTATACAAAATAAATTGTTAATCAGTACCATCGCAGTATCAGCAAAAATGAAGTTTTATAAATTCGATTATAACCGCACAGAGTGGGAGATACCAGAAATTTATCAAAAAGCGCAACCAGTTGGTTCTGGCGCATATGGGCAAGTGATTAAAGCGCTTGTCGAAGGTACAAATACGTATGTAGCCATTAAAAAACTGACCCGTCCCTTTCAGTCGGCAGTACATGCCAAACGTACTTATCGTGAATTACGTTTATTAAAGCATATGGACCACGACAATGTTATTGGCTTACTAGACGTATTCCATCCTCACGGTAAAGACGTAACGGTCGAAACATTTGAACAAGTTTATTTAGTAACACAATTTATGGATGCCGATTTAAATAATATCATAAGAACTCAGCGTCTCTCAGATGGTCACGTCCAATTATTAGTGTATCAAATACTTCGTGGTCTCAAATATATCCATAGTGCCGGCGTTATACATCGTGATCTGAAGCCGTCCAACATAGCTGTAAATGAAGATTGTGAGCTACGTATACTGGACTTTGGTCTAGCACGTCCAACAGAAAGTGAAATGACTGGTTATGTGGCGACAAGATGGTATCGAGCTCCAGAAATTATGTTAAATTGGATGCATTACAACCAAACGGTTGATATTTGGTCAGTTGGCTGTATAATGGCAGAGCTACTTACGGGGCGTACTTTATTTCCCGGCACTGATCATATAAATCAGCTAAATCTTATTATGGAAATTTTAGGCACTCCTCCTGATGATTTCATGAAAAAAATTTCATCAGAAAGTGCACGAAATTATATAAAATCTTTACCGCCCATGAAAAGAAGTAACTTTAAAGATATTTTTAAAGGTGCTAATCCGCTTGCTATTGACTTGCTGGAGCAAATGCTAGAGTTAGATTCAGAAAAACGTATTACTGCAGAGCAAGCACTGGCACATCCATATATGGAAAAGTACTCGGAACCAAGTGATGAACAAACTTCGCCATTATATGATCAAAGTTTTGAGGATATGGAGATGTCAGTAGAAAAATGGAAGGAATTAGTATTCAAAGAGGTTATAAACTTCAATCCACCTCCATCATTTACCAAAATACTGGAGCAAAGTCAGAAGACATAAAAAGAGGCTGTGCAGTAACCAACATACACGTATATGTAATTAAAAGCGGCAAACGATAGAAATATATATTAATCATCACACAGTATACTTTAAAATATTTTTAATACTATTTTTTGCAAAAGTTTTGCAGGTAAAATTGTAAATAATTTTTTACACGATTTTGTATTCTATGTTTTAATAATTTAAAATTCAATACCAGTGCCTTGTTGAATCGAAAAATGGTGATCCAAAGTATATACTAAATGTATTATAAAATGTACAAAATAAGCGCCTAAAGTAGTATTGTTTGTATGAATGTACATATATCTCTATGTATAAGCTGTTTCCATTTGCAAAGTATAATTAATTATTTTATTACCTTGATTGTTATTAAATAAAAAAAAAATACTTTCAAAATACATACATTTGTTCGTGCTGTTTATTAGAAAATGAAAATTGGCATGAACATCAGCACACTGAAACTAAAAGGTGCTTTTATCCAGTAAGTAAGAGCTCTTTCTTATATAAAAGCAAATGTAAACTGTTTGTATAATGCAAATTTAGTATTAGGCAGTAGTAATAATAATTGGAATTTTAAAGCAAATAACTTCTTCGTTCTTAGCGTTCTCTGCTACCCACATCATAGTGCCTCGTATCTAGAAGTAGTAGTATTTAATAAAGTAAATAATAAAAATAATATAAATTTTCTTACATTGGGAAGGGTGCTTGTGACAAAAACTTGTGCATTGTAGGACTTTCCATCACTTTCGTCAATTAAGCAATGTTGGTCGTCATCACAAGGGTCAGGCGTAATAAGGGCATTAGTTTTAATAGCATTAAATATCCACCGAACGCGATGCTTTAAATATGAAGTTTGATCACCTGCAGAGGAGTAGAAGAAAATGGATGTTTTTTTTTCAATTATATAAAAAATATATAAGATATATTGATTTTTATAATAGTATCTGAAATGCCAGGAAAAGGGCTATTGCGGTGGAATTGGGGCTACAATGCCAAATGTTATGTGGTTGGTGACCATATCAAACCTTAGGGGCATATGCAACGAACTTGTTTTATGGGTATATCAGACGCTATGAGCACTACCCCAACAAAGGCACGGGATGTCATCCGCGACATCAAGCTAATCAACTCTCAAGTGATGAACAGCTAGTGGACAGCTAGTCACTTAAAAGTCCTCGAAAATCAAACTGAGGGAACCGGCAGGTGATTAGTAGACTTTTGTAGAAAAACATAGTGAATATCATTTATGTTTCAGGTTACAAGGTTATAAAAAGCAGGGAAAAAGTGTACCTGCTGGTTCGATGCGGCGATGATGATAAGGAGGAGGAGAATGATCACTTTAAAACCTGTAACACTCCAACATATTACATACTACGAAATTATTTTGGGCAGCGTGGATTGTAGGCAAACCAAATTGTTACCTATATTAAGCAAAAAAAAAACTTGTTATGTAAAGTGGAATCGGCTGAATGCAGAATTTGAACAGAAGATAACAAAGGAGCACCATTTTGCGAGTGTTCAGCTTTTAGCCGATTGAGACGTCACATTTGTCACGATGCTTCAAGCTCCAACCTTACAGCTGTTCACAAAAGTGTAGTTGGAATCGCCGGAAAGCAAAATGAGCATACTCAAAGGCTTAGGTACGACCAACCAAATAAACCCACACAGCCAACTCTTATCTGAAAAAAGTTTATTTCAAGCAATAGTACCCATACAAGAGCACGTACTGAGTCCTCTATATCTTTCGTCAGTGCAAGTAGTTCGATTGTTAAGTGCCAAAATCAGTTTTGTAATAATTCTTTTCACTGTTAAAAAAAACATTAACAATACACATCTTTCGAAATAAGTCTCAAAAACTTACACCACTGATGAGAAATCAAATTGTCTTTTGTCAAACTAATATTTAGGACCACCCTGGCGTGTACGTAACAGCAACAGAACAGCGTCACTAGTCTCATCAGGTTATCGATATTTAAATTGTGAACATACACATAGTGGAAATACATGCCTGAAGTATAATCTCACTTACCGTTATCATCGAAAAAAACTTTTACCACGACTGTAGAACCGCGAACCATTTGACATGGTATTGAAGAGCAATTCGAAACACCGACGTAGAGCACATCATATTGGGAGCCTAAGAATAAAATAAAAATAAGAAATACAATTGTTAAAATATCAGTTTTTAGGATTGACTCTGATTTGTATAATATATTTGCAGAAACAAAACAAAACAAAGAGTTCAAATATAAGAAAGTGAGTTACGTATCCGTAGTGGGGTACTAACAATATTGTTATAGAATTTCATTTCAATTACAATATATAAAATATTAAAAAAAAATTTAAAATAATATGGAAAGAATCTAAAAGAACATAAAATAAATCAATATTTATATTTCTTGCTGGGCACATTACTACGAGTGGTACATACATGCGTACCTATGTCTTGTAAAATTAATTAATATTATATGAAGAGCAATTAAATTCAAGTGGTGATAAGAACATATTTGTTTATGTACATATGTAAATATGTACACCCATATGTATGCACATAGAGTAAGAAACACGGCAGTGGCATGTAGTAATGCACGCCAGTTTATCAGAATAATAAAATTTGGATTAAAATGTGGTAGTAAACTCATGAACAACTTTGATTGAACATTTCCTAAGTATGCAGATATATATGTATATAATATATACATTAGTACTCCTCACTTTTACTTCTGACATCTTTTAATATTACACAATATAAATTTCAAAAGGTGTAATTATGTGAAATTTTTTTTTTGTAGTCTTTATCTGCGATTCGTAACGAAATATTATCATTTCCAATTATCCTCTTTTCATACTTTTCATTCCAAGTAAATACGAAGGAGCGTTTTTATATTCCCGAACTGAGGGACAAGGGGTGGAATTACCTCTTTAATGAACTCACTTCCAAGATGCATGCATTTTTTAGGTCTTTTAATTCATTTATTTATACCACCATAAAAAGTTTATTCTCTTTATCTTCAAAGAAGCCGATACTGCGGTCTTAACTTCATGATCGGTGATACATTTTTTACCCCTCAGATCTTTTTTCATCTTTGGAAACACCGTAACAACCAATGCAATCTTGTGGACGAGCGCGTTGTCGTGCAAAAGCAGCAAACCTTTTGTCATTTTTTCTTCTTCTTCTTCTTTTAGCCGTTCCAATATTGAAACAAAGTATTTCCAATATTTATCTTTATAATCGATCAATATAATTTTTTTCTTGCCTTTATGTGTCACTTCGTGGAGGCATGTTTCGACTCAGGTTCACCTCCAGTAACAATTCGACACAATATACCATCGCTCTCTTTATTACAGAGGTCCAAAAATTAACGTGAACGCTTTACGCGCCATTGATTTCGCGGAGGCATACATCTTGCGTTGACCCTAGGCATGCCAAAATGATAGTGCAGAATTTCTCGTTTGTTTCGAATACTCCAACCATTTCGGCGAGTTGTTTCTTATTTGCTCAAGTTCTGTCACGATCAACTCGATTATCCTGCACGACCTCCTTTCCTTGGTTTTCTCAGACAGAAGTCTCCGTAAACCAACGGCATCACATTTATTAGGGTTACAACTGATTGTCATTGCTTGGTAAGTACCTTTGTCATTTTTCACTTTTCGACGAAACCGTCAAGATCGGGCTATTATAGCATATATACGAGATACACACATATAAAGTGTTATCGAAATCGAAGAATGCACCGATTTGCAGAAAACAGGCTTTGGTCAGAACTCCGCCAAAGAAACCCTTTCAGCGCAGGAGAATTGACATTGGCACCGAAAATCATCGAAGTCGGAAAACTAAAGACGTCTCCAACCAATATTTCAGATATGAGAATTAATATTTATCTCTATAATGAAATACCATAAATTTTATAGGATCAGGAAAGGTATGAAACCTTCAGCTCCTTTTACTTGTTTTAATTATGATAATTTACCGCAAACGTTGTAGCAAATAAAAAATGTTTAAAATAATATTATAAAATTTTGTAAATTTTAACAATTATTTATTTCTATGTATTTGTAATATATGTATAATGTATATTTTTTTTTTATTTTGAAGTGTAGGCAATTTACCTCTAATCAGTCGGAACTTCAGAACTTTTAATAGAAGAAAGGCAAAGTTTATGCACTTAAAACGGTCCTTTGGCTTAATGTAGAATATTTCCAATACTTTATAGAGTTTATCGACTGTTTGCGGCATTTATATATAATTCGGATTATTTTAAATAAAGGTTATAGTTCGAAAATTACTTTAAAGTTCTACTTTCCTCGAAGTGCAAACAAATTAGTCTGGCCTAATGTATGTAGTATATGTGAATTGTCATAAATAACCAAAAACCCGCAGCATTATTTGTATATGTTTATGTACATACATGATTAAAGAAGAAACACATAATAGGGGGTATGGTAATAATATCAAATAGCAACTGCGATAATCAGTGACGGTCATATTTTAGCTGAATGATTTACTTATAAAAATTGTAATCGAAAAGTAAATGCGTTTCTTTATATTTTTAGCTGACTTTTGGAATCGGCTATTTGTTTTGGGATACTTTAAATATAATGGTAGAATACATAGTGCAATTATTTTATTTATTGTCATTTTCACGCCAAATGACTGGGAAATAGCAGCAAATAATTATCAGAGTAATCAAGAAAAGTTAAATAACATATATATTTATACATAAAAACGTGTGTACGTTTGTTTGTCATTGAACTCGTCTTAAAAAATCGGTTTAACCGATGAAATTTTTCATGTGTGTTCAAGTGGAAGCGAACCATAGAGCAACCCATTCGAAAAAAGATCATATGAATGGTTCAATTTCATTGAAATTATGTTTATTTTTGTAGGGAGTTGACCACATATTGATCTATTTGAAGCTTAATGAGTACTGTTCATCGTTCTTTAACTATCTCTTTCTTACGCGATTATAGCCGAGTTAACATCGTTATTTGACGCCAAATTGGATATACCAAGTGCTGGCAGGTACTTCACCATCTAGTATTTTCAACGTAGTGGAAGCTTTCTTCTTCCACCGTCGGTTACCGCATCGAAAACTTTTACAGCTGATGTGTTCTCATCCATTCAGACCACGTGACCTAGCCAGCGTAGCCGCTGTCACTCGATTCATTGAACTTCGAGGTGTGACAATGAAGTAATGAGACTAATTCCATAAAAACCGTGTATTTCAAAAATATTCTACAACTCTGCCGTTCCCTTCAAAGTAGTCACGGCAATACCTTTAGAGGCCAAATACTGGGACACGCTGACGGCGGTGTGGTACGGCGCGTTGCCGTGATGAAGGATTCAGTTACAAGCGATGTCTGGGCACACCGAGTTAATTCATTTTCGCAATCATTCGAGTACTTGGCGATAGTAGACTTGATTTACTATTTGCCCGGTGCAAGAAATTCTTTATGGACGATTCCACGTCTATTAAAAAGACAATAATCATCGTTTCACCTTCGACTTGCGGACGGGGGCGTGCGGAGACAACCATTGTGAGCTTTGGCGTTTGGTTTCCGGGTCGTATTGAAAAACCCAGCTCTCATCGCCTGTAATAACTCGATCAAGTAGAGCGGGATCGTTGGATTTTGCGATGCGTTGCTGCTGATTTCGTTTTTCCATTTTTGTGACGAGCACCACCAGCCCACGTTTACTCAACAAGCTAGAGCGATGGGAAATATATTAATGGAGAAGAGAAGGATGCCGAGAGAAGGGAAAGGGTTACCACAATCGCGGCAATATAATCAGTCTCATTACTTAATTGTCACACCTCGTATATCATTGTCGTCATATATCTCATACAGCTCATCGTCCCATCGACTGGGGTACTTGCCATTGCCAATTTGAAAATTACCATAAATACTTCGTAGAACATTTCTCGGGTAGGCTTTCAAGGACGACAAGACAACTTATCAGATGTTGTCATCGTCCACGCTTCTGCACCATATAGCAGAACGGCAGTGTTGAGTGACTTGTAGAGTTGAGAGAGAACTAGTTCTTCGGTTGATTTCAAGGCTAACATTATTTTTTGTGTTAATACTACTTTCAAGAGGGACAAAATATCAACAACTACAAAGTTTTGACTGTGAACAGGGACAGGAGATATTTCGTCTTGTCGTTGTGCACTACTAGACCCGTATATTTCACTTCCTTATCCAGTCTATAGAAATCAGAGCTCACAATGTCGGCATTGATGTTAATTACATTCTCCCTTACAATACAATCTAATTGGTATATATGTATGCACGTATATATATAGTTGGCGCTTAGTAATTGCTGTTTTCTTCAAAATAAAAGTAAATTTCTATAGGAATTACTAACTAACTATCACTAATAGCATTCTTATGAGTACAGTGGTCCCAATGGGCCCAAGGTCAAAGTGCAGATCTTCTCCACTCACTATCTCTTTTTATAGTAATTCTGGCTATATAACAATCACCTCTCTTATTAATCAATCACTACTCTTATTAATTGAGTTCAGATGACTAAGTTGATAATAATATGTGTGCTTTATAAAGTTCATATTAATTGAGGTTTTTAAACTACGTAGTGGGCATTGACAAAGTTTTTTTTTGGATTACTATCAATAATCAGTGGGAAAATCCGATCTGAGCGTTTGTCTAGCACTGTATTGAATATCTACAAATTTGATAACAAAGAAATTTAATCTCTGCATATTATTTTGACGGCTTGACCGCAAAAAAAAATCCAATAATTTTACATATTTAACTAAATGAGATAGGAAGCAGAAGGGGCTGAATAGTTAGCAGCGCATACAAAAATTCAGAAGGTCAAGAGTTCGAACCTTGGCCAAATCAATATAGCTAATATTATAGAAATTAATTTAATCTAATTGCAGGTAACTCCATGACTAGGAATGTCAACACCTACGAGTGTATTTTTGACATGAAAATCAAAGCTCTGCATTAAATGTCATCAGCCATTCAGAGGCGACTTAGAATAAATTATATGTAAGTCTATCCATTTGTTAAAAACTATCAACACACCTGGAATTGGATGAAAAGAACGGCCTGAAACATTTTAGGGGTTACAAGTGCCAAATATATTTATATATATATATATATATGACCATAAAATTTATTAGATCATAAATTATTGAAATTCTAAATTGGTGAAGAAGGCAGCGCTAGGCACTCGAAAAGTTTCCGCAGTTAAACTTTTTACAAATAAAACTATGACGTATGTGACCACTTTTTTTTTTATTAATAACCGGGACATGTATCCGGTTCATTCGAGAAAGTTTAATTTCGTGACGCTAATCATTTTCAAGGTTGAGCGGTTTTTATTTAGTTTTTATTAAGTATTGGAAATAAATTTAAAATTAATTACCTAGTAAAGGCTAATCCATTTTTTTTGCAATAGATAGCTTCAGTGATCTTTATCTCGCGTTTCTGAATAAGTGACATTTGATGACGCTAGATGGCGTTAGAAAGATACAAGTCAGGCATCTGAAAATGTGAATAGTGTTTATGTAACAGTCAATAATGCACAATTTCGGTGGCATCGACTTCGTATCGGGTATTTTAATGTAAAAGGTGTTCAAAAAAAAAGGGTCGTGGTCGACGGGCAGTGAACTGGCAAAAAGGGTCAACAAGCAAGGTTTAACAGACAGGATGGTTTTCTTGTGTGTTTGTTAGGATTGGCAAGGTATCATCAACTATGAACTGCTCCCCTACGGCCGAACACTTAAATCGGAGCTGTACTGTGAGCAAACGGAACGCCTGAAGGAAATAGTCCCCCAGAACCGTCCAGCTTTATCCAACGGGAAAGGAATTTTTTTCATCAAGACAACACTAGACCAGTAGGGAGGTTCTTCTGCACCCACAATATAGTTCGGTCTTAGGACCAATTGATCAACATCTATTCCTGCCTATGGCGAATGATTTAGCTGGTGAAGAATTGGCATCAAGAGATGTGTGTGAAAGTCAATTGTCCCAATTTATAGCCAATAAGGACAAGGGTTTTTATGAGAGGGGCATAATGATATTATATTCAAAATGGCAAAAAAATTTCGAACTAAACTGTGTATATTTGACATAACACTGATAAGTCTAACGGTGGTAAATAAGGCCTTTAATTTAATGCAAAAATAATGGATCGTCCTTTACTAGAGCAATATATATGTGTGTATGTATATACATAGACTGCATTTGATAAATAAGTTTATAATATAATTTTGTGATAATAATGTTCAATTTAAAATTAAATGATTGTGAATTATGCAATCAGTCTAGCGAAATGTCGTCTCATTAAGAGAAAAGTAATAGCGGTATGTCGGGGCGTATGATAAACGTGAAAACGTGTAATTGAGAATTGTATTTATCCATACGAGTATGTACTTATGATAGCACATAAATTGTCTCCCTTAATATTGAGAATTGTATTTATCCATACGAGTATGTACTTATGATAGCACATAAATTGTCTCCCTTAATACGATCTCCAAATAATTTTGTTATACATATATATACTCGTACATATAGTAGCAACAAATTTTATACTAAATTATCTCATATGTGTTATTAATAATTAATGTTCAATAGAACTTTATTCAAAACAGTTATTAGTTACGGTTTTTTGAAAATATTTTTAAAAAAATCGCATTAAAATATTAAAGTTAAAGTTTTTTAATTGAATTCAGCATTTCGGTGAAATTGTTTGATAGTAAGATACTTTGGGTATTATTCAGCAATCGAAACAACGCTTGGTGATCGTTCGGCATGGCCGATAACTTTCAAACTGATTATATCAATACAAAAAAATTAATTAATTTATATCGTGAATTGTTATTAATATTTCGTTGTATATTATTTCTCGCTTGCAGAAAATTAATTAATTTATATCGCTTGCAGACGCTAAGATATTAACTGATATTCAGCCAGCAGGCAGATAAATAATGAATATATTTTTAATATATAATATCAATGGATAAAATAAATACAATAAAAGCCTCAATAAGTTTTTTGCTCTATTATTGTTCATGGTGAAAATTGTGAGTAGTAATCTCATGAAGTAACTTGCAAATCTGTGTGACCCATAAAAAATTTTTTAGTTTTTTAGTTCAAATCAAAAGAAAATTTTATATTAATAATGCCAAAAAAAACAATAATAATAATAAATTAAAAATAAAATAAAACAAAAACAGACAATAGATACAAATAAATTTTCTTTACTTACCACAATCTTCAAATGGTAGAGTACGTAAGCTTAAAAGTTTTTTATAAATCCCATTCGGTACATTTTGAAAATTAATAGGATTACCAACTGTATGAGTGATCCAAAACACGTTTATTTGACACAATAGTATGAAATAAGAATACCCTAACCGCATTATTAAATGTTCATTCACTTGTGATTGAAAAACTTCAAATAGTCAATGGACAATGCAGAAGTATAAATAAATATTGTATTTTAGAGTATTTTTGCTTTTTACTCGGCAAAACGTTAAACGATGGTACTGCGTTCAATATATAACTGGCGAAAGTCGTCAGATTAGCGGCAAACAGTAGCAACACCTGATACGGTGGCAATACATTTGATTGATTACTTATTGTTTTATTTTCTTTTGTTTTTGTTTTGGTTTTCCTCTTCTTTTCTAATCATGGAATGCACTTCATTGATTTTTTTTTTTTTTAGTAAATAAAGCGGCATATCTTTGTATGAATATATATTTAATGAGTAAGCATTTATATGTACGATCATAATAATTTAAATAAATAAATGAATAAACACATATATGATTAAATAATTATGAATTGTATTTTATTTGTGAAATTTGTATTTTGTTGGTTTATTTCATATTACTACTACATACATATATATTAAAATATTTTGATTACACTTTCTTTTAATAATAAATAATTATGTGTATTAGGAATAGAACATTTATTTATTCTAAAATGCCTTTAAGATAATTAGTGTTTTTAATAAATCTAAAATCAGCGCGTAGTTGAATGAATTGGCGCACAACCGATTTGTCCAAGTAATTCTGAAATTACGTGACATAAAATAGAAATGTTTAAATAGCTGTGATAATGAGTTTAAAATAAAATTGTAAGTTGTAAGATAGTAATTTTCGACACATCAATATTTTTTATAGCAACAATATATTTTTTATAGCAATAATACATTTTTTATAGCAGCAATATTTTTTTGTTTTACATCGCCAACAATTAATTATTAGCAATATTTTAAATTTTTAGCTACGTAAAGAATGTCTTATCTTTTAAAAAGTTCAGAGCATAAATGTATGTATTAATTGGCAGTTAAACGTAACAGTAAAACACTCAAATAACTCACCAAAGTCTCACCGGTACAAACTTCTTGTAAGTTTTCTGGTTTCACCAGCAATAAGTTACACAAAGCATGCAAAATATCGAATAATTGAGTAACCAAAGGATTTTCCAATTCGCGTATACATTTCCGATACTCATTTACATCACAAATCGCACACATAGCACCTGCTGTGTTATATTGCATTGTTTGTAAATGATCAAAGATTACACGATGAAAACGTACACCAATTTCGTGTAGAACATTTTGTAAATTATCACCATCCACACATCGTTTGGCCTGCTTTAGTGCCGGTTGCAAGTTTTGTACGACTTGTAGGCAAGCCTAAAAATTAGATAAAAAATCGAAGGCAAGAAACATTTAGTATGTGATGAATTCGGTAACTGTGAGTCATAAAATGAAATAAATCTCAGCAATAAATTTGCCGATTTCGACTAATGCAGTAATAAAGTTATTGACGTATTCAAGTACCAAACACTACGTGTTGGTAGTTAAAATTAACAAATTAGTATTTATATGGACAAAAATGAAAATTTGTTGTCATTGACTCACTGCTGACGATATCGTGTCCATATCAGTTTCTGGCTTGTAATCTGTTTTCTTTTGTTCGTTCTGTAAGTATAATTTAACCCAACTGATTATAGCATTAATAGATCGTTCAAGTCCCTGATCTAACGATTTCTCAATTTGCTCCATTAGTAATCGACGCTTGAACATAAAATCCGAATATTTTGGTGTATTACTGAAAATCGAAGTTTATAATTTTTTTTTTATAAATTTTTTTTAAGTAAAAATTAACTTTACATAATGCAAGGGATCACGGCGCTATTTGAAAGTTTCTCCAACAGGTGGACAATGATATTGGTTTTCTGTACGACATCGAAAAAGTAAAGCTGTGGAAATGTTTTACCCTCTGCTATTGGTATCGCCTGCAGACCTAATTCCAGCGCGTACACCACATGTTCGTGCATAAGAAAACGTAACAAAATATCATTTAATTTAATAACATTTGTTGGTAGTTCTATCGCGCTGGATAGTAGACGACAGCGTTTAAGTGCAGCCTTTGCTTCTTGTAGCATATTTATTGACAACTCCTCACATAAAAATGTTTCGCCACCATAGTCTTCAATCTGTGCAATATTGATGTTTGCTCGTGTACCTATTAATGCTTGCATATCACGCCTTAACTCTTGGAAACGCTCTGTGGGCTTCTTTTGATGCTTTTTATTAATATAAAAACGCTCTAGTTCGGTGGAACACTTTGTTGTCAAACATCTTGATTCCACTTCCACGTAATTTGCCAAGTGTTTTGTGAAAATTTGTTGTGTTAACTTTTGCAACAAATCATCGTCCATAGTCGACATGTAAATTTGCAGGTCTGAAGACAACTTCAACGTTCTGTCATGAAATTGAATAGATATCAGATATTGGAAACAAGATTAACATTATTCTAAAAAGTTAAGAATTACATTACCTTGAATACAGCTCGTATAATGTCCGTAAATATTTTTCCTCATCTTTTTTGTCGTCGAGTTTTGTTAACGCATACTGATGTAATTTTAATTGATAAATATTAAGAATAAACTTGGACATAACTTGTGCCGGATTGGCGAAAACTTTTTTGATAATTTCATAATGATGTTTGCACATAGGCGCTATACCTATAAAAATATCCTTACCGCCGTAAGGAGTCTTTTAAGAAAGTAAACAATATTTTAGAATACACAAATATATTTACGTACGTACAAATTCAAAAAACTAATAATAAAACAACTCACCATTTGACTTTGTTCAATATAAGCATCGATACACTGTGTATAGCCCTTGAATTGGGATAGAATTTGTGCTAGTTTCTTCATCTTTTCAATATCTTCACACTTTTGTGCCGTAGCAAATTCTTCAATAAGCCGACGTTCCACCTCATCATACATTTTTTCAATTTTCCTTTTTGAATCAGCAAATTTTTCTACCGGTAAATCTTGCGAAATTGTATACAATTTTTGTATTACATCGGCAGCTTCGTAAAGACGTACGGAATCGGTAAATATATCATTGAGTATAGGACCAGGTACAAGAAATTCGGACATGTGGTTTAGCAATTTTTGTGCCTCCACTGTGCGACTACGTGGCGTATTCACGTTTTCTAATTGCTCACCAAGATGTATAATTTTGCCAGCAACTGAATTGATTTTCTCATCGAGTTGACCAAACCAATCTATTGCGACTTGATGACGTTCTTGCAGTTTGCATATTTGCTTTGTGTGTGTAACTTGCTCTTGACGCAAAGATTCTTCGAGCCGTTCACATTTCGCTTGCTGCTTTTCTTGTAATATCTTCATATCTTTTATGGTTTGTATAAAAGTTTCATGAAGCGCAACAGGATTAAAGTCATCTGCATTTTTACCAGTGATTCCCACTTCATTGTTGATTCGCCATGTTAACCGTTCTATAAATTCCGACACCTCAAAGGGCTCCTTTTTTTTTAGCAAATAACCACATATTAGTCAGTTAATTGAGTATTTAGGTTGATATAACTATACCTGTTCAAACTCATCCATGTATTGTGCCAACATTTTATTATTTATTTATTTTTTCTATCTACGTATGTATGTTTTTAAAATCACCGAAGTAAACGTAAATAATTTTGCACTTGTTTGTGATTTTTCATTACGCCCTTTATCCCAGTTTGTAAAATTAGTTTAAACATCTAAAATCAGCTGATTGTCGTTGCCATATTATTTAAAAGGTAATTTTTTTATAAATGGGTTCTTTTTCAAATTGGGGCTTCATGATTTTCAAAAATTATATTTAAGTACGTACGAAGTAGTTTTATATATAATTTTATTCTTTTTAAGTCTTTTTTTCTTTTCATTTTTTTTTATTTTTTTCTTTTTTTTTTCTTTTTTTTTCTTATTTTTTTCTTTTTTGTCAAATAGTTAAGAAATGAAACAAATCATTGCATTGATTTTAATCGCCGTAATACTGCGATCATAATTTATTATTTTCTTTACTATTTTTTATCATTGTTATTGTTGCAAATGTACATGTGGGTGAATATGACTACCTTTTCCACTCAATGATTCAAAGTTTTGGGTCTGAGCTGAAGCTGTCGATGTCATCGCTGCTGCCGCTGCAGTACTTGTACTAGCTATTATGTTGATGGCACTGGCTGCAGCAGATGACGATGCCGTCATAGCAGAACTAGCCAGATCTGGTGCTGGCAAGCGCCGGCCCTCAATAATGTTTGCACCACCCTTAACAGAGGAAATTCCATTCCCGCCTCCGCCGCTTATCTCAATCGTAGGTGTCTCAACTAATTGATGCAAGTTTCGTAATTCCGTTGAACTACGCAGACTCGCTGATAGACTTTCACTTGAGGCCAAAGACGTTGATAAAGGTGAATTGCGGTCCATGGATGAAGCTACATCTGTTAATAAAGCAATGTTACTAATTTATATTTTAGAACATACTTTAACAAATTCAAATACAAACCGGTTTTATCGGTGTCAGGAGAACAAGCATTTAGGAATACGCCACCCTGTGGTTTAAATACGGACATCATTATTTTTTCCTCCATTTGCATAATAATGGTTTTCTGTACGTCGTATTTCTTGTTAAGTGCCTATAATAAAAGCAATATTATTATATTATTATTACAATTAAATTTTTCATAAATATGTATACATTACTAATAATTAATTAAAGATGAATATTAATAATGCATATTTAGGTAAATTTATAAAAACCTTAAACTTCTCCTCATATTCATCTTTTACGGTTTTAAGCAAACGTTTTTGATCTGTGATCACTTTCTCACTAGTCTGAAGTTGTACTTGTAGCTCGTTAATTTTATGTTTTGCACTATCTAACTGTGAAGTTTTTTCCTCCAAAACATGACGTAAATCTAGAACAAGCAAAGTAAATTATGAGGGAAAGTTTATGTATGCCAATGTGGTTTTACCTTTCAGCTCTTTGTTGTAATGACTTTGAAGCATATGAAGTTCTTCGTCGCGTGCCTTAAAATTTTCTATTTCTGATAGTTTATCGCGACATTTGATTTGAACCTCTCCCATAACTATAAATTCCGCTTCAAGACGCGCCAGTTCTTGCTTACATTGTAGACCCATATCCGCTTGTTGTTGTGCAAGTTGTAACTCCGAAGTTAAATTAAATATTTCACCACGTAAAGCTTCCAATTCGTATGTGTCACCTTTTCTATTAGCTTGTTCTTCAGTGAGGCTTGTTTGTAAGTTTTCGTTAGCCTGACGAAGGCACTTATTTAGCTCTATTTCACTTTGGTATTTCAATTTGATTTGGGTCAATTCATCCACATATAGTTGTTCGCGATCGTTGTGTAATTTAGTGTTCCTTTCGATTTGCCGCACAAGTTCAGCATTTTTAAATGTAATACTTTTGACTTGCTCTCGCAAGCGATCTCGTTCCATTTCAACACTTCGCTTATCACGACTACGACCCATAAGACGTCGGTTTCTCTCCGCGTGCATTTCCCGTCTATGACGCTCATACTGTAGTTGTAGGCATATGAGTTGAAATTGCTCCTAAAATATGGTATGATTTGTAATTAATATAGAGTAAAATAATTGTACATTATATTTCTTGCAAAGGCACATACCTGATCCAAGTTGCCGACCCTATCAGAACCGTCTTTCGACCGAATAGTCTGCGAAACATATGTGTCGAGTATCTCCTGTGGCTGCAATTGATTTTGTTCGTGCACATGGCGTATTTCTACGCTTTCCAATAACATTTGGAATAAGGAATTTTCATAATTTTGTGATACGAACTCTATAGTTTGTGTCGAAACATGATTACGGGAGCTCGCTACAGCTGCACCGTCAAGTATTTGTTTTTTAGCAGCCGCAATAGCTAACATCTTCGCACTTTTTTGTAAACGATTTTTGCGTACTTCATTATCCACTTCGGCGAAAAAGTTTATTGCTGGACATGATTTTGTTCGCCGAAGATTTCCCATCTTCAACTCAACCGCTTCCGTTTCACCAGTTTGCTTATTATTCAACATTACTTTCATACAATTGGAATCATTATAGCATTCGCTGACCATTCGATTACGACGTTTGATACCTTTTGCTATCAGCATTTGCATGGATCGACTTGTTGGAGTCTGCAATCCTCCTTCGGTACACATTGAATGATCCGTTTCGTTGCAATCTCTGCAAATTTTCGTAATATTTTCTAACGTGGAGAATGTTGACATTGATGTCGGCTTTAAAGCGGTCGACGGCGTGAAAATATTTGGTATTGGTGTAACAGATGGCGTTGGCATTTGGGTCGATGAGGGGGTGGGTGTAGGTGTGGGTGTTGGAGCAGCTGATCCCAGAAATTGATTGCTGCTTGGCATGTCATTCGAATCTATATCGGGTGTTCCACTTTTAGCTAAATTAAGTAAGCACAATTTTAATTTGTACTCATGCCAATATATACACATATAAATTTACTTACAATTTAACTCGTTGGGTGAGCGAAAAGCGCTTTGTTGTTTAGCCATCATCGATTCAATAGTTTGAAATGGGCTATGGGATCGGCTACGATCATGCACAATCTGTTGGATTCTTCTGTCGTATGTGGTGGATACGCGAGTCACCACACGCGTATTTACTTCCTGTTCGAACAGCATCGTCGACGCTGCACCAGAGCCACCGTCAGTCACTGTGTCAGAGAAATTAAATTGATTTTGATTTTCTTTACGCAAAGGCGAAGATGGTTGACTAGCAAAAATGGCACGCACTGCATGGGGATTTGCCAGATGTTGTTGTTTAAGTTCTTTTAAGTCTTTCATGGGTGTAGTCTCAGGTGTTGCTTCCACAGCGGCTTCTGGGGGCGATGAGCCAGTGATGGCGGCTACTTGGTTGGCAATTTTTGAAACAGCGGTGCTTGCGGACGTTAGCGGTAACATATAAGGAGGCGTCGGTGTTAAGGGCATGGGTCCAGAAGCTGTTATTTCGTTGTAAGGGCTCCATATAGCACCTCCGCTAATGTTTCTATTTCCATCACATTCATGTTGCCATGTAGAACCATTACTACTACGTGCTGGATATTGTGTTTGTTTATCTCTTAGATATTCGGATGAGGAATAATAAAACTTGTTCGTATTATAGGCGGGCTTACTGTGATTATTTCTCTTCACTTCCAACATTGAATGGTCATCAAAAGGAACTTCATGAAGTCCTCTCGTTATTGGGATCACTTGATCTGAATTAAGGTCCTGTTATAAATGAAATAAGCAAAGTTATTTTAATTGTCAATACAGAAGGCTATAAAAAGTTTTGTCAGCACCTGATGCAACATTGGCAGCGACAATCTCGCACACTCTTCTACTACATCATGAGGCTCTTTTTCTTTCCAACGATTGACTTGATTGATTTCACTCTCTATTGTCGCTGTCACCAGCATTGGATGCATACGCACAGTCTCCAACAAAGGCTTGATTGTGTGATGAAAAATCGCACCTTTATCTTTTTTTACAAAATCACTTAAGAAGGTCATAAAGCTACAAGGATACATCCCGTACAACCGATGAAATAACATCTGAAGACCCAATTGCAAGTGAACCAGCTTATCATCAGAAAGCCCTTTCGGATTTTGGCAATTCCATGACGCCAAATGGCCAAATACTTCAAACAAATCACCTAGAAGGTTCGGAACCAAATTGGGTATGATTGGTAACAACGTTATTATACAAAGTAGTGCACTCATTAATGGCACGATATCTTTCTCAGTCTGCAAGATAAATTTATGGTTAGAACGAAATATAAGTTGAATAACGAAAAATTTGTGTTAATCACCATCAAAAGTTTAAAAATGTCCTTAATAAGGCGATGTTTTTCAATTTTGAATAGCCAAGTTGGATTGTTGCGGACCACAAAAAATAATAAATTTAACGCCTGTAAGCGATGTGTTTGCATTTTTAACCATTCCGACACACGATCAAAAATAAATATATCATGTGGCGTCTGTACTTTGACCAAAACCTCCATAATACGTTGCGAACCAGTTTTATAGTAGTAATCCATCATGTAATACACAGGCCACGTCTCTTTACCTATAAGAAATATCATAAAAGTAGCAATTGGAATATTACAAATATGTTAAACATCTCACTCTGCGTAAACAATTCCACAAGTTTCCTCTTGGACTCCTCGCACTCTTGAGTTTGATTAGACTCCAAATCGGAAAACACCTTTTCTACATCCATACTTATGTTAATTTCAATTAGCTGTGGCTTGACAACTTTGGTAATTTGCTCCAACTATGACTGTTCATCTACTTCCTGTTTATTTGTCTCCTGAATAAATTGTAAACATTCACAAACACATATATTCATTTAAGCACATTGCAGCATTGCGGAGATATATCATAAGTATAATTTACATTCGGTAGTCTCGTCATATCCTCCAGAAGTTTAGATTTAGCTTTAAATTAAGATCGTGCTGAAAATTACTCCCAAAACCTCATTTTAACTTTTCATTCACCAACTGTGCAGCAAATTAAAGAGGAAGAACAATTACGTTCCTAATTTTCATTATATTTTGCAAATGTCATATAGAGAACAAGTCGATCAAAATGCGACAGAGTAGCATAGAACAGCAGTAATGCCACCCTAATAGAAGATTTTTATTTAAATTATGACATCATCACCGAAACATCACAGGTTTTTTTTTAAATGAATATCTTTAATATAATAATAATTAAATTAATAATTTTTTTGACTGAGGTAAAATTTTTTGGAATTTTGGAAAACTCATAAAAATTATATTATGTATGTGCCTATGATAAACATTAGTTCTCTAGTCCATCTACAGGTCATCATCGATTGCCTACGGATTGTCCATAAACCCTGTAGCCATATGTCAAACCCTTACGTAGCCTATAGTAGTTAAAAAATAGAATAATATTTTTGTACAATAAGCTAATAATAAAACGTCTTAATATTTATAATATATATTGACAGTTAATATACCATTTAATAGGCACTGTCATTTTTAGCTGGTACAAAAGAAATTTGACAGTTGATGACAGGCCAAGCCAAGGTTTATAGGATAGAAGGTTAGAAGTCCATGACGTCACTAAACTAACTTAATATGATCAAAATAGTATATATTTTTAGTTTAAAAAAATATTCTTTGCATACAGATGTAAAAATTGGGTAGAATATACCGAAATGTAAACACTTATACCGCAAATCTATAAATTTCATACAATTTATAATAACATTTTGCTTCTTATATTTACAATTATGTATTAAACTTTTCTTAATACCATAACTTCAAGTTTTCGAATAAAATGTATAATTTATATATGTTTTGTGTTGCTCAATTTCGCATTTATCTCAAGTAAAAAACCTTTATGAATCAAATGCATGGACCGGTAACTTACATATGATTGACAATTTCAATTTTAAGTAATTAATGTTGATTTAAATGTTAAACTAGTTTAAATGTCTCGACCCGTGTGAGGAGACGAGCTACGTCTGGTTACAAGAAAGGTGGAATACTGGAAACTTACTAATCTGTTGGCATTTAAATATATTTCATACATATATACATATATGTTGACATTCTTTACTGGCTAATTCTGACTAGAATTTCTCACCGAACAGAGCTTTTGTCAGAGAACGTATATTCCAAAACAGCTGGTCGTTCATGTGTTCCATCAGCTGAATAACGTAACTGTCAGCTCTAAACAGCTGCTAGGTTATCAGCTGATGCACCATCGACACAACAGATGGGTATATTTTAAATGTGTTTATTAGCAAATTTTTTAATATGAACAACTAAGTTTTATCCTTACAAAATGTACAGAAAACTTTTATTTAGTAAAAGCTCTTGCAGACGGCTTTCAACACAGTATCAAGTTGCTAAAGCTCAATTACAGTAAGTAAAATTTTTGATAGAAGTTCATCAAATTAAAATCAAAGTACATTTCAATAGAGATTGGAAGAGTGTTGTTGGCTTAGAAGTTCACGCACAATTGCTTACTAAATCGAAATTATTTTCTGGCAGTAGCAATGTATTCGGAGCGCCACTTAATACCGCTGTTTCGTACTTCGATGCCTCTCTACCGGGTACATTACCTGTAAGCCAAATTGTTTTTGTGTTAATTAATTAACGTTTATGGTTCTTAGTAACAATTAAATTTAAACTTTTAGGTACTTAACAGGAAATGTGTTGAAATTGGGATAAAGACTGCTGCTGCACTTGGATGCCGGATCAACGAAGTGTCTATGTTCGATCGTAAACATTATTTCTATGCGGATTTGCCGGTAGGTATATACCGTTAGGATGTGGCTTTCTAAAGTGTACCCCAATAACATACCGACTTCCCAAAAGGTCGGCTATCAAATAACTCAACAAAGAGCAGCTTTAGCAAATGATGGAGAATTAAAGTTTCCTGTCATAGTACCAGGCAAGAAAACATACTACAAAAAAGCGCGTTTATTACAGTTACAATTAGAACAGGACAGCGGAAAATCCTTACATGACGAAGAATTAAAGAGGTAAATTCTAACGATGTAAGTATTTATAATTATACACATAAATTTCTGTAAATTTAAGGAGCCTTGTCGATCTTAACCGAGCCGGTGCTCCACTTATAGAATTGGTATTTGCGCCAGATCTCGAAACTGGTGAGGAAGCGTCATCATTAGTTAAAGAATTAATATTAATCTTAAAGTCTCTTCATGCTTGTTCCTGTAAAATGGAAGGTACTTATATTTTTAGCTATTACAATATGCTTATTATTACATACATAAATACATGATTATTTTACGATTTGTTCCTTTCAAAAATGTAGAGGGAGCGCTTCGAGTTGATGCTAATATTTCAATTCACAAGTGTGGTGAGCCTTTTGGTGTACGTACTGAGGTAAAAAATATTGGCTCTGTGCGTAGTATTTCTCAGGCAATTACATACGAAATACAACGGCAGTTCGATGTCGTCTCAAAAGGTGGTACCATCACTAATGAAACTCGTTCTTGGGATGCAACAACTCGTTGCACAATACCTATGCGTGATAAAGAAGTGTTGCAAGACTATCGCTTCATGCCGGAACCGAATCTACCACCATTACGCTTAAATCTATCTTCAAGCGCCGACTCTAGTACAAGCTCCGATATTATTTCGGTAGCATCAATTACTAAAGACATACCAGAATTGCCAGAGGATACCCGTTCAAATTTAATCAAAACGTATCAATTGAATCAGGATGTGGCTGTCATTTTAGTGGTAAGCTGTTATTATTTCAATTATTTATTTCTTCCACTCTCTATGCTACATTGTTTTAATTTTCAGAATGAGCCTGTATTGCTAGAGTACTTTTTGAACGTCATTGAACACATTCCTAGCATACCGGCAAAACTAGTAACCAACTTTTTAATAAACGATCTATTAACTTTTTGTAACAAAGCTAATATAGACGTTGAAAGCTGGTAAGTAACCTCTATATAATATCTCTAAAATGTGTTCAGTATTAATTACTGGAATCCTAAATGGAAAACCCACATGACTTATAGATAACTATTATTTTTTGTTAATTTACTATTACTGTTATTATCTAGTATTATCAGGTCGGAATAAGGAGTTAAGTTGGTTTATCCATGATCGTCACGATCATTTTGTAGTAGGTTTTGGGTAATAAATTTGTCAAAAAAAGCAGCTATCTATAAATAAACATTGTCACCAAAAATCATCGAAATTGGAAATTGTATAGCCCTCTTAAAAAGAACTCTACCAAAAAAAAATCTAATAGAATATACAAGTAGTATAAGTATAAATAAACCTTTGTCTCGGAAAATCTATGTCACTTAAGATAAATCAATTCAAAAATTTTTCACATATGAGCATTAATTTTTCCTTCTAAAATTAAATACCACAAATTGGATATGGTCATGAAATGTATAAAGACCTGGCATGGTTTTTCTTTTTTGTTTTTTTTTTTTTTAATATTTCGCTCCAGATGGATTTGTTTTAATCTTATTTTAAAAATATTATTATTATATTAGAAAAATGTGACTGAAACTGCTGAAAATGTGATGTGTGAAAGTGCAATAAGTGTATACGATTTTAAATTGTTTATGCTTTTTGGTATAATATCCCTTTACAGCCAACTTACCTACACTCACCTGGAGGATATTCTTACAGCACTGAATGCTGGTACTATAAATCTACAAGCTTGTAGGCAGCTTATTGAATTCCTACATCAGGATCCAACACAAAATGTGCAAACGGTAAATAATGTACAGTTAATATACTATTTACCAAAAAATAAGATTTCTACACTTTTTGTATTTTGTCAATGCAAACATATAAGTGGTCTAAAACAATATAATTTATTTTATAGCTTATACGGGACCGAAATATGGAACAAATTACGGAGGATGAAACGATAGAGCAGTTATGTCGACAAGCGATTGAACGCCAAGAACAAGCTGTGAAACAATACAAAAGTGGTAAAAAGAAAGCATTATTTGCTATTGTTGGCGAAGTATCCAAGTTGTCCAAACAAAAGGCTAATATGAAAATGGTTGTCGCTTACCTGGAGAAGATGTTAAAGTCATAATAAAAAACTCACTGGCGAATTGTATACCAAACGTATTTTTTATTTGCTCAAAGTGTACGATACAAGTGTATTGTTGAGTTAAATATTCATTCTACAAATATAATTTCGTTATTTATTCAAAATTGTTGTTTTTTTCTTTTTAAATGTGTTTGTAACTAAAATTATGTCTTAAATGCAATAGTGACTGTGAAGTTGGAAATTGGGTAGAAATGAGTTTCTCTGATTTATTCTGTTTTTTTTTTGTCAACTTTTAAAACTGTACCGCAATATTCTCCTAAAGTGAGGAGAAATGCAACAGTATTTTTTTTATATTATAAATTAATAACTTTTTAGCCAAATGTGTTTTTTTTAGAATTTCTTTGTTTGTTATAAAACCGTTTTATGGATGAAATGTAAGCAGTAAACTCACTATATTCTATTGTCTATCTTGCAGACAATGAAAAGCCATAGAGTTATATTAATTAGTCGTAAAGCATAATATCTCAATGGAATGATGATTTAAACATTATAAATTAAATAAATATAATAAATTATATATATGAATGAAAGTTGGTTGTATTTAGTGAATAAAGGTATGGGTTGTATATTATGTGAATATACCTATGTAGTTTATATGTAAATATGTATGTTGATATGTTAATAAATGCAGTTAGTTTCTAAATAAGGAAGCTATTAGTGGCAGTTTTGAATTTCGTTATCTTTTTATGACATCTTTTCTCTGCAATTTATTGATCGTAATCTCTACAAGTTGACGGTGGTAGGCTCATTGAAACGGCATTATCCAAGCTGCTTAAACATACAGGCATACATTATTTATATGGTTTGTTTAAATCGCCAAAATTTATGCTTACCGTCGCGATTCGCTTTCCAAAAGATTCGGATCTAAAGGATGCTGTGAGACATGTCGTAATGAATCACCTAGTGTATTTCTTAAGTGTTGCATTTCGCGATTGGCTTTGGAACTACGCAAAATATATTGCTGTCGCCGTTTGGCTTCCTGTGCCAACTGTTCACGTAACATAGATATCTGTAGAAGTACAAAAACGTAAAAACGTGTAAGATCGTTAATTTCAAAGCAAAATAGTTAAAATCAAGTGCATTGTCTTTTAACAGGAAACTATTTTGTGAAAGGGATAACTGTTATATGGGAAAATTTATTTTTCCAAATCCCAGTGTTGATGAGAAAGTCTTTAAACAAAGTCTATAGATATTTAGGGAGGATAATCATCCGTTGCCGTTCTAAGCCAATGGAGCGGCCTGACCAAAAACCAAAATTTTAGAAAAGTAATTAAAAATCTACAGGGAAATCAATCCCTCCGTATGTATTTTTGACATGCAATATAAGCTCCTCATAAAAATGCATCAACCGTTGTGAGGGAAAACATCAAGACGCATACCACAAAACAGAGCATAAGTTGGGCCGAAAACCGATTCAGCGGTTACAGTTAAGTTAATTTTTGTAATTGCGGTCGCTCCTCGGCAGGGAGGCATATAACAAAGTACAGTGCGCTACATTTGTTGAAAACAAACACACATTGAAATGTATTCCAAAATTTGGAACAAGAAACCACTGCTAATGGCCATAGGCATTGATATACATGTAGACTTACCTGATTCTCTAAGCGCAATACTTGCTGTCGATGTGACTGCTCTCGCGCATCTAACAACTTCTCTGCATGTAGCTGAGCATTGCGGTAACGCTCCGCATCCAAACCGCCCTCACCGCATTTGGCGCTATCATGTACTCTTGCCTTAAGCCTTGCTAATTCGGACTCTTTTTCTGCTAGGAGTGTCTCTAAACGACGAACTTTTAACCGTAAATCCCGCGATTCTTGCTCGATAACGCCATGATCAAGACCACAGCTGTAATTGCCTGGAGCACTTTCCATACGATTCGAGTCGTAATCACCAGGATCATAGTATGAAGTATTCTTCTCTGCACGATCATAAGCCGCTGTACCACCACTACCCGAAAACTTACTTTTACGTTCTGACTCTAATTGCTTGACTTTATCTTGTAGAGTCTGCAATTTGTTGCGTAGCTCTGATTTTTCACGTTGTGACGATTTCAATTGTCGGCTGAGTTCTTCCTCTTCACGTTTCTCTGAAATATTCGCCATGCCACCACCACCATCACCCGTCTCTTGATTCCATTTAGCAATGCGTAATTGTGACTGTAAAGCAGAACGTTGTACTTCTAAATCAGTAACTTGCTCTTGAAGACGTTGAATGCGATCCAATTGCGCCTGTTGACTCCGTCGCAACTCGTTCAAACTACTTTGGGCATTATCCAGTCGCTCAGCTAGTATACGCTTTTCATTTTCTGCTGCTTGTGATTGTTTTTGTAATAACTTTAGTTTTTCCTCATTCGACTGAGAACAATGTCCCTGCTCGGAGAGTTCCTTGCTCAGTACTTTCAGTTCACCACGTAACTCGGTTTCGGTAACTGCTGCTTTCTGCAGGCGATCTTTCATTTGATCAACCGTAGTCTTGAGAGAGGTACAACGTTCTTCTAGCTGCACCATGGCTCGATTTTGGTTATCAAGCCGTTCTTGGGCTTGACGCACTTGGCAATCCTTCTCTTGCAAAGCCATTTGTAAGCGGTTTATATCACCCTCCATAGCAACACGTTGCAAATCTAGTTTGGCAGCTCGACCTTCTGCCTTCGCCAACTCTTCCTGGAGGTGGCGTTTTTCATTCTCCAGTTTCGCTCCGTGACTGCGACACTTCTCCAAGCGATCCTAAAAATAAATATACATTTCATTATAGTTTCGTATTTAGATAGGATTTTTACGAAGCTAACATATTATTAGATTTCTAATGTAACACTGGTGCTATAGTTTCTAAGCTCACCTCGATTTGAGAGTTTTCCTCGTTACAAGATCCTAATTGCATTTCCAGCTGGGTTATCTTCTCTCGCATTTGTTGACATTCATCACACTTCTGCTTAAATTTATCTTCCAATGCATTTAAAGCCGAAACTTTCATACTACGTTCCGTATCAATATTACCCTTTTCCTCCTGCAGGTGTCGAAGCATTTGCTGTAGTTTACTGACTTTTCCATCGCAGCGTAATTGCTGTTCAGCCGCGTCCTGCAATTGCTTTTTGGCCGCTGCCAGTTGTACTTTCGTATCGTCTTTCTCACGTTCAATTTGAGCAACTTGATGCATTAGATTGCGAACACCTTTACGCACTAAATCAGGATCAAGATCGCAAGGTGCTTCCGGGCATTGTGAGGTGCTCCTAGCATCATAATCATGACAACTCGAAGACGCCATGCCATTTCGTATAGGACTATAACGTCTAGTTGGGCTTATAAGCCGATAGGAAAGATTGACAGTGCCATCGGGCTGAATTCCGGCAATGCGCCGCAATGTATGAGCTACGGAGCTGAGTTTATGTTCCGTATCACGTTTATGCAGCTCCACACAAGCTAATTGTTCATCAAGTGCACGTATGCGACCCTCAGCACCGCCCAAACGTGCTTTCAACTCCTGTATTTGTTGTGTTGCATCAGCAAGGCAAACTTCAAGATTATGCTTTTGATCCTCTAGGCGTTTTTCTCTACCACGTGCTTCTTCAATACGTGCCAACAACTCTTGCTCACGGTTGTGGAAACGATGCTCTTCCTGGTTGGACTGACAGCGTGCGCGTCCTAGTTCCGCTCTAGTTTCGCATAGATTTTCTTCTAAATCTGCTAGCTGCAAGAGTCAATCAATGGGGATGAGTTAGATATCGTTTTATAGAAATCACTCGTAAAAAGGTCATTTACCTGCTTCTTCAGCTGATTTAGTTCCTGTTGACTGCGCTCCTTCAATTCAGTTTCTGCCGCCAACTTATTCTGCAGCTCCTTTCCACCTTCGTCTTTTTGTGCAAAGTCCATTTGAGTTTTCTGCAGCGTATTCTTAGTTGAATTTAATTCCTGTACTGTTTTACTCATATTATTTTCGGTCTCCTTCAAAACCGTAGTTAGTCGAGTCCGTTCATTTTCTAGAGAACTCTTTGATTCTTGCAACGTATTAATCTTTTGCAGAGCTTCTTCTATGGCACGTGCCTGCTCCCGTTTAGCGCTCTCCACGTGCTTAACATGATCACGTAACTCCTTATTGCTACTGGAATATTTATCCTTTTCAATGTTGCTATCGGCTAATTGACGACGACAATCCGTAAGCTCGCTTCGTAAACTGTCTATGTAAGCCTCGCCTACGGGTAAAAATTAAAAGGATTTCTTTTAGGCAAAAGTTTTGTTTTTAAAATAAACTCCGAACCTTCTTTGGTTTTCCTCAACGCGTCCTGCAATTCATTGTTTATTCCCTCCACCTTGTCCTCTTTCAGGCGAAGATCCATTTTTAATTCTTCAGCAAGTCGATTCAGATTATCTCTTTCTTCCTTTAAACCAGTTATTTGCATATCCTGTTTCCTTATACATTCTTCAAGCTTCATTCTATCGAAAGATTAATGTTATTTATTTCCATTTAAAAATCTTTCATCAACTCATCTTACCTATTTTCCTCCTCTCTTGTACGCATGGCGGAGATTTCATCCTTTAACTGCGCAATCGCATTTCGTTGCTTTTCATCGTGTGCATTGTGTTCACGTTTCAAGCGTTCTAGACCCTCTTGCTCTACCTTCAATTCTCGTGCCGCTGCTTCCAGTTTTTCCATTAGAGCTTGCTTATCGCGATGAGCTAAAGTTTTAAGATTTGCAAAATAAGAATTTAAAATTTAAGTAAATGTATTAAAACTACAAGAATGCTGACCCATAAGCAAGGCTTGTTGTTTTTCGTTCTCAGCACGTATCATAGCCTCTTCGTGCTGTTGCACCAAGCTTTCTAGATGCGCTTGTAAAGCATCCAAACGTTCCTGCAATTTCTCTATTTCATCATCCTTTGCTGTTTGCAGTGCTTGAAGTGCTTGTGCCATTCTCTTTTCCAGCGCTGTTTTCAATTTATACATCTCATCCGCATGTTTCTTAGCCGCATCCTCTCCTGCTGCTTTCAAATTAGCAATCTTTTGATTGAAATCATTTTCAGCCGCGCGCGCAGCATTCATTAATTGATTTTTAGTTTCCTGTGCGCGACGATGACATTGTTCTAGCTCCTTATTGAGGCGTGCAACGTTATTTTTAAGCGATTCTTCACGCACAAGCGCTTCCTGATAATCACGTTCGAGCTGTTGTCGTTTCTCTTCAGTTGCTTCCAATTGAGTATTTGTATCGAAAAGTACAGCTTCCAGTGACTCTTTTTCTGTGCGCAAAGCGGCTAAGAGTTCCTTTACGTATGTAAGAGACAATACAGATTTATATTAGTTTTCTTAAGGACAAACAAGGGTGATCGTAGAAGCTGAATGTAGCAGTGCATGCTCGAATACTGGCCAGACTCTAAAAAAAATCCTGTTACTAGCAATTTTGACGGAACGGCTTTCAGAGAGGCGAAAAACCAGTAAAATTAGCACCGAGAGAGCGCAATTTCGATTTCTTACTGGTATTTCTCTCTCATTTCCTTTGAGACTCCATCTTCGAATAATTTTCATTTTAAGGGTAATTTTTTTCGTTGAATTTGGTTTAGTCAAATAAAAGTTTGGGGAGTATGAAACGTATTTTTGAATAAAGGAAACAAATCAGTTGCATTAGATATGTAGCCAAATGCATTAGTCTTCTTGGGATACCACATTTTCTTTATTCCGTTTATTATTAATTAACTTGTGACCAATTTTACAGTACTATCTTCATAAGTTTATTATTATTGATTCTATAGATTGATTATTAATTATAGGATAAAAGCTTGATTTCACGCATGCTCAGCGGTGCTCTCCACAAATATTTCCTAAAAGGAAAGAATGACGACATACAACCACTCAGATCCTAGACTTTGATTGATTACTGTCGATAACAATTCTATGAGAAGCTAGTCGGTCTGAGATAGATAGTTAGTGGCCTATTGTATTCTATTGTAAAGCCCTTATAAATTGTAGTAAGCTAGAATGGTTGATTGATTTTGCTCCGGTTAAATGACTCCAACAAAAAAAAGGTGATATCTGAAGTAACTCTCAGCTGAAAAGCTATCTAGAAATAAAGCTAAACTAAACACTGCAGAATCTGGTGAAAACGACGGCATCGCGACCGCACCAACCAGTTTTTATAGTTTTAAGTTAAGCCTATTAAGTGCCCGTTGGGTAAACGGTCGCATAATATAAGTCGAACTAAAATTAAGGCAACCTAATGCGAGTACACTAAATAGAAGCTATGAATTATAATGCAACTTACTTGTAAACGATGGGTTTCCTTTTCATGCAAATCAATTACAACTTGCTTCTCTTCGACATCCTTAACCATTTCCTCCAAATTTCTATTTAAACGATTATTTGTTTCGACAGTTTGTTCCAATTTTTGTCGTGTTCGCATAAGCTCCTCATTAAGTGACTCCTTTTTGCGACATAAAGCCGTCAATTGATTATGTATATCACCGCGATCTCGCGTAACACAAGCCAAATCTTGTAAGATTTTCTCTTTTTCTAGTTGTGTGCATTTTAACTTTTCACTATAGGATAAATTATCCGTTTCCAATTCCATACGGGTCTTCTCAACGGCGCTTAACTCCTTACGAGTCGCAGCGATCTCTTTATTTAGTTCATCCACCTCGGCTTTCAGTTTGTTACGCTCCTCCTGCGTTTGTGTCAAACTGTTTTGCATTGTTTTCAATTCGTCCGATGTGGAGCTGTTACTATTCGAGACTTTATCTAGTCTCTCTTGCAGATCACACTTTTCCAAAAGCAACTTATCCAAATCATATTCCAAATCAGCTTTTTGCTTTTCGATGAGATTGATGATATTTTCAGATTCAATGCGTTGCTGTTCAAGCAAATCTCGGCTAAGGCTTACGCTATTTAATTCTTCACGTAATGAGATTGTCTCCTCACGTAGGCGGCTGCCACGATCCTCTTCGGACCTATACGTATAAAAATAAAATTTTAAATATAAAATAGATATTTAAATAAAAATAGCAGGTATAAAATGGTAATCCAATTTTGGTATACAATTTCACGTGCGAAATTTCGAATCTCACCTCAGGTTCATTTCAATTATGTTTTTATCTTTGAGTATACGCTGAATTTCCAATTCCACGGCTTTTTTATCGTCTTCAAGTAAGTCAATTTTCTTTTGGAATTTGCCATTTTTAAGCTGCAACTTTTCAAATTCTGCGCTAAGATTCTCGAACTGAAAGTAATATTAGAAAAAAAGGATTTATAGCAATACTTAAATAATTGGGTAAAATTTAGGACAGATAGGATAGAGACCAAAAACTAAGTACTTTTCGTGGTCCGACTTAATAAACTCAATGGTTAAAGTACCGTAATTAAATAAAGTCCCCCACGACGAGACGGAAAATTATGAAAACGAAAAAGAATTTTAAAACTACGGGACCCATTCACTCATGAAACTTTCCAACTTTTCTGACAGCATGCCCATCACGCAGCGAGTCTAACTCATCCATTCTGTCATAATATCCACCGCATTGCCCTCTTCCCGCAATCGGTTTACTATTCGTACCGTTAGCCAAAGTTATAATTTATGTCAAGCATATTAGACCCAATTGGTTTGGAAAAGCTCCGCTAGAAAACATACCGACTCTCCTATTTTAAATATGGGTTTTATAAGAAACGAAAAGTAAGAACGTACCGCTGAATTCAAATCGAGTCGTCCTTGTTCGCTTTGCTGCTTTTGTTGCCGTATTTCCTCCAAAGTTTTCTGTAGACTGTCTCTTTCTTTCAACAACTCGGATAACTTTGAATTGCTAATGTCCAGTTTTTCGGTAAGCTGCTGTACCTTCGTCGTCAAGAGCGCTTTTGTACCGTCGCTCGTTTCGAGCTGTGCTTTAGTATTTTTTAGGTTTTCGTTAGCATTTTGAAATTTCACTTGCATATCATGCAAGGCCAATTGGTATTTATGTAGTGCAGCTTGAACTGCTGATATGGTGCCTTCGGCGAATGCTTGTGATGCACGCGCTGAACTGCGGCGCGGTGATTTTGTTGGTACGCTCATACCGGCAGCGCTATCACGCGTCAAGTGCATGTGCTGCATTGATTCATTCGCCTCCGTAGCGTCCGCTTCACGATCGGCACTCTCGGCGTCTTGTACGACAGCTTGCGCAATTTCACGTATAGAATTGTTCAGCCGCTCAATTTCATCGTTATAACGATTAGCTAACATTGCTTGTGATTCAGCTTGTGCGCATCGTTCCTCAAGTTTTTTCAATTGATTCATAAGATCGAGTAGTCTTTGATCCCTTTCTAAGACCTCTTGACGCGCACTTTCAAATTGTACCTTTAAAGTGGCCATTTGTGACTTTAAATCGTTATTCTCACGGCGAGATTCCACAAGCTCCTCGTCGGTTATACGTTTTGCTTGTTGTAGCACGAATGAGAGACCACCACAAGAGTTGGAGATGTCCTTAGTGACACTACCGAGTTCGAGACCCATTTTACCAACTTCGTTCTTCATAGCAGAATGCATATCTTTAAACGCACGTTTCACTGACACAACCTCACGCCACATCTTCAAAAGACGATTATGTTCACCATTGTAGTAATCCTTAAAAGCCTGAGGGAAAGGTAATAGAAAGTGTATATATTAGAGGTTGTAATGATTTCAAAATCCAAAGGCCGACTACATACATACAAACATTACAAATATATTATTTGCTTGAGTTTCGTACGCACCTGTTCCTCTTCCTTATATTCATCTTCTTTGATAAGCAATTCGTCGCGTAAATTGGAAAAATCATTAGTTAACTTCTGTAGGTCATTGGTTATGGCCTCGTTTGTCCGATTGGATTCTTCCAATTGTTGGCGCAACGTATTGTTTTGAGCCATCAGTTGCTCACATTTACTATGCTCATCCTCAAGCTTACGGCACAGTTCACCGCTATCTTCGTGCACGATAAAGTCACGAGCACAGGTTAATGGTGGTGAGTCCAGCGAAGATGAGCATGGCAAGCTCGATTGACCCAAAGCCATTGAAGTAGAGCACTAAAATTTCAATTTTCCAAATTTAAATATTAATCTCATAGTTGTGTATTAATTTATCAAAAAAGTATTATATTCACCATAACTTGACTAGATGTGGGACCGGTGGTTATCTTCGGCGCACAAGGTGGTGGTGGTACGGGTGTGTGTTTAATCGAATCATGCATGCGATCTTCTAAATCACTGCAACGCTGTCGATATTGTTGTATTTTCGATTGTAGACGACTAACAAGATTTGCTTGATTGTGCTGTGCCTGTTTGTAGGAGTCAATACGTCGGCGATAGCTGTTCGCCTCCTCCGATAAACGTTGTCGCAACTCATGATTTTGACGCAATAGCGCAGCCGTTGAAGTCGGCTCTACACTTTGTGTGGGACTTAACATTCTGGGCGTTGTTAATACACCAGTCTCAGGCGGTATGGTGACACCACTTGGATTTGAAGTCCCTATGCAACCCGAGGTTTTATCTATACCACTGTTACGATTGCGATTCGCCTTGGAAAAAGGTAATCGACCTGTCGCCACGCCAGTTGAGGTTTGTTCAAATGTTGCTGGGCAAGGTGTTTGCTTGAAGTTATCGCGGTAAGCTTGCATCTGTAGGAAATAGAGTCGAATGATTGTTTTCATTTAATAAAGCACGGAAGTTAAAGTTAGACATTGAGTTTTTGAACCTTGAGCATTATTGACTCTGTTCGGTGAGAAAGAATTAACCGCATAGCTTGGTCAAGAGTGGGCAGGAATTTCTTTAAATGCTACATTAGAGCCACGTAACGTGTGAGGGGAGGTAAGAGCAAATCTACGTAGTTTTCTTCAGATGATACAAATATTTATTATAGTCAAAGAAAGCAGCGACACACTCTCTATAGCCATTTGATACTCGTTCCTTGCTAAACTTCCCAAATCTTTGTTTGAAATTTTTCAATCTTCAATTTTCTTTGTCAAGATGCCCATAGAATTTTATTGAGTCATTCACTTTACATAAATAAATTTAAAAATATATATGGTTGCAGTTCCGATTCTCAAAGCTCCTCATATAAGGCCTTCAAATTGGGGGTGAGCTCGGCTGAAAATCGAAGTAGCTCTATGAAAAAACTCAAAAGTTTTAATCAAAATGAACGAAAAACCTCGGAATCTCAAGGCTGTTGCTCAAATACTCGAGCTGCTCGAAAATGTTCGAGCAAGATCTTGACTTCTTATCAACGTTTTTTGAACTTTTTTAAGTTAACTTTAGGAAAATATACAAATTTTCTTGAAATCCTTACAATGATCAGTAATCCACATAAATATTTGAAAATCTGAATACTGAAGTAACCATTGCTCAAGGTGGTTTTTTGCCAAATTGCCAAAGAAAATGGAAAAGAAATCACAAAGTGGAATAAAAATGAATTTGGACATTTCAAAAAACCTTCAACAGGACGACAATCTCTTTTGATTTTCTTAGTATATGTATGTCTGTATTAAGAACGGCTTTAATAATTTTAATAATTTCCGGTTTTAATAACCTAAAAAAAATGTTCGAAAATATGTACGCAATATATATGTAAATCGTTGCCAAGCAGTATACATATTTATTATTCATTTTATGTTTCAATATGTATAAAATTGCCATTAACCCCTTTGAGCGTATCGTGTAACCATGGCGTAAGTCGATATGTTCAACATAATTTTATTGCTTTGGGGGAATTGATCTAATAACTAAGCAGGAATTTTAGTAGTTATGAATGCGTGCAAAATTGCTATAATTCTAATATGCCCCAAATGCATAGATGAACTTATATTTATGTTCATATTTATATATGTATGCATGTTTGTATTTAGAGTTGAATGAATTTGATTTGAATATTTTTCCCATTAAAGTAACAATTTCATGTCATGCTTATGATTGATTTATTTACTGAACGAATTTCTATTTCCTGCATAAATTTAAAAAATATGCTTCCACGAGTACGAACTTATATATACATACATATATACATATATGATACATATATTCAATAAGATTTGTCTTTGAAATTAGATATTAGCTAAGATTTCAAACTCGTATATATATATATGTATATATATTTGATGGTTTGTAACCGCTGACGCGATTTTCGCGGTGGTGCAAAAGTAAATTTTTGTTCTTCCACAAATCCGGGCGTTTCTGGCGGATTGCTTCGGGCAAATTACGCATAACTTGCAGGTAATATTCCTTACTGACCGTTCTACCCTGTGGCAAGAACTCATGATGCACCACGCCCCTGCAATCGAAGAAAACTGTCAGCAAAACTTTCAAATTCGACCAAACTTGGCGCGCTTTTTTCGGTCTTGGTTCGTGCGGCAGCTTCCATTGAGATGATTGAGCTTTGGTTTCCACGTCATAACCATAAACCCACGATTCGTCACCAGTTATGACCCTCTGGAGCGAATTTGGGTCGTCGCGGACAGAGTCTAACATCTCTTTAGCAATGTTCATGCGATGCAGTTTATGGTCGCAGTTGAGCAATTTTGATACGAATTTCGCGGCGACCAAATTATTGATAAAAATCGAATGGTACGAGCCAATCGATATGTTTAGGTCCTCAGCAAATTCTTTAACGGTGATTCGAAGTGCTCGGTCGTCCGGCACGCTCTTCGTCGTTCACATTTTCTCTGAGAACATTTTGTACCACCGATAAACGTTGCTTCGGTCCAAGGTAGATTCTCCGCATGCCACACTCAACATTCGGAATGCATCCGCGCACTTAATTTCGTTTTCACAAAAAATTTGAAACAGGTTCTTTGATCCAATTTTTTGAATAGATAAAAGTCGAAGACCGAAAGTTGTGCTTAGTAAATGATTTATTAACTGTTACTAAATATTTATAAATCGTTCAATATATTAGAAAATTACTACTACTTTACGTGGTAGTGAGACAAAATCAGGAGGCTTCGAACAGTTGAGGGAGGATTCAGAAAAAATGGCCACATTTGGCTACATGAATTATTAAGCCTTTTAACCACTGATTTCCTTCGGTATTGAACATTCAAAGCTGTCATAAAAAATTACATAAATTTTTTGCAATAGATGGTTTCAGTGATCAGCACAACGCGATTTATAAGTGCGATTGGATTACGCTAGATGACGTTTAAAAGTGTACAAAACAAGATAATGAGAGAAGTGTTGATCATTTAGCTTGGCAGTGTTTGATCGCATCTCAAAGATGGACACCAGCAAAGAGAAGATGCGATAAAAACGGAAACCCAAGTCAAACAGCAGAAAATATGAGTAGTTTTAATGTAACAGTCAATCATACTCAATTTTGGTTTCATCAATTTCATTCCAGCAATTCTATGATGCTTCACTGTGTGGAAATCCAATTGTCGAAAATGTCGAAAAAATAATGAAAATCTTCAAGTCTGACCATCATGAGAAAGCTGTTGTGGTTGCCCATGAGCTTAAAACTGCACAAAAAAAACAGTTTGTAACCTTTTGAAAAACGCTGAATCCACAAAGAAGCTCATTGTATGGGTGTGACATTAGTTAGCAAGAAGGAACCTCATGGACCGAAATTCCATATGACAATCACTGCTGAATCGTACTGAGATCGGCCCGCAGTAACCGGTGATGAAAAGTGGATTACTTACAGCAACGCCAAATGAAAATGGTAGTAGTCGAAGAGCAGTAAGCCCGCACAAAAGGTCTGCAAGCCACGACCGTGAAGGTATTGTTGTGTGTATGATGGAATTGGCCAAGAAATTATCCACTACAAGTTGCTCTTCTATAGCATAATTGCTATTTCGTCCATCAGCTGCTACGCTGGCTAATTCATGTGGGCCTGATGAATAACAATATTCCAGGTTTAAAAAATTTCGATGCAGTACCCTGCAGAGAGCGCAGAGGACCTCTCGAAAGACCAGGTATTTCCAATTGGCGCCAAACAGTGATCAAAGAAATGAATGGCTCGCTGTTGTTAACTCGGCTATAATTGTGTAAGCCCATTACACCAGTAAAGACAATGTACTGTAGTACAAGTATGAGAACAGTGTGTATTTTTTTATAAACTTAAATATTATTAAAATTCTAAATCACGTAAATATAAGGTTGTCAAATATCTCCCTTCCTTTTTTGTCTTTTGAATTTCGCGGCTATGTACAAAGCGCTACAGAGCTCGTATCTGGCAACACTATACATAATTTGAAAGGTCTTTGGATATTGCGTTCAACAGTTATAGACGTGTAAACATGGAGTTCACTAACGCCGAAATTCGCGCTATTTTAAAGTTTTCCTTCGTTAAAGGCAAATCCGCTAGAGAAACGTTCCGTGAGATTAATGGTATTTTGGGGGATGGTACTCTATCACTTCGAACCGCGGAGGAATGGTTTCGACGATTCAAAGCCGGTGAAAACGATACCATGGATAAGCTAGCTGGCGGAAGACCTGTGACGACAAATACCGATCAAATCATGGAATACATCGAGTTAGACCGGCATATGGCATCTCGTGACATCGCCCAGGAGATGGGAGTTAGTCACCAAACCATTTTGAACCATCTGCAGAAGGCTGGTTACAAAAAAAAAGTTTGATGTTTGGGTGCCGCATAATTTGACGCAAAAAAACCTCCTGGGCCGAATCAACGCCTGCGATATGCTGCTGAAACGGAACGAACTCGACCCATTCTTGAAGCGGTTGGTGACTGGCGACGAAAAATGTATCACATACGATAATATCAACGAAAACGGTCGTGGTCGAAGGCCGGTGAATCGTCCCAAACAGTGGCCAAGCCGGGATTGACGGCCAGGAAGGTTTTGCTGTGTGATTGGTGGGATTGGAAGGGAATCATCCACTATGAGCTGCTCCCATATAACCAGACGCATAATTCTACCATTTACTGCGAACAACTGGACCGCTTGAAGCAGGCGATCGACCAGCAGCGTCCAGAATTAACCAACAGGAAGGGTGTAGTGTTCCACCAGGACAACGCCAGACCACACACTTCGTTGATGACTCGTCAGAAGCTACGGGAGCTCGGATGGGAGGTTTTATCGCATCCACCATATTGGCCGGACGTAGCGCCAAGTGATTACCACCTGTTCCTGTCCATGGCGAATGCCCTTGGTGGTGTGAAGTTGAACTCAAAAGAGGCTTGTGAAAAGTGGCTGTCCGAATTCTTCGCAAATAAGGAGGGGGGGCTTCTACGAGGAAGGTATTATGAAGTTGCTGTCTAGATGGAAACAGATCATCGAACAAAACGGCGCATATTTTCACTAAATCCGATCACTGTAACACTTTTTTTAAAAAGCATTGAATGAAGAGCAGAAAAGCGGAAGAGAGGAAGAGAGATATTTGACAACCTTTAATACATTTTTTTCAGCAGTGCGTATACGTAACCTATTGCTCTAACCTAATATTATATTTATATCTAATCTAATACGTGTATATAAAATTCTCGTGTCACAGTGTTAGACACGATACTCCTCCGAAGCAGCTTGACGGATTTTATGTAATTTTATGCGCATATTCAGTAGGTCTGAGAATAGCATAATATTTTCTTTTCACAACCTAAATTTTTTTTTGATTTTTTACAAAATACATATAACCCTAAATTTTCACCCTTCTATCACCAACCACAAGTTTTTCGAACCAAGTTACCAGTTTTTAGTCCAAATTTTGTTATGTCAACCATAGACCGTGTGTAAGTATGTTCGCTGCGCAATGTTATTATTCTGCGACTACGGGTTACAAGCTTTTCTTACACGTTCAAGCATAGATCCGATTGCCATTTATGTGACGGGCTTTGAGTAGCGAGGAATATAATAAAAATAAAAAAACTGATTATTTGGTGTTATATGATGAAGGTTTTTTGGTCATTTTTTGCGATATCAATGAGCGGAAAAATTCTACAAAATACAGAAAGCCACAACAGCACGTGGTTGAGTCTGCTAGTAATATATAAAATGCTATGCAAGTTTATCCTAAATAACTTAACAAAACTTGGTTCGGATTTCTCACTTATTGCCTTATTTATTTGTCGTTACTTCAATCGAAAGATCTTATTTCATACAGGATACAAGCGTCCACGGAAAAGCCAACTCAATATTATAACGAATATAAGAAACAAATTTTGAAACGTTTTGTTGAGTTTTATTCCCCTAAATATTTAGACAAAAGACAATTCAAAAAAAAATAATAATAAATAAATAAGAAATAAGAAATTACATACATTTTCGATGTCTGACCAAATAAATTAAAAGATTTCGATTCAGTAAAAGGTACTTTTTCTAAACCTTCTACATTGCGTCCGTCAACTTCCAAAGTTTTGTTCACTAAAATACCAAACGGCTGTATTATATACTATATCAGTACAACAATGTGTGGTTGCAATGGAGTTATTTTCAAACATTACTCATATATATTTTAAAATAGCCAATCGAAAATAAATAAATATACTAAATCTTCTTTCTTATACCTTGAACAGTTGGCTTCTGAATCTACCTACTCTCGCAAGTTGTAGAAAAGTGTTAGGCGCATTGTTCGTAGTGAAACGTCTTAACGGATCAATTTGTAGTTCATAGCTTTTTTTTGAGGAAAACTTTAATGTTCCAACTTATGTATCCAGGCAGTTTAGGCCTTTATTATTAAAGTCATGTAAAAGAAATTATGAATTGAATGAACCGTTCCGCCGATCGTGTCACAATTTTAATTTCATTCCGGCACCTTCGATTACTCAGACTCACTTTTTAGCATCAAAAAACAATTCTTACTTCTCTTAACAATGAAATTTTTAAATTCCATAATTACTAAATTTCAGCTGTTAAATTACTAAGTTTTCTGCAGCTGAACAGTTTTAAATCTCGACGCTTAACAAACGTTATGCGGATGTCGCCTCTCGTGTAGGGGGAAGGGTATTCGTTTGGCTTATGATTATTCAAACCGTAGGTGGCGCTGAGACCGAGATATTCTTAAAATTTTTACCCGGTGAAAGGGTTAAAAAGAAAGAGAAAGCAAGTAAGGTAAAGTTCCGTGTAATAAAATAGTATTAAAATAATGAAATATTTATACCCTTATTGTAGCGAATTGGAAAGCTTTGCAAAAAATATATGAAGAGTACTACCACCTATTTCACACTTTTAGTTTAAAAAAATCATAATGTAAATGAAGTTTTGTGATATGCATAACAAACTGAAAGGAACTATTAAAGTTTAAAATGAAAAATGAGCTTGAAGAATGTTGCCGCATATCAGAAAATTTTGATACAAAAATTGTTACTGTAAAATTACCACAAAGGCATCAAGCAAAAGGTTATTAATATAGCGAAGAGTGAAAAAATGTTTTTCAAAGCGCTGCTACCTATTAAATTTTGTAATTAAAAAAAAACTTAAAATAATGTAATTTATATTACATTTTAGAAATAAAAACTGAAAACTTTAATATAACAATATAATCAGCCAATAAAAGAGATTGAGGGGCGGTAACAGTTAAAAATATTTTTGAACAGTGCCTGGAGCTTTCGTCAAAACCTTAATGGTAGACATTTATTAACAAGTAAAATTTTAAACACATTTTGGTGACCATCTCTCTTGTTTGAACTAATATTTTAAATAAAGTACCGTGCAATAATATGCACAATAAAAATAAATCGTCTTAAATGAGACTTTGTCTTTGACACATTACGCAGAAAATTTAGCCGATTTCAAAATAATTGAAAAATATGTGTAATGTCCCAATTTTTTATTTTTCTTCATTTTTTTAACACTTAATCTAACATCAAACTTTTAACTCTTGGTTCAGTGATCAAAGGATGTAACAACTGAAACTAACATCCATTTATTTAAATCCAACTCGAATGCACAACCACTCGCCCAAAATTCAGTTATTTTTGCGTAACAGCATTTTTTATGTACCCAACTTTATGTACAATATATCTATGTATTTACCTTTCCATGCACATTTGTATCCTACTATCACGGGTACTCAATATCGAAATCCGCGTCGAAAATTTCTAAACCTTCACCAAAGCACAACTTTAAAAAACTAAATTTGCGAAGCTCCACGACAAAATTATCAACTCTGTTGGTTATTCCCAAAAAAGTTGGCGCAAAGTAAACAATTGAATTAACAAATTCCTGGTATCCAGGGACACGAGCATTGATTTTGTATTGTTTACACAAGTTTGTGGAATTATGAGTGGAAAGTATTTAATAGTTGTCGTTGTAACTGTGGTTATTGGTTAGTTGTGATCTAGAAATCATTTGCACATATATACATACATACATACATACATACATAAAAACATATGTATTTCCATAAGTATAAATGCATGTTGAATGATTGAACTATTCAAGATGATTGAGCTAGAAATAAAATATCTACGTTCATACACGATGTACATACATATTTATATTGGTAAATATTCTACCCTTGTACAAACATGCACTCATACATCCATTTCTAATATGCATGGAAATAATTTAATATTTTTACGACCTGAATGACATAATGTCAACTGAAATACAATCAACATATCACTAAATTTCAAACTTCATGTGTCATATATACAAAATATGCTTAACATCAAAAATTTGTGATTCCAATTCAATTTCACTGGTTTTACTTACAGAAAATCTCGCCAAATTTTATGATATTTCGAATATATGTATACACGTATACACAATACCATTAAATCATCCACCTGGTATTGCAAGTTCAAATACTGAGTTTGGTTTAGTTTCGAAATTGATGTTATATTACACTAAATATTTCAAGTTTCCTTTAGCAATATTGTTTAAGGAATGAAATAAGGGGCAGGGTATGTCAATTCCTTCGAATATATTAGGCGTTGTAAAAAGAAATCCATTATTTTTCCAATATATATCGTAGGTGTACAACTTTGCTTCCGCCGTTTTTTCTTCCAAAATTAAAAGCTTTATTGCGAAAAAGTACTTACAGATATATTATTCAAAGTATTGTCCTTCGCTAGCGACAACTTTCTCAAATCTTTCCGGCAATTTTCGGATCCCGGCTCGAAAAAAGGACCATTAAGCCATCCATTTTTCCAATTCTTCGAAGGATTGAAAATATTGATCTGCCAGGCCGTGTGCCATCGAACGGAATAGGTGGAAGTCAGACGGGGCGACATCTGGGGAATACGGCGGGGGGGGCAAGACTTCCCATTTTAGCATTTCCCGCCTTGTCGTGTTGGAGGATGACTTTGTCATGTCGCTCTTGATATTGTGGCCGCTTTTCTCTTAGCGCGCGACTAAGGCGCATTAGTTGCGTTCGGTTGCGATCTCCTGTGATGGTTTCACCCGGTTTTAAGAGCTCGTAGTTCATCTTTGAAGGTTTTTTCTCTTCCACCACCATGTTTGTCTTCGACATCGAAATCACCATTTTTAAAACGTTGAAACCACTCCCGACACGTTCTTTCACTCAGAGCAGCATCACCGTAAGTTTCTGAGAGCATTCGATGCGCTTCAGCTCCTTTTTTTTCAAATTGTAACGGAAAAGTAAAACTTCCCGCAAATGGCGAGAATTAGGCACATAAACGGACATTTTCGAGCGTGAATAATACGAAAACAAGAACAACTGTCACTGAAACGGCGATGACAATTCGTTAGGCACTGTCCACACTCACTTTAAAGGCATTATCATCTATGTATTTCAACCAGCCTCAGCTGGTACAGCCACCTATGGGAAAACGGCGGAAGCAAAGTTGTACATCTGATATTTGACAGTTTTTCTGCCATAAAGGCAAAATACAAGCCAGGCGGCTGAAAATGTGAATAGCGTTATGGTCCTGATACTGTTACAGTCAATCAGGCATAATATCAGTTTTATTCCGGTAATTTTGATGGTAAAGATGCTTCACGAAGTGGAAGTCCAATTGCCGAAAATGTTAATAAAATCATGGACTCTGTCGAGTTCGACCGCAATGTAAGCACTGTTTCGATTGCCCATGAGCTGAAGATTGCACAAAAACCGTTTAGAGCCATTTGAATAAGGCAGGATACGAAAAGAAAAATCTAAACCATTCAATTTTATTCAAAAATAATGGGCAGGCAATAAAAAAAACTGCTCATAAAACTCATCAGCTGTTCGAAGGCGGCTTTGAATAAATGGTGGATGACCACTTTTTGTGGCCAAAATTAATAGCTCGGAAAGCAGTTAATATTAAGTTTAAGTTTTGTTTTTAATTTTATTTTTAGGAGTTTTCTTTCTCTATTTCATTTGAAACGACACACAGTTAGGAGTTCACAAGGGTATTGACCTAAGAATTAAAATTGTACAAAAAGTGATGAAAACGGTTTCCAAAATATATTACAATATTTCAGGGACTTTGAAAACAAAAAGTGGTCTCGTGCACACAAAAGTTCGGAGATGATGTTCGGTCGAGATTTATCGGTTCTAAATCGCCAATTATATATACACCTAATTATTTTCTTTTACGATATCATATGTACTATGTTCTCAAAAAAGAATCGTGTGGGAAGAGATGTATATGTACATAGGTGTACACATATGCGTGTATATGTTGTCTTATAAAAGTTATGAAGACCAATTAAGGGGCACACCCAGTGTAATGGGCTAAAAAAAGGTGATTATTGGGAATTTTTATTAAAAAAAATGCTTTATTACTTATTTCAAAATTTTAAGAATATATTTATACATGTTTCAAGAATATACAGTGAAATTTTTGAAGAAAAAAATTAAATATTTTTTAAGTTATAGTCGATCTCCAACGGCGCGAAAAAAAGGTCCTTCACTGCTGCAGTGATTCTGGCCTTCTCCGTGGATGAAATCTAAAAAAAAAAACTCTCGATAAGATAATATTGTCTGTACAATGAACTACGATAAGAAACAATCAAAAATTGACAATATGGCGGCGTTTTAAAAAAAAAATAGTCGAATTTTACCCAAAATTTTGGTCGCTTTTGGCCTGCCGAAATTCGATTTTTTAATCAGATCAAAAATCGGTAGGTCATTGTACGGAGAACTATATATAGAACATGTAAAAAGAATTAGATAGTGATCGGATCATTTGTTTTTGAGTAATCACTACAGCAAATTCGGAAGATGCTAATGAGACTCTCTAGCTGCCGAGCGGCTGCTATTTAAATTGCTATAACTCGATTTTTTTGAAATTTCACACTGGGTGTGCCCCTTAATGGCGTGAAGCTCTTAAGCTTTTTCTCTTACTTTCGGTGGGTTCTACATCAAATACTTTTAAAGCTGGTGTGTTTTCATCCATCCAGACAACATATAATATAACGTACCGTTGTCTCTCAAAACGTTCGACTCTGGCAATAACAGTAAGTAAGGGCCAAGGTGGGAATGAACTGACTGAATGAACTAATGATAGAAAATATTTCGTCTTATCTTCGTTTACTACCAGACGCATTTCCTTTGCTTCTTTATCCACTCTGCAGTAGGTAGTAGTAACGGTACGGATGGTAAGGTCAATGTTATCAATACTATGCCTGCAATTGTGCAGAAGATCTTGCTACCTTTTCTAAAAAAGATAGAAGCTTATACATGCGCTTTGTTAGTTCTGCGCGCTAAATATATTTACGAATAGCTCAGTCGGTAAACCATCGGCCTCTGATGCTTTGTTGTTCTTCATGCGAGCAATCCATTTCATTAGCAATACAGGTTGCCCACCTCCACTTGCATCGCTTTCCCTACCACTCAGCAGGCTGCAGGAGTGTTCCCTCTCGAACGAATCGCTACAACTACAACAACAGTGTCTACTCTCCAAAAACTCAGTATTTATTTATTTATTTATTTAATAATAAGAAAACATTAGTACAATAAGATTTCCATATATTTTTTAGCACAACAGAAATAAGGTGAAGAATAAGTGATTATTACTCTACATATACACTAAAAAAGTTATAATAATATACCAGTATAAGGAACAGAATATGACAGAAATTGAAACAATTAATAAATGATCAAACTAAGTTAAATTTGTCTTTTTAAAATGCATATATGTGGTTAATAATATTGCTTTTGTCAAATTTCCTCCTTAAATTAGTAGGAAGAGAGTTCCATAATCGTATAGCATTGAGAAAGAACAGCCTTGTGGATTGCTGTGATTTATAAAAACGTATTATAATATTACCTACTCTAGCGGAACGAGTAAAAGATAACTTTGAATAAAGATAGCTATAAAATTGAGTCCCAATGAATGCAAAGAAAAATACAATTTTTGGCTTTATGATAGTCCGCCATCGAACATCCCAATCCGATATATGCACATATTCGCAAAGACCAAACACATACCGCGTGACGTTTTTAAACATAACATCAATTTTATGAGCAGATGCACTATCATCTTTTCTGTATACGACTTGAGAGTATGTACATGATAACTGGAAGAATAATTTGCATAGCAAGTCGATGTCTCGTAGCTGTGGGTCTTGGCATCGGTCAAAAGATCACTTACATATATGGGTACTGCTTTTGTATGATTCGATCTTGAAACTTTCGGTAAATACATTTCTCATAAAAAGTAGGTAATAACTACAGCTTCAACCGACACTTAGAAAAACACTTTTATTTTCATTTTACTTTTATTTATATGCCTAATATTATTTTTCCGCATATCTATAAATTTCTGATGTACTTATCGTTTGTTTTATATAGATACACACATGCTTTATACACGTATTTACTTGTGATATGTACAATAAAGAAGTGCATATAAAAATGTGTTAGAAAGGTTATCGCACTAGGTGAATAAAAGAACCTACTCTTGAGTCTATTTTAGCCCACAAGTAATCTTTTGACATATGAGCAACGTGGTATTCACATACATACATAAGTACATACAAATGAATATGTACTTGTTTTACCGTGATTTCTCACATATACACGAGTATTTATTTTTTAATCTCTTTATTTCTAGTATATTTATGTGCGAGTGCATTGTTTGCTAATAAAATTCGCTGAGAGCTTATTCTGTAAACTATATACAAATGCAAATATACACATGTACATACATACATATATA